AAACTATAATGTCTTTAGTTTTCTTCTATTTTTGTTTTTTTTTTTTCTTCTTTTTTTTAATTCTTTTAAGAATAAATTTAAAATGGTTGGTTTGTTCTACATGAATTATGTATTACAACTATGATTTTATATATATATATACATAAACAATGTACATTGTTTTTAATTATTAACTTTTAATGGGTTTCCACTATTTCTAATAGTAAATCTTAATTTACTATTATTATTCGTTGTTGTTGTTGTTGCTGATGATGATGTCGAGGTTGTCGATTCTGTTGTTGATGATGTTGATGTTGATGTTAAATGTTGTGTTATACTTGATAATAAATCTGTTTCTCCTTCTTTCTCCAGTTTTTCATTGGCAGTCGGTTGTTGTTGTTGCTTCGATGATATATAATGATTAGTTGGTTGTTGTTGTGAAGTTGTTGTATTGTTTGAATGTGAAGATGTAAAATGAATATACTCTTCACTCTTTGCTGAAAGTGTCTCTCTTGGCACGTTTGTAAGTTGAATGCTCTCGTCGAAAAAGTCTGATTGTTCATAATGGTTAAACAACTCCAGTACGTTGACAAATGTATTGAAGGTACGATCGATATCTTTGATAAACTTGGTTTCAAACAACGGCAGTTTCTTGTTGAACTTGACCACCCATGCCTCACCGATCTTCTCGCCGGTCAGCTCCTCGAGTGCCTTGGCATAGGCACACACCTGCAGCGCATACTCATTGTTGATGTAGTTGCTGGTTTTCCAATCGAGTGCCACGAGCGTGCCGTCTGCTTTCCGGCCGACGGCGTCTACCGCGCCAGCATACTGGTAGCGCTCCGACCAGACGATCGAATCACGCAGTTCCATCGTCAAGCCACTGCGCTGTTTCCACTCGTCGAACGCCAGTCGCACCGGCACGACTTCACGCTCGAGCGAGGCGAGCTCAGCGACACTAGCAACTTCATCCTTTGGCGCCAGCACAGAGTTGTCGATGGCGAGATGCGCTTTCGTGCCAAACGATGCGGCGTCACCCATTACCTTGAACGGACTTTGTTTCGCTTCGACGATGAGCTGGTCGATCCACTGCTTCTCCTGTGCCAACGTTGCAAAACCATCTTTCGGTCGTTTTGCAAAGTACGATTCCTTCAGCGATTGTACAACGGTGTTCAACTCCCATTGTTTCAACATCGGTTTGTTGATCATCTTCAGTACGGTTGTCACCGAGGGAAACAGCTTGTTGGGCGTACCCGGTATACCTTGATAGTATCTCTGTCCATTCTTAGTGACTCTCTTAATATCTGTAGATGCTGACAACAAACTTGAAAGATTCTTATATTTCATTTATATACATATATATAATATAGATATTGTTTGTTTATTTCATTTAAATCGAAAGTTCAGATTATGTCAAAAAAAAAAAAAAAAAAAATATTCAACCAAACTTTGAAAATTGATAGATCTAAAAATTGATCGATCAATCTTGGTTTGATTAATTTTTTCACTAAATCTTTGTATTGTATCTTGTTATATATTATTGTTTGAGTTGTGGTGGCACCGTAGTTGCAATGCACAATCAATAGAAAAGAACAAACATATAATTTCTACAAAGATAATCATTTCTAAAATGATTGATTGTAAATGTATACACTCCAATTTTGAAGGATCTAAACGTTTATGTAACCTATATTATAACTTTTATTTATTAAATTTATCTTATGGTGGAAGGAGGGGTATTGATATAAGATTTATTTGGATTCCAATGGTGTTGTATGGTTTTAAGTTCGTTCTCCAAACGATGCAATCTATTGAGTATCAGACCGATTACACCGACCACAGGATCATCGGGTGACGCCGTCGAGTGATCCATCACAAAAAATTCGTCGTCGTATGTCTCCATCAACTCTAGATGCTGAAGGTCATCGATGATCGTTTGTAGCTTCTGGGCATTCGGTATGACAGCAGGCTGCTGCTCAAGCTTGGCTTTCGCCAACCGGTAGAACTCTTTCGACGAGCGTGACTTTGAGCGATGTCCAACACCAAACGGTGCCAAACAATGCCAAATGATAACATCGAATTCACTCTTACTCTTATTGATTGCCGATTGTACAACCGACCTTACAGGTACAACTAATTCACGATATATTTTTGTATTATGTTGATTTGGTTTATTATTATTATTGTTATTAACTTGTTCTTGTTGTTGTTGTACTTTTTGTTGTTGTTGATTAAATTCTAAATCATCTAAGAAACGTCTTACTATTAGAAGATTTCTTTCGATCTCTGTCATTGAAGAAGGTGGATTATCTAAATACATTGTTGGAATACAAGAAAAGTTAAAGGCAGAGTCACTGATGAGGAATCGATCGATGTTGGTTTCGATGTAATCCAAATACCACTCGACCAACTTTCGCTTGTTGCTACCATTGAGATAGTCTTCGATGTTATCGATTATCGATTGTTCCTCTGCACTTGGTTTCGTCGATCTAATAGGCACATCGATATATATAGGTATACCTATATTCTTAAACTCATTAACTTTTACAAGTGCATCATTTTTAATTTCATCATATCTATTGTTGAATTGTTGAAATTGTTGTTGTTGCTGTTGTTGTTGTTGTTGATGTTGTTGTTGTTGATTCTGTAAACTATCAAACATTAGATTATTCGACTATATATTGATATAATATATATATATATAAAGAAGTATGTCTTTATTAATTAATTAAAATGGTAATATAAATCAATGTAATTCAATTGAAGAAAATAAATTAAAAAAAATGAAAAACAAGTTGTTGGATGACTCATTTAATATTGTTGTTTGAAAATTTTAAAACGAATATTCAAACAATATATTTACAAATAAAGTGATTGGAAGACATGTCATCTTTTGCAGAGTCAGTAAGAAATAAATTAAAACAACCTAAAGTTGGTAACTATCTTTAAATTTAAATTAAATATCTGAACATTACGTAACAATATACTAATATTGTTGTTATTGATTTTTATTTTTAGCAAGATACAGAGCGGGTCAAGTTCCAGATTTTGCAAAGGAGGAATATGAAGAAGAACAAAGTAAATTTAAACAACAAGAAATAGAAAAGAAAATAAACTTTGAAAGTAATGATGATTCAAGGTTAAATAGATTAAGAAATATACAAAATAATAATAGTAGTGATAGTAGTGATAATGATAGAGTTGTTAGACATGATAGACATAGCAGCAGTAGTGGTGATAGATCAAAACAACATAGTAATGATGATGGTGGTGATGACAAAGAAGAGAGAGTAACTGAACATGTTAGAAGAAGAGTTGTACATAAAACAGAAATAGTTGAAGAGAAAAAAGATAATAATAAACAAGTAACAAATAGTGTGGATAATGAAGCGGATAATGATGATGATCTAGATACAAGAAGACAAAGAGCAAGAGAAAAGTATTTAAAAAAGAAACAGGAAGAGGAGAAAGAAGAAGAAGAAAGAAAGAAAAGGGAATCTATAAAGTTAAAAGATCATGATGATGAAAGTGATGAAGAAGGAAGTGAAGATGAAGATGAAGAAAGTGATGATGACGAGAGTGAGGAAGATGAAAGTTGGGGAAGACCAATAGTTATGCCTGTGTTTATAGCGAAAGAGAAAAGAGGAACAATCAAAACCGACGAGATGTATCAGAAGGAGGAAGAAGACTGGCTGGTTCAACAGGAGCGCGAAAAAGAACAGCGGAAACTGGAAGCACATCGAAAGCTGAAGGAGGAATTGGAACGTGATGAAGCCGAACAAAAGGCTGCCAATAAGGATGACGATGACGACGACGACGATGACGCCGACGAAGACGGATCGCGCTACGACGCCTGGGTGCAACGTGAAATCAATCGACTCAAGAAAGACATTCGTGATAAGCTGGTGTTGGAACGCGAGCAATCGGAGAAACTGCGAAGAAGCAAGATGACGGACAAGGAGATCGAAGCGGAAGACGCCGAGAAACTGGCGAAACGCGACCAACCCAAACAAAAATTGAAATTCATGCAGCGTGATTATCACCGTGGTGCATTCTTCCAGGACGACGAGTACATCAAGAACAAAGACTTCTCCGGTGCAACCGGTGAGGATAAATTCAACCGTGAACTCCTACCAAAGATTATGCAAGTCAAAAACTTTGGCAAGGGAGGACGTACAAAGTACACTCATCTCGCCGATCAAGATACTTCGAAAGGTGCACTTTGGAATGAGAATCAAAAGATGTTACAAAACCATTATAATAAATTGGCTGGTAGATAGATAGATATAAATAGATAAGTAGTAATGAGACATTATTTATAATTATATTATATTTTGTTTTGTTTTAACATAAAAATTACAATTTATTGTTTGTGTTTCATTCACTTTTAATATTTTCTTGGTTGATTGATTTGATTGGCAGCTGCATTACCTGCGGCCTGTTGGACTTGACTATTATTTGCGGCGGCACCAAAAGCCTTACCACCGAATGACTGAACTGAAGAGTTACCTGCTGCTTTCTTTACATATGGGTTACTTGAATTATTAGCAATTTGTGATCCAACTTGATTTTGTACATTTGGATCGTTTGCCTTATTGGCAACCGCACTACCTGCTTGTCTTTGATATTCTGGATTTGTTACAACACCAGTCGCATAATCATTACTAAAATAATAATAATAATAAGATAAATTAGTTTCAATCTTTCAAATATAGATAACTATTTATCTTATACTTACACTGCAGATTGATATGCAGGTTGTTGATATTGACCTGGTTGTTGGTATTGACCTGGTTGTTGATATTGACCTGGAGCGGGTTGTGGTGGTTGGTATTGTTGTTGTGGCTGTTGATATTGACCTGGAGCTGCTGGTTGTGGTGGTTGATATTGTTGTGGTGGTTGATATTGACCTGGAGCTGCTGGTTGTGGTGGTTGATATTGAGTAGATGGGGGTCTTCTTGGTGGTTGACTACCTGGTGCCGCTGGTCTTGGTGGAGGTGCTGCTTGGAATGGTGTTTGTTGTCCACCTGCTGGTCTGGGTGGAGGTGCTGCTTGGAATGGTGTTTGCTGTCCACCTGCTGGTCTGGGTGGAGGTTGTTGATATTGTCCAGGAGCAGGCTGTGGTGGTTGATATTGTTGCTGTTGTGGAGGTGGCTGTTGATATTGTCCTGGAGCAGGCTGTGGTGGTTGATATTGTTGCTGTTGCTGTTGCTGTGGAGGTGGTTGTTGATATTGTCCTGGAGAAGGTTGTGGAGGTGGTCTGGCTGGTGGTGCCATTGGTGTTGGAGCAGAAGCTGTTTGGTTGGCACCGTTTGGGAATGGAGGTGGCGATGAACGTCTTGGTGGAAGTGGCTGTGACTGTGCGGTGGCGAAAGTCGAGGAGATGGCAGCCTGTGCTTGATAGTTCTCTGGTGCCGATCCCATTAGCGGTGCAACCGGGTTGAAATAGGGTGGATTCTTCTCGAGGATGGCGGTGTGAGATTGATGATTCATCGAGATCGAACTATAGAGATAACCGAGTGATAGAACGATGTTCTGAAGTGGACGATCAAAGTAAGCTTGTTTGTCTTCAAAGAACTGCGACATCTCTGACATAGCCTTGAAATTGGTGTTCTCGTAGGACTCCTTTTTGACGTTGTAGTTGTTCTCTTCGGTGGTGAGTTTCGATGGGTCTTTGGGTGGCTTCTCTTTCATCTCCTTGATCTTGGACTGCGATTTCTCCATCTCTGAGAGGAGCGAGTCACGATCGGAGATGGTGTCTTTGATAAACTTGATTTTCGCACTGTACTGCTGAATCATCTCGTAGTTTGTCTTTTGACTGTTGACCCAGTCATTGAAAGAGTGTTCCACCTGTTTGATAACCTCGGCAGTGTACATAGTCAAAGGATGATCACTTGGGAAGTATGCTTGAATATTCTTATTCAAACTACTTGGATTTATAAATGTTTCTAATAATAATGATCAATCAATCACATTAAAAGTCAATAAACATTCATTTTTCATCGATTCATTCATTTCATTCTTTTTTTTTTCTGTTACTACTTACTTTGTAAATGTTTATCATTCTTTAAAAGTGATTGATATGTATTCTGAACTGAATCCGACAATGTAATAAACTCTTTTCTTGCACTTTCAAAGTTTTGATCTATTGTTTTTGGTCCAGAGTGAAATGCATTCACAACCTAATATATTATTGTTCATATCATTTATTAAAATAAGATTACATTAGATTGGATTGGATATAAACGAAATTGAAAAAATAAAAATTCAACAAAGTGTGTAGTGTACTTACATTACTTTTAAACTTATTTAATGTTTTCATTTCTTCTTCTTCTTCTCTACTTGAACAACAGTTAATTAATTATGAATAAGTATTTACTAAATGAAATGAAATGATTCTAAAAAATATAAAATTAGAAATATGCAAATAAATAGGAGATAGATATTTGTGTGTGTGTGATTCAATACAAAAAAACTAATTTTAATTTTTTCAATCGATCTACAAAATTTCAAAATGATAAAATAAATAATTATATAAATATGTTTTATCTATCTATCTATTATTACTATTGCTTATTGGAATATATGTTTATATGTTTTGTTTTTGCTGCTTGTTCTAAGATTATATTTTTTTCGCAATTAAACAATATTATTATCATACTAAAAAATTATCTGAAAATTGGTAAATTGAAATATTCATTTTTTTCAACCCCTCATCAGGATGTTTGCATTAAAAATTTGAAAATTCCTTTAGTTGGTGAGTATAATACCCCCCTTTTAAACAAATCGATGTACAGTATAATATTTATAATAACTAAATATTCTTAAAAAGAAAAGAACAAAACTTCTAAAACAATTATTTAAAAAAAACAAAACAAATAATAAGAATCTAAAAATTATAATTTAAAAGTAGATAAGTAATAATAAATAACATTGAATTTAAAAACAAGAAATGGACTTATCAAAGTTTTTCATTTGAAACAAATTTGTTTCTTTCAGTCTTGAAACCCATTATTAAGTTTCTATTAGTATATTGATACAATGTTAACTTTTAATTCAAATCTGATTATTCCATATGAGCTAAATTAAAAAGAAAGAGATAACTGACTACAGCAAGTGATTCATCAAAAAAATGAAAAAAATAAAAAAGTCAAATAAAAATTTTTTTTTTATAAAATTAATTTTTTTGTGTGAAGTGCCACCTTTTTTTTGCAATGTATGATCATTCATTTTGAATATTTTTTTTTAATTGTTTGTTTTTGTTGATTATTAATATATTTAATAATACTTTATCATTAATATCCATTTGTTAAGAGTCGAAAACAAATAGATCAATAATATAGTGATTAGATTTTAAAAATAAAAGTCAATTAAACATTCAATATTACTCAACTTTTCATTCATAATCAAATCATATCAAAAGCAGATCAGATCAGATTGTTTAGTTTGGTTTAAATTGAAATAGAAAAAGAAAAAAGATAACATAAAATAATTATAATATATAAAATAGTTAAGAAATGGTAAAATATATTTGGATTTTTATTTTTTTGATGAATATTATGATGATGATGATAATGATGATGATGATATTAATATTATGAACAGCCTTTAAGATTAGATATCAAAAAGAAACTTTCAACTAGATCGGATCGTGTTAAATCAGTAGATATCCATCCAACAGAACCATGGATTTTAGCAAGTCTTTACAATGGTAATGTTTTCATTTGGAACTATGAAACACAGAATATGGTAAAGTCATTCGAAGTGTCACCAGAGAATCCGGTTCGTGCAGCCAAGTTCATCGCTAGAAAACAATGGATCGTCACCGGTAGCGACGATACTAATATGCGTGTCTACAACTACAACACAATGGAGAAGATCAAAACGATCGAAGCACACGGTGACTATATCCGTTGCATCGTGGTGCATCCCACACAACCCTATGTCCTGACATCGTCGGACGACATGTCCATCAAGCTCTGGGACTGGGAGCGCAACTGGCAGAACATCCAGATCTACGAGGGACACTCTCACTACGTGATGTCGATCGCTATCAACCCGAAGGACACCAACGTCTTTGCCACTGCATCGCTCGACAAGTCGATAAAGGTGTGGGGACTGCACACTTCGCAGCCGCACTTCACCCTCGAGGGTCACGAGAAGGGTGTCAACAGCGTCGAGTACTTTATGGGCGGTGAGAAACCCTATTTGATTTCCGGTGCCGACGACAAGACCGTCAAGATTTGGGACTACCAATCAAAGACCTGTGTGCAGACACTCGAGGGACACTCGAACAACGTGTCGGTCGTCTGTTTCCATCCGGAACTCCCACTGATTCTCTCGGGTTCCGAGGATGGCACCGTGAAGCTCTGGCACTCCTCGACCTATCGTCTCGAGAAAACATTGAACTACGGCATGGGACACGTCTGGGCAATGAACTTTTTGCGTGGTTCCAACTTTATTGGATTGGGATACGACGATGGAACCGTTGTGTTGAAGCTCGGAAAGAATCGTCCACCCATCTCGATGGACAGCACCGGTAAGATCATCTGGGCACGTCACAACGAGGTGCAAATCTCCAACTTGAAAACAACATTCGAACAGGAAGTACAAGACGGTGAAAAGTTGAATGCACTTCAAGTCAAGGATTTGGGTAACTGCGAAATCTTCCCACAGAAACTACACCATAACAGTAACGGTCGTTTCGTCGCCGTCTGTGGTGACGGTGAATTCATCATCTACACTGCTTTGGCATGGCGTAATAAATCATTTGGTTCTGCATTGGAATTTGTTTGGTCAGGTGTTGATTCTGGACAGTAAGTATATAATTAATTAAGTTTCAAATTATTTTTCTTTCTAATGCAAATTTATTAATTATTATCTATTATCTATTATCTATAGATATGGTGTAAGAGAGAGTACATCTAGAATTAAGGTTTTCAAGAATTTCAAGGAAACACATAACTTTAAACCATCGTTCACAGCTGAAGGTATTTTTGGTGGTACTCTTTTGGGTGTTCGTTCCAATAGTTTTGTTTGTTTCTATGACTGGGATACTTGTGATATCATTCGTAGAATTGAAATCTGTCCAAAGAATGTATGTATTTATTTTGGAAATAGATAGATGGATAGATAATGTCAATTGAATGATATATTAATATATTATTTATTTGTTTGTTTGTTAATTGTTTTTTTTTTTAGGTATTCTGGTCAGAGGATGGTGAAACATTTGCCATTACAACAGAGTCATCTGCTTTCATCCTTAAATATAATAAGGAAGCAGTTAGAAAATATTTAGAGTCTGGACAACCAATCGAAGAGGAAGGTATTGAAGATGCATTCGAAGTGATACACGAGATTGAAGAGCGTATTGGTACTGCCTGTTGGGTCGGCGATTGCTTTATCTACACAAATCGTTCAAGCAAACTCAACTACTGTGTCGGTACTGAAGTTGTCACCATTTCCCACTTGGACAAGCACATGTATCTCCTAGGTTACATTCCAGAGACCGGTAGATTATATTTATCTGACAAGGTAAGAAAAAAAAAAGATAAACAAAAAACACATCAGAGATAGTTCTAACAAATAGATTTATTTATTTCTATATTATTATTATTATTGTTTTTAGAATTTAAATATTGTTAGCTATAAATTACATATCGATGTTATCAATTATCAAACAGCTATTTTAAGAGAAGATTTCGATACTGCTTCAAAGTTACTACCAAAACTCCCACAAGAACAAAGAAACAGTATTGCACACTTTTTGGAATCACAAGGTCACAAAGAGATGGCATTGGAAGTTTCTTTGGATTTAGATCATCAATTTGAATTAGCAATTCAAGTAAGTATCTTTAATCTTTTTTTTTTTTTTAAAATACCAAACAATATACTTACCAAATCATTTTCTACTTAATTATTATTACTATTGATTAGTTGGAAAATCTAAAGGTAGCTCATGCTATTGCTCTTAAATCAGATTCAGAACAAAAGTACAGACATTTAGCTGATCTTGCTTTGACTATTGGTGACATTGAACTTGCAGAGAACTGTATGAAGAAAGCAGAGGATTTACCAGGTCTTTTGTTATTGTATACCTCCACCGGAAATGTAAAGGGTATGAACGATTTGGCTGCATTGGCCGAGAAGAAGGGTCAAAACAATATTTGTTTCCTCTGCAAACTCTTGGTTCCAGGTCAACTCAAGGAGTGTCTTGAGATTCTGTCGAGCAACGGTGCCTACGCTGAGGCAGCATTGATGTCACGTACCTACATGCCATCGGAGATCTCCAGCTCCGTTCAACGTTGGCGTGAGGCACTTAAGTCGATCAGTCCAAAGATTGCCGAATCGTTGGCTGATCCTGCCGAGTATCCAAACTTGTTCCCAGGTTACGAAAGTGCCTTGGAGGTCGAAAAGAAGGTGTTGGGAGAGCGTGAACGTCAAGTTGAATCAGCAGCTGAACTACTCAGCCAACTGGACTTGTCATCCCCACCAACCAACTCTGCTTCCTCAGCAAATCTCATTGATATGTCATCGCCAATTGATAACAATGTACTACCAACACAAACATCACCAACCCCACCACCAAACAACAGCAATGACATTGATCTTTTGGGTGACCTCAATACTACCACCGCCGCCGCCACCACCACTTCAGGTAACTCATCACCTATTTCAAGCTCAAGCTTTGAACAAGTCAGCACCCCACCACAAACATCTTCATCACCTGTAAAGACAACACCTCAAGGAGGACGAGCCAATCTTTCATTAGATCTTGATGACGAAGACATTCCTCTAGATTCTGATGAAACTCCAATTGATAATCAAAGTAGTTTAATATAAATAGTTGAAAAAAAGTAATATAAATAATAATCTAAAAAAAAAAAAACAAAAGGAAATAAAATATTGATACATTAATTTAATTAAATTAAAAGCAATTTGATATAATATTATATATTTGACCATTTGTTTTTTTTTTTAAACTTTTATTTTAATAATATTTGGATTTGGAATAATTGTATATTTAACGATTTGTTTGAGTGCTATTGCCACAACATGATAAAAGAGTTTTCAATTGATTTTGAATTACATTGCTGGTTTGTTGTAGTAAAAAGTTACGATTTGCAAGTAGTTCTCTACTGTGTTTCAATTTTGTGGTGTCGTCCATTAGTTGACCTATAGTGGATGTCGCTCTTTGTCCAAGTGATTCCAATTCATTTATTTCTTTTTTCAACTTTTTATTCTCAGCAATTATTATTTCTCTTTCTCTCTCCAATCTTTCAACTTTAATTACTATTAAACAAATACAATATAGAGTGAATATTTATTAAAACAATAAACTAAACTTTTTGATAATACTTACATAGTTCTCTAAGTTGTATTGATAAGCCAAAGGGAGATGTAGATAATGAAGTCTCCGAAGGTTGTGAATCTATAAGTTGTCTTGTTAACTCTTGAGTTCTTCTTTTCTTGGTTTGTGAGATATCAAGTTCACCTGGACTACTTTGAGATACATTGGAACGATGAGATTGAGATTGTCCATGTTGTTGCTGTTGTTGACGTAGTTGATATTGCTGCTGTTGTTGTTGTTGAAGTTGTTGTTGTTGCTGAGCATGATTCCGGGAAGATGATTGGTCTTGTTGTGGATGTTCTTGTTGTTGATGTTGTTGTATTTGAAGTTGTTGTTGATGCTGTTGTAACTGTATATGCTGCTCAAGCAACTGATGTGGTAGTTGCTGTTGTTGTGGATTATACTGCATAAATAGTTTATCGCTACTCTTGTTGACAGCAACATGACCTGGATGTTGCGGATATATAATTCCGGTAGATGGTTTCAAAACTTTTTCATCTGCTGATTGCGATCTCTTTCTACCTCTGCCACTCGAAGGTAACATGCCTTGTTGTTGCTGCTGCTGTTGAGGTGGTATTGTAGACATCATACTATTGAATTGAGCGTTGGATTTGTGGGAGGAACCACCACTTGGGTGTTGTGGAGTAATACGTCCACTTCCACCGGCTGGTACCAGATCCTCTTCACTATGCAAGTTAATGGGAGTCTTTGAAGAAGATGAAGACGATGCCACTGATGGTAATGAATGTACTCCGCCATTGTTATCCAACATGATAAGCTTCTCACGAGTAGCATTACTATTGGATTTCTTGTTGTTGTTGTTGGTCATTACTCCGTCTCTTTGATAAGTGTTTACATGTTGATTGGTAAGTTGGACAAGACTCTCCTCTGCACCCTGATCTGACATCACCTCGTCCTCCGCTTGACCGTCTTGACTGTGTTCCTTTGTAGTGGACTTGTTAGAGTGAATCAAGAATTGCTTTAGTGTAAGCAGATCTTGATTGGATTTCGAACCATCTTCTCCACCGGCTGCCGACAATAGTTCTGGACTTTGTGTCATTGCATGGTAGACACTTGACTTTTGGTGGTGGTGGTGTGCACTTTGGTTGGAGTTAACAATGGACGGTTCGCTCTCATGATCACTTGAATTTGAATGATTGGTAGTTGAAGCTGATTTCTCAGGGTGTGGTTGTATGGGTACTGTAGGTGAGGAAGTTGGGATGACATCATCATTATTTTCAAGTTGTTGATCATTGCTACTGTTATCATTATTATCATCTTTGTATATCTGTTTTTGTTTATCTATCAATTCACTATCCTCACTATCCAACACCAAAGAATGTCGACCTGATGTATTATCTTTCGGATCGGTGATCTCTCCATTTCTGATATTTACATCTTTATCTTTACTATTTCTAATGATAAATGTAGTTTTTCCGCTGGAAACAACTCTACTATCCACAGCGGGACGAATATCATCACTATCTTGTTCATGTTCATGCTGATCATCAACATCGGAATCATCGTAATCATCTTGATTATTGTTTGTTGTTGAAGGTGTATCTGTTGAGTTGGTGGTGTTATTGTTGGCGCTGTTGTTTTGCATAGGAGTATCTGCATCACCATCATCATAGTCATCATGATTGCTATGGTTGTCATCGGGTGAATTACTACTGCCATCGCCATTGTTACTACTATTGTTGTTGTTATTATTATGATGATGGGTCGGAGTGGTGACAACGTCACCATCATGACCATTGGCATTGCTATTATTATTTCCCGATGCATTGTGAGAATCACCAACACTTCCATTTCCAGCATCACTCTTTACAGTTCCACCATCTTTTTTCTCCGCAGATTGTAATTGATGTTCGTTATCACTCTGGTCATCACTCATCAAATCATCTTTATTCAAAACTGTAATTGGTGAAGATGTAACAACACCTCCTGATTCCATTGTCAATATTTTTGTTTTTTTTTTTAAACTACAAATTTCAAGTTGAAAGGAAGGAACTTCAATATATTCTATTTCTAAATACTATATATACAATATATCTAAAATAATCTATTTTATTTATTTAATATTATTTTATTTTTCTACTGCTGCTACTCTTTTTTTTTTTATTTTTTAGTTGTTTGAAATTAAAAATAGCATATAATTAGTTATATGTTTAAATTTTAATTTCTCTGGTTTGTTTGTTTTTTTTTTTGTATATTTATTTATTATTAATTTTATTATTAAAAGAATTAATGTGGATTATTAGCCAATGTTATTTGTTGTTGTTGTTGTTGTTCTTGTTTTCTTTGTAGTTGTTGTGTTGTTTATTGTTGAAGGTGATGGATGTATGATAAGATTATAAATAAAAAAGGTTAGATTAGATTATTTTACTAAGTTGTGAAATTAATTTAAATATACATATGTAAAATAACAAAACAACCAACCACCAAACAATTTATAAAAAAAAGTATAATATCCTTATTTATTGTAGGTATCCACATATGTTACTACTATTTTTAATAAAAAAAAAAACAAAAACAAAAACACACACTCACACACATAGATAGAATTAAACATTCCATCCAATAAAATTAATTACACCCTAAAGTTCACCTAATAATTAAATTAATTTTTTTTTTGTAATCAAATACTCTACAACCCATTTAAATTGTTTAAAATAGTATTATTGTTGTTTTTCCCCTTTTCAGTAAAATTGGTAGATTTAATAAGCCAAAATTTTAAGTTTATTTTAATTTAGCTAGTGTGGTGATTCAAATTTAGCTCAAATTTGTAGAGAGAGAGATAGATATATAGAGAGAGATATCCTAGGAGAGAAAACAAAAAAGGTTTTGATTTTTATTAATTAATTAATATTAGATATTATTATTAATATTAAATGAATTAAACAAAATTAAATAGGTGGTGGGTTTGAAACCAAGAAACAATTTTAGATTGGTAGATTTGTAGATTTGTAGATTTGATTTGATTTATAAGATAACAGTTGATTGACCGTTTGCATCATAGAGGATCACTCTGCTGTCGTCCTGGAGCACTAGACGATAAGGACCTTGACCTGGTCTTCCTTTGGTGAATGTAGCCTTTCCATTTTTATCACGGATTCTAAAGTAACCATCATTTTCGATGATTGCTCGGTATGGCTTGCTTCCTTTGTGCCAGGTATGGGTAGCATCAATTGGATGATCGAATCTCTTTAGAACCAAGTTTCCATCATTTTGCATCACTAATTTGAAGATCTGATCATTCGATTGGAGATATTCACCTCTACTGCTATCAAGGAGATTTCTTCCATTGGATACCAAAATAGATCCAGTTCCATTGCCTCCATAGAAATTTCCATTCATTGGATTTCCTCCGTAAGATTGATATCCAGATGTTTGATAGATTCCACCATCATTATTTCCGTAGAGATTACCTGTAGAGGTGTATTGACCATCATAGGGATATCCATTATTTCCAACATTTCCATAGATATTTCCACTTATTTGACCGTTGTTGTATCCAGTGGTCATGTATTGTTGACCACCAGTGTAATCATAGGCATTGGTTGTTAAAGTAGTTTGACCAGTATTGTATGGATAGCTGGTGGTTGTTTGATATCCAAGTGTAGAGATCACTCCAGTGCTGTATGGCTGGTTTTGGTATTGGGTGTTATCACTTGCCAATGGTTCCTTTATAGCTTCCTCTTGAATTTTAGTAGTCATATTTTGGTTTTGTTTGGTTTTAAAATTAAATTTTTTTAGTTTAGTTTTAACAATTAGTATTTATTTTTAATTGTTTTTTTTTTGTTTAAACTTTGATGTTTTAAAATTTAATAAAAATACTTTAAACTGGTTGATATTTATAGCTTTATCCATTACTAAATTTCTCTTATTCTAAATTTGAAAGATGATGATATTTTACTATTAAGAAATTTAATGAGTAATTTATTAAAAGATTTCAGACTGCAATATTATCATAAATAAAAAATTTACGTAAATTTTATTTGTTTTTTTAAATACAGATTTAATTATCCACTTTTTTTTTTTTATCTATTAACACTCCACTATCAACGACTGGAATAGCATGCCATTTTATCTTTAAGAACTACTCTATACAAAAATAGAAATGATTATCATATTTATTTCGAAATACAATAATCCTATGTAAGAATAAATAGATCCAAGATATGTCTCTCCAATCTATAGCCGATTTGAAAATTGGGATAGAAAAAAATCAACGCCATCAGTATCGATATTTATTTAATTTAAGACCAAACAAACTATTAGATTAGAAATTACTAATATTATTTATTTTAAAATAATACAAATATTTTTATTTTTTTTCTAAAAATTATAAAATTTAAAAACAAATAATAAAATTTTTTTTTTTTACATATTAATTTTTGGGAAATTATTAAACTAATTTTAAATAAGTTTTGTGATTTAACAATATTGTAATTTTGATTGGAGAGGGGGGAGGTGTATTTGAATTAGTTGGAAATTCTTTGTTCTATTATTATTATTATTATTATTATTGAAAGTTTATGTTTTTTTTTTTTTGTTTTTTTATCTATATTCTCTAACCATGTATCTCAAGAAAATATATGCCAATGTGAGATAACCACCGATCATACCAACTAAAACATACATATCCAAGAAAAGTCTATTTGGATCGGCTCCAATCGACTCGAGGAACTCCAGTCCGTCTGCATAGGTACCTTGGGTGTTGGGTGGATTGTAGAAAACCCAGAGACCGTTGAATTCGTTTACGACTGGAATCTCGAGACCGTACGACATGAACGAACACCAAATCAAGAATTGCAAGTACTTTGGAACGGATTGTCTTGCCAGGAGGAAACCATCGAACAAGAGGAAAACAAATAGCAATAAAATGGAAATCATATTGGCAGTTCCGAAACTTGGTGAAATAGTACTGATGGCCATACACATTGCAGAGGCAGTCGATGATGTCAGCACCAAGGCAATCAAGAAATAGAGGAAATGGTCGAAACCAGGACGGAATCCAATCATGTAATAACAAATCGATCCCAAAATAATAGGTGGAATAATACGCATTGGAATGAGATCAGTTAATACTTTTGCCAAGAAATATGATGAAGTTCTATAATATCCATTTGCTCTTTCTCTAATAAATATAATTCTATCATTATAGACTATAAATAAATTATTTTAATTAGTAAAAATGTTTTTTTTTTTTTTTTTCAAAAAGAGAATAAATATATATGCATAACTTACAAAGATCTAATGATGTAATTGAACCAAATGATAACAATGAAATAATGAAAAACATTGAACCAAATCTATTTTGTGCACCTGGTTCAAGATTGGCTGGAAGTTTCCAGAATAGATAACCCAAGATGAGACCAACAGAGATATGTACAAAGTAGGTAGTACGTAATAAGAATGGATTTCTAATATAGTTGAGCAGTGAACGATGTGATACCACAAAGAATTGTGTCCAGAATGAAGTGGCATACTCTTCGACCGATTCCATGGCAGAGTTATCTTGTAGACTGCCAGAGTGGTCATTGAATACGTAGTTCAAACGATCGTAATTTGGATGGATACCCTTGTCGTTTACAGCAGAGATAATAAAATCGGCTGGATTGACACGCATCAAGAACTTTTGGTGTTCGGCATCGTCGGAGCTGAGTGAACGTGGACGTTGTTGGACAAAGTATTGGACGGATTCCGATGCCTTTCCAGAGTAGTATGGTCGTCCGTGGTGCAAGAGAATCAGATTGTCGAATTGATCAAAGATTTCAGCCGATGGCTGATGAATACTGAAAATAATGGTACGATTTCTGTTCTTGGCCAGTTGTTTCAGCAGTGACATCAACTCACTGGCGCTGTGACTGTCGAGACCGGAAGTTGGCTCGTCGAGGAACAAGATGGCCGGGTCGACCAAGAGCTCTGCGGCAATGCTGAGACGACGACGCTCACCACCAGAGATACCACGCTTCTCTGGAGTACCGATACGATTCTGTGCGATATGCGACAATCCCAACTCGGCGAGCACCGAATTGACACGTTCAATCTTCTTTTCGGGTGGCATCGACTCTGAGAGTTTCAACATGGCTGTGTAGTGGAGATGTTCGAAGCAAGTAAGTGTACCAATCATGATATCCTCTTGAGTGACGTAACCACTGATTCTCTTGAAGTTTCTGGCCATTGGCACACCGTTGACCAGCAGCTCACCATTGATCTCACCGACATTCTTTCGACCTGAGAGAATATCGAGGAGCGATGTCTTACCGGAACCCGAGAGACCCATGAGTGCTGTGAGTTGTCCTGGATAGCAAGTACCGCTAACATTGTCGAGGATCGTAGTGACTTTGGGTGGTTTCGAACTGAACCACTTGTTCTCTGTGACGACACAGCTGATGTTGTTGAATGACAGCTCGCAGTTGATGTGTACATCGTTGGTTGGCTTTCTTCTTTCTTTCTGTGAGAAGAAGATGTAGAGTCCAACGCCAATGAGGAATGCTGTTCCCACGACGGAACCACCACTCACCAAGTAGGAGAACATCTTGGGGTTCTGTGCGGGAACGGTAAGGATAGTGGGTGGCGAGTGACACTCACCGGCTTTGCAAGCCAGTGGAATGGGAGGCAAGATATTCTGAATAAAACTCTGAGCAAATGTGCAATTTCCGTCCATTGAACATTCGAATGACGACGGTCCAGTCACCTGGTCGATAATACCGTTGAGGAACAGACCGCAGTAGGTTGTGCACTGACAGGTGGTGTTGGCGCACTTGACATTCTGCGAGAATCCAACGCCATACTCAATGTTACACTCAACGAAATCACAAGAGAAATAGAGAGGATCACCGGTGATCTTGTAGTAGAGATTCATTGAGCATGTACCAGACTCGGTGTCATAGGAAGGTCCGGTGTTGTTGCCGATAGTGACGTTCGGGAAGTTGCAGCTGAGCGATGCTGTAGCGGTGGAGTTGTTGAGATCGCCATTGACCTCGGGCGAAGTGACGACGCAACTGTACGACTTCTCCTGGTAGATATAGATGGTGTTGTCGCACACGCCCGTCTCTGGACACGACTCGTCCTTGGTGCAGACGGTGCACTCCAGTCCGGTGAAGGTGTCGGGACACACGCAGTAACGTGGATAGCCAGAGAGATAGGCCGGTGGACAGAATCTACCGCTGTTGCACGGCATCTTGTCCCAGACGTGGTCGGGATTGTTGTTGTACTGACACTCGTCGCCATAGTAGAGCGGATTGCATCCACACGACCACGTACCGTTGCCATTCTCCAGACAGTTACCCTGACCCCACATAGAATAGCAATCGTAGACACCGCACTCGCTAGCAGTATTATTAAAGATAAAGGTGGTCTCTGAGCATCTCTCGCCATAGTATGGCACTTCACTTGACGATGCCGATGCAGAACCCAACAGATCCTCTTTATAGCTATATGGATTCTCACGAATCTGAGTCATTGGTGAATCTTGTAGCAGTTCATAGATCGATTGTACCTGATATTGCTTACTCTCCACAAACCATTTGTTGCCAAAACAACATAAAAATAGTAACACCAACATCATCGTCGATGTTAAACTATTTTTTATATTCATTATTTACTATTATAAATAAAACTAATAACTAAATATAATTTTAAAACTCTCTATATTTATATATCTATTCTTAAAAATACTTGTATCTACTTTTAAAAGTATATTATAATTTTAAATGAAAAAAAAAAACTAAATTAAAAAAAATTAATAATATTGAAAAAAAAGAAATAATGTAAATGTAAACTTATTGTTGATTATATTTATTGTAGATTACTTTACTTTTATATATATATATAAATAAAATTAAACAAATAAATATTTTTAAATGAATTAAATAAAAAAAATCAAAAAATTAATAAAAACTAAAATATTTTATTTAATTTAAAAAAAAAAGCAAAAAAAACCCCTAAAAAGTAAAGATTTTTAATAATTTTTAAATGTTTGCAGAGTCGTATTAAATTTATTAAACGACAATATTAATAAACTTATATATGTCTTAAAAATGATAAATTAAATCAATCATCTGGATAACAAAAAATACTCATAAATAAATATTTGTAAACCAGTATTTTATCTATCTTTTGCTTTTTTTTTTAATGTTTTTTTTTTTGTGGTTAATTTCCGAACTTTAACCGTTTTTGAAATTGTTTACTCTTATTTTTTTTTAAGTATAAAATTAAATTAATGGTCAATTTTAAATTTAAACTAAACTTTATAAATGTAGCCCGATGTAAATAAGGATAATAACATCAATTATTTATTTTTAATGATGACAAAAGTTAAATCAACTTTTATATTCGTTTGGTTGGTTTGGTTTGTGTGTTGATTTGTTGTTTTAATGTATAATGAATCTTTTAATTATCAATTGCCTAAATTTATATTAATCTATTTTGAAGGTGATTGATCGTTGTTTGGTGAAAATGATAACACTCTATTCTGTTTGGTAAAGGTTGTTGATCCTGTTCCTGTTGTTGTTGTAGTAGTTGTTACCACTTTATGAAAAAAAAAAAAAAAAAATGAAATGTTAATATCGATAAATCTTAAAAAATAATAAAGGTGATTACAATTGAATAATTCTTTTTATTAATTATTATATTTGTTATTATTATTATTATTATTATCATTATTAATTATTATTTTAATAAAAATGATCTTCAACATGATATGATTATATTATATAAAAAAAAAATGTAAAAATAAAGTATAAAAAAATTGTTGTTGTTGTTGTTGTTTAAAAATGTGTAGTATGTATGCATGTATTTGTTTGTTTGTATGTTTGTTGATGTATGTATAGTAATGTAGAGTTGGAAGGTAGGTTTTTAGTTTGGTATTATATACATATATAACAGATTGGTATAGTTTGGTATAGTTTGGTTTGGTTGATTATTTACTTTCTTCTTTACCGGCAACTGGCTTTGATTTGTCAGATGTCGAAATGGATGGATTTGCAGAGGAATTGGCAACGGTTGTGTTTCCTTTGTCAGTTATCATTGATAATTCCTATACGTTGTATATTTTGTTGATTTGTAAAGATGTAATAGAGAGGAAGTGAAGGGAAGTGAAGAGAAGAGAATAGTATAATATAAAATAATATAGATAAAAGTTTGAATATAAATGATTTTGAGTTAGAATCATTCATTGCGCAGGTTACAGTTATCTGTTGGCATATTCATTGCACTAGTTCATCATCGTTTTTTTTTAAATTACCTTTTTAGTGCTGCTGTTATTGTTGTTGTTGTTATTGTTATTGTTGTTCTCTTCATTTGGTGATAAATGATACATTGGTGGTTTCTCTCTCAACTAAAATCATACATTATTATTATTCTAAAGTTAATATAAATGCAATCCAACTAATAATAATTATACAAACCTTTCTGATGATGACCCAATCAAACATATAGTCATATTTAAAACCTTCTCTAACAAACATTTCACGTAACAACTTTCTAAGATATAAATAATCTGGTTTATCTTCGAATCTGAGATATCTTGTATAATTTAAAAATGAATGGAATTCGGCTATTGGTTGAGAGAGGATGATACTATTAGTATTGATTAAAACAAGTTAGGCTTTTAAATATTTAAACATACATGGGAAACCTTGACACAATGCTTCTAAATCAGTGTGTGCTTTACGATCGCAAATCTTTTCGTATTTCTCACGCTTGGTGTATGCTTTCAATCCTTGCCATGGTAAGGAACCTCTGTTAAAGTACATCAAGACGTAACCCAGTGATTCGAGATCGTCACGTCGCGACTGCTCGATACCCTGATGGGTGTTGAGCGATGCGTATCTGGCGGTACCAGTGAGATTCTTGTTCTCACGGTACGATATATGCTGATGAGTTCTTGGATCTCTGTATCGCTTTGCCAATCCAAAATCGATCAAGTTGACTACGTGTCCACGCTTACCTACACCCATCAAAAAGTTATCAGGTTTGATGTCTCTATGAATGAAGTTATTGGCATGAATGAATTCGATTCTTCTAATCTATAAACATACATATAGAATAAAATAAAATAAAATAAAATAGTAAGTATTTTGTTAGATAAATTTATCTTTCTTTTTCTTTTTCTTTTTTTTTTTTGCAAACTTACCATTTGATCACCTAACATCAATACAGTTTTCAAAGAGAACTTTCTTCCACAGTAGTTAAAGAGATCTTCCAAACTTGGTCCCAAAAGATCCATAACCATTATATTGTAGTCACCGTCGAATCCAAACCATTTCACAGATGGAATACCGACTATAGATTGTTATAAGTGATGATATTGTGTTAATATATACTATGACTATTAACATAACATGATATATAAATCATTGGTTGATTGATTGATTGATTGATTGATTTATCAATCAAAATATAATAATAATAACATACTTCCACCAGCAAATATTTTGTATAATTTCGATTCAAACAATAATTGTGGATGTACTGCTTTTTGTGGTTCCTGTTTTATTTATTAATTTCATTCAATTATTCAATTATTCATTCAGTTAGTTAGTTAGTTAGCTACTTGATTGTTACAATGATAATATTAACAACTTACCAGTTTAATTGCAACTTCTTCATTTGTAACAATGTTGGTTCCAAGGTAGATCTCACCGAATGATCCACCACCAATCTTTCTACCGATTCTATATTTTCCTGCGATCTTAAAATCCATTATATTTGTTTACTCGATTGTTCACTTGTTATCTTTGAGATATATAAATATATATAATATAGTTATATTAATATAATAGATATATTTATATATATCTATCGTTTATCTTGTTTTTTTTAACTGTTTCTTATCTAAATTTTAATTATTATTTCTACTTCTTACTACTACTATATACACTTTTGAATAATACAATACAATGTTCTTTTTTTTTTTTGAAAAAAAACAAACAAGTAAATTTAATAAAAAAAAAAAAACGAAATTAAAAATAAAAAAATATAAAAAACAAAACTTTTTTATCTATCTAATTATTGTTATTGTTATTAAAAAACTTTGTTGATTGAGAAATAAACTGATTGATTGATTGTTATATAAAATGAATAATATGTTATAAATCAAATAAACTATTATTTATGTTTTTTTTTTTGGGTATGATGTTGTTTTTTTTTTTTCTTTTTTTTTTAAACCTACTTTTTTTTAATTAACAAAAGAATTTAGGTTTTTTTTTTAAAAAAAAAAACATTGGTGATTAAGTTTGATTCGCAAAGTTTGTAAGATTATTATTATAAGAAAGAAAAGAAGGAATAGTTACATTTCAACTCTTTTAAAATACTACAAAATAAATCTTTTTTTTACTTTAAAGATTAATCAAACTTTTGAATAATTGTCATGTGGCGGTAACAATGATCCTATATAAACAGATATAATGATGTATCAAAGAGATGTTTCTTGCTTTGAAAATGTGTCGATTTTTATTGTCAAGAATTCGAGTTTGTAAAATGTGTTAGACTTTCCTCAAGAGGAAAAGTATACTTTTTTCAACAAAATAATGTGGGTATTAATTAAATTCACTGACATGTGCGTCATAGATGCCTATGATCAAGAGGAGTTTGTTGATATGGATATAATTATTGAAATATTTATTGAAGCAAGAATTCCAATATCCGAAACATTCTACCCAGCTATAAGATAACAGATTAGGTTCTTTTTATTTTCTTCACCATATTGAAAAAAAATCCCTGTTTATAGGTAAAATACTAAAAAATTGCGAAGTTTTGATTCGATATCATCCAAGCTCGATTAGCTCAGTCGGCAGAGCGTGGTGCTAATAACGCCACGGTCGCAGGTTCGATCCCTGCATCGAGCAAGAATCTTCTTATAAAAACCTATGTCCGCATGCGTACTAGCTAAAATTTTGAACAATCTTCAATTTTAAACACCTCTTGTTTGGCTTCAAAGCAGTGTCTCCATCTATATTTTTAAGTAACCTTCAATCTAAATTTTCTGAGTAATCGATATAAAGAAAAAATATTGTTAATTATACCAAAAACACAAGAAATAAACACTAAAGAATATTAATCTTTCTAATATTCTTTGGTTTCTTTCTTTCTTCATCCCTTTTAAATCTCCTATATTCTTCTTAAAATTTAGATTGATTTGATAATTTACTTTCTATAGCTACACTTATGATAATATACTTCACTACATATTCATTGAAAGACAAGAAAACAAGAAGCAGGAAAAAGGTGTCAACTTTCATGTTCTTCTAGCATTTCAAATTCTTTTTTTCTACAATCACTCTCGAGAATGGTAACACTTGGACTGATTATTAAAAATAAAATTGTATTTGACATTATTGATAACTTTAATTTTTAAATTTTTAATCGATTTTTACAGTAAAAAATTACAATATTTTTGCCATTTAGAACCAAACTTAAAGAATAGTAAATTTCTTTTATAGATTAATTTATTAAATATATTAATATATTTACAAAATTACAAGTAAGTAGTATTAAAATATACAATATAAATATATAAAAATAAAATAAAGTATAAAAAAAAGTAAAGAAAATAGTTTTAATTTTTTTTGTTAATTTTGGTGGCAAGTCTGATGCATATTTATTAATTAAAATAATTTAATGATTCTTTAATAGTGCTTAGTAAACTATTTTCTGAAATAATATAGGTTCTATCTCCAATTGATCTAAAAAATTATGAATTATAAAGAAAATGTATATAACTAAATAAGGTATATTAGAAGAAGAGAAAATTTTAGAAATTAAATGATAATATTAATACTCAATCTATTTTTTTCCTGGTAGAGTTTGCTATCTAAACAATCATAAGAGGATTTATTTACAATGTTTCAACAATAATATCTACAGGGGGTATGATAGAGATAGAAGTTAAAATTTAATTTTATATATTTACCATTCAATAATAATTGTATATTCTTAATAGAATCAAGATAATAAATTACTTTTTTTAATAGTAATTATTGAAATAACCCATCGATAGTATCTGGTGCAATCATCTCCAATTCTTCGAGAATGACATTCATAAATTTTTCTATCTATAACCATTCCTCTTCCTTTGAGTATCGCCAATAAGATGGGGGTGTATTATCAAATATAGAGATGGATTTCTAAGCGAAATAAAAGGTACTCTCGAGTAGGATCATTACGCAGAGATATTAGAGTTGGATACAACCATTCACTCAACTATGGGTTCGCTAGAGCTAACTACATACTGGCAATGGATAGCTGCTCCACAAGGCTATGTCAGTGGTCACTTATATGATCAAAAACAGAATCAGATATTTATATCTGCCGTACAACTCACTAGACATCAATAATATTGAAATCTTCCTCCAAGTGTCAGAAATAATTTTTACTCTAAATGAAGTTTTATTGGATATGGATTATTTGTTGGATTAGAAAGATTTCACTATTCATTTTTTATTATTTAAAGATTCTTAAAAAATATATATGTATTTGATTTTTATAGATTAAGGAAGAAATGAATTGAAATTCGTGGAAATATATTCTTTGAAATAAAAAAGATATTCATGAACAAGGATATCATTTTTATTGGAAATAGTCTGTATCGCAATAGATAATTGTAATACAGAACAAATATTAGTCAATATCAATAGAAAATAGTATTAGATGAATTTAAAAATACATTTTCCATCTATAAAATAAATAGAATAATATGCTCTTAAAAAATAATAAAAAAAGGTATGAAAGAGGATTGAATTAGATCAAAGCTAATTATTCATCAATAATCAAATATTAGTTACTTGTTGTTATCTTGATCATATTTATAATAAATATTTCATCTCATAACCGAATTTTGTGATTGTGGTGATCTTGATCAAAGGTATATATTTTACTAATCAAAATCAAAGTTAGTAAAATTTCTATTGGAATTTTGATTAGGAAATTTTATTGAGGTATTAATTAGTAAAACTAAAATAATTTTTACTTAATACTATAATAAAGATTAAATACTATTGTTAATAATAACACTTTTTAAGTGAATATTATGAAAACAAGATTCTCTTCGATTCCCTCCCTTAGAATTGAAGGATATTTTAACAAAACAAAATTTCATTTTATTTAAGTTTTACTTAAGATATATATCTTTTAGAATACATTGGGTATAAAATAAAATAACAAAAGATATTAAAGTATTATATAAATTCAATAAAATATAAAGAATAAAATGATTTGTCAATTCTTTAGAATCCTACAACAAATAAAGTATGCATTTCCAATGAAACTTGATTTAACAATTTCATGTGATTGCACTTAATGATAAAACAAAATTCAAATATTTTTCATTTCTTCTAGTGTAAAATCACTATTAATTTTTGAATTTTTTTATCTATTTAATACTATTGTATCATTAATTATCAACCCAAGTCCAACATTAATCATTCTAAGGAGTGATTGTAGAAAAAATGAATTTGAAATGCTAGAAGAACATGAAAGTTGACACCTTTTTCCTGCTTCTTGTTTTCTTGTCTTTCAATGAATATGTAGTGAAGTATATTATCATAAGTGTAGCTATAGAAAGCAAATTATCAAATCAATCTAAATTTTAATAAGACTATAGGAGATTTAATAGGGATGAAGAAAGAAAGAAACCAAAGAATATTAGAAAGATTAATATTCTTTAGTGTTTATTTCTTGTGTTTTTGGTATAATTAACAATATTTTTTCTTTATATCGATTACTCAGAAAATTTAGATTGAAGGTTACTTAAAAATGTCGATGGAGACACTGCATTGAAGCCAAACAAGAGGCGTTTAAAATTGAAGATTGATCAAAATTTTAGCTAGTTCGCATGCGGACAAAGGGTATTAGAAAAAGATTCTTGCTCGATGCAGGGATCGAACCTGCGACCGTGGCGTTATTAGCACCACGCTCTGCCGACTGAGCTAATCGAGCTTGGATGATACCAATTCTAGAACTTCGCAATTTATTTCAAGTTTTTTTTTACTATTTTACCTCTAATCACATACAATTCTCTTTATTACCTATTATTATCAATTTAAATGGCAGCAACACCAGGCAGTGGTAATAGGTCTGATCTTCGATAAAGTTCATCATACATATACATTTTCGCATCTATGTTAAAAAATACAATCTATTACTCATATCCAATCGTTGTTAAATCTATCGTGTGATTTACGCCTTCGTCCTTAAAAGTTATAAAAAACTTAATTAGTAATGTTAAAAAAAAATAATGTTTAAAAAATGTCATATCCACAGTTGTAATAAGACATAGTACTACCACATGTGACTTACGTAAAGATGTGAATTTATATTGATAATTTTCTGTTCCCTACTGTTTGTATTTACATGTAAATAGTTATAATATCCATTTAACTAGAAAATAGCTATCCATAACAGTTGTATTGAAAAAAACAGCTACTCAACATAAAAAAAAAAACAGATATCTGAACAACTATTTTTGCAAAAACCACCAAAACAGACATTCCTACCACCACCTGATTTTCCCTGGTTTATCATTCAATTAATGGAATCAATTGTAAAGAGACATTCATATAAAATGAAAATCAAGAATTTAAAATACAACAATAACGAAAATGATCATTAGTCACAACAATTTTCATTCTATTTATTCTGTAATACTAAATAAATCATTCTTTGTATTAAAAAAAAAACAAATAAGAGATATATAGATTTTTAATAAAAATTTAATAAAATAAAAATAAATATGAGTCATCACCATCACCACCATCACTCTGATCATTGTTCTTGTTGTCATCATAAAGAACATAAAGAACATAAAGAGCACAAGGAACATAAAGATAAACACAAGAAAGATCCAGTTACCAAATTCTTTGAGAAGTTTATAGATGAATGTAATCAAGCTAGAACTCATAACAAAGATAAGGATAAACATCATCATAAAGATCATCATAAAGATCATCATAAAGACCACCATCATAAAGAGCATCATCATCATAAGGAGCATCACCATCACACAACAACACCATCTCATCATGTAACAGTAACCTATCATACACCAGCTCCAACACCAGCACCACCACCAGCACCACCTCCCAAAACAACCTACACTACACACTCCACAACAAGTCATCATAGCAGTGGTGGTAGTGGTGGTGTAGGATTTTCACCGAAATGGACACCACTCTCACAACAATCACATGGTAGTAGTAGTAGTAGCCATCATCATTCATCTTCTCCGAGTCATGGCCATGGTCATCATCATAGTGGAAGTGGAAGTGGAAGTGGAGGTAGTAGTCTTACTGTCTCATCCAAGAAATGGGCACCAGTAGAAAGTGGTCACCACTCAAAACCAACCACGTCAACAGCGACTGTCAGCTATAGTACACAGAAACCTACAACCATCACTGCGAGCACCACCTATAAACCAGTGACAATAGAATCGTCGTCGTCATCAAGTCATCATCATCATCATCACGGTCATCACCATCATCATACCCCCAATTTTTGTCCACACTGTGGTAACAGACCAACGCCTCTTTCAAAATTCTGTTCTACTTGCGGACATAAATTTCATTAGCTAATCATACACAATTCCCAATACTATACTATATTATCAAAACAAACAAACCAACCAACTATCATCTTAAAATAATAATAATAATTATTAATATAACCACGTACTTAAAAGCAGCCTATTATTAAATTTGGAAAACTCCATAAACAGTATTATTAGGTCGGCGGTATTGTTTGTTATAAAAGAATATAATAAAAAAACCATTTTTGATTTGTTGTTCTTAATTAATAAAATATGAATTGTAATTTTACCAACAATGGTAATTAATTAATTTATAACTGAAACAATGACATTACGTTATTTTAAAAATCTTTCAAGCAACAACATCTTTGCAAAAAAAAAAATCATCGAAAATGTCAAATGACGCAAATAAACACCACCCAAAAACCGATTTTTTTGTTTTTTGTTTTTTTTATTTTTCAAAAATAAATGGTTTTGTTTGATTCTAAAGTGAATCGATTTGAGGAGTTGTTCAAAACAACAAATATATTCTTATTTTCTGGCTCATTTATTTCAAATCGACATTATTACAAACAAACTTGAATAATCATTATAAAAAAAAAAGGTTTTTTTTTGAGCTCAAAAAAAAAAAAAACAAATCTACAACAATGTTTGTAATATCAATCCTTACTAGGTATAGTCATTGTATTAATAATTAATTTCGTATTGTATCAAAAACAAACAATATTCATTTATTTTTAAAGATTTACTAATTATATTATATCTCATTTTTATTCACAGAAAAGTAGATATATTAGAAATGGCCCACCAGGACCAATACCACTTCCAATGTAAATTTTTTTGTTTTCATTCTTTGAAATGTTAATGTTTTTTTTTTTTAATTTTTTTGATAAATTTCTTAAACTATATATTAAACATTTACTTTAATATAATAATTTATAGTATAGGTAATTTACATCAAGTTGGAAATGTAAAGCCACAAGAACAATTAGATATATTATATAAGAAGTATGGTCGTATCTTTGGTATTTGGATGGGATCTATCTATACTATCGTTCTTAATGAACCAGAGATAATTCATACTGCCTTCACTACACAGGCATCGAATTTCGTAGATCGCTATCTCACTCCGTCGCTTTTGTTCATTGGTGGTGATAAGGATCTTAGTTTTACAAACAGTGTGATGTGGAAGAAGCTTCGTAGTTTCTATGGTAATGCAATGACCAAAGCAAGAGTTTTGAAGCTAGAAGAGATATTCCTAAATCAAATCGATAAGCTATCGGATGTTTTAAAGTGTGAATTAAAACAAGGTTCTCCTGTATGTTTATTTTTTTAACAAACTAACAATTTATTAATTAGTTTATAATGACTAATAACTTATAATTTAAATAGATTGATATTAAAGGATATATTAGAAAAGTATCATTCAATATTATGTTCCAATTTATGTTTTCAACAGAGATTAGCTATGATCAATCAAAGATGTTGGAAGATGAAAAGGATATCATGCATAACAGTGAGACGTTGGTAAAATTGATGGCACAAGGTAATCCAGGTGATTTTATACCTTGGATGAGACCATTCTGTAATGTAAGATTAGAAATCATTCTTTGATGGTTGACTAATCAATTTACTAATCTACTGGTTTATTTAGTTTGATGAAATGGAAAAAGTGGTAGATGGTATATTAGATTTTTCAAGAAAGAGATTAATTGAACACAAGAGAACTTATGACAGTAAAAAGTTTGTATTATTGAACAAAGATGATTTTTATCAATTATTTATATTAATATATTTCTAAAATACATGTATATTTATATAGTCCAAGAGATTTTATAGATTTATTTTTAAATGAAATTGAAAATGGTGGAAATGAATATTTCGATAGTGATTGTATTGTTAGAAATTGTTTGGATTTATTAGTTGCTGGAAGTAAGTAAAATTAATTAACAAAAGTATTTAAAGTGAAGAATATTTACAATCATTTATTGTTTTAACTATAGCTGATACAAATACAATTACATTACAATGGTTTATTTTATTGATGACAAATAGACCAGATTGTCAAGAGAGAATATATAATGAAATTAAAAATAATACCGAACCTGGCGTACCAATAGATTTCACTATGAGAACCAAGTTACCATTGCTTCAAAGTGCCATTAAAGAGAGCATGAGATTGAAACCAACTTCACCATTGGGTCTACCACATCAAGTTTCTGAAGATACAACTCTAGATGGTTATTTTATACCCAAAGGTGTATGTATACAGATAGATAGTTTACCATTTATAGCTAGCTATTAACATTGATAATTTTTTAAAACAAAAACTAAACAAAACAAAAACAAAAATAAAAACAAAAACAATAGACACAAGTTATAGGTAATGCATATTCAGCTTGTTTATCAGAGAGTGTTTGGGAGAATGCAAACGAGTTTGATCCAGCTAGATTTTTAAATGACGATAGAGCACCGATAACCTTTGGAAATGGACTAAGACGTTGTGTTGGAATCAATTTTGCAGAACTCTCTATTTTCATCATTTTAGCAAATCTATTTAAAACATTTAAATTTATAGCGCCAATCGATCAAAAAATAGATGAAATACCAAGTAAGTCTTTTATTTTGTATCAAAAACAACAAAAAATAGTCAATTCTAATCATTTTTAATCAATTTCTATAGGACCAGGATTAATTTTAGAACCACCCAATTTTAATATTAGAATTGAACTAAGATAAATAAGAATAAATAGATAAATCGATAGATAGATATATTATATAAAAGATTTTGATTTTAATTAATAGGTTCAATATTTCTCAAGAATCGATTTTTTTGAAAAATTTCTATTTTTATTTTTTTCTTTTTTTTAATCTTTAATTTAACAAGTTTTAAAACTACAAGAAATTGCTACTTTTCAAACAAACAAATAATTATGTATTTATAATTTATTTATTATTATTATATAGTTTATTTATTTAAGATAATAGCTATAATCTAACGATTATAGTTTATTTTTTATAAAGCAAAAAATGAAAGAAAATAATACCGTCAAAGAACAGTTAAATTTTAATAAAATGTACAAGAATGACAAGTATGTGTTAGAATTTAGTTTTTATGATTATGATTTATGAATAATATATGATATTATATTTCAGTTTGTTAATGTAGTTGATTGATTGATTTGTGATTCTATTATATTATTCATTTTTAAAAACAAACAAAGTACTCATAAATCATTAATAATCAAAAAAACTATATAGTCATAGTAAATCGACAGAACCAGACCCTGTGCAGGCACCCACTAAACAAGAGATGAGAGAATACTATAAGATGTTAAAGAATAAGAAACCGAAACACAAACAGACTCACCAAGCCAAGAATCAAGATACTCATTGGTCATACTCTTAAGAATCATCAAAATAACAGCAACAACAACAACAACACAAAAATGTAATAATATTAAGATTAATCTTCACACCTGAATAGCAATACAATAACAATAATATATATCGAAAACATTCACAAAATAGCATAAAACTTTGCTTTTCACCAACCAAACTTTAAAATAATAATAATAATAATAAGTATCATTAATTTTTGCACAAAAAAAAAAACATTTGATTATAAAATAATAATTTGTTATTCATCAGTAATAACATTATAATAGTACTATAATAAATATAAATATTTTCATTACTTTCATTTATGTTTATATCTTTTTTGAGATTTGTGTCACAAAGAAAGTTTGAGTAAGTTCGCGCGTTTTTGTTTGTGAGAAAAATTGTGAACTATCATTTTATTCTTTATTTTTTTGTTAATTAGCGATAGACAAAAATAAGATATATATAGATATTTATTATTAGTACAAGTTTTAATAAATATAAATATCATATTTTATAATTAATTTCTTCAAAAATAGATAAGAAAATGGATGAGGATGATATATTACAAGGTGACTCTAGACATCAAATCAGAAAAAACAGAGCCTCAACACCCTCTCAAAAATTGGTACCAATAGTCTCAACACCACCCACCACCAATACAAAAGGTAAAAAAAAGATGACTCAACAGTTCAACTAGTTTAACTATTTATTGTTGTTTAAATAAAACAGAGACATTAAGATACTAATTATTAATGTTAAAACAATAATAGGTGACAATGGAGGTAGCACTGGTAGTTCAATAAAGAAGAGAAATTCTGTTGGTGCTATTAAGAGTAATGGAGGTGGAACTACAACTAGTAGTAATAATAATAATACAGTTACACCAACACCAGTTAAGAGAAAATCAATTAAAACTGATAAACAAAATGATGCAACAACTACAACTACAACTACAACTACATCTAAAACATCAACAGCAGCAGCAACAAGTGGCAACAACAACAACAACAACAACAACAATAATAATAATACAAAGCTTGAAAAAGATAATGACATACCGACTAGAAGAAGAACAAAATCATTGGGTGGTGCAATAGTACCAAAAGTTAAAGAAGAGAGTAACCCTGAAAGTAAATCAAGTAAAGCAGTTCCAAGTATATTACCTACATATCCATCTATCTCTGCTTCAATCGCTGCTTCCAATCCAACAACTAAAACATCAGCAACATCAACAACATCCACAGCAGCACCAATAACAACAGCAGTAGCAGCACCACCAAATCCATCACAGAAAAGAAAATCAACTGATAAAGATGTTAATATATTCCAAGCAGATAGATATACAAAGAACAAAGAGCAAGAGATATTAGTAAAGAAAGAAAAGGAGAAGGAGAAGGAGGAAGTTCCAAAGAAAAAGAAGAGATATTCAACTGCCGGTGTGATGACTCAGTTTGAGAAGGAGAGAAAAGCAGAGTTGGAGCTGGAGGAGGCAAAGGAGAGAGAAAGATTGGCAGAGTTGGAGAGACAGAGGAAGGCTAGAGAGATAGAGGAAGAGTTGGCTAGACAGAGAGAGCAGAAGGAGAGAGAACTCGAAGCTGGTCGTCAAGCACGTCTCGCCAAGTTAAAGATGCCAAAACCAAATACAACAACAACAACCACCACATCCACTACAATTGGTAGTGGCAGTGGAATTAGTGTACCAAAGTTACAACATGTCTATCCAAAAACACCTGGACCACCAGCAGTACCAACAAACGTTGGATTCCAATACAACGACTATCCAACCGCCAAACAACCACCACTGTTCACCAATCCTTCAACAACCAACCACATTCAATTCGATACAGAAGATATTGTATTTGATGAAGATGATTCTGCACAACAACAACAACAGGAGATAGATGAATTCGAATTTGATATGAGTGATAGCAGTATTAGCAGTGTTGATTATAGTGATAGTGATGCTGGTGATGTGGAGGAAGTTTTACCAACAAAACAAAACAAATTACAACAACAACAAAAACAACAACAACTACAACAGCAACAGCAACAACTTAAACAATTATTATTAAAGAAACAACAAGAACAACAACAACAGCAACAGCAGCAACAACAAAGCAAACCAAAGATCGAGGAAGAACAAAGTTTTTCAAGTTATTTCTTGGTTTTCATTACATTTAGTATGTGGGCATTGTTATTATTCATTCTAGCTAGATTTTATTACCGATTCAATGATATCAAGTATTGTGATAGTGACGCACTTCCTACACGGCTACCGAATGGCAAGTACAGTTGTGTGGTCTGTCCGGATCGTGGAATCTGTTTCAACGATCATTTCTACTCGTGTGCCGAAGGCTATGTCAAGAGTGGACAGTCGTGTATTGTCGATCCTTCTCGTGTCGATGCGATCGTAAACGTTTTCAACAATGTCGACTTGGTGCTGCGTGACTACAAGGGTCGCTACGAGTGTGGCGTCGCCAAGTCGTTTGAGATGCCGGCAGCCCAGCTCGAAGAGGAGTTCAACTCTCGCTACTGGATCAAGAACGAACTGGTGCGCACTGCCTACGCCAAGCTGATAGAGTTGATCACCGACCGCACCGTTGACACCACCGATCTCGGAGTGGATCGCTCGATCGTGTCGAGCGTGCACTACACCTACGACGCCGCCACCAAGCAATTCAGTTTCTACACTGCCAACGAAGCGAATCGTCCTCTCTGGTGTCAGACTTACTTCACACTGAAACAAATCCTACTTGCTTACCTGCCCGTGCTCATCGGTGTGTTCACCGTCTATGTGTTGTACCGCTACTTCCGTCATCGTCAAATCAAACGTCAAGAAGAGTCGATCATCGTCGACAACATAGCCAACGAGATCGTTCGTCTCTTAAAACTACAGAGTCAGATGCAAGATGAACCATGGCTATCAGAGATCATGTTGAAAGAAGAGATCATAGGTGAGGATAGATCATCAAATACATTAAGACTATGGGATTTAGTAAGTTATATCATATATCAATTCATTTTTAGATAATAAACTAATAATATATTAATCATTTGAAAGGCAAAAGAAAAGGTAGTTTCATCAAATAAAATATTGAATACACCTAGATTTGTATATGGAGAGTCACAAGATACTTTTGAATACTCAAGTACCGGTGTCTTTAAGGAATCAACAACACCAAAGAAATCTTCAAGAAGCAACTCTACTTCAAAAGCATCAACACAAGGTAATGACGATGATGATAATACTAATGATAAAAGCAATATAGACAACGCTTGGCGTTAATAACTAAATTATTTCAATTAATAAATAAATCAAAACTTGAAACGAATACAAAAATGATCGTACTTTACAACTTTATTTACATGTATTTTATTTTAATCATTGTTTATTATCACTATCATTCTTTATTATTATATTATCGCTATTATTATTATTATTTATATTGTTTTTCTTTTTTAATTTCTTTTGTTTATTGTTTTCTCTATGTTTATTTGTTTGAAATCTTTTTACAGTATTACAATTGTTACATTTCAATGTTATATGTGATTCTCTATGATCTATAGTGAAATATAATTTATTAAAATCTTTTAAATCTAATAGTAATGATATATATTATTTACCTTTTATTCTAACGGTTGATGAAACACCAGGTACCATTAGCGATGAACACTTCTTGCAAATGGTTTTCTTTAATCTACTATTCATTCTTATTACTCCTCTTCTTGAGATCTGTTTAATTACATTACAATAGAAGCTTGATAAATTATTGTTTCCATCTGAAACCACTTTATTATTATTATTATTATCATCACTATTATCTATTTGCTCTTCAATAACACCACTGCTGCTGTTGTTATCATCATTATTGATATTGGTACTATTCATTCTATTTGAATTGGTTTGTTTCATTAGATATGCAGCTTGATAAAGAAAGTTCATTCTTTTATATACATCAATATTCTTTAATTTAGATTTATCTGACATCTTTATATTTGTTTGTAGTTAGGTTAATTAGGAAACAAACAAACTAGTTATATCATTTGTAGTTTTAATAACTGCAAAAGTTTTCGGTTGTTTTGCAAAATATTATTGATCATTCGATTTCATTATTGCAATGATCTTACAATATCTTTACATAACTATATTTATTATTTTTATTACTAAAAGTTTAATAATTAAATTTATATTTATATCATTATTCACACGCATTGGGCTTTTTTGGTCAAAGTTACTAATTATCATGATTTTTCTAAACCCATCAATGATTTAGTGGGATATAGAAGGTGGTCGGACCAAATTAAATTTTCTCTTTTTGATGAACAAGGAACATTTCTCTTTTAATAAATCAAGATAAAAGTTAAAGAGAACTTATTTAGAATCAAATGTGTAATTTTATTTTATGCCTCCCCAAAAATATACTCGTGAAAGGCTCATGATCAGAATACTCTCAGTCTCTTTCATCTCTTTGTTGTCCGATGAAAAAAAGAAACAAATAATAGCAGAGATAATTAAAGTACTTGACCGATATCCAGAGGCATCCCAACCTTCTTTTGAATTCCCTTATATGCTTAAATAAGACCACATTGCATTATTTTTGTTATTACTAAATAGTGTAAAAATTAAAATGATTTAATATCTTTATTCTGTCATGTATTGGGCTGTGATTGGTTAAAGGTTAACCTAATCATGATTCAAACATGCAACAAATATGATTTTCGCAAATGATTTGGTGGGATTTTTAAGTGTGGTTGGGCCAAATCCCGATTAATTTATTTTTAATTTAAATAATTAAAATTCATAAAAATCTTTAAAAGTGAACCAGATTTTTCATTAATTAAAAAAAATAATTCAACATAAAAGTGAAGTGTATATATATTTATTCTAAATATAAATAATGACAAATACAGCTAATGAAATTCATCCAACAGCAAAAGGATATCATAATGTAGAGACTACAAATAACTATTTAAAAGGAAGACCTACTCTTCCTTTGGAAACAATCGACTACATTAGAAACAACATTAAATTGACTGCAGACTCAAAGATTCTTGATTTAGCAGCTGGTACTGGGAAGTTCACTCAGTTACTTGCAGACCACGGTGGTTTCAACGATATCATTGCAGTAGAGCCAAGTCCAGAGTTTAGAGATGCATGCACTCAAGTACTTACCGCTATTCAAAAGGAACAACCAAATAGATCGGATTTGAAGTTCCAAGTGTTGGATGGTACTGCTACTTCGATACCAATGCCAGACGAATCTGTAGATGCCTTGTTTGTTTCGCAAGCATTCCATTGGTTCTCCAATGAAGAGTCACTGCGTGAGATGATCAGAGTTCTCAAGAGAGGTGCTCCACTCATTCTTGTGTGGTGTGATATGGATGTTTCCAATCCAATAGTTAGAGATGCTGCTGCTATCTTCCATGAGAAGTACTACGATGGTGTAACACCACAGTTCCGTTCTTACAAATGGAAGTCGGCATTCGAGAATGAATCGCTTTCAAACATAATCGACACCGATCTACATTTGGAAAGATTCAGATTCGACCAAAAGTATACTCGTGATACTCTCATAAACAGAATACTCTCAGTTTCTTACGTCTCTTTGTTCTCTGATGAGAAAAAGAAACAATTGATAGCAGAAGTAGATGAAGCACTTGCCAAACATCCAGAAACAATCAATTCATCTTTTAACTACCCATATAACGTAGAACTCTACTATACTTTTAAAAAATAAAAAATTAATAAACCACCAAAACATATGTACTGCAGAGGTTATTGTTTTATTTATAATTCTAATAATGATATTTACTTCACTTGTGTGTTATAAATTTATGTTCCCAATAAGTATGATAACCATTCAACTAGATTATAAAAATACTATTTTTTATAGATTTATTGTTTAAAAATAATAATTGAAGGGTTTGAATATTCAATTTAGAAAGTTGAGAATCATTAAGAATTGAGGCAATGATATATGGTTGTTGGCATAACAAGATATAATGATGATCATCAAGCTTACGAATGTTGAATTTTTCATAATCGTTTGGACTCAGAATAAGATTGTTAGGAAGTTTGATGTTTTTTGGAATGGTTTGTGATGGAAGAGTTAATGATTGAATTGTTTGTGGAAAATTGTTAAAGTTGAATTCTTCGAGGTGACCATAGTGATTTTCAACAACAAATTCTTCGACAGACCTTGGTATGGCATCAGCTTCTATTATATGTTCCAATGCAGGAGATCTACCGTCGAATTTAAATACAAACAACTTCTTAACAGATGGTGGAATTGGGTATTTGAGCTTGATTTGATATAAATCGAGTTTCAATGTTTCTACTCCAAATGGAATTAGATCGATTGTAATCTCTTGTTCCTCTGCATCTTCTCTACTACTAAGGAATAGTGTATCTATCTTCAAATTGTCCAATGATTTCGATTTGAGAGAATTAACCATTACCATGAGGTTTTCAAAGTGATACAATGATCTATCGTTCATAAATATCTCATTGATATCATATTCTGAATTTTCAATATCCAGACATCTGATCGAAGGTGAAATGACTGAAGTTAGCTTGACCTTATTGCGAATATCCAATTCGGTCAGAGATGATGGTAAATGGTTTAAATCCAATGTTAATCCAGGTTCTTCCCTGTACTGATAGAATTTCAATACTTTCAAGTTTGTGAGTAATTTGATTGCTGGAACCCAAGAGATAGGTACATATATCAATTGTTGAAGTGAATTTGGTAATATCCCTTCTCCAATTGGTGCATGGTGTCCAGAATACTGGATAATTTCGAGATTTGAAGGTAAAGATCCAATTTGTAGAATGTCTTGAAAATTTACTTCTGTGAACTTTAGAACCTTCAATGATTCTGGTAATACTCCTGGTACCAAGTATTGATTGAATGAATCTCCAAGACTTAGTTTCTTGAGTGTGTTGGGAAGAACTCCTTTTTCAATTGGTTGGTTAAAAGAATGACCGAAATCGATGGATTCTAAATTCGGTGGAAGACATCCAGGTACCAATGCCTGATTAAAACGATTTGAGAATTTTAATTTTTTCAAATTAACCGGTAGTTTGTAAATTAGTGATTGATAACCATTCAAATAGGTTACATTTGATTGTGAAATGGCTTCATAGAATCTTTCGAAAATAATAAAAGCATCTTCATCATTAATGGAACGATCTATGATAGCATTGTTTAAAATGACTTTACTGATATTTGATTGAATATTCTCAAAATCATACAATTGATCTAAGTTTATTACTTTATTAATGATTGTTATATTTACTTCTTTTTTGTAGATTAAAATATATTTACCTAGAGTGATTAGATAATCATTGTTATATCTCTTTGAACTAACAACAAGACTACAATTACTCTTTTGACTAATAGAATTCACTAATAGTGATCTATAAGAGTTTAAATAGATTTGATCATGATCATTATCTATCATGTTGAAATTTTTGATATTAAAAGATAGATATTTAGATCTTTCATCATACCATTTTTTACAAACTAATGTTACAAATATTCTATCTATATTGTCATTTAAATTCTCGACAATCTTTGATAATATTATATGAGGTAAATTAACTATTTTATTTGTATTACTGATCATTTGTAAATAGCGAGTAAAAATTAAAAATTAAAAATTTCTAAAAAAAAAGTAAGAAAATTAGTAAGAAAATTACTATCTGATTTTATTAAAATATATTAAATTAGACACATTATAAAACATTTGAATCATTTTTTTTTTACCTTTTTTTATTGTATACTCTCTTTCCTTTAGCAGTTTCATTTTCATCTTCCTCTACTTCATATACAGCTTTTCTTGTTTGATTTTATTTTTATCTTAAAATTACTTTACATTACAAATATGGTATGGTCAGTGGTTTATTTTTAACAGTTGGATGTTTGCTTCCTATTGCAACCTTGGCATATTCTATTCGTCTCACCGAGAGTAATCGGGACATTCTGTTCCAAGACAGGATATGATTTCTTGAGGAAATTAATGGACTCTTCCTTGTGACAATGAGCTGCCCGGCAATAAACTATCTTTTCATCGCCAATGGACACTAAAACCTTGAGCATTAGAGTGGCGTCTGGTGATTGACAAACTGCGTTTCCACCTTGAACTATATTTCCGGTTATCACATCTCTAATTGGAGCGCTATTAAAACACTTTAACCTTGAATTTGCATAGTTGTCTAAGGTTTTCTTTATATTATCCTGTTCATTTCTTCTTTGTTTCAGATCGGATTTTGATTGATTTGATTTGGGTGTTGAAGTTGTAGTTGTGGTTGAGGTTGTTGAAGTTGTGGCTGAAGATGTCGATTGAGTTGCAGCTGAAACTGTTAATTGTTATGAAAATATTGATTTTGATTGCTGTTTAATAGTTGTAGGAGGCGAGCTATTTGTTGATCTTTATCATGCAGCTGTTGATCTTTATCAAGTAACTGTTGATCTTTATCCTGGATTTGCTTATAACACTCGTCTAGCTTTGACTTAAATTCATTGCTAAAATTTGAAAATACATTTCGAGAAGCGTTTACACACCTATTCAAATGATCAATTTCACCGAGTGGATCCATTTGATGATCACAAAATAAACATTTCGGAAGAGCACTGATTATTCTTTCTTTAATCAATTTCATAAGATCTTCAATGCTTTCAGAAGTATGTTTACTAGGTTCAACTTGTAAGCTCATTTTTATAATATTTATATATTTGAAAAGGTAAATATAAAAAAAAAAAAAAGAAAATGCACAGAACTTTTTTTTAAAAAGTTTTTTTTTCCCACACAAAAATGAAAAACTTCAGTTAACTTGTCAAAAACCATCTTTTGAGCCATCTTAAAAAAATTTGATTGATGATATAGATATTTATTATATTTATTTTAAATTTAGTAATGCATTAACAAAAGGAAATTGTTTTTTATTTATTTTTTTCAAACCTCTCAAGCATAATTTCAAACTTTACTTTAATACTAGATTTGTGCTTTTTGATATAGATTGCACCAACCACTAGCAGTGCTGCAACAAAAACTCCAACTACAACCACAATAGTTATAATGATCCATGTTTTGCTCTTCTCTTCACATTTGTCTTGAATGGCGACCAACAATGAGAAATCTGGATCTATTAAACACCTCTGACATTGACTTAGATTGATTCCAATTGAAATATCTGAAGTGTTAGCTTCACCATTGACAATCTCTACAAACGAATAAGTTGGTTGTCCATCAGAAAGTGAGACATCATAAAATTTACCGTAAAATGATACTCCATTCTTTACAATCTTGAGATAATTGAGTGATTTATCGATTTGATTTGTTGAAATTGTATTTTTTTCGCCACCACACTCTTGTTGTTGTTCGAATGCTGTTGAAAATACTACTCTTAAAGTGCTAAGAAGCGATTGATAGGTCCACCCTTCGATTGATACTGAGAGTTTAATTGAATATGGTGGAAGAACATAAGACATTCCTGCAAATTCTATATTCATTGGTTCTGATGAGTATTGAATTGTTGCTTCGATGATTTCTATCGACGAATGTATCAATCTATATTGTGAAATGGTTGTAGTTGTTGTTTTGGTTGTGGTGAAATTCCAATTGTTTGTGGGAATCGATTTTACAACTTTTCTTGATGAATCTAATTCTTCGACTGCTAACATATTGAATGTAAATTCTTGACCATCGGCTCTAAATGTTGGTGTAGGAGTTGTTAAATTTTCACCAATAACACCTCCTTCAAATATTTCTTTAAAAATTGAATCGAATTAGCATATTAGAAGACTATCTAGTTTTTTTTAAATATATATTTACTATTTTCACAATAATATCCATTGAATCCAGAATTACATTGACAAACACCGGTTGCCTTACAATCACCATTTCCATTACATAATGGTTTAGAACTACCACAATCAACCGATACTTCTTCTGGATCTGTTGTAAAGCATTTAAATTAAATTAGCTATTTATCTTTTTATCTTTATATTTACTATACTGACCAACTTTAATATTTGTAGAAAAAGAATATCCATCAACTTTTAGAATGATGGGTAATATACCAACAGGTAATTTATCAGCATTGCAAACAATAGTGGAATTTGATTGAGATATAGCAGTGCAACTTGAATTGTTGTTTATCAATACAGAAATATTATTTTGTCCATTGTCTCCAAAATAGCCAAATAGACTGATGACTCCTCCTTCACTTTTAATATTTGAAATGGCTGATATCAATGGATACACTGTTTTAAAAAATAAAATGAGTAATCATTCTTTTTCATTATTGTAAATCAGAAAAGGTACCTTTTTTATAATCTAAAGTTAGATTAAAAACATCTGATGTAGAATCGAATCGAATATTCAATATTTTATCGACATCAAACACATGATCGTATGCCATTTCTATTGATTCTTCATTAAGTCCCAATACCTGATAATTATAAGAATCAAGGATAACTTTAATATTTGAGGAAGTGTTAAATAAACCACTCAATATTATTGTTAAACTATTTGGAAGCTGTATATAAGAGATATTTTTAATATAATTTCCTATTGTAATTAAATTAATAAATATTTAAAATATATAAAGATTTGGATATTAAATCTATTTCTTTTAGTTACCAGTAATTATTGATATAGGTATAGTTTGACTTCCTTGATATGTTTTGAAAATAAGATTAAATGTTCCAATTGGGCTTGTGGGAGTAAATCTTAAATAATAATAATTAGTTGTTAAATAAATAATTTTAAATTTTTATCGTTTAAACATACACTATCATTTCATTTGGAACTTGAATAGTAAAAAGACTTGGCTGTTCCGAAGTATATCCTAAGTTTTTTCCTCTATAATATACATATGTTTTAGAATAAAATACTAAATTAAATTGAATATTTTAACTAAATTACCTTATTGTGATTGATGGTTGATAATGAAAAACATTCCTTTCCAAAAATATATCTAAAAAATAATTAATATAGATTCCAATTATAATATCTTATTTCATTTCAACCTACTGCATTTGAAATCCAGTGGCGGTGCACCTAGATAAGTAGGCATTCTACCTTTAAATTTATCCCAATAACATTTAAAGCAATCTGGAATTGAACTAATATTTGTACCAGATAAATCCACGACGGTCAATTGGCAATATCTCTCTGGAACAGGCCCATAGACACTACTTGAGCTAACCAATATGCTTACCAGATTTGTAAGATTATTGTATAATGGAAGTGTTGTTGCGGGTATAATATTTCCTTCTACTCTTATATTTCTAAATTTTGTTTTTTGTTAACAATATGTTGAAATTGTAAGAATTTTTAAATTACTTACATAGGGACAGAAGCAGTGGAAAACATGGATTCATCTGGGAAAGGTCCATTGTAAAGTTTTCGTCTATTTTAATGTTTAGTAGAGCACTTTGTAATAATATTATTCATTTTGATATAACTTACGTAAATGATACTAATTGCTTTTTGAAAATAAAAAGTTGATTATTATTACTAGTGGTAAACGATGACACTGGAAGCGCTGATAAATCTAATGGATATACTGTTTGATTTGTAATTGATCTAGAGTAATAGCAATCGATTTATTTGGATATCAATACACATGTTCAACCAAAAAGAAAATTAAACTTACAGTTGTTGTAATGATGTACAAGTACTGTCTATATATACTGTTCCATTGCGTATAGGATCAAAAATTCCACTAAATTATTTTATATTAAGATCTTTGTTCAAAAGAAAAACCAAATACTTACTTACAATTCTGTTAAAACTCTTGTCTTTAGATAAAAGACCGCATTTCTATAGATTGTAGATAAACCTCTGTTCTTGGATGTTAGTATATTAATAAATTGATGATTTTTATTTACATACATGGAGACTAAACTTGGAAAGACACTTTCATCAAAGGTGTAGGTACTATAAGTTGTGAAATCAGCAAACAGATTTCTTAACGTGTAGTTTTTAGTTACTTTTAAATCCACTACAAGGGGAGGATTTGTTGTTGTGAGATATATGAAATTTGTTGGTGAGATCAACACTTTATTTGGGACATCATTGGAAATATTACATCTCAATAGAGCACTATATTTAAAAAAATCAATTAACGTTTCTGATAAATGAACAGAATTAATACTTACAATGAATAAATTTGAATAAAATTAGGAAAATTATTTGGGAAAGTTATATTCATACTATCAAAACTAATAAGCCAAGCTAGTTGGGTTAGTCCAACTCTTTAATAGATTTTCTATTATTTAGATGATAATTACCTTATAGAATTAATAGATAGATTTGAATAATCTGAATGATCCAACAGTTTCAAAATGTTGAGTGAAGGATTTTTTAATAATTTCTTTTGAATAATATTTATTCCGGAGATCTTTGGGAAAATCAATTGAGTAATCGAAGAATTTGGAAAACCATTGTCTACAGCAGTGTAGTCTATATTTATATCTCTATTTTAATCAATTTAAATTAATATTAGATTTCAATTAATTTAATAAATTAAATAATGTCTTACAAAGTTGAAACATATTGTTTTGTATTCAGAGTGTCGTTGATACAAATAAAACCTAAATTTCTTGGTTTGTTTATTGATTTTTGAATACTATTACAATCAGTTGCATTCATATCCCAAGGTGTTGAAAACTATTAAACAAAGTAAGAAGAAGTGAATCTTTAAAGAAAAATAATGTTTTTAATCTTACTTGTTGAGCGATCCAACGAATGGAAACTAAATCATCAGAATTGAGAGGAAGTTGACTGTCAACAATTGTCGAATATATTGATAAAATAAAAAAACAAACAACTAATATATCTACTATCTTCATATTATTATTTTTATAAAAAATATGTACTTTTTGAAATCCAATCAATGATGAAAAACGTTTGTAAAGCTATTTTTGATCGATTCAAAAAATATCTTCAAAAATTATGATTTACTATTTTTTTTTTTGTTACCAAAATTTTAAGGTTGCGATATTTGTTTTTACCTCAAACAAAATCTCACATTACAAAGACATATTCAAAATCAACCCTACTCTCTATTTCTTAAGTTAAAGCAAATTTGTGTTGAGATTTCAAATTTATCACAAGAAATATCCTGTAACTCAAATTTAATATGATTTCTACTGAATCTAAAAACTAGGAAAGATAACTTAAGAACCACTAGAATAAATTATGTTAAAAAGTTATTATTTAATAAATAAAATAATTACAAGATTAAGAAAATTAATTAATATTTGTTTATTTTATTAAAAATAATAGGTTTGTTTAATTGGTAAACTTGATTGATTAGAGACTGTTTCTTTACAAACATCAAGAATTTGGAAGTTGCTCAGGATAATATAATTGTTCATCCATAGTTGCGACATAGGTCGAAATGACATCCCAGAAAACAGCGTCACCCCATGTTCCAAATACTGCAATGAAATCGGATCTGGTAACGTTTTGAGCGGCAACACTTATAATGGTCGATGATTCTTTACTGCTTGAAAGTGTATTTATTGAAATAGCAACTTTGGGTGGTGCGACGAAAGGAGTTTCAAAGTACACCTTCTTTTTGAACTCTCTGACAACACCGTTGGGAGCTGCCTGCCAAAAGATTGGATCCAGTGAACGAACGGTTCCAGTTTGAGTCAATTTAATAGGGTAATATATTACCTCCATGATCATCGATGGTTTATTGCCAACCCATTCAACTGGTTCGATTTTAATACTTCTTCCATAAATATTGTAACTGTATTTGAAGAGATAAACAATTTGGAAATAGCTCCAAGTAGTATGATTAAGACCGGTTTCGACGACTCCATAGTCTTTGTAATGAATGCCATTCAATGAATATTCGATCTTCATTTTAGTAACATATCCAGAGTTTGGATTGTTCGATGCATTTAGCATATCGTAATTGTAGGGAATTCTAATACCGATACCATGGAAATGCTTAATATCATCGGAACCAGCAACTACAGTTGGATAATTGTCATTATCAGCTGGTGTCCAACCACTTCGTGAGTGCAACTCACTGATTGACATTGAATTGATATCATAGAAACTTGAATACACTACATTTAACAGTCCACCACTGATTCCTCCTCTAATCCAAGCATTTGAAGTAGTGATAAATATTAAAGCAAATAATATTATAATTAATTTTGACATTTTTAAAATATTTTAATTGTTGATTGATTTGTTTGATGATCTGAAAGTCTGTTTTCCAAAGTCTTAAATAGCTAACTTTGTACTTTAAAAAAAATAATAGTAAATAAATATTTTGTTATTTTTTCTAATTCTGAAAAACCATTCGGAGAATCCATCAAAAAAAACACTCCTTTTATGTGCAAAATGTCACTTTTTTTTTGAGAAAAATCGTCAAACAAAGGTTGGTTAATGTTATATTAATATAACAAATCTTTGAACAAATCATTCCAATAAATTTTATTATTTGTGGAAAACAAAAAAAAAAAAGGATGATGATGATGATTCTAAGGATAGTTAATAATACTTGGTTAATTAAATTAATACCAATTGGTATTTGTTGATTATGTTTGTAACTTCTTTATCGAAGTGCAACGTTGACCGATTTTTTGTTAACAATGAAAAATAAATAAAAAAAAACTATTATTATATGTATAATATTGCATTTATATGTACAAACCAAATATATTTACTTTACTTTATTTTTATTTCGTCGTTTTTTTTTTTTTGAAACTAAAATTTAATCTGTAGTTGCTGCTCTTTTAAAAGTGGTAATCATTCTGTAATTCTTCTTTGGACCTTGTACGCAGTATGTAAGTTTGAATTCCGATGAAGATACAAATTCATAGGTAGCATCGTAGTTGTCGGGTGGACACCAATGGTGTCCTGTGGCAAGCGCAGAATTAACGAAATCCAAAGAGTGTAACAACCGTGTTGGTGGATTTCCATCGAAATAGACATTGATCTTCTCATGCTCGTAACAATAAATATATCTTTGTGTGACAGGACAACTTGTACCATCCTCTTTAAATAGTAATCCTTTCTCTTCATATCGTAATGGTTGAACTATTTTATCATCGTCTATTGTCGTTGATGTAGTTGATGATGGTGTTGTTGTTGTTGTTGTTTTTGATGATGATGATTGAGAATCTACTGAATCCTGTGTAAATGTTGCAAATCCATCGACAGTCATCTTTTCTTCTAATAAACTATTATTCATGAGAAGATTATTACTACTGCTACTGCCCGAGTTTTGAAACTGAGATGATATATTACATGATGTTGGAGTGACTGTTGTTGATGAGAGGAATGGATTAACAAATGTTTGATTTGTCTGTGCAAAATGTGATATATCTCTATGAAAACTCCATCTTCCTATAAAACTTTGAAATAACTTTAACATCTTTAACACAAAATGATCATCGATTATAAACCAAAAAATAAACTTTGTAAAAAAACAAAAATTGTTTGATCATAATCATGATGTAAACAATCGATTTGGTAATTTTTATTTGATTGTTTTGCTTTTTTTTTTTATTCTCTAATCTTATAACTATTTATAATGGTTAGTAAAGCACAGATAGGACTACTGTGTACAGTTGCAGGTGTTGGTGCACTCATTGTATTTATTCATAATGATCAAAATGACGCTAGATCCGTAAGTTAAGTTTATTTATCATATATCAATGAAATCGTGATCGATCGAATAGACACCTAACAACTCTACTACTACTACTATTACTATCATATGATTAGAAAATGAGACAAGCAGTACTAAAAGATATTGAAAGAGAGAAATGGAAAGAGGCAAATAAATCAAACAGTATCGATAATAAAAAATAATAATGTATATAACCATCGTCATAAATATATAATAATAATAATAATAATAAAGTAATCAAATCAATTGATATTGAAGGTTATTAATTAGGAATCAAGATTCAAGATTCAAGAGTATATTGTTGATAAATTAAATTTTATTATGAGAATATTAAAGATTTTAAAAGCTACCACTTAATAATAACAAATTTATACAGGTAAACTTTTATATATGATTGGGTTGTGAGAATTAAGGGAGGATTGGATGGAGTAGTAGTGGTAGAGTTGAAATATTAGGTTGAAAGATAACAACATTTAGAATCATGATTGTTATGTTTGATTGATTTGTTGAACGGAGTTGTGTGTTTTAGTTTTTGTTATTGTTTTGTTTTTGTTGATTTTCTATTCTTTCTTCTTTTTAAAAGCTAAACTGTTAATGTTTATGTCCTCGTCTTGATGGAACTACGAATAATGAAAATAGAACAAAAAATATAGATAAAAGGATAATAATGATTATATATTTTTCTGGAGAAACGTTATAAAAAATAAGTGTTAATATTTTTGAAGAAAAAGAATAACAATGTTTTTGTGTAAACAACTTACTCCTTGATCGCTCTAAAGATTGCAATCTAGATTCGTATGATTCCATCTTTTTGTTTATATTTTCAACTTGTTTCGATAACTCTTGTGTGGCACCAATATTTTCAAATATCAATGATTGATTCTTAATAACCATAAGATTTTCAATTTCTTGTCCACCAATAACTCTATTTCCAATTGTCTTTACAGACCGAGGCAATATTTCCTAAAGACAAATACAAACCAAACTAAATCAGTATGAAAGTTTTGTTGTCATTAATTTTAAGTAGTACTTACATATAGTTCTTGTGCAATGACACCTCTATCAGCATTCTCATATGGATCCATTCCGTTCATATAAACCCACTCTGGATGTAGTTTATAATCATAGATTTTCATTCTATTTACATTGTCTAGATTATTTTTGGTGTCGACATGCTTTACATCGTATTTAATTCTGAGATCAGAGGGATGGTATACACCCTCCGAAGCGTATATGGTACCTTGGACCGAGAGTTCAAAGGTGGGGTTCTCCACATTGATACCGACCTTACCGTTGTAGACGATTGTTTTGTCGACATCACCTTTGGTCCATTCACAGCCACCGGCGGATTGAAGTTTCGATGGAAAGTTGGCCGGTATATTGTTGTTGTTGACTTGAGTGCTGGCGTTTGGAATGAGGTTGTTGCTAAGCTGCAGCATGGGACGTGGCGAGTGGCCAGGCGATTGAAGTCTCATCGACGAGAAATCGGGGAAGGTGTTTAGGTTGGTTCCGAATGAGTTGAATGGCGAGGCAGGATGGTTTGGTTCGGGTGTGTGTGGTTGTGGACTGAGATCGGTGGCCGCTGGCGAGACGGATGGCGAGCTAATGGCGGTTCTCACAATGAGTGGTGGCGAGATGTAAGAGACGATACAGTATTCCTGTGCCATGCAACGACCCCAGAGTGAAACCACCAGTTGATTGTACTCCTGGTGTGGATTGGGCTGGCCATTACGTCGGGCGTTGTTGAGTGTCGCCTTTCTAAAGTGAAGTCGCTGTATTGACACCAGCGAACCGAATTGAATGGCAACTGGCTTGGGTGCGTGCTCTCCTTGTTTCTCACGCTTCGAATTGGTTTGGAACAACTCTACTTCCAACTCTGGTTGCGTTGGTTCCATGCGATTCTTGATACCCTTGATAGTGAGAGTGAGACCATTGATGGGTGTCTTGGCGCCATCGATGAGCAAATACGATGGAGTTTGGGTGGGATCGACATTCGATGCCGACGAGGAGAGTTGTCCTTCGTAGTGCTTGGGATAGGATGCGGTGATGTCCAGTTGGAAGTGATTTCTTCTGCAGTAGACCCACGAGTTATTGACATAGGAGAATCCCTTGGAAGCAATGATCTGTAGTTGTGGAACTGGCATCTCCTCGCCGTTGGTGTTGAGCGTGGTATACCAGGTGTCTTGCTGGTAGTGTGTCCATTGGAAAGGTGGATCACGGTCACCGAATCCGAGGAGTGGTGTGAGTGGGTCGGAGTTCTCGTTTTCGTTGAGCGAGAGATAGTTGTCGGAGTGGAGAAGTGGTGAGTGAACGGGTGAGTGATGTGGTGAAGCGAGTGGCGAGTGCGAAGGTGAGTGCGATGGTGACACGTTGCCGCGTGGCGACAAGCCACCCATGTTACCGCCGCCAGGTGTCGACGATGTAGTGGTGATGGAGATCGATGGGATTGGATAGAGGGAGGAGGACATGAGCGAGGACTGAGGCAGTTGGAAGGTGCCAGAGGTTGAGGGTGATGGTGTGTTGTTGGATTGTGGCGATGTTACACTGCTATATTGATTCTGAAAACTGTTGAGTTGTTGTTGGTGTTGTTGTAGCTGCTGGAATGTATCCATATATGATCCACCACTCTGGATGTTTCCTGGTGATGTTCCGAGCTCCGAGTAGGTTCCGTCTTCATTCTTTACTTTTCTCTTCTTTGTGCTTCCATCATCGATGATCGAGTTGAAAGTATTCATAGAATTGCTCAGAGTATTTGGTGGGATTAACAAAGATGGTAAGTTTGGTTGTTGTTGTTGTTGTTGCTGCTGCTGTTGTTGTTGCTGTTGTTGTTGTTGTTGTTGAGCAACCAAATTTGTCATATATTCCATATTTGACATATCCATCATAGGCTGATTGATACCATGGATATTACTATTATTATATCCATCCATTTTTCTATCTATCTATCTATCTATCGGTCTGTCTGTATATCTAATCTATCTAATCTATTTTGTATTGTTAGATTTGTTTCTACTATTTTATTTTTTTTATGCTTGTTGCTAGTTAAATGGATGATGACCTAAAAGCTATAGCTATCTTATCTTATCTTATCCTATTCTATTCTATTCTTGTTATGTTATAAACAATCAAACAAAACAATGCTGTATAATAACAATTGTACTAATATTTAATGATGACTATATTTTTCTGATTTTTCTGTATACTAAAATATAACAGTTAATAAATTAATTATTCAAATTTTTAATAATAAATAAATTAAAAAAAAAAAAAAAACAAATAAACAAAAAAACTCCAAAAAACAAACAAAAGTTTTGAATACTGGCTAGTATTGTTAGGTGGATAAATTTGGTTTTAATTATTATGATTTATAAAAACAACAAAATAAATAAAAATAAAACTATAATGTTAGATTTAAATACAACACACAATAATAAAATAAACAATCAACACTCCTATTGTATTGGTGTTACTGTATTGGTGTATTTTTGTTGTTGTGGTTAATGAGTTGTGTGTGTGTGTTTTTTTTTTTTGATGTAAAGTTTTATTTTTATATATTGTGTGTGTTCATGTGTGTTGTGTGGAAACAAAGAAAACATGTGGTGTAATAATCAGATAATAGAACATAATAGAATAGAATAGAGAACCAACATTACTATACTATTCCATTTGAAACAACAAAAATTCTTAAGAAAAGAAAACAAAGGATGGATATTATATTATTATTTAAGTTGGTGCTGTGCTCCAGTTTTGTTTATATTTATTGGGTTTTGTTTTTATTTTTGTTGCTCCTGAATAACACCTATAGAATCGACATTGTTGTAAACAAGTAATTGCATCTCAACAACAAAATTTTATTTATATATTCTAACTGTCGATACGAATATCTAATAACCTGTTCATAATATTATTAACCAAGCAAAAATCCTTGATTATTTTATTTTGTTTTTAAATCCTAATTCTTTACTTATTTATTTATTCTTTTTCTTTTTTCTTGTTCATGAATTATTATGGTTTTTGATTCTATTCACAACACACAATATGATATTATTATTTTTATACTTACTAAAATCAGTATATCTAAACTTATATAAGTTGTTTTTAAAAAAAAAGTAATAAATAAATACTAATGTTACAATAATAAAATAAATATTTTTATATTTGTGTTGTGTTATGTTTTTTTTTTTTTTTTTCTATATAAAGAGTGGATAAGTCGACTCAATTTCTATGGTCGTTGTGAGCTACTGGTGGTATAGATGTAGGGGTTTATTTTTTGATTTTTTAAAAGGAAAAAAAAATTGGCTTAAAGGTCAAGAAGCAGTGGGATACTATCATTTTTGAATCTAGAATTTTAACGGTAAAGTTTTTTTATTTTCTTTTTCAAATTTATTTTTTAAAAACAAAATTTCTAAAAAAAATGAAAAAGATATTTTAACTAATGATTTTGATTGATTTTTGGTTTGATTAGATAATCCATCAAACAATCTGGCAAGAATTATTTGAAAAAAAAATAAAATTTTATTAATCCTTTCTCGTGTGACAATGAAAATGATCATAATAAACAAATTTTGTTTCTCAAATTTTCAATCTTTTAGATTCGAAGCACTTCTTGTTCAAGGTACACCTGAATAGAGTTTCTGATTAAGATTATTTATCTGCATAGAAAGATATGATATTAACAACATTAATCTCAAAAGTTGATGGATCAACCAAAGATTTCGAAAAATGATTGATTATTGTCGTAATAAAAATAAAATACATTATTATTATTTATTTAAAATCGGTTTTATTATTATTATTATTATTATTATTATTATTATATATTAATTTGGTTTGTTTTTACTCTGATTTTTTCTTGTTGGTGCAGATGGTTTCTTACCCAATGCAAATCCACCTGACGAAGCTGGAGGGAAACCACCAAACGAGTTGCCACCACTGTCGAAGCCCATCGATGGGAATTGGTTAAAGCCAGCAGATGGAGCTGGTGCCGGTGTTGATGAGAACATATTTGGAGTTGCACCAAATGCTGGTGGGTTGCTGCCTCCGAATGATGAGGGTGCAGGTGTTGATGGGGCACCGCTGCTAAACATGTTTGGTCCAAATGGTGAAGCGGTTGAGGCTGGTGTACTGCTTCCAAATGGTGCCGATGCAAATGGTGAGGGGTTGGATGATGATGTTCCGAATGGTGAGCTATTGTTGGCAGTGTTGTTGTTGTTGTTGGCGAATGAGGAGAAGCCACTTGAAGCAGCCGCTGTGTTTGATGCACCCATATCACCACCTCCACTTCCACCACCACCTCCAAATGTAAAGAGGTTGGATGAGGAAGACAAAGAGGAAGAAGAAGATTGAGATGGTTGTGAAAGGAGTGAGGAGCTTGCGAATGGATTGGCGGTGGATGGTGCAGTTGTAGCGATCGATGAACTTGCGAATGGGTTGGCAGATGGAGCGGGAGCGGCTGGTGTTTGTGATGTATTCGATCCACCAAATGCAAATGGTGATTGTGTTGATGTTGATGCGGATGAAGTCGATGAAATTGCGAATGGGTTGGAGTTGGCGGCAGAGTTTCCAAATGGTGAGGCGGTGGTGGTGGTTGATGCGCCGAATGGAGTTGGCGAGGCAGTTGATTGTGTTGCACCGAATGGGGCTGGTGATGTTACAGATGATTGGGTTCCAAATGGTGAGGCGGTGGTGGTGCTTGCTGCTGCTCCGAATGGAGTTGACGAGGTTGATGGTCCACTGAATGAAATGGGTGGTGTGGAGGTGCCTGAAGCAGAGGATGCACCGAATGGTGTGGAGGATGTGCTGGCGGAGGTGAATGGATTGGTGGTGGCATTACCAAACAACGATAGACCTGTGGATGGAGTTGGAGTTGCAGTTCCACCAAAGAGTGGAGGGGTTGAAACAGCTGGTTTGTCGGTGGCTAAAGTCGATGATCCACCAAACAGTGAAGTCGAAGTGGCGGATGGTGCGGAAAAAGTGCTGGCACCTCCTCCAAACGATGGAGCAGCTGAGCTTCCACCAAAGATTGGTGATGTTGAAGTGGCGGCTGGTTTATCTGCTGGATTTGATCCACCAAATAATGAGCTTGAGGTGGTTGAGGTTGTGGTGAGTGATGAACCAAACAGTGGAGAAGTCGATGGCTTGTCTGTTGTTGCTGAGCTGGAGGTAGTCGATGCAGATGTTGTTCCAAATGTTGAGTTGCCAAACAGTGATGGTTTATCTGTTGTTGTTGTTGTTGTTGCAGCTGGTGTGCTACTAAGGGTTGCACCACCAAAGAGTGATGAACTTGAGCTGGATGATGAACTGGTGGTGGTGGCTGATCCAAGAGTTGGAGAAGTAGATAAACCGAATAGGCCACCTGACTTGGTTGAATCTCCACCTCCAAACAATGAAGTTGAAGTAGCTGCTGGTTTGTCAGTAGATGTTGTTGTTGTCGAACCAAAGTTAATGAGCTTGTCTGAGCTTGAGGAGGTGGCGATGGATGACAATGCATTTCCACCAAACAATGAGGTTGAGGTCGACGATGCTGGTTTATCTGAGGATGCGGCTATTGAGGTTAAAGCTCCACCTCCAAAGAGAGAAGTTGGTGGAGTTGAGGTGGTTGTGGCTGCTCCTATAGTAATTTTTTCAGAGGCAGGAGTGGTGGAGTTAAGTCCAAACAATGAAGTGGATGCTGTTGCTGGCTTGTCAGAGGTAGTGGAAGTTGTTGCAGCTGAAGTGAGTCCACCAAACAATGAAGTGGATGCTGTTGCTGGCTTGTCAGAGGTAGTGGAAGTTGTCGCAGCTGAGGTGAGTCCTCCAAACAATGATGTGGTGCTTGGTTTGTCAGCGGTGGTTGTACTTGCACCATTTGCTGAACCAAAGATTGAGGTTGATGCTACTGGCTTGTCAGCGGTGGTAGTTGCAGCTGGTGTGCTAAGTCCTCCAAACAATGATGAGCTGGTAGAGCTAGAGGCTGGCATTTTTGCACCTCCAAACAATGAGGTGGTGGAGTCAGTCGATGATGGCTTGTTGGCAGCGAAAATGGATGATGTCGGACCACTGTCTTTCTCTTTCTCTTTGTCTGCGGTGATTGGTGTCGATGAGAATCCAAAGAGTGATTGTGTGGCCGGTGTCGACGCGTCTGGTTTCTTTCCAAAGTCAAAGAGTGATTGACCAGACGATGGATTACCAAACAACGTTGGTTTGGCAGACAGTATAGAATCGTTACCAAGGTTTCCAAACAACATTGGTTTAGCATCTTTATCGATGTTTCCAAACAACAATGGTTTGATTGGTTCATCTGGTTCTTCTTCTTCATCAGAGTCCGATGGTACATAGAATCCTTCTTCCTCTTGGAATCCATCGTCTTCTTCTTCCTCGTCAGAGTCGCCTACGCCCTCATCATTCTTACCGTTGCTCTCACTGGAAAATATCTTGTTGTTTCCGAAAATGGATGTGGAAGGAGTGGTAGCATCTATATTGGCAAGTACAGACAGGGATGATGTCTTTGGAGCAGTTGTTTTGCCTGAGAAGAGCGATGATGGTGTTGTTGAGGATAAGGTTGAAGTTGAGGTTGACGATAGAGTTGACGTTAAGGTTGACGGTGTTGAAGTTGAAACAGGCATGATACCAAATAGATTGGGTAGAGCGGAGGGTGCAGAGCCGGCAGCCGATAGTCCACCAAAAAGTGAGGAACTCTTTGGTAACTCTTGTACTTTCTCTTCTTTTTCCTCTTCTTTATCTTTCTTTATTTCCTTTTCACTTTCCTTGTTGTTTAGATTACCAAACAATGAAGTCGATGTCAATGGTTTCTCTTTCTCAGCAGTGATGGTGGTACCAAATAGATTTTGAAGTGGCTTGGCAGTGGTTGTTTCTCCAAATGAAATAGTGGATGCTGGCTTCTTGGTGTCGAGAGCGGTGCTGGCGGTGGAGAATAACGAGGAAGTGGCCGGTGCAATTGTAGTGGTGGTGGTGGTGGTGCTGGCTGGTGTGGCAGAGAGGGTTGGTAACTTGGCAGTCTTACCAAAATCAGTGGTTCCAAAGGAAATATCACCGCCTAGCTTTGGTGGTGCGATGCTTTCAAGTTTCTGTGCATGGAAATCAACCTCTGGCTCCTCCTCCTTGGTTCTCTTCTTGGATCTCTCGTCACTGCCGTATGGATCGGACGAAGCAAACTTTACAGATTTTCTCTCTGGACCCGACGAGCTGGCGACAGTATCCCTCTTACTGAGATTACTAAACAGGCTGGTAGTGGCTGCACCGTTCAGACCGCTGCTAGTGGCAGACGATGCTGTGCTGATACTATTGGCACCGGTATCAAAGAGCGATGAACTAGTCTTAGTGTTGTTGGTTACCTTCAAAGCAGATGGAAGTGGTGGTTGAGTAGTGGCAGTAGAACTGGTGGTGGTGGTAGCCGACGATAAACTTGAAGCCGTTGTTCCAATGGTAGCAGAGGCAACGGTGGTAGTTGTAGATGGCTTTGGAGCTAATCCACCAAGCCTGATACCTGTCGAAGCAGTTGACTCTGTGTATGGCTTTGGTGGTGAGATTGGTGCGGAAATCGACGATTCAAACGATACCTTTGATGATGGAGCTGGCTTCTTATAGTGTGAAACTGCTGAGTACTGAATGGAACTAACCGGAATTTCATTTTGTTCTTTCTGACTCTTTGGTTTCTTTTCCTAAAAATATTGAAATATTATATAATATTAATAACACAAACAAAAAGAGTTGGAACAAATTTTAATATACTTTACCAAAACTCTAGTTAATCCATATGGATTGTATTTAAAGTTGGATGCAAACTGTGGGATTCTTGGTCGGGTGAGTGGTTCTTGTTTGGCGAGTGAATAGGTTGAGGAGGAGAGTGAAGAGGATGGTGTGTTGGTCGATGATGAGAATGAGGAGGAGGAGGTCGATGTCAATAGGTTGGTTGGATTGACATTGGAGAGAACAGGTCCCGATGAAAAGCTATCGATCAATGTGAGAATTCTCTTGGCGGCCTCACTGGTTTGTGCGATCACCTGTTGGTGTGAGACAGCTGGGTAGACACGTCCGTGAGAAGAAATGGCGCCACTACGCTTCTTCAGAGGTGGTTCGTGAACGCTGCTCTTCAACTCAATCGAATCATTGTCGAGCTCACCAAAGTGTGAAAGTAACTTCTTTCTATAGAAAGAGTCAATCTCCTCGATTGCAAGTTGTCCAGCCTCCTCTGCAGAAGTAGTAGTATTATTATTGGTTGTTGTTGTAGGAGGTGTTGATCTTTTACCTAATGTTGGTTTAGTTGGTGTAAATGTTGAAGTTGATAAATTTGGTTTAGATGATGATTGTTGTTGTTGTTGTTGTTGTTGTTTTTTAACATTGGACATTGAACTTAATAATGAAAGATATGGTGCACCGGTTGTTGTTGATTGAGACAATTGTTTAAGATCTGGATATAGATTTGATTTATAATCGTTTCTACTACTTAAACCATTTGGTAATTGACTACTATTAAACTTGTTATTGCTGTTGTTGTTGCTGCTGTTATTCCTCATGATCGATGAAGAAGATGTTGGTCCATTTGACTGTATATTATTCTTGTAAAAGTTTGAAGTTAAATCATTGAATTTCAAAGACGATGTATTGATCTTTAATGCTCCAACTCCTTTTACATTGTGTAATGAATTATCATATTCCTGAAAAAATATAAACAAATTTCAGTTAATATTTATATAGAGTTAATAATTAATAGTTTTACATACATTATTGTCATTTTCAAATTGTTGAGCTGTTTGTACTTTACTATTCGATTTACTTGATTTGTTGATACTGAAGCTTGATGGTGGTTGTTGTACTTGTTGATGTTGTTGTTTTTTATTATTATAGGTTCTCGATTGACTGTAAATAGATGATTGTAATGAATTTAGTTGATTTGATTTGTTGTTGTTGTTGGGTTGATATAAACTGGTATTAATTTCATTATCTTCATTGTTGTTGTTGTTGTTGTCGTCGTCGTTGTTGTCTTCGTCAATGTCATTGTTGTCGAGGTTGATTGCATTCGATTCACTGTTACCAGTGGTGGATTGTTGTTGTTGTTGTTGTCCTTGATTGATATTCGGTGATTGTGGTGGTGACTTTAGATCGCCAGAGTTTGGATCGTCAACAGGGAATACCCAACTCAATGGTTTCATCAACATCTTTGTAATTGAACCGAATAGACTTGAATTACCTTTAGAACCACCGCTACCACTTCCACTACCATCCTCTAAAATATCATCTTCTCTTTCTCTGTCTCTGTCATTATTAGATCTACTGCTACTATTACCACTTCCACCTACTTTATTTGGACGTGAGTAAGGGTGGTGTGTTACTCTCTTTTGTTGTTGTTGTTGTTGTTGCGATGTTTGATATTGTTGTTGCTGCTGCTGTTGTTGTTGTTGTGGTTGTCTCCTCATAGTGTTATTATTATTATTACTATTGTTGTTTAATCCACCCCTGACGACATTACTGTCAAAGGCTATATAATTTGGTTGTGTTGACATTGTCAACAACACACTTCCTTTTTCGATAAAAATACTATATTTGATATCAAAAAATAAAATAATGTTACGATTCTAATATGTTGTTCTAATCTATTTTGCTGTTTTGTTCTATGGTTGAACAAACTTCGAATTTCTCTATTTTTGTTTTTTTTTTTTGTTTTTGTTTTTGCTTTTTTTTTTTTTTGTTTTCTATCAATTTGATCTTCTCTTTTCTTCTCTTCTCTTTTCTTCTCTAATCTTTTGATAAATAACTTATTTGTAGTGTTTATTAATAAACTATAAACTAAATAATGTTCACAAACTAAATATATAAATATAAATATAAATATAAATATTTTTTAAAAAAAAAAGCTTTAAAAAGATAAAAAAAAAATTTAGAACAAAACGTAAAAAAAAATGAAAATTTAGAATGTATTTTTTAACGAATACTAAACCAATTCGATTATTTGTTTAAGTAAAAAAAAACAAAACATTGATTTATTTAAATTTGACAAGGTGGTGCCAAGTTGTTTGTTCGTTATTTTAGTCATAATTTGATGTGTGAAATGAATCAATCAATTAACCAATCAATTCAGTTGAGTTACTCAAATATCAATTTTTCTTAATTAATACAAATTTTCATTTCCAAATGACAATCAAATAATAATCGGATTGAAATTAGAATGAATAAAGAAAGATCAATTCAATTGATAGAAAAGATAAGATAAGATGATATGCAATTATCATTTTGTTGTTATATGTTTTTGTTTCAATTTATTTTAAAAAAAAGTTAAAGAAAAACAGGAGCGAGATCTTTAATCAAAGAGACCCATACCCATATCGTCATCGGACTCTTCCTTCTTCTCTTCCTTCTTTGGGGCTTCCTTCTTGGCAGCAGCGGCGGCTGGAGCAGCAGCACCGGCGGCGGCGGCAACTGGGGCAGCGGCGGCAGCACCAGCGGCAAAGTTGAAGATGAGGTCATCTACGTTTGACTTGGCGAGGATACGAGCGTACAAACCTGGCCAGTGAGCTTGGTAAGTGACATCAGCGGCATCAAGGACGGTCTTGATTTTTTCGGCCTATCATTTATTATAAAATAAAGTGGGTAGGTGGATCAATCGATTGATTAATAAAACTAACTAAAAAAAAAAAACTAATTTCTATTTTAATATACTTACAGTGATAGCGATACCATCGTCGTGGAGCAAAAGAGCAGAGTAGATGCAAGCCAATTCTAAAAGAAAGAAACATAAAAAGTTAGTAATTTGTTAATAATTTTATATGTTGTCATATTGTCATTTTTGTCAATGCAAAGTTGCTGATCACAACAAAAAAAGAAAAGAAGAGTATTTGTAAAATTTTGATAGATAATGCTAAAAAAAAAAAAGGGTGGGATAAAAAAAAACCGAAACAATCAAAAAACCAAGATGACTAATCACCCAATGTGAATGAAACAAAGTGATTAAAGATCGAATCATGATTTAGGTCGTTGAAAGTTGATAATAGCTGTGTCTGTTTCTAAAATTGATTATTATTATTATAATTTAATTGATTGAATATTTCCTGTTATTTAACTATTTTTCAATGATATATTTATTGAACCAATGATTGGTAGTTGATTTCTAAATGAATCTAGATTCTAAAAATAAAGCTAGTTTTAAAGCCAAGCTATAAATTCTCTGTCTTGAATCTGTGTGAAATGAATCTATTCTAAATTTACTATTATTTTTGAACTAATGGCTATATACTATTATTATTATTTGTAGACTGGAAATAACAAAAATAAAAAAAAAACCGATAAAAATTAAAAATAACTACTAAATAACTAAAAATAAGATAATACACAATGACATTGACATTTGACTTTATAACGATTATTGATTATTATTTATTTTTTTTGTTAAAAAAAAAACAAAAAACTACTACCTTGAGTATCCATGTTAGTTTTCCTTTATAATATAACAACAAAACAACTAGAGTAGAAGTATATTTAAAATGAGCATCAAAAAGTTTTGCTCGTCAGTCACCACCCCACACAGAATGCTTGAGAAAAAAAAAATAATTTTTTATTTTATTTTTTTTATTTTCGAAATTTTTTATTTTTAATGAGAGACAATACAAAAAAATGATTGATGTGGTGCAAGATGAAAAAAAAAATATGTGAAGACTTCATCCAAAAAATCTCAAAATTAATGCATGGGCTTTTATTTTTACAAATTCGATTTCAGATATTGAAAATCTGATAATTCTTATACTTTTAACAGATAAAAACACAATTTAACCGATTTTAAAATAATATTCTATAAATGTTTTATTACTTCCCCAATATGTTATATTCTTTATTTATTCTCAAGTAAATAGAGTGAATTTAAATAAAAGAATATAATAGTATAATAAAGAAATTTATTTTATTGTTTGAACAAAGAAATTCTTTTACTCCTAATCTACAAATATAATTAATTAAGTTTTTTTTTTGTTTTTATCTAAAGAGATCTAATTAGATAAAGAGATCCTAAATTAAAATAAATGAATTCAAAAAATAGCAAGTGATGAATTAATTTTGCTTCATTGAAAATTTTTATCACATTTTTGTTCTTGAAAAACATTTTGGTCCAAAAACAGAATCAATCCATAGAAATTTCAACCACATGCTTAAAAAATACATATAATTCAGAAGTTTAAAAGAATGAGTTTCACATTTATATTGTATTGAAAAATAAATAATACTTTTACCAAACATTTTGTTTAGTTTAGTTTAGTTTATATTTATTGTTTATATTATTTATTTATTTTTTAAGGAAAAAAAGTTGTTTACAATGTCAGCAGATGCCAGTAGTGTCAATACATTGATTAATGAATTCTCATTGAATAATGATTATTTCGACCCAACAATATTGGTTCAATCGAAAATCGAGTATATAGATGGAGGTATTATCATTGATAATGTCTTGTCAGAGGAAGAGTGCCGTTTGATCGTTGAGAAGATGTTTCATGAAGAGTCAGCACAGGCAGCTGCACTTCCAAAGACACCGGTGCTCTGGCGTGGCTGGTCAGACAACAGTGGCGATGAATATAAGAAACTCGGTGTCAGAGTCATCCGGACATCCGATCAACTGGCATCGACGCTCACCGCACGTCTCTGGCATTTCCTGCCACGCGAAATGACAACGTTTTCGCCGTCTCTCCAGAAGCAACAACTTCACAGTCTCACCGGGTTGTCGCGTCGTCACAGATTCATCCGCTACGATCAGGGTGCCAATTTCCCGACCCACATGGACGGACCCTACATTCACAGTGACAGCGAGAAGAGTTTCCTCACCTGTCTGTTCTTCTTGAACAACCAAGCGTTAGAGTATGACGGTGGTGAACTCTCATTCGTAGAGACAGTCGACCAGAATGAGCCACTGGGTGGCGGTGCAGCCAGCAACTACACCACGAAAACAATTACCTCTGTCCAGCCCAAAACAGGAAGAGTCGTCATTTTCCCACACAAAATACTTCACACCAGTTCACCTATCACAAGAGGTCAGAAATTCCTCATTAGAAATGACATTATGTATAAATCTCAAGATTAACAAATAATAACAATAACATAAAAAAAAAAAAAAAAAAAACTTTTTATTTTTTGTAAATATCAATCAATTAATCGAGTGCACTATTATTTTTTTAAAATCGATTAAATAAAAGATCAAAAAACCTAATTTAAAAATTCAATTATAGAAATGATTCTTTTAATCAAAAAGATATGAATGTTTATGCCCAAAAATAATCCAAAAATAATATTATTAAACCACTCGATCGAATTTTAATAACAAAGATATTTCTTTTTTTCATTAACACACAGCATCTAAAAAAAAAAAAAAAAAAAAAATTATATTAAAAAAAAAATCGATCAAAAAAAAAAAAAACAAAGTTGAAAAAAATAAAACAATTTTTTTGCCAATTATTTTTTATCACCTTATTTTACATATGTGTAATAATATTATATTAATTATCAATCAATCAATCAATCAACCAATAAACAAATAATAATAGTAATAGTAATAGTAATAGAATCAAAACAAAACAAATCAAAAATAAATAAATCAAAAATCATCAATAATAGTATAAAATAAATAATTTTAATTAATTAATTTCTAAATTTCATTTTATTTATTTTATTTATTAAGATTTAGATTTATAATTTAAGATTTAAGAATAATAGTAATAGAAAGTGTAAAACAACAAACAAAAAACAATAAAGATAATAATAATAATAATAATAATAATAGTAAAATAGATGATTAACCGATTATTATATTTTATTAATATATAGTTAAAATCAACAACAAAAAAAAAAAAAAAATAAAGTTAAAAATTAGTATTTATTTTTTGTAATATTAGTAGTATAATAAATATATAAATAGATAGATAGTAGTTGTATAGTATATATATAATATAAACATAATATTTAATAGAGATCTTTAGATAATAATAGTATTCTTAACAAGTATATCAGTTATTATTATTATTATTCATAAGTAATAGTAATATTGAACCTACTACTTCTACTACTATTACTATCTCTAGATATCAAAACACTTGCCTCAATCAACACACACAAGCACATCATAACATAACACAATATTCACCAAGTCAGTTTCAATATTGAAACAAATAATTTTTTTTTTTTAAGTTTTTTTTTTTTCACATTTTTTTAAAAAAAAAAACAAAACAAAACAAAAACAATATAATACCATTAGTTTAAGTAAAGATGTCATCAGAAGATAGCAATAATAACAATAGTGGTGGTGGAAGTGCCAATCTTTCATCGTCAAAGGGATCGTCAGCACTTGGAAGAAGAGGTACATTCTCAAAGGCAAAGAGTTTCAGAAGAGTGATCGGGCTCAACCTCGAACCACATACATCAACACAGCCTCAAGTATATAGATTTCTAAGTAAGTTATATCAATCATATGAATGATTAGATCTTTTAATCTTTTATCATTTCAAAATGATGATGATGATGATTAATTAACATTGCTGCTTTGTCCATCAGATGGAGAAGAATATAGTGGACCGGAATTAACACAGATTCAATCACCACCATCGACACCGAGAAGTCAACGTTCAATGTCGGTTGCAACTTCGTCACCGTCGTTGCATGTCGTGCCCGACGATGAAGATACAAAGATTCCAGTGTTTTTAGGTGCGGACGGTACTCTCTACAATAAGTTCTACGTGCCAATAAAGATCATTGGCATCGACGAACCTTCACCTCCACCACCAAAGTTATCGAGTCTAGCAAGTTTTGTACCACCAACCAGCAAGGAACGCGCAGCAGCAGCAGCAGCAGCGACGACATCGACAACCACAACAACATCGAGTACAGCATTCAATCCAGGCGATCAAATATACACAGGATTCCCAGAACCAAACAGCTATGACAACTATTTCGATTATGAACAGGCCGTAATGGATTGGCGCACTCAACTGCAGCAGAGTCTGGGCGTTATTCAACTGCCACAGAATATGGGTCGTACATACAGTCGTCCGCGCGTCGTTGGCGGTGGACGCGATCTCATTCGTAAGAATTCAGAGGCAAGCAACGATGATTCGCTCAGTTTCGATTCGAGCGAGCGCAAACTCACAGAGTCAGACATCACCTCGCAGAACGGCGAGACCGACGACCCCAACGGCTACAGTCACAGTCCGTCGACACTCTTGGACAACAAGCTGCTGAAACACGCAGAGGAAGATATATCAAAGGACGGCGCTTCGCGTTCTCGAAGCGGCAGTGACACATCGACAGGATCATACGACGGCAGCGCGCTTCTCGACGGTAGCAGTCCGATCGACGGCAGTCCATCAAGCGGATCGCTCACCTCGATGATCAACGGAACACGTTCTCGCAGCAACAGCTCCACCTATCTCGATCACAGAATCAATCGTAGCAATTCATTGTCACCCAAACAATCGATGGCTCGTCTCAACGAGTCTGGCGACTTCCGTATGGGTCGTGGTAACTCCATATTGAATATGGACGAAGATCGTTGGACACTGAGTAAAGATCCATGGGATTCACAGTTGATTCTTCAGGAGCCAGTACCAGAGTTGTATAATACATTCGAAGAGTATGAGTTTGCTATGAAAAACTGGGCGATCGAGGTGATCGTCAAGACACCGGTGCTGCCTCCACACTCGACACAACTGATCCAGTTGCCATCGAAAGAGAAGGCCAGCTCCACAAACGACGCTGCCTCCTCAGAGCAGTCTTCGAAACACCAGAAGCAGATGCAGCTCTACGAGCAGGCACAGCGCGACGCCATCACCGCACTCAAGAATCAGTGGAAGTACCGCTCCGGAATGTTACAGATCAAATCCGACGATCAATTCATATACGATCGATACATAACAGTGTATCGCGAACAGTTCAACAGAATCTATGGCAGCGGTGGTCGTTTCTTTGAGGATCACGAATTACAGGTCGACAAAGTTTGGAAGCGAATCAATGGCGAACCCAGAATGACACTGGTCGACACCGTCGACAAGTGGTACAACAAGAAACAAAAGATCTATCGTCAATCGTTATCGATTTATAAAGGTGGTGTCTGGGCGAATCACTTGTTGATGCCCGCCGTTGCCAACGGCTGGAAAGAGTCACTACAGAGAAAACAGTCTATGTTGCCGCCTCTGCCCATCAAGGCGTTGCGTCGTCTTGACATCAACTCAGAGGCAGACGGCACCAAGGTAGAACTAAACTATCTCTCACCGGAGATTCCACTGGATCACACCAAGCTGCTACCGGCCAACATGAACATCCAGTATATACTCAACATGTTCGACACGACACTCGCTCAGACCAACCCATTCTCGCCAACCGTTTGCATCTCCACCGAAGAGCAGAAACAATATATAAAGACTGCACGTCAATACGATCGTCGCTTGGTCCACGCATTCAGATTCGATCCACACCAATCGTGGACAGCCAAAGAGAATTCTCCCAATCCCAATCCTCAATCGCAACGCCAAGACATCGAGGCTGTCATGATCCAACAGCCATTCGGACAGACAACCATCCTGGCACTGATAAACACTCAACAAATATATTTGGATCGTTTCCAAGAATGCTTTGATTTGGATCCAAACAGAATGTATTGCAGCCAGTTGCCACCACTTGTAGTGTCGCTCAACCAATCGATGGGCGGCACCAACAACTTGTCGGTCAGCACCGGCGGTGGTGCCCAGTCGAATCAATCGACAGGTTCGTCACCAAACACACCAAACCAACAATCTCTAGCTTCGCCAATGAAACAGCCAGGCACACCAACATCACCACATTACAATCATCTCTTGGGATCACCTCCATCGCGTTCCGGCTCGCTCAGCTCCTTTTCATTCGGCTCGCCTGCCTCCAACAAAATCTTGTTGTCACCAAACAACAATGTATCGATACTCTCGACATCGAGTGGCATTGAATCACCAAGACAGAATCTCAATCCAACACTGCAATCGATCTTGGTCAACTCACTCGGCAGCAACGGTTCACCAAGAACCGGTAACCAATCATCGACACCTCCAAGCAATCCATACATTCAAAACTTCATCAACTTTATCTCGACCAACACCTTCCCCGAAATGTTAACAATCTTTGACAAAGTTAACAATGTATTATCAACCGCTAAACTATCTTCATTGGTCATATTCTCTCTTGCCTCTGAAAAAGGTTCACTTTTAATGGAGGGTATTATTGCATCTAAAGGTAAATCAATCAATCAATTCAATCAATTCAATCATCTATCAATACTAATCTATATATAAACCATTTAGATATTTATTCATTGTATAAAGCTGCACTTGGTGTTTCATACTTTGATGCAGTTCCAATTGATCTGTATCCATATCCAATGCATTTGAATCAAGTATTGATTCCTGCAATTGCAAAGGGCTCTACACAAGAAGTAATTCGCTTCGTTTTTATGTATTATTATTTAAATATCATTCATGAGAGAGTTCAATTCTACACATCGAATCAAACAGTAATTTCAATGATCAATTTATCCAAAAAAGTAAATATCACATGATCATTAGTTTGATTGGCTAAAAAAAAAAAAAAAAAGAATAATACTAATATTATTATTTGATTATTCAAATTCGAATAACTTTTAGGATGTAGCTGACAGACTTGCTTCACTGATTCAAACCGATAAAGAGTTGCTCTCTAAAATATTTAAAGCCATAGGAAGAAAGTCATCGACTGTATCACACTTTTTCTTATTTATTTTGATACAATTGATGAGAATACCAGATCAAACTATTATGGTAAGTGTACATTTATCTATCTCTTATTAATTTATAAATAGTTTAATATTAATTGTTATTTTATATATAGTCATTCTTTAAACTTAAAGATAGTTTGTTACCTCATATTAGAGATTTATGTCATAGTAAATTCTTACATTCACAGTTTGCAGCAAAGAGATTGTACCAAATTCTTCAAGAGGAAGCTTGGAAAGACTTTTTGTATCTCGAGTACAGTGAAAAGGATGTTTTGATTACTGATCTTTTGTCAGCTTGTGAAGCCGGTTCGAAATCGTTACTCAGCGAACTCGTCTTCTCAATGTGTACCTCTACATTGGAGACCATCAACTCCAACGCTTCTTCATCCGTTAGATTCTTATTGAACGAACAACTATTCTTCCAGATTTACAATGCTATTACCAAATCAAAGAAATCTGATTCAGTATGTTATACTATACTATTTAAATATTTATACATTTTAATTTAAATACTAATCCTTTTTTTTTTAAAACAATTAGAATATTGAAAATCTTGCCAAGTTATTCGCTCATTTATGTAAGACAAGTGTAAGATTTGGAATGGTAAAGAAGAGTGAGAATATCAAGATCAATAAGAAGAGTACAACCGAACAAGAGATTCATGTATCACCAACATTTATGTTTGAATTGTTGGCATTTGTCACACAACCACAAGTACCATCCGATAAATCTTTAGTTAAGAACTGTATGTATAATTTGTTATCGTTGACATATACCTAAGAATATCACTGGTTATTAATATTCATAAATTACAAATGATCATTTATTTGTTTATAGATATGTTGGTTGCATTGAGACATTTGTTGAAGCCAGCGGAACTCTTTGATATTCTCAAGAAGGAACAGACTTTGAATAATAAGTTGTTGATTGCATCGTGCAGAGACGGAAGAAATCCAGATTTCAATAGAAACAGTTGGCGTTTGTTCTTCCAGATCATCCGTTTGCACTCTGGACACATCGAGTTTTTGGAGAAGAACAAGTATCTGGCACAGTTTATCGATATCATTAATACCAATGCCGGACCGGTGGTTCTTACCAACTCACTGCACTACCTCACCAAGCTGTTTGCACTGGTGCAATACGAGAACCGTCGTGCCACGCTCTGGAAGGGTGCCGTATCCGATGCTAAACACACCGAGAAAGACGTCAAGACGTTGCGTGACTTTTTCATCGAGAGACACATGTTTATCAAGGTACACATGGTCTATCGTAAGTACATGGAGAGTAACCCAGCCGGTCGTTCCTACATCCAACTCTGTAATCTCTACCAAGCGATATTCACATTGACCATCTGTCAAAAACTATTTAAAGACTCTGCAAAGAACTCTGATTACAAAGAAGGTTTCACCAAGATTTCCAAGTGGTTCAGAGATGATTCTATTTCTTTGATACGTTAGAGAAACAAAAACAAACAAACATACCAAACCAACAACAAAATCAATTAAACATATAACATAATTTTAAAACAAACAAAAAACAAACATATTATTATATTAAACACCCAACAACAAACAATAAACAATACATTCACATTATATTATTAATCAATTAACCAAAAATAATAACTTAATTTTTTATTTAAAAAAACTTGAAATATAATTAAAGAACTTTTCTTTTGTACTACTTATTAAACCTAATTCTTGTTGTTGATCTTTAAATAAATTTACATGATACTTTCTTTATTAAGCTTTAATTATTTTAAATTTAAAAGAATTAAGAATAATATAATAATAATATTAATATTCATCATCATCACAAAATGATAGTTCAGATATATCCATATTGAAGATTGAATTTTGATCACAGGTTGTACCATCCAACTCTCGGTGATATGTGAAATCTGAATTACTATATTTAAACTTTTGGTAAAAGTATTGAATGATATCGTAATCACTATGAGAAATAGCTAGTTTGATCTCTTTGGCCGCTTCTTCATTGTAGCATTCACTACGATTCTCAATGAGAAACTTTACTATATCGCTTCGATTAAAAATGATTGCTGAACGGAGAGCGTCAAGAGTACATCCTTCACTCCTATTGAAATGCAGCCATTTCACCATTTGTAGGTTATGTCGAGAAGCGAAATTCATAGCATCAACAGAACATCCTTCACTTCGATTGAAATGTAACCATTTCAATAGCTTTAGATGATTGTAAAGTGCTGCATTGTCCATTGCCAACGATGAGCAAGGTTCACTTCGATTCTCATTAATCCATTCTACAAGTTCCAAGTTACCAGAACAAACAGCATGATCTATTAAACTCTCAGAGGTCTTTAGTTTTGGATAGTTGGAGTGAATCCATTTCAAGACAGATAGATATCCAAGCTTTGCTACTTGTACAAGTGTATTGCTATTGAAATTCAATTCAATTCAGAGACTTCTTTGTTTTTGTACAAATATTATTTGTTCTCTCTCTCTATTTATTTATTTGTTATTTTATCTAAATTATTTAACATTTTAAAAATATATGTTTATGTTTTTTTTTGAACTTTTCTAATTGATCAATTACAAAAACAAAACTGGCTCCCAACCCTTTCGCCTGTGAATCATCTTGTTTTCCAATCTGTTGATATTTTCACAAAAAATCTGTTGTTTCACAATCAAAGTCAAAAAAAATCATTTTTTTTTCTACAAATTCTATTTTTTCCAAATAATTCTTTTAATATTATCAAAAAAAAAAAAAAACAATTTCTTTTAGTTTAATAGAAATTCCATCATCAGTCCAAAAATTGATTCTTATTTCACTGGATAACATTGATGTCAACAACTTTCCAAATACATTGAATCGTTGGTTATTAAAAATTTTGGTGAATATCATAGAATCCAAGATCCCAAATATATTAGCACTTTATGAATCTAAAATTACAAATAATGTTTTTTAAACAAACTTAATTTTTTGTGAAAAAAATAAAATAAACTGATCATTTAAAAAAGTAAAATGATGAACAATAATAATAACGATAATCAAAGAAATAGAATAGTTAATTTATCACATATTTTGTTATCAAAGATTATTAAATATTTAGATGATAATATAGATAGAATAGTGTTTACATTAGTTTGTAAAAGATGGTATAATGACACCCATAATTATCTATCTTTCAATACTGATCATATAGGAATGATATTGAATGATAAACTTAAAAATAATATGTTTTTGAATTCATATAAATCAATATACATCGATTCAATCAATCGAAAGAATGATTATCATCTTTACATTTTCAAGGATAATCATCAAAATGCAGAATATTGCATCAACTATGGTATGTATATTAAGCTGTTATTAATGAAATAAGTTTAAAATAACATTACTTATATGAATCGACTCTATTTTAGAACAACTTCTTCAAAAGAATGAGATACCTCCAAATGTCAAAACGATTTCAATTGGCTCCGATGTTTTAAATTTGGAGGAGATTTATCAATTGATATCTAGGTCCAATGTCACTACAATGGAGCATTGTTCAACACTAAGATATAAATTACCAGAGAATATTAGATCTCTATCGTTTTCATCAGAGTTTAATGAACCGTTGGTACCTGGCTATCTTCCAGCACACTTGAAATGTCTAAAATTTCAGACCTCCATTTCCAAACACACACTTAATGCAGGTGTTCTCCCAAATACAATCGAGATTTTGGTTCTTAATAGATCAGTGCAACATCCACTTGAACCAGGTTTATTACCACCTTCTTTGAAATCTCTTTCTTACCAAAATAATCATCTTCCAAAAGTTGGATCACTACCTCCAAATATTGAAGAATTCAGTTATTATTTCATAAGTGCCATTGGAAGACCATCAATAAGTAAAGGAGTTTTACCTTTGACACTTCGGAAATTGACAGTACCTTCATCATGGCTTCCATCAATCAAATCACTCCCAAATCTTACATCCTTAACATTAACATATAATGACAATAATATAATTGATTTAAGTTATCTGCCATGTTCAATTACAGAGTTGCACATTTCCTATGGTAGATTAATATCAAAGATGCCACCATCAATCAAATATTTGGATTTAAATTCCATTGAATTTGATATTGATTCGGTATTCAAAGATCGATCACAATATCAATTTGATTATCTTTCAGTAACAGAATTCAAATCTGTATCACTCAATGGTCTGAATATAAAGGAACTCTATATTTCATTAAATGGAAATCAATCTCTACCTCTAATTCCGTCATCAGTTCAAAAGTTAACTATTTGTTCAATAGAAACAAATTCGTTTCTTGGTAATCTACTCTTTCCAAACAAACTTGAAGAGTTGGTAATAAAGAATTATGAAGATTTTGATAGAGCATTTAAAATTAATAGTGATATTCTTCCTACATCAATTCAATCGTTGACACTGCCATCACTAAGAGTTCCACAACCTCGAATACCCAACAATCTTATTCTAAAACCATATAAGCATAGTTCATATAAACTATGGTTGCGAAGACTTGACTATCAACATTATCTCTTCTTCAGTGAGGAATTAAGTTTTTTATCAGCGATCATTTGTGAATCACAGATTCCTAAAATATTCTCATTTTATGAATCAATTATTCCAAAATACTTTGAATATCATCGAAGATGGAACAAAGAATAAAATTTGTCTTTTGTTTATTTTATTTATAAAAAAAACAATATATTAAAGAAAATAAGTCGAGACTTTCTATAGTAAAAACTATGGGAATAACTATCGGAATAACTAACTCATATAAACCTAATAAAACACCTGCAGTAAATATTTTTCTTTATCAATATTCTGAATTTGATAAAAACCTTTTATGCTTTAACTTTTAACTTAAAAGTGTGATTTTTACTTCTACTAATTATTTTTCAATGATTTTCACATAATCATCGAAAATTGTGTTTTGGTTTGTCTCACCCCACCCCACTTTATGATACCTGTGCCAAAATATATATATTCAGTTAAAAAAAAACAAAACCACACAACAAATAATTTCTTTTTCATATAAATGATTAAATATTTTCTTTTGTATCAATATTTTTCCCACTCTAATCTTTATATTTTTTAAACATGTTTAGTAATATCCAAAACAAAAAACAATCTTTGTTATTAAAATGATGAGCAATAATAATAATAATAACCATAATCAAAGAAATATATTAGTCAACTTATCACATCTATTATTATCAAAGATTATTAATTATTTAGATGACAATGCAGATCGAATAGTGTTTACATTAGTTTGTAAAAGATGGTTCATTGATAGGCATAGATATCTATCTTTTAATATTAGTCATATTAAAAAGATATTGAATGATGTACTTAAAAATAATATGTTTTTAAATTCATATGAATCAATATACCTCGATTCAATCAATAGAAAGAATAAATATAGAATTGTTGTTTTCAAAACAATTCAAAATTCTCCAATGAGTGTATTTACGATGGGTAATTTTTTTATGAAAAGTTTAAATAATATTAATTTTTAACAAAAACATTAAAATTCTATATTATTTTTTTTTACTCCTATTTTAGAAAAACTCAGACAAATTAAAGAGATTCATCCAAATGTCGATCAAGTTATATCTACTGATATTGAATCTTCTGACCTGGAAGAATTATATAGAATGATATGTAGATCCAATGTCACAGATTTAAGTTGCCAAACACTTAGATATAGATTACCAGATAATCTAACATCTCTATCATTCGCATATGATTTTGATGAACCATTACTACCTGGTAGTCTTCCACCAAATCTTAAAAATCTAGATTTTTCCTTTTCTAAATACAAACAACCAATTCAAAAAGGTTTGCTTCCAAACACATTGGAGAAGTTACATTTGTGTTCGTCACGCAAAACACTAATCGAACCAGGAGTTTTACCATCATCTTTGAAAGTTCTTTCTTACAATGGCAATAATACTCTAAAAGTTGGATCATTACCTCCAAATCTTGAAGAATTCAATTTCTATGGTGATCTAAATGTACCAATCTCGGAAGGAGTACTACCTTTATCACTTCACACATTGTCAGTACCATTTCAATGGCTTCCATTAATCAAATCGCTTTCAAATCTGAAATCATTATCACTGTTAGGTTCTGGCAAAGATGATATCGTTGATTTAAGTTATCTTCCGAGTTCACTAACAGATTTGCAGATTGGAGGAGAATCTATGTTTCTATCTACAATTCCACCATCAATAAAAAGTATCGGTTCTATATATCCACAAAAAACCGATTCATTATTCAAAGATCGATCAGAATATCAACTTGATTATCTATCAATTGTTGGATACAAACAAGGTTCACTCAATGGACTGAAGATCAAGGAATTGGATATTTTCATGGATGTTCTTAATCCTGATATACAAATGGATGAATTAAAGGATCTTCCTGATGGTATTGAAAAACTTTATATAGCTTTTCAAAGTGATATTCCAATTAATTTAAAAGATATTCCATCTTCTGTTCGAACTTTAACACTTAATTCATTGGATAGCTTTGATGTCAACACTTTTCCAAACACATTAGAAGAGTTAGTTATTGATGATGTTGGTGAATATGATGATATAGATGATCAACTATTTGACAGTGATCTTCTTCCATCAACACTTCAATCACTAACATTACCGTCCTTGTTACTTCCACAACCTCGAATACCCAACAATCTTATTATCAAAACAGTGGAATTGAAAAATACATCAGATAAAATAACTTTGCGAAGACTTGACGACCATCATTTTCTTTTCAGCGAAGAATCATGTTTTATGTGTGCGATCGTTCATGAATCTCAGATTCCTAATATATTCTCATTTTATGAATCAAAGATTCCAAAATATATGTTTGGATATCTTCCAAGATGGAATATAAACTAAATGTTCTTTTTTTTTAAAACATAAAAAATAAATTCATATCATTAAAATATTACAATTTTCTTGTCTTTCATTATAGTAATTATTGTTGATGTTACTGTTCTTTATATTCATCAATTCAATCGTTAATTATCACATTTGTTATAAGTTCAAATTTTTTTATTTATTTTGGTTGTTTACATTAGTTTGTAAAATGTCATCATAGATATAGTTATCTATCTTTTAATTCTGATGAGCAATGATGAATATAAATATAAAAGATGTATAGATAGAATAATTGTTTGTTAAAGATAAATATTTATCAATTGTCATTTGATTGATATTATTTTATTTTGATACCCGATGATGTACATCTTTCTACAAATCCATCCAAACTAGGAAGTATCATTGCAACAATATCATTAAAGGATTGACCAAAAAAAATATAATGGTTATCTATTTTTCTTATCTGGTAATTCAGTCTTGGTTCGACATGAAAGTTAAGACAGTCAAATTTGTTTGATGGAATAGACACTTCTGGAAGTGAGAGTGTGCTAAGAGTACTGGGAATAACTGGGAGTTTCGCATTGTTCAAGGAAAGAGATTTGACAACCAATTCTTTCACTGATGATGGTATCTCGTTATTATATCGAGTGACCATAAGATTGAATGGAAAGATCATCTTGGTTACGGACGATGGTATAAAATAATGGTGAGTGATATCCGAAAAGATATATCCAAAACTAAGTGTTTCGACACCAAATGGTATTTCTCTTAGGATATCGGGTTTTTTCTCGACTGTAGCCAGTTTTCTAACACCGGAATGGAATCCTATTACCAGCTCTTTGATTGCCAAACCCTCGAGCGAATCATGCTTGAAAGCATAGACACCAAGAGAATCCAATCGATATTGCGATCGATCTTTGAATATCTCATCGATATTGTATTGTGAATTGATGATACTGAGATCTTTAATGGTGGTAGGCATCGTCGATGTCAATCTAGAGGGTGGTCGGATGATCAACTTGGTGAGTGAGGTCGGTAGTAGACTGAGGTCAATGGGGATCTCGCCAGCACTATACGTATTGGTAAAGGTCAAACTCTTCAAATTTGTCAGTGGTTTCAAATATGGAATCCAGCTGGTTGGTACCTCTAGGAGAGTGTGTAGAGATGTCGGTAATACTTCTTCGGTCATCTCAGAGAAATGTCCGGAATAAACCAATACCTCTAGATTCTGAGGTAATACACCAACTTGGAAACTCTGTTTATACGATGGAACAACAAACTTTAATACTCTGAGAGATGAAGGCAGTACTCCTGGTTCGAATGGTTTATCAAATTGATCACCGAATATCAATTTCTCCAATGTATTTGGAAGTAAACCCGCTGGAATAGGTCGATTGAAGTTTGAACCAAAACAAAGTTTCTTTAATTTCGCTGGTAGACTGCCAGGCAATAAAGTTTCGTTCGGAAAGCTATCTGATAATGACAGCGATGTCAGATTCTCTGGTAATCTATACTTCAATGTATCACATTTCTCTAACTTTGTTACATTGGAATTGGAGAGCACACTAAAGAAATTCTCAAAGACCGAATGATCGAACTGATTATCAAATCCACCAAACAAAACAATAGTCTTTATATTTGGTTGAATCTTATCAATATCTTTGAGATTATCTAAATATATAACACTTTGTTTAATTAATATTTGTCCACATACATATTTATTTCTAACGCTTGAAATATTGATAACACACCCATGTCTATAAAATAATCATTATTATATCTATTATAACCTATTATCAATTTACATTTTTTATTAAGTTTGATTGAATTGATAATTGATGATCTATATGATTTCAAATAGATATGTGATGTATTTTCTTTGTTGATTTCATTGATATCTTTGATATTAAATGTTAAATATTTATCTCTTTCGTCGAACCATCTTTTACAAACTAATGTAAATACTATTCTATCTATGTTATTATCAAGATAAAAAACAATATTTGATAATAACAAATGTGATAAATTAACTAATTTATTTGATTGATTATCACTATACATTTATAAACATGTGGTAGATCACATGATCATTAAAAATAAAAATAAAAAAAAATTGGTGATCATTTTAAAAAATTACTTTAATTTATTTAAGTTGAATTAAAAACTTGTTAATAAGTTGTGATTGATTGATGAATGCTCCAATGAATCGACTGTTTGATTGACCAAAGATTAGGTAGTTTGAATCGTCAAGTTTTCTTAAGAAGATTCGATCTACTGACTGTTTGAAACAGATGTTTGAAAGTTCTCTCGGGATTATTACATCGATTGTTGGAATTGTTAGAGGATTCACCAGTCCTGGTAGACTGCGAAAGGTTTGTCCGATGTCATATTTAATTATTAACTCTTGAAGTGCATTTGGAATAAAGTCGATATGATCATATTGATCATAGCAATCGACTTTAAAAAATTTGACAGACTCTGGTATCTGAATGTATTGAATGGCACTGCAATATCGGAAGCTTAGATATCTAACACCGTTTGGTATATCTCTTAATAGACCTTCATAGCCGTGTTCATCTCTAAATGAAATTTGTAGGTGATCGATCTTTATATTCTCTAGCGAATCCGGTCTGAATCCATTGACTTTCAGAGTTTCGAAATGATATTGTGATCGATCATTTGTGAATATCTCATCGACATCATAGCGCGCATCGCTAATATCGAGATACTTGATTGTTGAGGGCATCGCTGATTTCAAATGAATATCATCATAGATAATCAGCTTCGTTACAGAGGTAGGCAGTACGTTTAAATCTTAAAACGATTCGGGATGACTTGGTGAAGCGTGGATCGCCAACGTTTTTAGATTCCGATAGGTTTGGAACAGCGGTGAATTGATCCATGTAAATGGTACACCTATGAATGTGTGGACGGTGGTTGGCAGTATACCTTTGATGAGTTCCGAGCAGTGTCAGGAGTAGTGGAATACTTCTAACGCCGGAGGTAACGATCCAACCTTGAGATCTTTCTTGTTGTACCTCGAGTTCCTATTCATCTTCAGAACCTTCAAAGACAAAGGCAATACTCCTGGTTCTATTGGTCGACTGAACATATGGTCAAGTGTTAGTTTCTCCAGTCGCTCTGGGAGAACATCTCGCTTGATTGATTGATTAAATCTATAACCAAATCTAAGTTTCTTGAGGTTTGGCGGAAGAAAACCTGGTTCCAGTGGTTCATTAAAGTAAAAATCGAATGCTAGCGATACTAAATTTGCTGGCAGTTGATATCTAAGTGTTTGGCATGCCACTAGTTTGACAACATTGGAATTAGCAATCAATTAATAGATTTTCTCTGTAAGCGACTGACCAACCTCCAAATGTACTGAAAAGTCGGTAGAAAAATCAAGTTGATTTACATTTGAAGCTATTTTATCAATATGTTTTTGTTTATCTAGATTATAATAATAAGTAATATTAGTACATGTACAATAACGATTAGTTTTTATTTTATTATCTTTTTTTTTTACTTACCGTTTAATAATGTACAATTTGTTATTTGATTGATTGAATTGATTAGAATAGATTTATATGAATTCAAATAGATTTCATTTGTAATATCTTCTTTGATAGCTTTGATATATCTCGTACTAAAAGATAGATATTTATGTCTTTCATTATATAATCTTTTACAAACTAGACTTAGACAAACTCTATCTATGTTATCAATCAATCCATTAGTAATCTTTGACAATAACAAATGTGATAGATTTACAAATAAATTTGAATCATTATTTTGATTATGATAGCGACTATCCATAATTTTAAAAATTATATGTTATTTTGTTACATATGGTGGTTTGTTTTAGATTACTGATGTTCAATCATTTTAAATAAGTCTGTTACAAAGTTAAACTAGTTTAAACAGTACTACTATTAATATTATCTTGTCAGCAATTTAATAAAAAAAAATTTTGTTCTTAAAAAAAATACCAAAAAGCAAAAATACACTAATGATAATAAAAAAAAATAGATTATCTCAATCATAAAGAACAAACAACTTTATAGTTACAATAATAGAATTGGTTATTCTTTGAGTCAGATAAAATTGTCTTCCAATGCGTACCATTTATTTAATGAGTTATCATGATCGATTTATATAAATTCAATATTACTTTTCTAGGTTTATTACTATTTAGGACATAACTAAAGGAATCTATATAATAAAATTGTGAAAGATTAACAAAAATGTTAATACATTATTAAAATTTAGAAGATGAAATTAGTAATTTATTTCAGATTTTTACTTTAACAAACGATTAATATTGAATCTTATGTTTAGATCTAACTAGATTTTTCTGATTTTTATAAATTAATTTCTCACATCTAGATGATATTCTTATTTATTACATGAATGAATAAAAACTTGTAAAAACAAATAGTAACTATATGTGGTCTCTCTTTAATAGTTTTTTTGTTTTTAATATAAATTACTTCTAACCCTACAATTTAATTAAAGAATTAAAAAACATGTTGTAAACATAGATTTGGAAGTTATAAATAGACATATCAATGTTGCTTCAATATTAATATATTATTTTCACAAATCTTTTAAACAAACAAAAAACTTTTTTGTCGAATCTCTTAAAAGATATGTATATTTAACAAATTTATTTAAATTAACAAATTAATATATCAACAAATAATTGTTAATTTAAATAAATTAATCATGTTCCCACATTTGTAATCACAAAAAAATGGGGGAATTTTTTTATTTTTAGTGTTATTTTTTTAATGTTGTTCAATATTTATCATTAATAAAAAGAAGTTGAAACTTCTTTAAACCTACTTTAGCATTCTGAAAGAAATAAATATTTTCTTAAAATGATTTTAGGTAAGTAATTATTAATTTATAAAATATTTTTATATTATTAATATATTGTGTGAGAAGATAGTATATTATGTTCATTTTGTAAAACAAAAATATTTCAAGGCACTGAGAGATATCGTTGTTCCGAATGTTCGGAAGTTTCTTTATGTTTAAAATGTCATGCATTGCCTGAATCTAAAAGTGTACATCATGATAGTGCTCCGATGCCTCATCAAAGTACTCTGGAATCAAGTATTAAAAATAATTTTTAAAATATATGTTAATATTATTATTAATTTTCTATTTTAAATAGAGTCTGATGATGAATATTATAGCTCAATCAAAGGTGATAGTTTCTATGATTGTTATATCAAAATTTTTAAATTTTATTCAACCAGAAGATGTATTGGAATGATAACTAAATTTGAAAATTCATTTGAAATTGACAAAGTTCATTGGATCACCTATCAACAACTTTTTGATATATCACAGAAATTGGGATCTGCAATGAAACAACAAAATATTGAACTTGTATTTATTTATTAATATTGTTATTTTAATTATTTATTAATACATTTTTCAAAAGGGATCAAAAGTTATTGTATCTTTACATAATATTCCAGATTGGTATTATTTTGAATTTGCACTTTTATTCTATGGATATACAATGATTCCAGTTAGCTCTATTATGAGTAAGGATAGATTTTAAAAAACTATAAAATCAGTTAACATCTAATACAAATACTATAGGTGAAATACAAATAAAGTTAGTACGAGAAATTTGTAAACCCTCTACTATAGTGGTTTCAAAAGTTACATTTCCCAAATTTGTTGACTCAATAGAATATGATTATGTGAAAGCAATTATACATGTTGGTGATGATTATGATCAAAATCTTAGAAATCTATTATCACCATCAATCAAATTCTTTGTTTTTTCAGAATTGATAAATTCAATTGTTGAAATTTCTCCACATTCTCCAATCATAGAAGGAACTTTATCAATAGGTAATGATTTCTCTTTTACTTAAACTATATAAAACCTTTTAATTAACTTTGATATATATATTAAAATTATAATAGTTTTTTCAAGTGGTTCAACAGGTCCTTCAAAAGGAGTGGAATTGACAACTTCAATAGTCCACGGAGAAAAGTTAACTCCGTTTCCAAAATTACCAATTCAAATGGGATTCTTGTCTATATGTAAGTTATTATATAAATATAAATTTCTTCTGGATTATTTTAATATGATATTTCTATAGCAAATGCCCAAAGATATTATGATCTTAAAATATTTGCCAGTGGTGGAAGAATAGGAATAGTGTCATCAGGGGAAATGGAGGACTTCTTTAGAGAAATTGTTATTTTTAGACCAAATTTCTTTTGGTGTAATCCTGGGTAAGTCTATTTAAATTTACTTTTGGAAATTAAATTAATTCTCCCTTTTTTCAAGATTTTGGAATTATTGCAATCATGAATATAATAAAAGATTTTTAGAAATCAAAAAAGAAAAATCTTTTTGTTCAGATCAAGAAATTGAATCAAAGGCTCTTAGCTCAACAAAGAATAAGTTAGGAGATAGAATACAATTTGTAGTCACTTCTGGATCGATTGTCTCCAATGACACTTTCGATTTCATGAAGAAATGTTGGGGTGAGGAAAATACTTTTGATTTATATGCATGTGTAGAGACTGCAGAAGTATCTCTTAATGGAAAGTTATTTCCCCATATTTCTTTTAAAATAATTCCAATTCAAGGATACTCCAATGAATCTTTGAATCCAATAGGGGAATTATGGATTCAATCTCCTAGAACAATCAAAGAATATTACCGCAATCGAGAAGAAACTCTCAAAGCATTTAAAGATGGATGGTACAATACTGGTGATATTGTGGAAGAATATGAACCAAGAACAATAAGAATTGTTTCTAGATCAAAAAACTTTTTTAAAACCTCAATTGGAAAATATGTGTTGTAAGTTAAAATTTTTAATGAATCACAATAATTAAAAAGATATTTACAACATTTAATCTTTTCAGTCCAGAAATATTGGAAAATTACTTCTTAAAATCTAGTTTGATTAAAAACATATTCTTCTATGGTGATTCTTTCCACCTCCACCTGGTTGCCATCGTTATCCCATCTACAGATTCATTGAAAAAATATATGGGAAAAATGCTAGATAACATTGATGATAATGCAGAATTGAAAAATGAAATATTTAATGAGATTAAACAGATTTCAAAAGTTTCAAAGGTATTTATTTTTAATAGATAATCTTTAAAAAAATATTTAAATTAAAATTGAAATAATTAGATTCTTGACAGGTATATTCCTCGTGCAATCAAATTAGATAACACTATATGGTCATCCCAAAATACTCTATTGACTAGTACTGGAAAATATAACAGAGTATCTCTTTTAACATATTACAAATCATCTATTGATGATTTATATAAACAATTTGATTCTAATAGTGATTTTTCCCTCTTCTAACTTTGCATCACCAAAAAAATAAAATTAATTTTAATAAATAAATTACTTATTGATTCTGAATTTATTTGAAATTAAATAAAAGGTAATCTCAAGTAACCAAACTTTATTGATTATAGAAGAACAAATATTTACTTTATTAGTACTGACCCAAAAATTGAAAAAAATCATACTTATTTTATAAAAAAATTATTATTTTAATGGAAGTGAAAAACGAAGTTCTTTTTAAAAAGTTCAAGTATTGAAAAATAATAATCTTTTTTAAGGTATTATTATTTTTATGGCTTCAGTTGGGATTGATTTAGGAACATCTTATAGCTGTGTAGGTATTTTCAACAAATAAAAAGAAGATATCTATAATTATTGTTTACTCATTTTTTGTTCTTAAAGATAGGTGTTTGTAAAAGTGATAAAGTAGAGATTATCTCAAATGAAACAGGTTTCACAAAGACACCGTGTATTGTTGCATTTTCAGACGAGAGATTTGTAGGTGAATTTGCCAAACAACAGATAGTTAATTTGAATCCATTGAACATTATCTACGATTGTAAGCGTTTGATTGGTCGTAGTTTCACAGATCCATTGGTGCAATATGACATGAGAAGCTATCCGTTCAGAGTAGTCAGTAGAGAGAACAACAAACCATTCATAGAAGTGAACTATCGTGATGATATCAAATCATTTAAACCCGAAGAGATCACCGCAATACTTATAAAAGAGTTAAAAGACCACACAGAATCCATATTACAACAACCAGTGAAGAACGCAGTCATTACAGTACCGGTCTATTTCGATGATGAACATTGTCAGGCTACCAAGGATGCAGCTGCCATTGCCAACATTAGAACCGTCAGCTTTATTGAAGAACCTATTGCTGCTGCCATTGCATATGGTCTCCACAAGCGTTCAGGTAAGAATCATGTGTTTGTTTTCGACTTGGGAGGACAGACTTGCAATGCTACAGTGCTCAGAGTTGAAGATGGCGAATTTGAAATACTGTCCACAACCTACGACCAACTTTTAGGTGGTAACAACTTCAACAGTTGTTTACAACAGTACTTGGAATCCGAATTCCAAAGACAAAACCAGATTACTGTGAATCACAACCATCGTTCATTACACCTTTTGAAAAATGCATGTGAAAAGGCAAAGAAATCATTGTCGACTCTCGCCGTTGCACATGTTGAAATCGATTCATTCTTGGAGGGAATAGATCTTACCTGTACAGTATCACGTTTGCGATTCGACGAATTGACAGTGGAGCTAGTAGATCAGTGTATGGATCTTGTTGACAAGGCAATTTTAGAGACGAATATAGATAAGGATACCATCGATGAGATTATTTTATCAGGTGGTTCGACAAACATTGTAAATATTCAGACAAAGATCCAAAACTATTTCTCTGGTAAGACATTAAACAACTCTATTGACCCAGACCAAGTTTTAGCTCATGGTGCTGCCATTAAAGCTGCTGACCTCTATAACAATAACAAACAGCCTGAATAGATTTAATAAAATTTTGTACTTTTATTTAAACATAAACAATTTGATTAGATAATGTTATTACATTCCACCTACCCAACCATTCGATGAATTCTTTGCATCCCATTCTTCTAAACTCTTCGTCGTCTGTATAGACATATTTAGAATCAACTGAATTAATGAATGTTCTGACTGGATCGGCTGTGAACAAGGTAGTCAAGAATGACCAAAAAACTTAATCGGCGCTAGCACAATGAGTGCATCACCAAAGATCAGTGACAACGGACCAGCCCATGCAGTTGTTGCGAAAATCAAACAAAGTCCATAACCTATTGCAGCAACGACTTCGAGTGCCCAAGCCAGCGTCATAAAGCCCTTGGTGATTAACCCTTCACATCATATGATCAAATATTCACAAAAAATCATTTTTTATTATTTATTGATTCGTGGAAGACTGTTTAAACTAAAAGTCATCAAAAATTTTGGCATATATCGGTATATTTATTTAAATCAATGATGATTAATTATTTAAATCTTGATATTTTACCAAAGATAATAATGAGATTGAATAACTTAGAGAGTTGGAAGACCAGTATGGGAATGGCTGGAAGTTGAAACCATGGAATTCAGTTGGTGTTGGAGCTCCTGCCCAAATCTCTGGAATAAGTTGAGCGTATTCTTCGGAACTGACCACACCTGACATTCCAGATACAATATTTTCGATAGATGCTGGGTAGAGGAAATGTGGATCACAATTTGTACCGTTGAAAAAGACACAATAGTTGGTTGGATAGAAAAATGCTAGAGTTTCATTCGATTTTACTGAACCAGAAAAGAATGCATTATATGTTTGGTCTGGGTTCTCGAGGATATTATCATTGATAAATTGGACTGCTGCGTTGACTGCTGATTTCACTTGACTTGGTGTGTTGGAACGCCACACTCTAATGGAGGTTGGATTCGAGTTTGGAACGGTCCAAGTATCGATAAGAGCATTGACCGCGAGTGCAGTCGAAAAGAATCGGTCTTCACCAAGACTTTCTGGTTTTCCAAAAATATTGGTAGAGTTTTCACCTAAAAAGTCATCCCAATACTGTTGGTTGATCATCTTTGAAAGAAGTCTCGATGTTCCTGTTCCCTGCATGAGTGTGGTGAGTGTGTTTAGAATATAGGGCAATGGGTAGGGGAGTGGTGACTGTGTTTGCAACTCCTCGAGATTGTACATCAATCTTGAAACGAACCATGAGAAATCATAGATGCTTGGATAGTAGAGTAGAGCCAGATCTGGTCTATCATAAACCAATCCACTTTCAATGCCATAAACGATTAGCTTGGTGACGGAAATGCAGAGGTTTTGGAGATCTTTGCTTTGAGCAAGATATTGTTTTGCCTCTGGTTGTGTTTGAATTCCTGAAATGATACCGTAAAGTGAATTGGTGGCAACACTTAAGTCAACGTTATTGACATTGAATGGCATCTGAAGGATTGGATAGGTTTCAATCTGTTGCGTGACAGAGTTGAACCATGTACCTGGAAGAATGCACTCTCCATCGGTGTTGTTCCACTGCTCGAGGAAACCATGAATAGCATAGTAGGTACGTTGGTCAATGGTATTTTGGTCAACGGAATTTGAGAATGGTCGATATGCATACTTTAGATAAACATCAAAGAGTGCGGAAATATTTACATTCTTTTGATTCCATGTTGACCACTCGCTAGGATATTTGTCAGAGAGTTGGTATAACAAGTTACCCAAAGCAAGATTGCAACCAGAGTCGTCGGCATCCGATGGGATATGAAATACTTGCTTGTATCCATCGACCATTTGAGCGAGACCACTCATATCTGCAATAATCTCTGGATCGTTGAAGATCTTTGCGAAATAATCGACAACCCTTTGAAATCCACCGAAATGGTTCATCAGATCATCTAGATTGGTTGGATTCTGAGAGTAGACATCGAAAGTACTATTGTAGGTCTGTGGCCAGAAAGTAAAGACAGGAGTATCCTCGGGGAAATTGCCATCCTTGAAAGATAGTATTGCACTGATAGCATTGGCAACTACATTCTCTGATATTTTTATGCCACCATATCTCTCACTCTCCAATAGTGTATACAATACAAAGTTTGTAACAAACATGTTGGAGTCTGGAATTGCGCCATGTCTTCGCTCCTCTGTTTTCAAATCATTGCCAAAAAAATTATAATGTACCTGACTCGGAAATTCACCTTTTTTTTCAGCAAATTGAATAAACTGAATATATTCCTGATCTTTTCTATTTTGAGATAATTTGTTAGTTATTGAAAAAGATAAAAAAAACTGATTTAAATTTACTTTATTTGATAATTTTCAACAATTTCTTGTAACTTTAATATTGTATTACTAATTGATAAAGATTGAGTGATACTAATATTATAAACAAATAGTGATATTAATAATATAAATAAATATTTCATTTTTAAAAAGAATAATTAAAAATGCATGAAAAAAAAAAATAAAACAACACAACACCCATCAGTAAGATGATCATGTGAAAAAATATCTTTAAAACAAAAAATCTTAAAAAATGAAAAAATCAAATTTGTGTGTTTTTATTTTCTTCCCTTTTTTGGACTTTAAAAATTTTTGATTTGCAGAATATTTTGTGGTTAAAATATTATTTAATATATTTATTTAATTTCTTAAATTACCCCAGAAGAGAATAGTTATAAGTTTAGATCACAACAGATAATTTAATCAAAGTGAAAGAAATATTAAATAAGATAATGTCTTACTTCTTGTCATTTGATCTAGTTTGTTTTTTAAAATTTATTGATTAATAATTTCTGAAATTATTATCGAATTGTTTAAACTTTGGACAATCATCATCAAGAAAAGTCTCCAAGTAATTCAAACGTTTGAATTTCTCAATGGCTATGCTAGGTTGCTTTTTGTAGAGTGAGAACAGTTTCATTTTTTTTAGGTTTTGAGATTTGATTTGCTTTTGGATGTTGGAAAGAACAGCTGGATCCTCTAGCAGCCAAATGAATAGGTCAAAGCAATAGATGTATGCATTGTATAGAGTCTCGTCGTCCCATAGCTCAGGTGCCAATTTCAAATAGATATACTTGGCTGTTTCGATCTGTTTGTTGGTAATGGCTGCATCCAGCATGGCAACGGTCAACACCACTGGCTGCGCCGACTTGGTAGCGCGATCTACCATGTATTTAAGAATTTCCAAATGACCATTGGATGCTGCAATTGCAAACGCTTGAAGTGAATGACCAATCAAGCAACTCTCAGTCAAATACACTACGATGTCAAAGTAGCCACGCGACACAGCGATATCGACCGCCATTTTTGAACCTATACACTTCATGTGCTCGTGCAAAAATTGGATGAAATCTAATTTACCATAGAGAGCCGCGGTATCTATTTCTCCCACATTGAAAGCTAGAGGTCGATCTCCTTGAACCATTTTGAATATATCCAACAGACCGTTAGACACTAGGAAAAAGAAATCGTTTTGAGTGAGCGTGTATGATTGGCATTCCGGGAAGTTGTGCAATAGGAACTGTATTGGTTCCGATTTCTTTCTTTTAATGTGTTCGTTGAAATTAGATTCTGGATATGGGATACTCCTGTCTTGTAGGTTTTCAAATACCCATTGAGCTGTTTCCATGTCGTTCTGGCGGAGTGCAGTGTCGATGAATTTGAATGGATACAGCCCACGACCTTCCGTTCTATTGAGATAAAGGAATTTCAAAACAGGCAAATAATCTGTATCGTTAAAAGTTTTCGGAGAGCATCCTTCGGTTCTGTTTTCATGGAGAAATTGGACCACGTTCAAATGTCCGGTTCTGGCAGCAACATCCATGGCTTGTTGATCGAATTCTGTCGTCCGGACATTCTCATGTAACCACCTAACAATTCCCAGTCTGCCATGACAAGCGGCATTAAACATTGCTTTTGAACTACATCCTTCGGTGCGATTCTCATGAAGGTATATAATGATATCAAGATAACCCAGTAGCGAGGCTGAATCGATGGCATCAGTAGTACAACCTTCACTTCTATGTTGATGTAGGAATTGGACGGTCTTTAGTTTTCCCAATTGAGCGCTTAAATCCATAACTTTTTTTGTAAATTGATAGTTTGTATTGAAATGTAACCATTTTATGATTGATTTTGATCGTGGCAAAGCCAATTTATCATCAGATATCGACTTTCTGTGATATAAATATTGTATTGGCTCCAATTCATCTTTTCGGAATGCATCTGCAAGCAGAGTATTACAATAATAGGTCACCAAAACCTCAGGAATGGTAGCATCCAACCATTTCAATATTTCGATTCGTTTTGACTCTGCAAATAGATAATCGGTAATTCCATTGATTTTGAATGCATTACCATCTCCTCCAGTACTGTTGATCTTCTCATAGAGATACTGAACAATCTCCAGTGAATTTGCTTTGATTGCACTGAAAAATCTATCGATTGTTAATTTGAAATCTTTGTGGGTATCGAAACATATCTCCACTACCGATTTCAGCAACTCTAGATCCTTGACAAAGTAGATAAGATTGTCGAGTGCAACCGAAAGCTCCGAAGGATAGAGCCGGCGAGCCATATATTTGACAATGTCGAAATGCCGTTTGTTGATAGCTATGTTGAAAACCGAGAGATCTTCAGTGGCGGTCTTTGGTTGCGGGAACACTCCACTGTAAAAGTAATCGAGTATCTCGAGGTGTCCGTATTTCGCGCATTGCAGTCGCATTCCAACGATGTAGTTCTTCACGGACACTGCTGTCACAGCGGACCTGGTTGTCATATCGGTGTGCCAGTTGTCAAGTTGATAGATAAACTTGATCTGTTCGAATCGATTGTGACGGATCAGCTCAAGAACCAACGCACGGATATCTGTCAGTGGTGGATTTCCTCCTCCTACCCTTTGGAAATAGTCGGCAATGAATCGATTGTCCACGAGTGTATCGTAGAATTGTGCGAGAACGTACGGTCGATCCAACAACTCGGACCAACTCCAACTAAACTGTTTACCCTCTATAGTCTTATGTATCCATCTAATATCACCAAGTATCTTTTCTCTTAATAATTTATTTTTAAATAATATAACATATAAATTTTTATTCATTCTTTTCTTTTTTATGCTTTATTATCATTTGATCAAAACTTTTTATTCTAAAAATGAATTTTCAAATTCCATAAAAAAAATTCATGCATCTCACTTATGATTAATGGAAAGACTTAAGATAAATGTGACACTATTTTGAACACAACAAAGATGAAATTCAAATAAGTCAACTTTGACAAATATTGATATGTTTTGACTTTATTTCTAATTAGTCTAAAAAAAACAAAAATTGTCCTTTGTGTGTTATTGCTTTTTTAATTTTTTTTTTGATCTACTGACATATATAGATGAACAATAATAATAATAATAATAATAACGATAATCAAAGAAATAGAATAGTTAATTTATCTCATCTTTTATTTATCAAAGATTTATTAATTATATAGATGATAATATAGATAGAATAGTGTTTACATTAGTTTGTAAAAGATGGTTCAATGAAAGAGGTAGATATCTATCTTTTAATACGAATCATATTCATAATATATTAAATAATGAACTTAAAAAGAATATGTTTTTAAATTCATATAAATCAATATATATTGACTCACTAAATAGAAAGAATAACTACCATCTTACTGTTGACGAAAGTGAAACATTTTTATTTGAATATTTTATGACACCAGGTAACACATCTTTTATCTTCAATAAAATAGATATAGTACAACACTAACATTCTGACTATACACTATTTTAGATCAACTTTTTGAAAAGAATGAGATTCCTTCAAATGTCAGCACAATTACATTACGAAATGTATTTGATTTGGAACGAATGTATCGAATGATATCTCGGTCTAATGTCACCAAGCTAAATGGGTGTAAAACATTAAGATATAAACTACCAGAGAATCTTACATATCTATCATTCCTGTATCAGTTTAATGAACCGCTGGTACCTGGTTATCTTCCACCATGCTTGAAAGAGCTACACCTTGAACGTTCTCAATTCAACCAGCCAATCAAATCAGGAGTTCTTCCAAACACACTGAAGGTATTGATCTTTGATACATTATTCCGGCAACCACTCGAACCAGGTCTATTACCATCGTCATTGAAATCTCTAAAATTCAAATGTTATCACACTCTAAAAGTTGGATCATTACCTCCAAAACTCGAAGAATTGTATATCTCCATTGATAGAAGCCTGACAATAGAGGATGGAGCGTTACCTTTGACAATTAGCAAATTGGCAGCACCAATATGGCTACTTCCAACAATCAAATCATTGGCAAATCTTAAATCTCTATCACTACTCTATAGTGGCCAAGACGAGACAATAGATTTAAGTTATCTTCCACGGTCAGTCACAGAACTGAATATTGATAATGGAACATTGATATCAACGATACCATCATCAATCAAACACCTAACACTGTGTAATGTTGAATATGGTAATATCGATGAGATATTCAAAGATCGATCGCAATATCAACTAGATTATCTAAGTATACACGTACACACACATGAATCACTAGAGGGATTGAACATCAAGGAGTTGGTTGTTGAGCTTCACTCTATAGAATACAAAAATGAAGATTATTATGAATATAGTGCGATACCGGATGGCGTTGAAACACTTCGAATTGGAAATGGGATCTCGATATTCACCAATGACGTTCCAACATCAGTTCAAACTTTACAACTTTTTTCCTTGGACTGCATTTTTGCTGAACGAAATGAAACTCTCCCAACTTCACTGAAAGAAATGGTCATTGAAAATGATGAAGATATCGAACAACAATTTATAGGTGATATGGTACCATCATCTGTTCGTTCAATGACATTACCATCATTTAGACTTCCATTCTCTCATATTCCCGATAATCTTATATTTTACAGACCGATAGAAGAGATCGATGAAAAAATATGCTTAAGAAGAATTGACGATCAACATTATCTCTTCTTCACTGAAGAACCAAATTATTTTTCTGCAATTGTACACAGATCACGAATGAAAAGAATAGAAGCATATTATAAATCAAAGTTTTAAGATTATCAACAAAAAAACTCAAAATAAATCAAAATAAAATTATTACTTTGATGTTATAGAAGAAACACTATAGATACCTTTTCTTTACAAAATTAACATTCAGCAGAGTCACCTAAGAATCAATTTGAAGAATTTTAATTTCATGAAACTAAAAGATTTTATAGGTATATTTGAGGAGATTCATGTTTTTTAAAGGAATGATTAAAAATAAAAAAAGAATTCGACTATCTATTGTTTCATCCACACAAACATGAATCACTAGAGGGATTGAAAATCAAGGAGTTGTTGAGATGCACTCAAGAGATTAATTAAGAGACAACATTAATAAAACGATGTGGATGGATTGGATTGTCTCTACTAATGAAAAAACTTACGAATAAGAAATATCTACATAAATGATATTGGTAATATCGGCTACCACTCTACATAATGTCTTTGGAGGTATCGATCTAGATTCACTTTAACAGTATCTCTTCTTCAGCGAAGAACCATACTATTTATCTGCAATTATTCATAGATCCCGAATTACAAGAATACTATTCTATTATGGCTCTATTTATTAATTATTTATGAATAAACATTGTATAGTATTAAAGATTATCAACACTATATTAGTCACCTGTATCTATATATCTATCTTTTATTGTTATAGTTTTTTAAATACACAAGTGGTTTGAGATTGACCTTGAGAACCACCGAATTTGAAAACAGGATATTGAACGTTGTGTGAGAATGTATAGTTGGAGTGCAATGTAGTGTCGGTATTGCTTGTGAAATATTGTTGAAGTTCTGCGTTGGTGTAGTTGCAGCTGGTAATAATAAAGTAACCACCACTCTTAAGAATCTTTGATACTGTTGTTTTATAATCAAACTTTGCTTGATCTCTCTCTTCGCTCAAAGCCATCGCATCGAAAGTACCTTTATCAACAACAACATCATAGCTATTTTCTTTTATAATTGAATTTCTAATATCATCAACCTGTATATTACATTTTGTTTTTTAAATATAGATAGTTTGTTAGGTTATCATTATAATTGATTGTTATTTAAAGTATGAAAACCTTACGAAATAATTTATATCTATAGATTCTGATTCTGCGATCTGTTTTGATAGATCGATAGCTTTGGCAGAGTAGTCGGAACCGTGTAGATTTGTGAAACCGAGTTGAGAGAGTTCGACGAGAGTATATCCGTTACCACAACCTATATCTAAAATAGCTGCATCTTTACTGATGTCTTTAATGTTTGCAATATCTTTACACATTTTCTTTAGACATGTCTCACCAAACCATATTTCACCTACATCACCTGTATCATTGAAGCAATTGATTTCTCTATCATAGCATTCATCCCAACTAACATTTAAAAACAAATTGATTAGCAAAATGAAATGAAACTAAAAATATATGTCTAAATAATAAACTTACTGTTCTTTAGTTCCAAGTTTACTACTTTCAACTTCAACTAATTGTTCACTATTACTACTACTCATTGTATAACTATATCTATAAATATATATCTTTAATTAAAGATAGAAAAAGAAATCAAATCTTGTCGTCTGACGACACCCACTATCAATCAGTGCGATCTAAGTTTTTTTTGTAAAAGACAAAAAATAATAAATTTGTTTTTTTTTTTTTAATATTAGTATTATTAATAAATAAAAAATAAAATTATCTATTTTATTCTTGTTCTTCAAATAGATGGTTAATCTTTTTATAGTGTTTGATGGGAATGATTCCACCGACAAGAGTCTTCTTTTGGGTGTTGATTAGAAGCAGATGATTGTCATCGATCTTTCGCATTTTAAAGGTGACTTCCTCCTCGATGTCGTGGATGTGTATGGTTGTTATGGTTGGTGGCAACGACTCCATATCGTTGTGTCTGAAGAATCCACCGGCTACCGTTATCTTTTTGACGGAGGCTGGCAGTACGCCGGCTGCCAACGGATACTGATAACACTGGAATCTGATGTGCTCGATGCAATTGGGTATCGAGCCTGGTCTGAATGGTTTCGAATATTTGTAACTCAATATGAGCTCTTTGACCGAGTGGGGAAAGACATCGACCGACAATTCTTGATTGAAAAGCGAGCCGAGATTCAGGCTTTCTACACCGTCCGGTATGCTTCCTGGCACCAATACATCGTTAAAGTAGGTTGGCAACGTCAGTTTCTTTATTCTCTGCGGCAGAGTGTGTGGTTTCATTTCGTGGTTGTTGTGTAGACCTAGCTGAAGCACCTGGAACTGTGCCGACACAGGGAAGAGGCACGGCTCCAACATGTTGAAACTTCCGTTGCCCAGATTCAAGAATTGCACGGATGACGGTATCATTCCCGACCTTAGCTTGTAGTCTTTGTATCCAAAATCCAAATTGGTGATCGTGAGTGGCAGTGAGCGACACATCTCCAAACTAACTTTGTGTTTACTCCACGACAACAAGAGATTACGGATGTTTGGCAGAGACTTTAGGTGAGGCAGCCACAGCGATGACATATTGTGAATGGTGTGGAGTGATGTTGGAAGTATATTTTCTTTGATATCAAAGTGGTAGGAATAGCGATGGAATAACAGCTCTTCGAGATTGGCAGGCAATGAACCTTCCTCTAGTAGCTGTCCAAAAAATCGACCGAATCGCAGGTACTTTAGAGAGGATGGAAGAACGCCCGGTTTAATAGGCTGATCGTATGCATCACTCAGAGATAATCGCTCCAATGACTGAGGTAGACTACCAATTTCCAATCTATGGTTATACAAATCATTGAATTCACTGAACAAAACGATCTCCTTGATGTTATCTGGCAAGCAACCCGGAGCAAAAGGTTGATTGTAATCCGCTCCAAATTTCAAGCTCGTAACATTTGACTCTGCCAACTTTGATTTCAAAGCATCTACACTTCTATTATATTTCTCAGAGAATACTACTTTAGTTATATTTTTAGGTATTATATATTTTGATTGTATAACTTCATCTGTTATTATGATTAAAAAAAAGATATAATATTAATTAATAAAATAATAATAAACTTTATTATAAATAAACTAATTTCATACCATAAGTTGATATATAATCATATTCTAAATTGATATTTATTTCATTTTTATTACCAATGAAAAGTGTACAGTTTTCTTTTAATTGTTTAGAGTTTTCCAATTGATTGGCGTAGGACCTCAAATGAAAATTTTTGAAATCCCCAATCAATTGTGATTGTAACAAACCGTAGCTCTGATTAAACAATAAATACTTATTTCTATCTTGAAACCATCGTTTACACACCAAACTAAAACAAATACGATCCAATGTATCCTCTAGATTATTTATGATTTGAAATAACAATAAATGTGGTAGATTCACAATTTGATGTGAATGGTTACTGTTATTTGTAATCAACATTATATATTATAATGTTTTAAAAAGTTATTAACTAACTAATCTAACTAATATAAAAATATATATTTATATATATATTAAATAGCTATCTATCTGTCTTCTATATATCTAGCAGTGATTAACATATGTTCATTGATTTGGATTGTTGTTTTTTTTTCTTCTATGTTTTCTCTGAGAAAATCAAGTATGTAATGTTTTTTTAAGTTTATTTTTTAGGTCGATTTAATATTTACAGATATCAAGTGATTCAAAAAAACAATAACCATTATTATATTGTGTGTTTAATAAAAGGGTATGGTTCGCACTCACTATGTACCCAGTCAATGGAGTTACCTTGGAATTTTTAGATCAGAAAAATTCATGCGAAACCATCAACACTTCATACCACCCCATACCCAATCAAAATAAAGAAATAGTTAAAAAATAAAATGAATAAGATCTGATCTATCAACAAAAAAATGACCAATTTTGAAAATTTGTTCACATAAAACACAAAAAAAATATCCAAAACTGTTTGAACGAAGAGGAAAAAGTGTTTGCAAATATTGTTAATTAATTAATGAAAATAATTATTGTGATCATAAATGTCTTTTTTTTTTTTTTGATGTAATACTATATTTATTATAATCAATCAATGATGATCATATTATTGGAGAAAAAGAGATTTGAAACTAAAAATAACACAAATATGATAGGATATGATATTTACAATTTATTTAAAAAGTTTATTTTTTATTTTTTTTTTTTTTTTCTTTAAACATTTGGATCTAATAAGATCGTGAATTGAATGGAGGCTGTATAACTTCCTGCCCAACTTCCTTCATTGAAATTTGGACCCAACAACATATAGCCCTTCTTGAGTTGGTAGCTATCCATCTCGACGTAGCTACCCTTATCGAGTTTAGTTCTCAATTTGCAAACGAAATAACCGACTTCTCGGTTGTTGGTGTCGTCTGTGACGTTGAGCACAAAGTCGGTGTTGGCTGGCCAGAAACCATACACATTGCACATTGTCGAATTGTATGGTGTGGTATTATAGATTGTTCCTGGACCAGAGCCAACGTCAACGGTGAACGACAATGGGTTCTGAGTGGAGTTGGTGACGGACACTACGCAGTCGTAGTAGCTCGGTTGTGTGGCAACGGCGAAACTCCAACCATTGTTATTCTTGAAAAAATCATCTTTCGAAACCGAGAGATCGATCCAAAGCTTGTTCATGAGATCGTCACTCGGGAACTTTGAATTATCGTCACGGTCGGCGATATAATAAAGATTATAGGATCCATCCGATAGCTCTTCTTGTAGGTAGCAACTGTCTGGGATTCCACCGGCACCACCGGCAAAGCCAAGAACTGTGTAGATAGTATACTTGGAGGGAAGCAGCATTTGGAGTACCGATATGTCATAGCCGTTCTGACTGCTGGAGATGAACTGAGAGTCGAAAGTCGGTTGCCAATTGAGCGAGTTGGGATCGTCAACTGGTAGGAGAATCAATTTGTTGACCGCTTGAAGCATTCCCCAGTCTTGAAGAATGGTAGCTTCCATGTTCTCGACATTTCCCAAGAGGTAAACAAAGTTATCACTGAGGGTTTCCCAGAGCTTGGAGATTTGCAATTGGAATGGATCTGGACTGATTGAATTCTCGGAAGATTCCGCTGCCACACCGATACTGACAGCGGTATTGATCAAATTGGCCAAAATACCGAGGAAAGGAGTTTCAGAGGACATCGCCGAGAGTACGGTATAAACCAGGCCAGAGAAGAAATTTAATATACAGATACCCAAGCTGAGTTCTGATTGTTGTTCTATACCGGCGAGAGTGCAAAGACTCTGCAAACGGAATCCTTTATCGATGAACAGGGAGTTGTGAAAACCTTCATAGTTGGAGAATAAGTTGATGACAGATTGGCAGTACGTAAGTTCTTTGTTGAGTTGGTTTCTTACTTGATAGAAATCGGCGGCATTCGAAACGTTTCCTGGCACTTGCATCTGGTTGATTATCGATTGGTAGGAAATGAGCGAAACGGAAAGGTTGCTGTATTCCTGACGTAGATCTGGTACACCACAGGCGCTGCACATATCCTGGTAGGAAGTTTGCAGGTCATCGCCTTGGTCGTAAGCAGGGAAAGCGACTGCCGGTTGCATGATGACAAAGTTCAGTGGAAGCGAAGGAACCATTTGCCAGACATACGACAGGTTGTTGTTACCAGGAGCCACAATCACCTTGGTACTGTTTGCCGGTTGTACAGGCGAGATCTGTCCACCGTCCAGACCGAGACCGAATTGATTGTTACCGTTGGTAAGATAGAAACCGGCGGTGATATCTTGGCTATCGACCAAGTTGGCATTCCAGAATTGGCTGAGAGAGTTATTGTAGGTGTCGATGACACACTCGAATCCACCCCAGTCAAGCTGATCACCGAGTCCAACCACTAGATTCTGACCGAGCTGCGATATGATTCTGCCATCCATTGTCAGTTGGAACATTTCATTCTCGGCGTTAGATTGGTATGGCCATGTGATACACTGTGTTCCCGATACCGCTTGTTTGCCCTGCACGTTCAGCACCATCGGATTGCCATTGACATCGGTTTGCTTACACTTGAGGAACACCCATTGTGGTACGGAAGCAATTCTATCGATTGGTGTTGCAACCAATTTCTTACCATTAAAAGGTTTGGTTACCAATGATTTTTCAGATTTTTCGAAAACCTTTACATCTGGTGATGAATTTAAATTAGTTTTTTTGTTTTCCAAATCTGTTGATTTTTGTTGTATGTGTTTTGATTGTTTTATATCCATTGTTTATTTATTTATTTAATTTATTATTATTTATTATTGATGTTTTTTGTTTGTGTTTATTTATTATTTGTTAGTTTATTGAGTTAGTGATATCATTTTGGTGTGTGAATTCATACCTTTTTATAGTAAACCTTTTTTTTGTATTTTACATTGCAAGAAGTACTTTGCCCCAAAAGAGGAAACACTAAATAATAATATTAATTAATTAATATTATGATATTTTGGAACAAGACAAATGATTGTTCAGAGACACGAACAAAAGAAGATCGAAAGTGTCTCAAAAAAATTTCACAAAAACACCAAAAAAAAAAGTTTTATTTTTTTGCACCAACCACAAAAATCTTTTAATGTTTTAGGCTGTGTCGTGGAACAACGATATTTCTGATCCAATAGATGATCGACTTATCGTAATAGATAGCATGACTCCTTTCCACTATTTTTTATTTTATTTTGCCGTCGTGGAAACACATGAATCATCTTGCAATCAAAATGAGATTATAGATAAACTGTTTTATATTAATCGTGATCTCCTGTCGTCATATGTATTTTCATTGATAATAAATAGTTCTGTTTTTGTGTATCAAAATGAAATTAATCGGTTGTATTGGTAAGAACATAACATACTACCCCCTATTTTTAATTGTTGTGGTTCTTGACACACAACACGATAAAATATTGAATTGTTGTTGTGTGAACATTATAATGTGTGTTAAAAAAAATAATAATACTAAAATAGTTGTTATTATTTGTAATAATTGTAATCTCTAACCAAAAATTATATATTTTCTAAAGTATTTTTGTTGTTTAATCAAAAATATAATGATTCTTTTAAAACAATTTGATTTTATTTATTCTAATAACTTTTGTAATGTTATTGATAATTGGTATTATACAATTTGATAAACAACAACAATGAATGATAAATTACAAATATCTAAAACTATAAATAACAATAGAGATAGTCCTGTTTATAACATCAAATCAAAATCTAATAATATATTTTAATATTAAAAACTAAATTAAAAAAAACTAAAAATGTTAATTAGTAAATATTAATTTATTTAATATGGATTTATATAAATAAAGTATTAATATTAATTTTTATAAATTTAGATGCTATCTCATCTTTGTTCAGTTTCTCCAATTCATCTGTTGGCAACACAATAAAATCCAGTGGAACAGGTGCAATGGTATCTCAAGGAACCAATAAAGTTACTATCGTTAGTACAACCATTCAACATGGTACTCAAATCAATGCTGCCGGTACAAGCACCAACCTGGGAGGTGCTCATCAAATAGAGGCTTAAAATAACATAACAAAACAAAACAAAACAAAACAATAAAATTGTAAAAAATCAATTAAAATTTTGTAAAAATTATCAATAGATATATATCTATAAATAAATTAAAAGTTTTTTACTTTATATGATTTTAAATTAAAAAACTAATTGTTCTATCTATAAGTAATAGTAATTAGTAAAGTTGTAGTTTGTTTTGTTTTTTATTTAATTTACATACCATAATAATAACGTTGAATATTATTATAAACCGTTTTAGAAAGTTTAAATGTTTGTGATTGGTTCATGAACAGAACTATAGTTGGTGGACGACCGTCGATGAGTTTAATTTTTCTTTGTGCAACTATATCTACTATGATAATCGAATGACATTGTTCTAGTAATCTGACAAATTTAAATGTGTCATCAATAGACTCACAGAAAGAAAGTGATAACTTTAACTTTCGTAGAGTATCGTTCATAGTAAAGAGTGGTTCGAATAGAATACAACTAGTTATATTATTTTTCTTATTATTATGGTTCGTCAATGTTAAATCAACCAATCTATTTTCTTTACATCCCAATGATTTTAACCAACTATTATGATAATCGCTATTATTTTGATTGTTATTATTATTATTATTATTATTATTATTAGAGGTTATTAAATTTGTTGATAGTTTATATAGATTTGATATATAGCTTGTTGGATTGAAGTGAATCTTGTAGCTTTGATTTTGATTACTATAATATCGATCATAGATTTTAAATGTTAATTTCCTAAGTGTTGAATTATGTGGTTGTACATATGATTGATATTCTTTTGAATATTTATCGATCTTATCGATATAATAATTATCATTATCTAAACTATCGTCGACTTTATAGTTGAGTTTACCAATGATTATTTTCCTAATGTTACAATTCAAGAGAAGAGCACTTAATACTGCATCATCAAAGTCGAATAGCAATATTACAGTACGGAGTGTTTGACACGATCTTAGAAACTCTAATAGTGGAGGTAGTATCTGTGGAACTGTTAGAAAGAATTCAAATTTTACCAATTGCTTACAGTGCGATAGAAACTGCAGTTCCTTGGTGATCGTGTGCTGCTGTGGCAATACTACTTCATAGCGGAACTTTCGGAGTGATTCGCATGAGTCTTGCGGTATGTCTTGATCGATGGTTCTATCGCTATAGCAATCTAGCTTTTGCAAGTACCGATTGCAAAGTAGCTTCTCCCTATTGATACGGTCTGACGGTGTCTGGTCTACCAAATCGAACAGGTTCAGTGGGTAATAGTATTTTATTGGTACGTGGAAATCGGAGAGCTTACTAAAGTTCTTTAGGTAATCGATGATACCAATCGCTTTATTTTGTCTATTTATTACTATTAATAGTGCCATGATATAGTCGTAGTGCAACGGTATTTGAATGTCTAGAATGATTTCAAATCGTTGACATATTCTTGAGAACACCGATAGCGTTTCGGTGGTGGGTGTGAAACTTTGTATTTTACAAACTAGTGATCTACAATGACTCAATATACAATATTGATTATCTAATAGATGAATAGAATCACATATTGTCTGTTTAGATGAATTCATTGCATTTGTATGTTGCTCTGGTTGTTGTTGTTGATTATATTCATTTTGTTGTATAAATGATGATGATGATGATAGAGATTGAGCTGATAATAATAATATAGCACTATACTTTCGCTTGGAATTGGAAATGGCATTACTCATAAAGTCAAACCAACGCTTTGACACTAAATTCAATGTCAACCTCCATTTATAACTACATATCTTGTCATTAAATAAGAGATCAAATATTATTTTTTGAATATAACTATTAAATATAATTGAACAATCTTGATCGGACATAAACATTATGGTGAATAAAAAAAATACAAAATAATAGTAATTTAATTTAATTTTATTTTTTAGACAAAAGTAGGTTGATGGCTTTTTGTAATTTATTCTTTTGATGTTTTTCATTTGTCGATACTTCTTGGTTGTTGTTGTCGGTATCACAAGAAGCTGAAATATCACAATTTCTCTCTAATGTTATTGTATTGTAAGGAGAAGTTTTAAAAATAAATGTTAGTAAAATAAACATATAGATCTTTTAATCGATCAATCTCTTTTTGTTTCGGTGTTGATGCATCATACCAAAAATATTATGTTGTAAAAACTCTAATTTCCTACTTGGTTTTGTGGTAGCTTGTTTGAAATGTTCTGATTTCTTGATTTGCGATAGAATCGAATTGGGACGATCTCCAACCGTCATGATATCCACTGTATATATTGTTGAATTCGATTCGAGTAGTGTGGCGATTTGCTTGACATCGCTAGGTTTGTATCGGATGGTGCTACCGATGGTTAGCTTACTTAGATAGTTACTCTCTTGAAGTAACGCCTCCAATGGATAGCACTGTGAAGCTGGTATCTGGCTAAGTGAATCTGAGGCTATGCAATCCTGATTGGAATTGCCCAGACTAAGATGCACTAGAAACGTACCGAGTGAAAGATATACCAATCCTTTTATATATTGCAACGGATTGTTGTAGATCCTGTATTTCTCGTTGTTGTTAGATCCGGTACGATCGGATTGGTTGTCTTTAAATTTTAATTTTACAAGTGTTGTATTCGGTTCGTTCTGTTGTTGATACTTCTTGATGTAGTTGTTCGCCAGTCGGTTATCCAATGATTTCTCAAGAGTTTGCGGAGTACTCTTGCCGATGGTTAGCTTCCTTATATTCCTATTGAGCAGAATTGCACAGAGAATCGAGTCGGTGTAGTCAAAGATCAGTTGTACCGATGTCAGAGTTTGGGAGCTGTTGATGAATTCAAGTAGCGGCTCAATATGGTTATTCGATTTAAAGAGAAAGCTGACTTTGGTGAGACGACTGCACTTTTGGAGATAGTCTATTTCATGGTTGATCGGATACGGATGATGAATACTATATTCAAACTGCTTGATCGATTTGGTAATCTTTTGGGGACTCTGGTCGTCGTCGAGCGGCGAATCAATCGGGGCAGTCGTAGTACATGACAATCTCTGCAGCTTGTCGTTGTACAAAATCTTTTGTTTGATCAAACTCTCCAGGTTATCTCTCAGGTGAAGTGTCATTGCAAGATTGATCGGTGGAAAATAAATGAGTGGAACACTTAGACTATTGAGAAGATTGATACTTCTATCGGGATACGACTTGATTCCAACCACCGATTTGCAGCTGCCATTCAAAGTTTGGAGAATCGACTGCATCGTGCTATAGGAGATGGGCACATTGATATCGATTGCCATCTGGAATCTCTCACAGATTCGCCCGAAATGCTCGAGATACTCCTGTTTGATAGAGTTACATAGTTCGAAGCGTCGATTGATTTGGACCACCACTGTTTTGGCATGTCTTAACATACAGTACTCTCTGTCCAGTAGATGAGTAACCCATCCTTCGATGTCTCTCACCGGTTTCAGTACGTCGGTCAGCTTATCGGATGACCAAATATTGCAGAGAACCTTACGATCAGTATTGATAATAGAACATCGCATAAAATCAAACCATCTTTTTGACACTAAATTCAATGATAATCTCCATTGAAAACTATATAGCTTATCATTAAACATACATGAAAATAATATCTCTTGTATACAAATATTAAAATGATAAGTCATTAATGATTTTTGTGTTTTTGAGGTGTGGTGTTGTGGAGCTACTAATCAAGATGTTACATTGCCAAAGGTTTTATAACAAAGATTTACATAAAAATAAAATTAAAAACTGATCAGTTTTTTTTATTCTAAAAATGGAAATTTTAAAGAAATCTGTTTTTTTTTATTTATTCATTTAAAAAAATCTAATTTAATTGGAAGATCTGATTCATGAACGATCGCAGATATAAAGGTTGGTTCTTCACTGAACAAGAGGAAATGATGATCGTCAAGTCTTCGTAACCATATTGTATTTAAAGATTTTAGAACAAGATTGTTGGGTATTAGAGGATGTGGAAGTTGAATTGATGGTAGTGTCAGTGATTGAAGTGATGGTGGAAGAACATCATTATTAAAGTTTATTACTCTAAAATATCCTTTATAATCATCTATTATTACCAACTCTTGAAGTGTGTTTGGAATGGTTATATTACAAAGAAAAGAGTCTTCTTGTATTGAACTAATTGTTAATTTCTGAACTGATGGTGGAATTTGAGGTAGCTTTTGATTTATATCCATTGAAATATATAATTCCTTAATATTCAGACCATAGAGTGATTCAATTTTTTTTTTTTCTACAAACATGAAATCAAATTGATTGGAATGATCTTTGAATATCTCATCGGCATTGCTATTAAATATTACAAATATTAAACTCAAATGTTTGATTGATGGTGGTATTGATGGTATTAAAATTCCTGAAGAAATGTACAATTGTGTGAGTGAACATGGAAGATAACTCAAATCAACTACATCATGTTCATTATTAAGTAATGTTAATGATTTAAGATTTGAAAGTGGTTTGATTGATGGAAGCCATGATCCAGGTATTGTCAATTTTTGAAGTGTCAAAGGTAATACTCCATCTTCTATTGTATGTCTTCCACTGTAGTATTTGAATTCTTCGAGATTCGGAGGTAATGATCCAACTTTCGGAACAGCTTTATTTAGGAGTGAAAGAAATTTCAAAGATGATGGTAATACACCTGGTTCAAATGGGTTTTGGACTGATTGATTGAAAAACAAATACTCGAGTGTGTTTGGGAGAGCACCTGGTTTAATTGTATGTTTGGAATGGAAAATGACATTTTGATATTTGAGAGATTTCAAGTGTGGTGGAAGATAGCCAGGGAACAATGGGTCTTTAAAATCTATTGAAAATGATAGAGATGTAAGATTCTCTGGTAATCGATATCTTAATGTTTTACAATTCTCCATTGTAGTGACATTGGATCTAGATATCAATTGATAAATCTCTTCTAATTCTTTAACATCAGAGCCTATCGATATCGTGTTGACATTGGGAGGTATCTCATTCATTTGAAGAAGTTGTTCTTCTAAAATAATAGATAGATTGTTAATATAATATCATTATTTTAAGTTCTAATAATAATTTATTAAACAAACGAGAGTTCATGTAATATTCCGCATTTCTACGATTATACTTGGAAATGTACAGATGATAATCATTCTTTCTATTGATTGAATCGATGTATATTGATTTATATGAATTCAAATTCATATTATTCTTATGTTTATCATTGATGATGTTGATATGATCAGTTTTAAAAGATAGATATCTATGTCTATCATTGTACCATCTTTTACAAACTAATGTAAACACTATTCTATCTATATTATCATCTAAATAATTAATAATCTTTGATAATAAAAGATGTGATAAATTAACTATTCTATTTGATTGATTTGTTATCATTATTATTATTAATATATATCAAAACAAAACTGGCTCTTGCTTGTAACCATAAATCGAATAAAATAAAAAAAACCACCCAGATCACATTAACCCCACTAATTTTTAATTTTTACTTTTTTTTTAAAATTAATGCGCAGGCGAAAGTTGTTGGGAGCCAGTTTTGTTTTGTAATTTGTCAATAAAAAAAAATAAAATGTTTTTTCTTGATCAAGAAAAAAATCAGAATAATTGAGCCATGCAATCGGAATAGTTTCGTTTAACGCATGATTAGATCAGTTATTCGAAATATAGATAAAATGTTTAATAATAATAATAATCAATTAAATAGGATAGTTAATCTATCACATTTGTTATTATCAAAGATAATTAAATATTTAGATGATAATATAGATAGAATAGTGTTTACATTAGTTTGTAAAAGATGGTTCAATGAAAGACAAAGTTATCTATCTTTTAATACTCGTCATATCAACATCATTAATGATAACAATAATAAATATATACATTTAAATTCATATAAATCAATAATCATTGATCAAATCAATAGAAAAACTAAATGTAAAGCTGTTGTTGGTAATGAATTGTACAAGTATAGATATGATTATCTAATATCAAAAGGTAAATCAAATATAAAGATAAATAAAACATATATCAATGATACTAACAATAATATATCTATTTGTTATTTTTAGATGAAATTGGTGATATTGATAGATTAAAAACATTAAACATTGATAAAATATCGATTAGATTGGAAGATATAGAAGATAACAAAGAGAATATCAATAATTTCTTTCAATTGATATCTCATTTAAATATATCAAAGTTAAAGAATGTTCAATCATGTTCAGGATTACCAATGAATATTACATCGATGTCATTCTACAATTCGTTTAATGAAGAGATAGTACCTGGATGTCTTCCACCAAATTTGAAAACACTAAAGTTTGGTCGATATTTTAATAAACCAATCAAATCAGGAGTTCTTCCAAACACATTGATTAAATTGATTTTCAACGAGTCATTCAATCAACCAATCAAACCAGGAGTATTACCATCATCTTTGAAAGTTCTCAAATTCAAAAAAACCACTTTCATTCAAGATATTAAAGTTGGAACATTTCCACCGAATCTTGAAGAACTGGAATTCTCTGGAAACAGTACTACCATCGAAGATGGAGCTTTACCTCAAACACTTAGAATACTTGAGTATGCACCAACATCATGGTTACCACAAATCAAAACACTTCCAAATCTAAAGACATTATCAATCAGTTTTTTAACACAAGATACTCAAATGGATTTGAATTATCTTCCAGTTTCACTCACAAGATTGGAAATATTCGCAGAGATCGAATTGGTCAATGTAATGCCACCAACAATTAGATATCTGGATTTGGAGAATTGTAGTTATGATTTCAATAGTGTATTCAAAGATAGATCGATTTATCAATTGGATTATCTCATGTTATATCCAGAACTAGGAGCATCTCTTGATGGCATGAAGATCAAAGAATTAGAACTCTATGTGACAGCATACAGGGCTGATATGAACAAATATGTGGATATTCCATTTGGTGTTGAAACACTCTTAGTTCAACATGTACGGAGATTTAGAACAGAGATACCAAGTTCAGTGAAAAAGTTAGTTCTTTCCAAAGATCTCTTTGGAATCGATGTAGTTCAGAAAAGATATGACATGACAGGTTCAGCTTCAATTCAAGAATTGGTCATAATCTGTAATGAATCATTATTTTCTGATATACCATCAATGATCTTTCCACCAAATACTTTAATAGAACTTCCCAATATTCGAAATGAAAAGATTTGGATTCGAATGATTGACAATCAATATTACCTTGTATTCAGTCAATCACCTATCATGACATCCGTTGTCCATGCATCACAACTATTCCGTTACATTCTTAACATTGTTAGTGAATACCAAAATTTAAAAAATCAATTGTAATCGCATTAATAATCAAAATAACTTACATTGTTATTTTTCAAACAATTAAAAGAATATTACAAATAGTTTATTTTAAAATGTTAATACAGCAATTATAACATTAGTGACAAATTTTGTTGATATAATTGCTTGAATGTTATTCGACGTTGTTTATAGTATTCGTGTGTTTGTTGATTTGGTGTGTGACGTTTTACAAGTGGTAGTTCTGAAAGAAATTGTTGTATTGGTTTATCTTTATTTAAGGCGATCATCGCCAATCTAGCAGCACCAATTGCTGGGCCAACTTCTCCACCTCGGTACCGTATAGGAGTGTATAGCCGGTGATATCAGCCAGCATCTGTCTCCAATAAGAACTATGTGCACCACCACCAACCAAAGTAATACTGGTTGGCGTAAATCCAGTTTCATGCATAACCTCAATACCATCTAGCAACGAAAAACCAACTCCTTCCAGGACACTCTTGCACAGATCAGCACGCTGATGTTCAAGTGTCAACCCAAAGAATATACCATTAGCATTTGGATTGTTATAAGGTGAAATCACAGGTGAGTTGCTACCGGATGTACGTGAACGCTGGGGATGAAAAAGAGAGCAGCGTGGCGGTGGTGATTGCTCGACAGAGCATCGGGGTTGGTGTTTGCCAGCCAGGTCAGGCAATGTTATTGATTGGTACTTCAGGTGTATATTTTGCAGTCAGAATCAATCTATATTCAGCAGTACACAGTTTATGTCATCGTCCTATGCAATTCATCGCTCGCAACCCAATCCAACTTTGGTGCTGTAATGCCTGTCATCATTAGATTACTGGTTATCCTTCACCAATGAATCTAATTCTTCACATTGTTGAGCGCAACGACCATCATTCCAGAGAATAGCAGGTCGCAATACTTTTTGATTCTTGTCTAGCAGTGTTGCACCACGCTTTTGACCACTGAGATCAATGGCAACAACTTGATCCAACTGGTGTTTGTAATTGAGTTGTTGTACTGCACGATCGGTAGCCTGCCACCATTCAGCAGGATCCTGTTCTTACCACAATGGATATGGTCATGAGAGTGTAAGAGGTTCACTATGACTTGCAACTAATGAACCACTTTCATTTATCAACACCACTTTTACTGCAGAGGTACCTAAATCAATGCCAACATACATTCTTATCTAATAACACTCTATATATAAATATGGTATTAATGATACTAATAAGATATATTATTTAGATGAGCTTGATGATATCGATAGGTGTAATTTCATTTTATCCCTCCCCAAAAAATGAAAAAATTTTGCACAGCTTTTGTGTTTTATCAAAGGCATTACAAATTCCGTATGATGTAGATAACATATAAAGTAAACATAGTTATCAACTTGGTTTTGATTCTAGAGAAAAAAAAATGACCTTTATTAATGAGTGAGTTTTTTTATTTTTTAACATAAATTGTATATCTATTGAAATTCTAAACCTAGATTTGAATATTTCTTTTAAAAAGGCGAATAGAAAATAATGCAAGAATACAAAAAAAATTGTGCAAAAAAACCCAACCTATAAAATGAAATAACACATTTAGATAATTAATGAAAACTGTTTATTAATTTTTTCTTTGGAAACCAATTATAACTTATTAACGATTTGAATAAAAGATTCACTTAGTCAAAATAATTAAAAATAGATAATCATTTATATTGCTATAGAAATATTGAATTAAGTTTTTTCAATTATTATACTTTTGTTTGGTCTTGGATTGGTATATCATAATAGCTTTCTTCCAATAAAATTCCTCTTCATTCTTCAACATTGTTTTGGTTATTGGCACTACTGTTGGAACTGAATTCTTTTTTGTAGTTCTCAATACCTTAGAACCTTTGACAAGTTGTGGTACTTGTATAGATTTTGGGAAACTGACAGAAAAACCCATAAAACTAAGACCAAAGCCATTGGTATACGATTTTGTATATACTATTTCTTCAGTTGGAACGACATGTTCTTCGAAACCGTTTTCTTCTTTATACTCTATTTTTGATTCTTGGTACTCTTTCATATTCTCTGGATTATTTATCAATTCAGTATATATCTTATTGATCTCTTGTTTCTTGAACTCCAAATCCTTCAAGTAATATGGCTTCAAATTTTGAAGTGATGGAACCAATCTATTGATTTGATCGGTTGATGGCTCCTTTACATTTACTTTGATTAAGTGATTTTTATATCCATCATAATGTTTTTCTGACATGAATGAATATTTATTCAGGACTCTGGTGCATTCTTCCATATGCAAATTAACAAGTCTATCTTCAGAGATATTTCTTTGATTTACAATGAATAGAGTGCTATCGACTACCGATGGAGAAAAGAACGAAATATAACTCTCCATATGAAGATCAATTCGAGCTCTCATGCTATAAGAGTCTTGAATGAAGATGATACCATCAATTTTGGAATCGGTGTTATTTCCAAACGTGTTTATCAAGAAATATTCAAGTTCTTCAACTATTTCCTGGTTGGATTTACCTCTGGTATCACAGGATCCAGGGGTATCGATTAGATTAAGTCCATTGAAGAATGGGTGAACTTTTCCTGTACCAGTGTATAGATGTGGAAATGATGTTTCTGCACTAAGGGTATGACCCTCTATTGCGACTTCAGTTGTGCAAAAAACTGAATTACAAAAAGTAGATTTACCTTTTAATTGATTTATAAAACTGATATGTTAGTTCAAAATCTATTTTTTTAAATTTATTATTTTCAATAAATATTTACCATTTCCAGATTCTCCTAGTATTAAATAGGTCTTTGAGGCTGATATCTCAAAAATAATATTAAACAGAATAAATACGGATATAATTTTTTTCATTATAAATTTTTAATTATTTCAATACAATTATCAATCTAGTTTGGTTTTTTATACCCAATTTTTCTTTTCAAAAAAATCAACTAAAAATTTAGGTTTTAATTCTTTTTTTTTTTCAAAAGCCATTAAAACAGCCCAAAAATTTTGTTAGGGGTGCCCATGGTTTACTATTATTTTTATTTATAAAAGAAATAACTATTTAAACTTCTAAAAAATTAAGTTATTTTTATATTTATTTAAAAGTTGATGAGTCACCAAACTAATATCTTTTAATAATTAAAAATTTAAGTTATTTTTATATTTATTTAAAAGTTGATGAGTCACCAAACTAAAATTGATTTTCTTAGTTTAGAAGCTTTGAAAAGTTTGTTTATTTAATCATCAATTTTTATTTTCAAAAATTTGTAATGATAATATTGTTTTTGCAAATACACAGTAAAATGAAAATTTTAATTCATCATTTAATATTTATATCTTTTATACTCTCAGTAATATCTGCATCAACACAATCGGATAAAAACATTTTAGTGTTGGTTGGAGAGACAGGTTCAACAAAATCATCAACAGGAAACTTTTTAATTTCTGATGATCGGTTCAAAGTCGGATTCTTTATTAAATCTCAAACCAAAACCACTCAATTAGAATGCCCTTCGTCTCCATCAATTCCTTGCATTCTAGACACACCAGGTTTAATAGATACTGATGGTTTTACTGACAATGAAATCCTGGAACTTATTAAATCAAAGTTATTGGTCGAGGCTCCAAACAAAAGAGTTAAAATTGCATTTGTATTAAACGGACAATCCATTAGATTAAGAATATCGACACTTCTTTCATCAATAATGTCTATATTTGGACCTAAAGTAATGGACTCTATGATTTTCTTGGTCAACTCTTGTGATAGTTTGGAGAAAAATGGCATTTCCAAAGAAAATTTCACCGATTATATCGTTAGTAATATTGGACATTTATATCAAAACCAAAAAACTCTAGTTGATAGAATCGTATATTACGATAGTCATAATAGTTTGGAAAAATATTTGCAATCGATTTTACAATCATTAGAATCAGTATCTCCTATCTCAATCGATGGTCTGAACGAATTAGAAATCGAAGCTCAGTCATGCCTCTTAAAAGAAATTGATAATCCATCAAACTGGAAAGTGTGGACCGAAAATCATCCACTTATTGTTTCTAAGACTGTCGACAAAACCGTTACTATCAAAGTACCTTATACACAAGAATGTAACTGTCGTAAAATTTGTAGAAAAAAAATATTTGGAAAGTGCATAAGAAGAAAAAAAATTTGTGATTCTTGTGTATATCATAGAGATGAAACCAAAACTGCTCAGGATATTGTCTACGAGACACATAACAACTATATTGAAAAGAAAGAGAGATTAAATACAGATGAATATCTCTTACAGAGATGTAAATCAGATATTTCCAATCGTATTGAATCAATCGTTTTGGAAGCTGTATCAATAAGAAATAATATCAACAGTTAATTGATAAAAGAAAAAAAAATAAAAAAATTTTTAAAAGATTTAATATCTATATCTTTTATTTTTGAAATTGAAACTAAAGAAAAAATCAAATAAATCAATATAACTTTCATAAATATTTTTGATATTTTTTTTATGTTTGATTTTTTAATACAAAATGTTGTCCGTCTAAGGACAATAGAGTAGCCGCTAACCGAGGTCAGATATTTTATTGGTCTTGTTGGTTAATACCGACATTTAATTAAGAATGTGTCATCTATTGAAATGCCTTTATTAAATCTAATTAAAAGTAATGGTAGTACTTTTGAATGGTTCAATTCCAATTTAAAAGAAGTTGAAGACGACAATGGAAATATATTTAATCAAATTTGGGTAATTGTCGATCGTTTCTCTAAATATGCATTGATTCCGACTCATAATACCTATAAATCCGGATTTGTATAATCTATTTATGTCAAATTATGTTAAATATATTGGGTACCGCGTGAAATTACTAGTGATAGAGATAGTAAACTTACATCAAAGGTTTGGCATACTTCGCCGATAAGATGAAGGTGAAGTTAAAATGCTGACCATCAACAAGCAAACGGTCAAACTGAGATTGTTATTAGAGCTATTAAAAATACTTAAGAAAGTTATTGTTAGAAGATATGATTAACGATCTAGATAAGAATTGGTACGAACATTTAAGTACAATTCAATTCTCTTTAAATAATATGAAATCTCATTCTACGGATTACACTTTTCTTCTTTATATTGGAAACAAAACAAAACTGGCTCCCAAACACTTTCGCCTGCGCATTAATTTTTTTCATTTTTTTTAAAATTAGTGGGGTTATTGTGATCAGAGTTATTTTTTTTTATTTTATTCGATTTATGGTTACAAGCAAGAGCCAGTTTTGTTGCTCACGAAATTTTTACAATGATCAATATCACATTTTTCAACTTTCATTTTAGCCAAAATAGCTGTTTTTCACTTTTTTTTTTGTTGATCATTTCTTTTTATTACTACTATTAGAATATTCAATGAATTAATAGTTAATAAATTTATTTAAATAAGAAAAGTCAATAAACAATAATTTTATATTAGATAATTAATTATATAGATTTTATTATTGGGTAAATATCTTGTAAAAAATATTCATGAATATTGTGAATGGTTCTAACTCATTTCTCTTTCTTTCTTTACTGATTTGTATACCTGTGGAATTAAGAATATTATTTAAATCATAATTATTTGTACCTTCACATGCTACTTCTATCGCAGTCACCTTTCTTTTTCTTGTATTAGATTGTTCAGTACCTTCTATTATTTCACCTTTATAGTATTTTTTTGTTGTTTTATCAAACACCAAAACATCCAATCTATCTTTTATGTTATTGACTGTGAATTCTTTATCCTCATCTATTGTTACTAAGTTGTGACCTATTAATGTTTCTAAACCTTCATTTCCTTGCTTAAACTTAATAGTATAACACCATTCGTTGTTTTCGTTGCTGTATTTAATGCTTTTGACAGTAGCAGGCCTCCATGTCCCAAAGTCTCTTCCATTGACCGCTTTTCCATAAACACTCTCACCTACAGAGAAGGCAGGAATAGGCAAAAGATTTTCGTTAATTAATGGTTGGTTCGCGAAAGTTGAAACTCTAGTTGTAGCAGTAGTAGCAGTAGTAGTAGCAGTAGTAGTAGCAGCAGCAGTTGTAGTAACAGAGGCAGTGGTAGTAGCAGCAGTGGTCGTAGTAGTGGTAGCAACCGCATTGGTAATGCTTGGATCATTCATTAGGTTTGGTACACCAGTTGAATTGTACCAATAACAACTTGATTCACTTTAGATAACATGCACCCATCAAGAGATATCTTAAGTGAAATGTTTTGTGGCACTTGGCTGCCTACCGGAAACTCTCTGTTAAACGCCAACTTTAGTAGATCTTTAAGACTGATGTACGAACGCTTTCCCTCTTCTACTGAAGATTCTCCAATGTTTCTGTATTATCAAGGTAATGAACATACAAAAGAGAATATTTGTTATTTAAATAATATTAACTTACCCTGTTGCACTTTCTTTACTTTTGCTAATGAATAATTCCTCGATAGTTTAAAGGTTTGGCGCAGATGAGACCACCAGCCATCTGGAATCAGTAACTCATCTTTCAATTGTTCCAGCTTTGCAATTGGAATATCATCTCTTGCGTTTCGCATTTCCTCTAACTCAATACATGGTAAGCATCCAGATGAAATACCACAATTAGAATGGTATTTTTTTCTTTTCTCATGTTTTGACAAATTTGATTCACTATATTTCTTTCCACTGGTACAGCTGCGATGTCTACAAACTGATACTTTGGTTGTTGCCGTGTTGGAACAGTAATCATAAGATTGTTGGCAGGGTTGCTTGTGATCTTTCTTATAATGTCTTGATCTACTGGAAGAGTGGTTATATTGGAGTCCACAATTAGCATGCACACACACTACTACACCTATCAATAATAAACATTTTTATATATCTATAATATAATTTATAGAGAATCATTTTCTATTTATTATTTATAAATATTATTAAAATATATTAAAAAAATAGCTAAAAAAGCTAAAAGTACGAATTTCACTGTGGAGAGAGGTCACTATACGCTCTCTTTTATTTGATTAGCTTTTATTTTTATTTTTTTATTTTTTTGGTGGGTTTAATGTGTGATTGTTATTTAATTTGAAATTTTTTTTATTTTTCGGGGATGCTAAAAGTCTTTTAGGACGAGTTAATCAGAGTGAATATCGAACATCTACGGTTCCTTAAAGTCATGTTATGACTAAGCTCTAATCAATTGTCTACACCTCAAGTTACACCGAATCCAATCCCAGCTAGAGTCTGCTTTACTAAAGTAAACTACCAAACCTTTTCTTTAGAAGGAAGATTGTTGTCCGTCTAAGGACAATAGAGTAGCCGCCAAGGCAATGCTAGTACTTATCAACAATATTAATATACACCAGCCAACATATGACAACAGTAATAGTAACAGTCAATTATAATTAATTAAATTAATCAAATCAACTAAATAAGTACTAGTTTAAAACTACAGATACAAATAATAATTAAATTAAATCTGTTGTTTCTAAATTAAGTTATTCACTACTAAGCCGTCAAGCTTCTCAATAACCAATACATTGAGTTTAACGCGACTTAAATGAAGGGATTCATTCATATTATTCAATTTATTCAATTTATTAAAAAAATCAATAGATAAGAAAAGATATTAAATAAAAATTGAAAGATAGATTATTTAAAATATTTTTATATGATTATTAATTATCAATCTCATAAGAAAATGACAGATCCAACCGATCAACCAACTGAAACAACCACAACAACTAATGAATCAACGACATCTACTAATCCAACCACCATCACGAATGAACTGTCAATGAGTGATCTCGACGACTGCAATAATAATAATCAAAATAAACCAACTACTACTCTATTCCCCGAGGTCACTCCTATTAATTCTCACCAAGATCCGCTAGGCTAGACTGGAAGAGATCAGTTGGAAAACATATTGCTTCAAATTTTGAAGTGATGGAACCAATCTATTGATTTGATCGGTGGATGTCAAAGTCAACTAGAAATTTAGGTTTTTTTTTCAAAAACCATTAATTTTTTGAACCAAAAAACAGCCCCAAAAATTGTGTGGGTAACCATAACCCTACCCCTACTTCTAACATTTGAAAATTACAAAAAAACACGCAATAATTAAAATGATTAAATAATTTATTTTATTTTTGTTTATAAAAGAATTATCTACTTAAACTTCTAAAAATCAAAATAGCTTTAATTTTTAATTGTTAATTTAAGTTATTTTATATTTATTTAAAAGTTGATGAGTCACCAAACTAAAATTGATTTTCTTAGTTTTGAAGCTTTGAAAATTTGTTTATTTAATCATCAATTTTTATTTTCAAAAATTTGTAATGATAATATTGTTTTTGCAAATACACAGTAAAATGAAAATTTTAATTCATCATTTAATATTTATATCTTTTATACTCTCAGTAATATCTGCATCAACACAATCGGATAAAAACATTTTAGTGTTGGTTGGAGAGACAGGTTCAACAAAATCATCAACAGGAAACTTTTTAATTTCTGATGATCGGTTCAAAGTCGGATATTTTATTAAATTTCAAACCAAAACCACTCAATTAGAATGCCCTTCGTCTCAATCAATTCCTTGCATTCTAGACACACCAGGTTTATTAGATACTGATGGTTTTACTGACAATGAAATCCTGGAACTTATTAAATCAAAGTTATTGGTCGAGGCTCCAAACAACAGAGTTAAAATTGCATTAGTATTAAACGGACAATACATTCGATTAAGAATATCGACACTTCTTTCATCAATAATGTCTATATTTGGACCTAAAGTATTGGACTCTATGATTTTCTTGGTCAACTCTTGTGATAGTTTGGAGAAAAATGGTATTTCCAAAGAAAATTTCACCGATTGTATCGTTAGTAATATTGGACATTTATATCAAAACCAAAAAACTCTAGTTGATAGAATCGTATATTACGATAGTCATAATAGTTTGGAAAAATATTTGCAATCGATTTTACAATCATTAGAATCAGTATCTCCTATCTCAATCGATGGTCTGAACGAATTAGAAATCGAAGCTCAGTCATGCCTCTTAAAAGAAATTGATAATCCATCAAACTGGAAAGTGTGGACCGAAAATCATCCACTTATTGTTTCTAAGACTGTCGACAAAACCGTTACTATCAAAGTACCTTATACACAAGAATGTAACTGTCGTAAAATTTGTAGAAAAAAAATATTTGGAAAGTGCATAAGAAGAAAAATTTGTGAAACTTGTGTATATCTTAGAGATGAAACCAAAACTGTTGAGGATATTGTCTACGAGACACATAACAACTATATTGAAAAGAAAGAGAGATTAAATACAGATGAATATCTCTTACAGAGATGTAAATCAGATATTTCCAATCGTATTGAATCAATCGTTTTGGAAGCTGTATTAAATAGAAATTTTATTAAAAGTTAATTGATAAAAGAAAAAAAATAAAAAAATTTTTAAAAGGTTTAATATCTATTTCTTATTTTTGTAATTGAAACTAAAGAAAAAAAAATTAAATAAATCATTAATGATTATCAATACATCTTGCTTAAATATTTTTGATATTTTTATTAAGTTTTAATTTCATAAAAATTTAATAATAGAATAATCTGATTGATCTGAATCCCTTCTTTTACGTCGCGTTAAACTCAATGTATTGGTTATTGAGAAGCTTGACGACGGAGTAGTAAATAACTTAATTTAGAAAACAACAGATTTAATTTAATTATTATTTGGATCTGCACCAACATCATGGTTACCACAAATCAAAACACTTCCAAATGTCAAGACATTATCAATCAGTTAGGCTTCAGAAGCTATTAAAATGGATGAGTTTAAGATTGGAAATATTCGCAGAGATCGAATTGGTCAATGTTATGCCACCAACAATTAGATATCTCGATTTGGAGAATTGTAGTTATGATTTCAATAGTGTATTCAAAGATAGATTGATATCAATTGGATTACCTCATGTTAAATCCAAACCAAGTAGTATCTCTTGATGGCATGAAGATCAAAGAATTAGAACTCTATGTGACAGCATACAGGGCTGATATGAACAAATATGTGGATATTCCATTTGGTATTGAAACACTCTTAGTTCAACATGTATGGAGATTTAGAAAAGAGATACCTAGTTCAGTGAAAAAGTTAGTTCTTTACAAAGACATATTTGGTATCGATGATCTTCAGAAAAGATATGACATGACAGGTTCAGGTTCCATTCAAGAATTGGTCATAATCTGTGATGAATCATTATATTCTGATATATTATTAAATATTACCAAAATTTAAAAAATCAATTAAAATACGAATGCATTAATTATCAAATAAATAACTTAGGTTTTCATTGTCAATTTATAGAATATTACAAATAGTTTATTTTAAAATGTTAACACAGCAATTATGACATTAGTGACAAATTTTGTTGATATAATTGCTTGAATGTTATTCGACGTTGTTTATAGTATTCGTGTGTTTGTTGATTTGGTGTGTGACGTTGTACAAGTGGTAGTTCTGGAAGAAATTGTTGTATTGGTTTATCTTTATTTAAGGCAATCATCGCCAATCTAGCAGCACCAATTGCTGGGCCAACTTCTCCACCCGAGTATAGGAGTGTATAGCCGGTGATATCAGCCAGCATCTGTCTCCAATAAGAACTATGTGCGCCACCACCAACCAAAGTAATACTGGTTGGCGTAAATCCAGTTTCATGCAAAACCTCCATACCATCTAGCAAAGAAAAACCAACTCCTTCCAGGACACTCTTGCACAGATCAGCACGCTGATGTTCAAGTGTCAACCCAAAGAATACACCTTTGGCATTTGGATTGTTATGAGGTGTTCTTTCTCCTGACAAATAAGGTAGAAACCAAATTGGTGAAGAAGTTGAAGAAGATGTTGTATGTGATTCTACTTCATTCATTAATTGTTCAACGCTATTTAAGCCTGTAAGTTTGGCTACCCAATTGAGGCAGACGCCACCACTCAGCATGACAGACATTAGATGCCAGGTATTTGGTAATGCATGACAAAAACTGTGTACTGCTGAAGTTGGATTGCTCAGATATCCATTGTCACTGACTGCAAAGTATACACCGGAAGTGCCAATCGATAGCATTGCCTGACCCGGCTGGCAAACTCCAACGCCGATGGCACCTGTCGAGCAATCGCCACCGCCAGCTATCACTGGAATTGCGCTCTTTTTCATTCCCCAGCGCTCACGTACATCCGGTAGCAACTCACCTGTGATTTCAGTGCCTTCATACAAAGCCGGCATATGACTACGATCTAGACCGGTTGCCGCAAGCAATTCATCGCTCCAATCACGCTTACCGACATCGAGCCACATCGTACCGGCGGAATCCGACATATCACTGGCAAATACACCGGCCATCTTCCATCTTAGATAATCCTTTGGCAGCAACACTTTGTCGATCTGTTTGAATATTTCCGGTTCGTTTTGCGCTACCCATTTCAACTTTGGTGCTGTAAAGCCCGTCATCATTAGATTACCGGTTATCCTACGTGAATCCTTGACCAACGATTCCAATTCTTCACATTGTTGAGCGCAACGACCATCGTTCCAGAGAATAGCAGGTCGCAATACATTTTGATTCTTGTCGAGCAGTGTTGCACCATGCATTTGACCACTGAGACCAATGGCAACAACTTGATCCAACTGGTGTTTGTGATTGAGTTGTTGTACTGCACGATCGGTAGCCTGCCACCATTCGGCAGGATCTTGTTCAGACCATAATGGATATGGTCGTGAGAGTGTAAGAGGTTCACTATGACTTGCAACTAATGAACCACTTTCACTCATCAACACCACTTTTACTGCCGATGTACCTAAATCAATACCAACATACATATTTTTTATCTAATAACACTCTATTCTAATATTTATTAATCAAAAATATTAATAAATAAATTGTAAATCAAATTTAGTGCACTATTTTTTTTTACAAAATTTATCACAAATCCAATGATTTTTTTTGATCAGTTTTTCTTTTAAAATTTTATCTTATTTATTGAAATGTTTAATAATAATAATAATCAAACAAATAGATTAGTAAATTTATCACATTTGTTATTATCAAAGATAATTAAATATTTAGATGATAATATAGATAGAATAGTGTTTACATTAGTTTGTAAAAGATGGTACGATGAAAGAGCTAGATATCTATCTTTTAATACTCATCATATCAACATCATTAATGATAACAATAATAATTATATACATTTATATAAATCGATAATCATTGATCAAATCAATAGAAAAACTAAATGTAAAGCTGTTGCTGGGAATCAAATCTATCAGTATTATTATGATTATCTTATATCAAAAGGTCAGTAAAATATTAAGATAAAAACAGATAAAACTATTTCAATTATACTAACAAAATAATAATATATTATTTAGATGAACATGGTGATATCGATAGATTAAAAATATTAAACATTGATAAAATATCGATTGGTTTGAAAAATAGCCAAGAAAACAAAGAGAATACGAAGAATATCTTTCAATTGATATCTCATTTAAATATATCAAAGTTAAAGAATGTTCAAACATTTTCAGGATTACCAATGAATATTACATCGATGTCATTCTACAATTCGTTTATGGATGAGTTAGTACCTGGATGTCTTCCACCAAATTTGAAAACACTCAAGCTTAGTAAAAATTTTAATCAACCAATCAAATCAGGAGTTCTTCCAAACACATTGGTTAAATTGAATTTCAATGAGTCATTCAATCAACCAATCGAACCAGGAGTATTACCATCATCTTTGAAAGTTCTCAAATTCAAAAAATCCAATTTCAAACAAGTCATTAAAATTGGAACATTTCCACCGAATCTTGAAGAACTGGAATTCTCTGGAAACTGTACTACCATGGAAGATGGAGCTTTACCTCAGACACTTAGAATACTTGAGTATGCACCAACATCATGGTTACCACAAATCAAAACACTTCCAAATCTAAAGAACATTATCAATCAGTTTTTCAACACAAGATACTCAAATGGATTTGAATTATCTTCCAGTTTCACTCACAAGATTGGAAATATTCGCAGAGATCGAATTGGTCAATGTAATGCCACCAACAATTAGACATCTTGATTTGGAGAATTGCGATTATGATTTCAATAGTGTATTCAAAGATAGATCGATTTATCAATTGGATTATCTCATGTTAAATCCAAAACTGGCAGCATCTCTTGATGGCATGAAGATCAAACAATTAGAACTAAACATGACAGCCTTGAAATCTGATATGAACAGACATGTGGATATTCCATTTGGTGTTGAAACCCTTTCAATTCAATTCGCATCGACATTTCAAAAAGAGATACCAAGTTCAGTGAAAAAGTTAGTTTTTTCTAAAGATGTTTATTGTATCGATGATCTTCAGAAAAGATATGACATGACAGGTTCAGCTTCAATCCAAGAATTGGTCATAATCTGTGATGAATTATCATTTGATGGAGACTCTCTTTATATTCCACCAATTATCTTTCCACCAAAGACATTAATTGAACTCCCCGAAATTCGAAACGAAAAGATCTGGATTCGAATGATTGACAATCAATATTACCTGGTATTCAGTCAAACACCAATCATGACAGCAATCGTACATAAATCACAACTTCACAAATACATTATATACATTATTAATGAATATCAAAAACTGAAAGATCTCTTTATATGACATTCATTGATGATTGCTGTTCCTCGGAGACTACATTCATGTCTAATACGAATTTTGAAAAAAAATTAATTTGAAAAAATAAATATTTTGCACATATTGGTTTTTTGTTTCGAAAACAAAAAATTCGTTATTTTACAATATTTTGGTTTTCATGTGGTTTTTTTGCTGTTTAAATCAATTTTTAAAATAGCTATCAGAAATAAGTGTAATTTATTACAAATTATTGCAAATTATTACTTAGAATGAGTACCACTAAAGAATGTCCATTTTGTAATGAAAACATCACTTTAAGAGTCTATGACAGACATGTAATACCTTGTTATTGCAAGTATTGTGATTCTAATAGTCTAATTAGAGATTGTACCTGTAAGAGCTGTAATGGATCACGTCCACATCCAACTTCAGCTCCTCTTTATCATTATACTATTTCTTCATCAAATATTACATCATCAGCAACACCACAATCACCATCATCTACATCACAATCACCAGTACCACCACTAGTACCAGTACTACTACCACCAACCTCAAGTCGCACCCGTAATGATAACTTAAAGATCATTGGCAAATCATGTTGTGTGTGTTCAGAGAAACCATCTGCAGGTTCTTCTGTATTGCCTTTCATATGCATAGGTACCTTCCATAGCATATATATATGCAAGAAAGGTCACTTGAATACTGACGGTAGTGCAAGTGAAGTATACAAGTTTCTTGATAATTTGCATCAAGAAATTATTAATGGATTGCATACGTTAACTTTTCGAATTATAAATACAGAGTAAGGCAACTATTAAGTAAATTTATTGACCATAATACTAATAATACTATTGTATAAAGAAGTCAAGAACCTGGTAATGAGATGAATTGTCATGGTATTTCAAGATTAATTGATAAGACCAATTATGTGGGATGTGCAACTCCGATAGATGGAGATCCAAGTAAAAGAATATATATAAAAGAAAAGGTTGATGGTCATTTGAAAAAGTTACACTTCTGTAATATAGATCATTGCCTTAGATATATTATATTACATTATGTCACCGGAAAGAAGTCAGCCAAAGGAACAAATACACAGTCTAGATCGCGTTCATTGACACCTGATGGAGAAGATGAAGAAGAAGATGGTGAAGATGAAGATGAAGAAGAAGAAGAAGAAGATGGTGAAGATGAAGAAACTCAGAGCACACCCTCCTGCTCCATCTGCCGCCACCAAGAAAAATGCTGCTTCAAAGCAGTTGCTAAACCAGCTGCTAAACAAGCTAAGAAAAGTGCTTCTAAAAGAAAACAAAGTGGGTAATGTATAAATAAACTTAAGTCCAACAGGACGACATTTCTCTTCACACAGAACCAAAATTGAAAATGTTATTGGAGATTTGAAAAATAGGTTTGATTGTCTCAGAGATCACCAGAGGATATCAAATAAAGATGGTGAAGGTTTAGATGATCATCAACAACGATGGGTTATATGTGCAGGTATAAGAAATAAACAGCATATATTTGAATTTGGTGTTTTTCGGTTGAGACATGAAAGTTTTTATAAATTCCGGAATATAATTGAACAATATTATTTAATAAAAAAGAAACTGTTGTTTAAGCCAACTAAGTTGGTTATAGTTAATGGAAACAATATAATTATTGGTTAATTATTATTGATTGATGTGTTGTTATCATTATTGTCAATGAGGTCAAGCTTTAATAACATATATAATAATCATTCCCAAAAACTCAGAAACGCTATTAAAAAGTAAACTAAGGATGTTTAAATAATAAACTAAACCATTTTATTTGATACTTTCAATCTATAGAGATATATATATATTTATAATTATAATTAAAAAGTATTTAATTACAAGATGGACAACACTAAAAGTGAAAATAAAATAACAAGAGAATGGGAAACAAAAATTAGTAACCAATTAAATTTTAGATAATTTGATATGACTATAGTAAGTACTTACTCTTCCATTGACTTGATCCTCTGGAATATAAAATTTTCCTTTGGATGAACACTCGTTTTGGTCGACTGGTGGGCATCTTGCGGAATCACATTGACAGTAGTCACAACATTGTCTTTTGGCAAAATCGGCATAGATATACTTTCCACCGGTTTTTTCACATGTAGCTTGCTCTACGGATAGACAAGAGGTATATTGACAAATATTTACTTTGATACATCTATCACAACAGTTATTAACACCGTCTGCCTTTTGTAATTCTCCACCACTTCTTAAACATTGAAATGTTCGAGTTGTTGCATCTACATCTGGACATTTTACATTTTTGCAATCAATGGCCATCGATGTCTTTACAGTGATCACTGCAACCATTAAAATAGCAAATAATAATTTATAATTATCCATATTTATATATTATATTTTAACTTGTTTATTTATTTAAATATATTTTAAATAACTAACTAATGTAGAATGATTACTAACAATACATTTCAATAGGTTTAAATAATTGTGTTTACATTTTATTATTATTATAATTTTATGTAATTTAATTAAAACAAAATAAAATAGAGACATTTCATTTTTAAAAGTCTGTATAATGGAGTGGTGGTGTTGACTTTTGATACAGATTCAGATCAAAACAAGAAGATCATATGATGGGGGTTGTATAAAAAAACAATAACAAGACACACATACACACATATTTTTATAAGTTTTATTACTATTTAAAAATAAAATATATGATGGTGTGATTCTACTGTTATCATTGTTGTTTGTTTAAATTTGAATAGTAGATAAATTGATTTAATTGTTGTTGTTGTTGTTGTTGTTATTATTGCGAAGGCTATTTATGCCACAATACAAGATTACATAATTTATAATAAAATAATAATATAGAATAAATTTGTATACTCTTATACTATCTGAACTGAATCTTGATTTTATTTTGACCATAGAGTAAATTGAACATCATTATGATATCTGTTAAGGAGTGGTTGACCCCAAATTTTTTCCATCTGTCATTGAATTCTTTACAAAACTTTTTTTTTTTCTTTTACTATCTCAATCTCTTTTATTTTATGAAATGTTAGATAAATCGATTACATAACTAATCTGAATAAAGAGATATTTATTTTTTTTTACTTTTAAAAAAAAACATGTTAAATTTATTAATAATGGAATGGAATAATCATATAATCACCACTTTTATTTTTTTAAAAAATTCTAAGTAAAAAAAAGTTTCCCTCCAAAATTTAAAAAAATTTTAATATGAAATTAGATCTTTTTTTTTTTTTTTTTTTAACACAACTATCTTTTGTTTGTTTATATGTATAATATTATATTTGATATTATAAATAATCAAATAAATAGTTTAGTTATATTATTCTTAAATTAAATATATAACAAAAAAATGGATGAAGATACCTTTATAGAATCATCACAAAATGGTAGTAGTTCAAATAGTAATAAATCAAAAAAAGTAACAACAACATCTACTTCTTCATCATCAAATAATAATAGTCAAAAGAATCAAAATCAAATATTACAAGATAAACTATCACAAAAGAATGATGGAATCGGTGTTACTGATATGGGCGGTAAAAAGACAAGAAGACTGATGATCAAAATGATGGAGCTAGAGAATTTCAAGTCGTATGCAGGCAAGCAGGTAATCGGTCCATTTCACAAGTGTTTCACATCGGTCATCGGTCCAAACGGTAGTGGTAAATCCAACGTAATCGATGCCATGCTCTTTGTATTCGGTCGTCGTGCCAAACAGATTCGTCTCAACAAAGTATCGGAACTCGTTCACAACTCTAGTCAACACCGTAACGTTCAATCTGCACGTGTATCCGTCTATTTCCATGATATCATTGATCATGTAAGTTGTTATTGATCAAATCAAATCAAATCAAATCAAATCAAATCAAATCAAAACAAACTAACTAATAACTTAATATTTATATATATACAGGAAGATACAGATGATTATGAAGTTGTGGATGGTACGGAATTGGTTGTTACAAGAACAGCCAACAAGAAGAATGAATCACATTATTATATTAATGGCGAGAAGAGTAGCTTTACTGCGGTGACAGAGTTGTTAAAGGGTCGTGGAATCGACTTGGACAATAATCGTTTTCTCATTCTTCAGGGTGAGGTCGAGCAGATCGCGCTGATGAAACCAAAGGCGCAGAATCCATCGGAAGAAGGTTTGTTGGAGTATTTGGAGGATATCATTGGAAGCAATCGATTCGTGACGCAGATAGAAGACTCTTATAAGGCGGTGGAGAGAATCAATGAAGATCGTACCTCTATAATGAATCGTGTTAAGCTCATTGAGAAGGAGCGTGAATCACTCGAGGAATCAAAGAATGAAGCAGAGGGACTGTTGCGATTCGAACTGGACAAGATAGAGATCAAGTCGGCACAGATACAGATTCGTAGATATCAGGCGGAGCAATCGAATCAGTCGCATCTTGACGCGCGTGAACAACTCGAGAAGAAACTGGCCAAGGAGAAAGCTGCGAGCGTGGAGACGCGTGAAAAGTTGAAAGAGTTTGAAAAGACGTTGAAGGCGGAGCTAAAGATCAAGGAGACGCTGAATGCCGCGTTGGAGCGCTGCAAAGACGAGCATCAGGCGCTCCAGAAGCGAATCATCAAGAACAAAGAGGAGATGAAACATTTGAAAACGATGACCAAGAAGAATGAGACCGTGCTGCAAGACGAAGAGACACGTGGCGCTGAGCTGTCTGCCAATATCAAAAAGCTGAAGGACGACATTATTAAGAATGAGAAGGAGTCGGCGTTGTTGCCAAAGAAGTTGGTCGAGGCGGAGAAGGAACTCGAGGAGATGTTAGAGTCGCTCAAAGGCGAGACTGGTGAGCTGCAGGCAGAGATGGAAGAACAGCAGAAACAACTGATGCCATGGTCCAAAAAGTATTTGGAAATCAAGTCGAAAGTCGATATCCAACAATCGGAGATCGATGTTCTTTCAAAGGATTTCAATGTTTCACAGCAGCGTCTCGACGAAGCGAACCAGGCGTTGGATCAGACCAAGGTGACAGTTGACCAGCGTACCAAAGAGATTGCCGCCGCCAAGAAAGAGTTGGAGACAATCAAGTCCGGTATAAAGTCGATCGAATCCGAGTTGAAACAAGTCAAACAACAAGAGGAGCAAGTCTATTCGCAGTTGCAACAGAAGCGTATCAGCACCGAGGAGATCCGTTCACAGCTTACAGAGAGCAACTCGAGAAATACCGTGCTCGATAGGTTGATGCGTCTGAAAGAGACTGGACAGATTCCAGGAATACACGGACGTCTTGGTGACTTGGGTGCCATCGATAAGAAATATGACGTTGCCATCTCCACTGCCTGTCCATCGCTAGAGAATATTGTTGTCGATACCACCGCCACTGCTGAGCAATGTGTGGAAGTACTCAGACGTGAAAGTCTTGGACGTGCTACTTTTATTATCATCGATAAGATTAGCTATCTTGATAAACAGACCGAGAAGATCGACACTCCCGACAATACACCACGTCTTTTCGACTTGATAAAAATGAAGGATAACATGTACGCCACCGCTTTCTACTATGCTCTTAGAGATACCTTGGTTGCAGATGACCTTGACAAAGCAACAAAGGTAGCGTATGGATCGTCGAAACGATATCGTGTCGTCACTCTAGATGGATCGCTCATTGATACAAGCGGTGCTATGTCTGGTGGTGGCAGTAGGGTGATGCGTGGTGCAATGGGATCGAAGCTACAAGCCAATCCAATCGAGGAGAAGAAGAAACTTGGTAAGCTAGACGAGGAAATCAAGCAGTTGTCTGCAGAGATGCAGTCTATTCGTAGTAACAAGACAGAGCTAGAGTCGCAACTAGCCACCGCCATGAAGCGAAAGAGTGAGTTGGAGTTGGAGCTGCCAAAGATGGAAATGGATATTAAAGCTGCACACAAGAAATCCGAAGAGTTGTCGAAAGCAATTCCTGAATTGCAAAAGCAAGTTAAAGCGGCATCGGCACGTCAGTCACAAGTCGAGCAACTGAAGCAAGCGTTGGCAGGCGACCTCGATGAATTCCACAAGCTGAAAGGTAAAGTCGAGAAACTGGAAAAGGTGATTCAAGACGTTCAGAACAAGATTATCAATATCGGAGGTAGCAAGCTGAAGAAGCGTAGAGAGAAGGTCGAGCAGTTGCAACAACAGATCGACGAGTGTCAACGTACCATCACCAAGTCACACGTACAGATCAAGAGCAGTGAGAAATCCATTGAAAAGTCAAAGCGTATCGTCGAAGAGAATCAACGTGAGCTTGCAGAGAACCAAGAACAAATCGAAAAGCTCAAGCTCGATCAAGAGACAATCAAAGTGGAAGGTGAAGAGCTGAATGTACGATTCCAAAAGGCAGATGAAGATCTCAACCAGAAGGATACCGAGCTGGTCGACGTCAAGAAGGAACAAGACAAACTGAAAAAGATCGAACAAAAAGCAACCTTGGTGGAGTTGGACATTCAGAATTCCATTGACGACGTAACCAGAATCATCAAAGAGAATCAAGATAAAGCTGCATCACTTATGAAGAGATTCGATGATCTAAACAAATCAAAACAATCGTAAGTTAATCAAATCATTCAATTCAGTTGTCAGTCAAACTTAATAATATTAACTTGTTTATCTTTTAGATATAAAATATTAGATTCAGATCCAGATGAACCATTAAAGGTTTTCTCAACTGAGGAGTTGGTTGAAATGTCAGAGTCATACGATGATTTGACAAAGAAGTATGAGTCGATCGACCTTCAATTGAAAAACTCTGCTGGCAAGTTGAATATCGGTGCAATCAAGGAGTATAGAGCCAAGGATGAAGACTACAAGAGACGTCAGAAGGAGTTGGACGATATCACCGAGCAGAGAGACAACCATCGTCGTACCTACGACAACCTCAGAAAGAATCGTTTGGATGAATTTATGAATGGTTTCCAGATTATCACAAACAAACTGAAGGAGATGTACCAGATGATTACGTTTGGTGGTGACGCCGAGTTGGAGTTGGCCGACCAATCCGATCCGTTCTCCGAGGGTATCATATTCAGTGTGCGTCCGCCAAAGAAGAGTTGGAAGAACATCTCCAATCTGTCGGGTGGTGAGAAAACACTGAGTTCTCTATCGTTGGTGTTCGCACTGCATCACTACAAACCGACACCTCTCTACGTCATGGATGAGATCGATGCTGCCCTCGACTATCGTAATGTATCGATCGTTGCACACTACATCCAGAAGCGAACCAAGAATGCACAGTTTGTTATCATCTCACTGAGAAACTATATGTTTGAGCTGGCCGATCGTCTGGTCGGTATCTTCAAGGTCAACCATTGCACCGGAAGCATCACCATCAATCCAAAATCCTATGCTACGCAAACCACAGAAGAAACACAGAAAGTCAAGGATTTCGTTGAGGAAAGAAGAATAGCAGAAGCCAAAAGAGCAATGGAGGAAGATGAGGAGCTAGACGATGATGATGATGAGTTTGAAGATGAAGAATAAAACACTTAAATCTCAACAACAACAACAACATTCAATTGTAAATAGACACTAAACAAACAACTCGAATACACTTTAAAATAATATATCAATAAACTACTCAATCTATTGATTTATATTCAGATAGATGGTATTTATTTCAACAAAATAAATTATTTTTTTAAGATTTCTTAAATTTTTGTTTATTACTATCCGATCACAATTCTTTCATAATATGATGAATAATTCTGATCAGAATTTAATTGGTGGTGTCACAATAACAAATTAGATAATAATATAGTATAAAATAATGATAGTAATCAAACATATAGGTAATTTGTGTTGGTTAATCTATCACATCATTTAGCAAAGATAATCATCTTTTAGTGTAATAAAAGATCAACATAAAAACAATATGTTAATGAAATCTTATAAATCAATATACCTCGATTCGATTAATAACAAGTTAATTTACAATGAAAACCAAATTTGTTAATCACCAATAGATTTCTGAGATTGGGCAACTTGTTGTCCGTCTAAGGACAATAGAGTAGCGCCAAGGTAATCCTAGTACCATGAAATTATTATTTGGATCTTTTAAGATATTATTTATTTGACTTGATTAATTTAATTAATTAATTGACGATTAAAAATATCGCTATTAGATGATTCAGTTTATATCATTTATAAATGGGAATAAATAAAGGAATAAATTTAGTTTATGTATATGATAAACAATTCTTTACGTATTTTATTGATTTTTATCTTTGATTCTCAAAAACCTTTATATGATTGATATTTCAATTTTTGATATTTATCAATAATGTATATAATGTATTGGTAAAGTTGTGATACATGGACAATGGAAGTGATGATAGGTGATTGACTGAATACAAGGTAGTGTTGATTGTCAATCATTCGAATCCAGATCTTTTCGTTTAGAATATCGGGGAGTTCGATTAATGTCTTTGGTGGAAAGATAATTGGTGGAATATAAACTGAAATTCTATGAGAAAATGATATTTCATCACAGATAATGATCAATTCTTGAATTGAAGCTGAACCTGTCATGTCATATCTTTTCTGAAGATCATCAATACAATGGATCTCTTTGGAAAAAACCAACTTTTTCACTGAACTTGGTATCTCTTTTTGAAATTTCGATGCATATTGAATTGAAAGTGTTTCAACACCAAATGGAATATCCACTTCTTTACCCACAAAAGACATATATGTCCTCATATTTAGTTCTAATTCTTTGATCTTCATGCCATCAAGAGATACTACTTGTTTTGGATTTAACCTGAGAAAATCCAATTGATAAATCGATCTATCTTTGAATACACCATTGAAATCATAATCGCAGTGCTCCAAATTCAGATATCTAATTGTTGGTGGCATTACATTGATCAATTTGATATTTGAGAATATTTCCAATCTTGTGAGTGAAACTGGTAGACAATTCAAATCCATATGAAAAGCCTCTGAAGCATAACTGATTGTTAATATCTTGAGATTTGGAAGTGTTTTGATTTGTGGTAACCATGATGTTGGTGCATATGCAAGTATTCTAAGTGTCTGAGGTAAAGCTCCATCTTCCAGAGCTGAACATTTTCCAGAGAATTCCAGTACCTCGAGATTCGGTGGAAATGTTCCAACTTTAATATCTTGTTGGAAATTGGATTCTTTGAATTTGAGAACTTTCAAAGATGATGGTAATACACCTTGTTCGATTGTTTGATTGAATGACTCGTTGAAAATCAATTTAATCAATGTGTTTGGAAGAACTCCTGATTTGATTCGTTGATCAAAATATCGACCAAACTTTAGTGTTTTCAAATTTGGTGGAAGACATCCAGATACTAACCTTTCGTCAAACGAATAATCGAATGACATCGATGTAATATTCATTGGCAATCCTGAACATGAATGAACACACTTTAACTTTGATATATTTAAATGAGATATCAATCGATATACTTTCTTGATATTCTCTTTGCTATCTTCATGATCTTCCCAAACCAATTTTAATTTATCAATGTTTAATGTTTTTAATCTATCGATATCATCAAGTTCATCTAAATAAAATAATATTTATTAGTATCATTGAAATATAAATATTTTTTATTTATCTTTATATTTGATTTACCTTTTGATATAAGATAATCATAATAATACTGATAAAAATCATCACCAACTATAGCTTTACATTTAGTTTTTCTATTGATTTGATCAATGATTATCGATTTATATGAATTTAAATGTATATATTTATTATCCCCTGTTATCATTAATGATGTTGATATGACGAGTATTAAAAGATAGATAACTTTGTCTTTCATTGTACCATCTTTTACAAACTAATGTAAACACTATTCTATCTATATTATCATCTATATAATTAATAATCTTTGATAACAAAATATGTGATAAATTAACTATTCTATATGCTTGATTATCATTATTATTATTACCAAACATTTTACTGCAAATCGCTTCAAAACAAAACTTGAATGTAACCCTAAATTAAATAAAATAATAAAAAAAAACACTTCCGTCATATTAACCTCTATTAAATTTTTAATTTTACATTTGCTAAATTTTTCTAAATAATAACATAATTTTTAAATAATGTTAAACCAGATATACCATTTCATTGATACATTCTATTTTAATATAACTTTGTTTATTTTTATCTTAAAATCTCCAGATAATAATAACTTAGCTTCAAAAAAAAAACAATATGAATTTTTTTAAAAATTTTCATAAATATTAGTTAAAAAAAACGAGAAGGCAAATTTCAAGAGATCGAGAATGGGTATTAGTTTTGTGCGTAATTTAATTATTTTTAATAATGATATCTAATAAAAAGAGAGGCAATGAAGATCTTCAAATACAGAACGACACTGCAATTCAAAAGAAAAAGAAGAAAACTAGTTATGAAAGAAAAAGAGATGGTGCTCAAAAATTCTATAAAGCGTTAAAAGATGTACTAATGAAAACGTATTCTATTTTATAAATTTCATCTAACATAGATTTAATCTATAGCATTTATTGGATAGATATTTAGTTTGTGAAAAAGAAGAAGTAGTTGATGTCACCATCTTTGAAAAAGGTGTCTTTATTAGCAGTTTAAGGTCACAGTTTCCAAAATATGATTGCCACAGTGATATGACTATCACAAGTTATATCAATGAGTTATTCAAAACGAAATTAAACAAACGTAATGATGTTGTGTGCTTCAATTTAAAGGTAAATATATATAATTATTTGATTGTTATGCATACTCCACGTAGGTGCACCTATTTTATTTCAAAATATTAACAATTGTGGTTCCAATAGGTCAAAGATTTAAACAATGAAAATAAGTAGGTGTTTAAATAGCGTAATAGTGTTAACACGATTATGATTATTTTAATACCAACTTTTTTATTTTTCTATTATTATAGGTTAAACAATCATTGTAATACGAATGTGCAAAGTATGCATGATGATGGTAGTAAGTCTAATCACTCAAGAACTTTAGACATCGTTACTGATGATAATCTAACTGTTGAGCCAACTCGCAACAATGCCGTGATAGATCCCAAGCAAACTGACAATACTCTCTAGCCAGCACTCTGAACGAGAAGCGAGCATTTCAGTCTTGATAGCTTTCTCTTCTATGTGTTGGTCAAGTATTGCTAACTCTTGCACAGTGAATCCCACCAAATGCGCTTTGTTTCTATCAAACAACGTAAAGCATCTAAATACAAGATATATCACATTATAATGTAAATGTATATATATTCATTAACTCACTTTCTTGTCAATCTACTATCATACAAGTTGCTTTTTCGTATCGCTAACATTATACAATTGAATTTTATATGGTTATTGTTGATTTGATTGTGTTTGATTCAAATAAAAACCAAAAATTTAATATTTAGTGTAGATTGGCAAAGTGAAAGATACCAGCTTATATCCACTATTCAAGGAATCGATAGAAATTAAAGATCGCATATCGTGTGTTGAACCATTTCTATTTGATGTATGTGCTTTATTTAACAGTAGGGTCCATTGTTAAATATCTATTTCGCTAGTTGCCAATCATTGATTTTCTCATATATTACTTTTTCTCTCTCTCTCAAATATGATGATATGATATAATATATAAATAAATATGTAATGTTTATAAAAAACAATAACCATTTTTTGAACACCAATTTTTGATTGAAGATCTTTGAGAAATTGATTGAATCTTTCATAACATTGATAAATATGTCTGTCCCTGTATTCTTTGATCTCTCGGGTTCGTTGTAGCTTGCTCCGAACTCCGATGAGGATTGGAAAACTCATTTTACCCATCGAAAAACAGAGGCCAAACTCTTTCAATTTTTTTTAAAGAATAAAACAAACTTTATATTCTAAATCTACTATAAAAATTCTTTCTTTTTATCTAATTTTTATTAAAATCTAACAAGGTTTGATATTTTATTTAATAGCAAAAACTTTGAAAAAAAAAATTGATGAAAAACAGCCACAACCGAATCATCATCAAATACAACAACAACAACAACAACACCATCATCAACTACATCAACGACAATAGACGATGATAAAATAGTTCAACCATTACGATATGAAGAGAAAGGATTACTATTTAAAGAGGATGGTACAAGTTGTCCTGTCACACAAAGATATATTTATTGTTACGAGCATGAGAAGATCAAAGTCTATTTCGATGGAAACCCACCAACACGGTTGTTACACTCTTTGGATTTCGTTAATTCTGCGCTTGCCACAGGACACCATTGGTGTCCACCCGACAACTACGATGCTACCTATGAATTTGTATCTTCATCGGAATTCAAACTTACATACTGCGTACAAGGTCCAAAGAAGAATTACAGAATGATTACCACTTTTAAAAGAGGAGCAACTACAGATTAAATTTAGTTTCAAAAAAAAAAAAACGACGAAATAAATAAAGTAAATATATTTGGTTTGTACATATAAATGCAATATTATACAAAATAATAGTTTTTTTTTATTTATTTTTTAATCGTTAACAAAAATCTGTCAATGTTGCACTTCGATAAAGAAGTTACAAACATAATCAACAAATACCAATTGGTATTAATTTAATTAACCAAGTATTGCTAACAATCCCTTAGAATCATCATCATCATCATTTTATTTTTTGTTTTCGACAAATAATAAAATTTATTGGAATGATTTGTTCAAAGATTTGTTATATTTAATATAACATTGACCAACATTTGTTTGACGATTTTTCTCAAAAAAAAGTGACATTTTGCACATAAAAGGAGTGTTTTTTTGATGGATTCTCCGAATGGTTTTTCAGAATTAGAAAAAATAACAAAATATTTATTTACTATTTATTTTTTTAAAGTACAAAGTTAGCTATTTAAGACTTGGGAAATACAGACTTTCAGATCATCAAACTAATCAATCAACAATTAAAATATTTTAAAAATGTCAAAATTAATTATAATATTATTTGCTTTAATATTTATCACTACTTCAAATGCTTGGATTAGAGGAGGAATCAGTGGTGGACTGTTAAATGTAGTGTATTCAAGTTTCTATGATATCAATTCAATGTCAATCAGTGAGTTGCACTCACGAAGTGGTTGGACACCAGCTGATAATGACAATTATCCAACTGTAGTTGCTGGTTCCGATGATATTAAGCATTTCCATGGTATCGGTATTAGAATTCCCTACAATTACGATATGCTAAATGCATCGAACAATCCAAACTCTGGATATGTTACTAAAATGAAGATCGAATATTCATTGAATGGCATTCATTACAAAGACTATGGAGTCGTCGAAACCGGTCTTAATCATACTACTTGGAGCTATTTCCAAATTGTTTATCTCTTCAAATACAGTTACAATATTTATGGAAGAAGTATTAAAATTGAACCAGTTGAATGGGTTGGCAATAAACCATCGATGATCATGGAGGTAATATATTACCCTATTAAATTGACTCAAACTGGAACCGTTCGTTCACTGGATCCAATCTTTTGGCAGGCAGCTCCCAACGGTGTTGTCAGAGAGTTCAAAAAGAAGGTGTACTTTGAAACTCCTTTCGTCGCACCACCCAAAGTTGCTATTTCAATAAATACACTTTCAAGCAGTAAAGAATCATCGACCATTATAAGTGTTGCCGCTCAAAACGTTACCAGATCCGATTTCATTGCAGTATTTGGAACATGGGGTGACGCTGTTTTCTGGGATGTCATTTCGACCTATGTCGCAACTATGGATGAACAATTATATTATCCTGAGCAACTTCCAAATTCTTGATGTTTGTAAAGAAACAGTCTCTAATCAATCAAGTTTACCAATTAAACAAACCTATTATTTTTAATAAAAATTAACATATTAATTTTTCTTTTCTTATTTTATTTTTAATCTATTTGAGTTTATTTTTGAAAAATAATAACCTTTTTAACATAATTTATTCTAGTGGTTCTAAGTTATCTTTTATAGTTTTTAGATTCATTAGAAATAAAATTAAATTTGAGTTACAGATATTAACTTATGAAATAGAGAGCAGTTAAATAGAATTTAAAGATTTTATTGATTACTAAAAAAAAAGGGTTATCATATCTCAAACAAAAATTTTTAACTAAAAAAAAAAATCTTAACCTCAAAAAAATTTTCGTAAAGAAAATAAAAAAAAATAGTAAATCATAATTTTTTGGGGCTAAGAAAAACAAAAAATAGTAAATCATAATTTTTTGCAGATATTTTTTGAATCGATTGATCAAAAATAGCTTTACAAACTTTTTCATCATTTTATTTCATCATCATCTACAACTTATATCTTTCTTAAAAATATTTCCCTCATTTGAAAACTGTTTTTTAATGCTGATCAACTTCCCCCTTCTAATCAAAGTTTGATATTCTAATCAAAATCTATTAAATATTAATTATCATATAAAAATAATAATATGAAGATAGTAGATATATTAGTTGTTTGTTTTTTTATTTTATCAATATATTCGACAATAGTTGACAGTCAGCTTCCTCTCAATTCAGATGATTTAGTTTCCATTCGTTGGATCGCCCAACAAGTATGATTAAAAACATTATTTTTCTTTAAAGATTCACTTCTTCTTACTTTCTTTAATAGTTTTCTATACCTTGGGATATGAATGCAACTGATTGTAATAGTATTCAAAAATCAATAAACAAACCAAGAAATTTAGGTTTTATTTGTAGCAACGACACTCTGAATACAAAACAATATGTTTCAACTTTGTAAGACATTGTTTAATTTATTAAATTAATTGAAATCTAATATTAATTTAAAAGGATTAAAATAGAGATATAAATATAGACTACACTGCTGTAGACAATGGTTTTCCAAATTCTTCGATTACTCAATTGATTTTCCCAAAGATCGCTGGAATAAATATTATTCAAAAGAAATTATTAAAAGATCCTTCACTCAACATTTTGAAACTCTTGGATAATTCAAATCAAGCTATTAATTCTATAAGGTAATTATCATCGAAATAATAGAAAATCTATTAAAGAGTTAGACTAACCAACTAGCTTGGCTTATTAGTCTTGATAGTATGAATATAACTTTCCCAAATAATTTTCCTAATTTTATTCAAATTTATTCATTGTAAGTATTAATTCTGTTCATTTATCACCGAAACGTTAATTGATTTTTTTAAATATAGTGCTCTATTGAGATGTAATATTTCCAATGATGTCCCAAATAAAGTGTTGATCTCACCAACAAATTCCATATATCTCACAACAACAAATCCTCCCCTTGTAGTGGATTTAAAAGTACCTAAAAACTACACGTTAAGAACTCTGCTTGCTGATTTCACAACTTATAGTACCTACACCTTTGATGAAAGTTTCTTTCCAAGTTTAGTCTCCATGTAAGTAAATAAAAATCATCAATTTATTAATATACTAACATACAAGAACAGAGGTTTACCTACAATCTATAGAAATGCGGTCTTTTATCTAAAGACAAGAGTTTTAACAAATTTGTAAGTAATTATTTTGTTTTTCTTTTGAACAAAATATTAATATAAAATAATTTAGTGGAATTTCTGATCCTATACAAAATGGAACAGTGTATATAGATAGTACTTGTACATCATTACAACAGCTGTAAGTTTAATTTTCTTTTTGGTTGAACATGTGTATTGATATCCAAATAAATCAATTGCTATTACTCTAGATCAATTACAAATCAAACAGTATATCCATTAGATTTATCAGCGCTTCCAGTGTCATCGTTTACCTCTAGTAATAATAATCAACTTTTTACTTTCAAAAAGCAATTGGTATCATTTACGTAAGTTATATCAAAATGAATAATATTATTACAAAGTGCTTTACTAAACATTAAAATAGACGAAATCTTTACAATGGACCTTTCCCAGATGAATCCATGTTTTCCACTGCTTCTGTCCCTATGTAAGTAATTTAAAATTCTTTCAATTTCAACAAATTGTTAACAAAAACAAAATTTAGAAAAATAAGAGTAACAGGAAATATTATACCCGCAACAACACTTCCATTATACAATAATCTTACAAATCTGGTAAGCATAATGGTTAGCTCAAGTAGTGTTTATGGGGCTGTTCCAGAGAGATATTGCCAATTGACCTTCGTGGATTTATATAGTACAAATATTAGTTCAATTCCAGATTGCTTTAAATGTTATTGGGATAAATTTGCAGGTAGAATGCCTACTTATCTAGGTGCCCCACCACTGGATTTCAAATGCAGTAGGTTGAAATGAAATAAGATATTATAATTGGAATCTATATTAATTATTTTTTAGATATATTTTTGGAAAGGAATGTTTTTCATTATCAACCATCAATCACAATAAGGTAATTTAGTTAAAATTCAATTTAGTATTTTATTCTAAAAAATGTGTATATTATAGAGGAAAAAACTTAGGATATACTTCGGAACAGCCAAGTCTTTTTACTATTCAAGTTCCAAATGAAATGATAGTGTATGTTTAAACGATAAAAATTTCAAAATTATTTATTTAATAACTAATTATTATTATTTAAGATTTACTCCCACAAGCCCAATTGGAACATTTGGTCTTATTTTCAAAACATATCAAGGAAGTCAAACTATACCTATATCAATAATTACTGGTAACTAAAAGAAATAGATTTAATATTTAAATCATTATATATTTTAAATATTTATTAATTTAATTACAATAGGAAATTATATTAAAAATATCTCTTATACACAGCTTCCAAATAGTTTAACAATAATATTGAGTGGTGTATTTAACACTTCCTCAAATATTAATGTTACCCTTGATTCTTATAGGTATCAGGTATTGGGATTTAATGAAGAATCAATAGAAATGGCATACGATCATGTGTTTGATGTCGATAAAATATTGAATATTCGATTCGATTCTACATCAGATGTTTTTAATCTAACTTTAGATTATAAAAAAGGTACCTTTTCTGATTTACAATAATGAAAAAGAATGATTACTCATTTTATTTTTTAAAACAGTGTATCCATTGATATCAGCCATTTCAAATATTAAAAGTGAAGGAGGAGTCATCAGTCTATTTGGCTATTTTGGAGACAATGGACAAAATAATATTTCTGTATTGATAAACAACAATTCAAATTGCACTGCTATCTCTCAATCAAATTCCACTATTGTTTGCAATGCTGATAAATTACCTGTTGGTATATTACCCCTCATTCTAAAAGTTGATGGATATTCTTTTTCTACAAATATTAAAGTTGGTCAGTATAGTAAATATAAAGATAAAAAGATAAATAGCTAATTTAATTTAAATGCTTTACAACAGATCCAGAAGATGTAACGGTTGATTGTGGTAGTTCTAAACCATTATGTAATGGAAATGGTGATTGTAAGGCAACCGGTGTTTGTCAATGTAATTCTGGATTCAATGGATATTATTGTGAAAATAGTAAATATAAATGTAAAAAACTAGATAGTCTTCTAATATGCTAATTCGATTCAATTTTTAAAGAAATATTTGAAGGAGGTGTTATTGGTGAAAATTTAACAACACCTACACCAACATTTAGAGCCGATGGTCAAGAATTCACATTCAATATGTTAGTAGTCGAAGAATTAGATTCATCAAGAAAAGTTGTAAAATCGATTCCCACAAACAATTGGAATTTCACCACAACCAAAACAACAACTACAACCATTTCACAATATAGATTGATACATTCGTCGATAGAAATGATCGAAGCAACAATTCAATACTCATCAGAACCAATGAATATAGAATTTGCAGGAATGTCTTATGTTCTTCCACCATATTCAATTAAACTCTCAGTATCAATCGAAGGGTGGACCTATCAATCGCTTCTCAGCACTTTAAGAGTAGTGTTTTCAACAGCATTCGAACAACAACAAGAGTGTGGTGGCGAAAAAAATACAATTTCAACAAATCAAATCGATAAATCACTCAATTATCTCAAGATTGTAAAGAATGGAGTATCATTTTACGGTAAATTTTATGATGTCTCACTTTCTGATGGACAACCAACTTATTCGTTTGTGGAGATTGTCAATGGTGAAGCTAACACTTCAGATATTTCAATTGGAATCAATCTAAGTCAATGTCAGAAGTGTTTAATAGATCCAGATTTCTCATTGTTGGTCGCCATTCAAGACAAATGTGAAGAGAAGAGCAAAACATGGATCATTATAACTATTGTGGTTGTAGTTGGAGTTTTTGTTGCAGCACTGCTAGTGGTTGGTGCAATCTATATCAAAAAGCACAAATCAAGTATTAAAGTAAAGTTTGAAATTATGCTTGAGAGGTTTGAAAAAAAATAAATAAAAAACAATTTCCTTTTATTAATGCATTACTAAATTTAAAATAAATATAATAAATATCTATATCATCAATCGAATTTTTTTAAGTTGGCTCAAGAGATGGTTTTTGATAAGTTAACATAAGTTTTTCATTTTTGTGTGTGGGAAAAAACAACCTGGCAGATGTTCTCTTTTGCTTGGAAATAAACCAATTGGTATTTTATTTTATAGTGTTTGTTCATATTCATTAATAATGTATATAATGTATTTGTGGAGTTTTGATACATGGACAATGGAAGTGATGATAGGTGATTGACTGAGTACCAGGTAATATTGATTGTCAATCATTCGAATCCAGATCTTTTCATTTCGTATATCGGGGATTTCAATTAATGTCTTTGGTGGAAAGATAATTGGTGGAATATAAACTGAAATTCTATGAGAATCTGCTAGTTCGTCACAGATTATGACCAATTCTTGAATTGAAGCTGCACCTGTCATGTCATATCTTTTCTGAAGATCTTTGATACAAAAAATGTCCTTAAAAATAACTAACTTTTTCACTGAACTTGGTATCTCTTTTTGAAACGTCGATGCGAATTGAATTGAAAGTGTATCAACACCGAATGGAATTTCCTCTACTCTTTTCATTAAACAGTTGTATACTGCATTACCGAAATCAAATTCTTTGATCTTCATTCCATCAAGAGATGCTCCCTAATCCAGGATTTAACCTTAGATAATCCAATTGATATATCGATCTATCTTTGAAAATACTATTGAAATCATACAAACAATTCTCCAAATTCAGATATCTAATTGTTGGTGGCATTACATTGATCAATTTGATATTTAAGAATATTTCCAATCTTGTGAGTGAAACTGGAAGATAATTCAAATCGATATGAGGATCGTTTGATGCATCACCTATTATTAATGTCTCGAGATTTGGAAGTGTTTTGATTTGTGGTAACCATGATGTTGGTGCATATTCAAGTATTCTAAGTGTCTGAGGTAAAGCTCCATCTTCCAGAGTTGAATAGCTACGATGGAATTCCAGTACTTCGAGATTCGGTGGAAATGTTCCAACTTTAATATCTTGATTGAAATTGGATTCTTTGAATTTGAGAACTTTCAAAGATGATGGTAATACACCTGGTTCGAGTGGTTGATTGAATGACTCGTTGAATATCAATTTAATCAATGTGTTTGGAAGAACTCCTGGTTCGATTGGTTGATTAAAATATCGACCAAACTTTAGTGTTTTCAAATTTGGTGGAAGACATCCAGGTACTATCTCCTCTCTAAACGAATAGATGAATGATATCGATGTAATATTCATTGGTAATCCTGAACATGATTGAACACACTTTAACTTTGATATATTTAAATGGGATATCAATCGATAGAGATTCTTGATATTCTCTTTGTTATCTTCATTATCATTTAAACCAATCGATACTTTATCAATGTTTAATGTTTTTAATCTATCGATATCATCAAGTTCATCTAAATAATATATTTTTGTAAGCATTATTGATATATAATCGTTTTATTATCTTTATATTTGATTTACCTTTTGATATTAGATAATCATATTTATACTTGAAGAATTCATCACCAACAACAGCTTTACATTTAGTTTTTCTATTGATTTGATCAATGATTATTGATTTATATGAATTTAAATGTATATATTTATTATTGTTATCATTAATGATGTCGATATGACGAGTATTAAAAGATAGATATCTGTGTCTTTCATTGTACCATCTTTTACAAACTAAAGTCAACTATTCTATCTATATTATCATCTAAATAATTGATAACCTTTGCTAATAATAGATATGATATATTAACTAATTTATTTGTTTGATTATCATTATTACTACAACTGAATATATTATTTTTACAAATAATCATTTGTTTTTTTAGATTTTAAAAAATGGGGCATAAAATGATCGTTTTTTATGAGAAGCATGTTGATGAGGGATATCTTTTTTATTAACCTTATTAATAATTTAAATAAAACAAATATTTGACTTGAGTAAATATTAGATTATTTATGTTAATATTTGTTATTAAATATATACTTCAAGTGCAAGAAATAAAAATAAATAAATAAAATTAAATTAATTTTGAAAACAAATTTGTTTTTTTAAAATGTTAATTTATTTGTTGTAATCAAAAATTGTTAATGAATACTTTAATTATTTTTGGATCCGTTGCATACAATCCGCCTAGCGAAATCACGACTGTCAAAGAGGTACAAGACACTGTGGAGGGTTTCCAACATTCATGGAAAGAATCACCCAGCTGCATGGAGTCGTCTTTGGCTATGCACTGAGAACAGCCATCACTCAGTAGCTTATAACTTTATTGCTTCCATATTTTTGTTTCTTTGTCGAGACTGATGGATCTCTACCTCCGAAAATGGTTGTACCAAACATGCCCTCAGTTCACATTAGACCCACCATCGAAGGCAACAGATTGAACTTAAGATTCTCCCACACTTTTGATATCGTCAAGGCGATGGAAATAGCAAAATGTGAGTTGGAATTGGAGACAAATAAGTTAAAGAATTTCGATTATTATGAAACTATCTACTTAATAACATGTTATGACTATTGCAACTCTATGATTCTAGTATATATATCAATTGAAGTATTCATTAACAAGTTTTGATTACAACAAACAAATTATCATTTAAAAAAACATTTTTTTAAAATTTGATCACCAAAAAAAAATCTAAAAACATTGTTTTTCAAATTTAATTTTTTTTATTTATTTTTATTTCTTGACCTTGAAGTATATATTTAATAACAAATATTAACATAAATAATCTAATATTTACTCAAGCCAAGTAATTCATCGAATAGATATCACAAAGATATTTACGAAAAACAAAACTAAACTCTTTAAAAAAAAAGCGAATATAAAATGTTTGGTTTTAAAAGTAATAATGATGATAATCAATCAAATAGAATAGTTAATCTATCACATGTTTTGTTAGCAAGGATCATTAATTATATAGATGATAATGTAGATAGAATAGTGTTTACATTAGTTTGTAAAAGATGGCACAACGAAAGACATAGATATCTATCTTTTAATACTCATCACATTGATAGAATTAAAAGATGGTACAACGAAAGACATAGATATCTATCTTTTAATACTCATCACATTGATAGAACAATCAATGAGCAACATAAAAATAATATATTTTTAAATTCATATAAATCAATATACATCGATTCAATCAATAGAAAGAATGATAACCATCTTTTTATTCGCAGAGAGAATCAAAGATATTCAGGCTATTGCCTATTAACAAGTATGTTTAATCGGCTATTCATTAACTATTAGAAATTTAATTATACTTTCACTTTATTTTAGGACAACGTATTGAAATCAACGAGATTTTTCCTATAAATGTTGATTCAATAGAGATTGGAACATCAGAATCAGAAGTAGAAAATATCTATCGAATGATAACAAGGTCCAATGTCACCAAGCTAATTAAATGTAACACATTAAGATATAGATTACCAGAGAATCTAACTTATCTATCATTCGGCTCAGATCTTAAAGAACCATTGTTACCTGGCTATCTTCCACCACACTTGAAATATCTCAACTTTGAAGATAGTAATTTCAGTCAACCAATCGATAAAGGTCTGATTCCTAACGGTCTGGAAGTACTAATTCTTGGTATATCATTCGATCAACCACTTGAACCAGGTGTATTACCATCATCTTTGAAATATCTGGTCTATTCTGGCACACATCATCTCAAAGTTGGATCATTACCTCCAAATCTAGAAGAATTCATGTATTATAATACTGATAATTTGTCGATAGATGATGGTGCATTACCCTTTGTATTACCTTTGACACTTCAAAAATTGACAGCACCAGTATTATGGCTTCCATCAATCAAATCACTTTCAAATCTTAAATCATTATCACTACTTTCTTTTGCCGGTGATACTATTGATTTAAGTTATCTGCCATGTTCACTTACAAAACTGGACTTTGAAAAAGGACATTTAATATCAACGATGCCACCATCAATCAAACATCTCGAATTAAGCTGTACAATCTATGATACCAACGAAATATTCAAAGATCGATCACAATATCAATTCAATTATCTATTGGCGAATGCAAAAAAAGTTGAATCACTTCAAGGATTGAAGATCAAGAGATTGGATATTGAGTTGGAAAATAATAGTTTCAATAGAATAGTTCCAATTTTAGAAATCGGAGATCTTCCCGATGGTATTGAAACACTTCGAATGGGGAGATTCAAAGAGTTTAGAATTAAAGTACAACAAATTCCAACAACAGTTCGAAAATTAGTTGTTCATTCATTAAGAAACATTGTTTTTGCTGAAAACCAACCATTACCTGTCACACTGCAAAAGTTGGTGATAAAATCGAGCGTCGATAAAGATAAACTATTTCCAAGCGATATTCTTCCGCCATCACTTGAATCTTTGTCCCTACCATCCATTCAACTCCCACAACCTCGAATACCCAACAATCTTGTTCTAAAACTGAATCAAAGAGTAAATAATCAAATAATATGTCTGCGAAGACTTGACGATCATCATTTTCTCTTCCTCAATGAAGCACCATGCTTTTTATCTGCAATTGTACATGAATCAGATATTCTAAAAACATTTACATCATTTGAATTATTATTAAAATAAAATTAATAGAAAATTAACAAAGTAATTATATAATATTTAGAATCCATCATATTTATATAATGTATGCAATAATGATTGTTCTTTCCAATTTCTATATTTATCAAGAACATATACCTTGTATTTGTGAAGTTGTGATTTCATACATGGACAATGGCTGTAATGAGAGGTGATTGACTGATTACAAGGTAGAATTGATTGTCAATCATTCGAATCCAGATCTTTTCGTTTCGTATATTGGAGAGTTCTATTAATGTCTTTGGTGGAAAGATAATTGGTGGAATATAAACTGAATATTTATGAAATAATAATCTGTGACTGAATTAAATAAAAGCTATTAAAACTGACTCGATCTTTGACAGATTGAATTTGATTTTTTCTCACTACTCTATTTATCATTTAATTAAATAAAAGTTTAAGATGCATTGTAAAACCTAGATAATTCACTTAATTGATTGTATAACAAGCTCTGGCTCGCAACTCCTTCCGCTTGCGCATTATTTTTGGAACAGAAATAAAACTTAGAAAAAAACATTGTGAAAAACAACCACAATCATTGAAAAAAATTTAACATTTTTTAAAAAATAATGTTATTTTTTTTTTTTTTTTCGTCTGATTGTCTGGGGTTTGTTTGTTTTGTTAGATTTCTAAGGTTTTGTTTATCATAAAGTTCATTTATTATTCAATGATTGTTAATCTATCACATTTATTGCTATCAAAGATAGTTTGTTATCTTGAAGATAACATAGATAGAATATGTGTCAGTTTAGTTTGTAAAAGATTGTTCGAGGAAAGAGTTAAATATCTATATTTTAATACCGATAATATAAATATCATTGACAATCAAGAAGATGAAGTATTTACCTTAAAATCATATCGATCATTAATATTCAGATCACTCAAACAAAAGAGAATTTGTATTATGTCTATTGGTGGTTCTAGAATCAGATATGACTCTTCTATAGATCCTTGTAAATAATTAGTTTTAATATCAATTATAATTACAAAAAACAAATTCTAATTCATTTATTTTATTAAAAAATACAGTTACTCATTTGGAAGACCCTATAGATATCATTACACCAAATATCTCTACAGTTAAAATAGATCAAAAACTTGGTAAAAAGCATACAGAGAATCTCTATCGAATGATATCCGATTCAAAAGTATACAATCTAAAAGGAATATCAAGATTATCGAGTGTATTACCTGTGAATTTGACATCAATTACGTTTCATTATGAGTTCAATAAAGTATTGTTGGCAGGTTATCTTCCACCGAAACTAAAGAAACTAAAATTCGACACCAATTCATATTTTAATCAAACAATATCAGCAGGTGTTCTTCCAAATACATTGAAGAAACTTAAATTTGGTGAATGTTTCGATCAAGTACTCGAACCTCATGTATTACCATCATCCTTAACTTATTTAGAATTGGGATATAACTACACTCAAACACTTCAAGTTGGATCACTTCCTCCAAATCTTCTAGTTTTTAATCATTATGGTGAAATTATCTCCGAGATTTCAGATGGAGTATTACCACAATCACTTTGTACTTTGCAATCAGTACCTTTATCATGGATCCCATTCATCAAATCACTAAACAATCTCACAAAACTAAAACTTTATCAAAGTGATAATTCTATTGTCACAATAGACTTGTCAGATCTACCAGGTTCTCTAACAGATTTAGCTATTTATGCATCATGTCATCTCACGTCATCTCTATCACCTTCAATCAGATATCTAGATATTCACGAAACCGAGTATGATATCGATGAGATATTCAAAGATCGATCACAATATCATTTCGAAAGGTTGTGTGTCGATGGAAACAAACAAGAATCACTTGACAATCTGAAGATCAACGAGCTGAGACTGGAATTTGACAAAAGAGAATCGATTTTAAGGTATATTCCATTTGGTGTGGAATCTTTATTTATTGGTCACCAAAATTTTGAATTCTATACAATTCCAAAACTCAATCTAAACGGTATTCCATCGTCAGTGAAGAAGATTACATTTCAATCCAATATTTTGTTCAATCAACTTGATTTCGAAATTCCAAACAATGTTGAAGAAGTTATGATACAAAATATTTATTTGGATGATCAATTCTCAAGTGAATGGATTCCAAACTCTGTTAAATCACTTACTATTCCTTCTAATTTGTTTCAAAAAGGTTCCACACCTATATCAGTTACCAACTTGTTTTTGACCAATGTTAGAGAAAAATTATATCTCCAAGTTCGAAAGATATATGATAATCACTATCTCATTTTTGGTAAAACAAATGATAAATTCAAAGCTGCAATTGTCTCGCAACTTTTTCTATCTGATTTCATCGACAAAAAATAAAAATTTGACAATTGAAAATCATAATAATTTAGATAAATATCATAACCCATAAGAGCTATACTTTCAGTTTTTAATTTGATTTGATCAATTTATATGAATTTAAATGTATATATTTAATCTTATTATCATGAAAGATTCTAATACGATGAGTATTAAAAGATAGATAACTTTGCATAAATAGTAATAGACCAAAGGTGAAATAAAACTATTGTAAATTTACAATACCAATAATTGAACTTCCACTACCCAATTCATATGATCTGCTAGCAAAGACTTGACGATATTATGTCTCCTCTTAAGAGAAGATTCTACCTTTATATACTAATGAATCATGAATCATGTATTACCAAGCTAGGAGGTATTTTTTTTAAATTAACTGTACAGTAAATAGTACTAATTATTTAATTCAAGACAACAAGTAAATAGACTTTGATTATTTTATTTTAAAGTGAATTTTCTCTGTTAATTAATTGTCTGCCCAATTAATAATAAAATAAAGGGAAAGATATAAAAATAAATCTAATATTTATTTTTTGTAGAATCTGCTATTCAATTTCATAAACTTTTTAACATGTTCAACACAAATATATAACCCCAATAATTAAAAAACCAAAAACAAAATATTTGATAAAAAGAAAGTGAAGAGACTAAATATATATATTTATATGTGGTTTTATAAGTTATATTTACTAATAAATAAATGATGATGATTGGGCGATAGTTTTGAATTCAACAACCAAGGTTACATTCAAATGAATTTAATAAAAATTTGATTTTAATAAAAATTAAAATGTTTTTAATAATTTTTTTATTTATATTTTCAAAAATTATTATTTTTCATCATAGTTTAAAAAATATGAATATTTCTAAAGTTTTTATAGTATTCTTTTTATTGATTGGTACTTACTTCACTGCGACCTTGGCAATTGATTGTCGTTTGGTAAGATGTGCGGGTGCAAACAAAGAGATTTGTTTAAAGAGTGGTGGAAAGTTCCACTTGCGTGATGGTATCAACTACTGTTGTGATTCTTGCACCGTCATCAACAAATGTACATTCATCAATACATGCAACCCTGTCAATAAACGTGAATGTATATCAACTGGTGGCAAGTTTGTTCCTGCCAACTACACAAATGGTGACTGCTGTGATTCTTGTACGAGAATGTGTGAATTGGTCGACTGTGCCAATGCAAATAAAGAAGAATGTGTATCGCGTGGAGATATCTGGCATGAAAGAGATGTCAAGAAAGGAAATTGTTGTGATTGGTGTGAAACCACTTGTGCTGCTGTTCAATGCTTATTTGTAGATCAAAAGAAATGTGAAGCAAATCATGGAAAATATATTCCTGCTGATATAAAGGCTGGTCGTGTAAGTTAACAAACATTCATTATAACTAGATATTTACAAATTTTAATAAATAATTATTATTTTAGTGTTGTGCACAATGTAAAGGTTGTGAGAATATTGAATGCTCCCCACCTTTGTGCCCTGCTGGTTCCAAAATGATTCCAGCCGATCCCAAAAATGGCAAGTGCTGTCCATCATGTCAATAACTTTTTTTCAAATATACAGTCATTATTCAAATAAATTAAAGTTATTAAACAAACAATTATATAAGTATTATTTAAATAACTTACGCCACATTGTTTATAAATGAGATTACCCATAAAAAAAATGAGATTTCAAACATTTCAATAAATAACTATCTATTCAATAGATAACTATTTAAAAAATAAAAAAAAAAAAAGTAAGATTTGATAAAATTAAAGGATGATAGATAACCAATTATATATATATTTAACCATTTATTACTATTACTTGTTTTTATTTATATTTATTTATTAAAGCAATGTTCTGGAATTAAATTTTGGCTCTGTTTTAAATTTAAAAAAAAAACAGTGTTAGTTTTAAAATATTAAGAATTAACAAAAAAAAATTTTAAAACTAACTTACGTTGAAAGTTTGGAATGTTTGAGTTGCGTTGTTTAAATCCCATCCACTCTTGTCGAGACACTCTATTGCGAATTCATCTTTGAGTGATGTCATATTTTTGAATTGCTGTAATAAGAGTTCTTTCTCGGGAGCAGCAAGTTGGGTTGGTGCTGGGGTGACAGTATTTGGGGTTGGTGGAACAGCATCGGTAGCCAATCTCGGGAATCTGACATAAGGTCTGATGTGAAGCTGTTCATTCAAGATGACCGCTTCCCAGCCTTGTTTTGCCGAATCCGAGTTGGGCGGTGCTGGAGCCAACACAAATACACGATCGAACGATCTTTTAGTACAAAATGATGTTTCTGTGAAGAATCCATGTGTTATTACGTAGAGTGCCTGTATGTATGTGTAAATGAAAAAATAAACATAATTAATATTTAAATATTATTAAATTAATAATTTGTTGTGATCGTACGTTGGAAGACTCTGGTGATTGCGATGGCACCAAAAATACATCAACTATTGGAGTTGAGAGGTTATGTGTAGTTGCTGGGAAAAGTTTGAAAAAGTTGTAAATCTTTTCAAATCCAACATATAATAATTGTGTTCTTTTAGCTATAAAGTAAAGTTATAATTATTAGTAATTAGTAGTAGTAGTAGTTTAAATTAAATAATTTTTTTTTTTTTTAAAATACATACTTAAATCCAAACTTTTCAATAAATTTCTATTACTTCTGCCATATTGTTTGACGGATCCTCTTGCAACTGAATCGTCACCAGCTGAAAAAGTCATAGAGAAGATGGAATCCTCTGAATATGCTTTAACGATATTTGAACGATCAGTATCAAAAGTAGTGAAATACCTAATTAATAAATAAAAGGTTAGTTAGTTAGATATAAAAGAGTAATGTTATGTTATTAATAAAACCATACTTTTGGAGGAATCTATAGGCAAATTGTTGTGTTTCTACGGTATCAAAGAAACTTGGCCTCAAAGGAGGGCAAGGGCTTGGTGGGAAGTCGGCTGGTCCAATTTCAACACCATCTAAAAACTTGAGATCTGGGAATCTTTTGGCTACCTCCCTATAATTGATTTGAAATTATTTTGTTAATATCTATCAATTGATAGAATCATGACTATTATTTAAACTTACATTCTATAATTTGGTTGACTTGCGATTGGATTGTTGGAGAGTAACAACTCTCTGAGTGGTAGATCACTTAGGTAGTCGAGTTCATCAAAGTCGGTGATCTTGTTCGAGTCAAAGTTGAAATTAATCAAATTCTCTAATTTGAAACGTGTCATTAAAACGAATCCAGAGAATGATGTTATGTTGTTGTGTGAGAAAGAAATGGTATTTGCCTATAATTATAATAATTTAAAAAAAAGATTAGTAGAAAAATGTTCATATCAAATATAAATAGAATAATAAAGGATAAAGAAATATGGTGAGTCAATTACTTCTATTTGTTAAAACATATATGATTATTCTGATTACTATTATAGCCTATTATTATTATTATTATTATTATTATGATGATTATGATGATTATTGAATACAACTAAACTTATTCTAATGATTGGTTGTTGTTGTTGTTAACTTTAAAACTTAAACTGGAGAAAGAAATAACTTTGTTTTTTTTTAATAAAAAAAAAAAAAAAAAAGAAAGAAAAGAAAAGAAAAGTAAAGTAAAGAAACATAATAAAGCTGTTGTATGTCTATCTATTTAGTGATGTTGTTGCTACCCATAGTTATTAGTTGAAATGTCTAGTGTGTTAAATTGAAGTAGTCATGTTAAGTTTGTTTGATTATTTGATTGTTTGGTTGTTTGGTTTGTTTGGTTTGTTTGGTTGTTTGTCAGTTGTGCCTGGTTCGGAAGTTCAAAAGTGTAGTAGGTAAGGTAGCAGTGTTGTTATTGTTGGACATTGATTAAAGATATGACACCTCCAGACATCGAGTTCATTTGAAGATCGTAGCATCTTTCTTCTCTTGACGATTCTGTTTTCTTGCTGTTTTTGTTGTCTTTTTTTTTTTTTTTTCTTTTGTTTGAGCGACAAAAAAAAAAAAAAAAAAACTTAAAAAAAAACTAAACTATCTCCTTTCTCCCAACAGTTGTTGTTGTTGTTGTTTTGTTGACTTTACTAACTATCTTGAATCGAAATGAATCGAATCAAATATACCCAACTTAAACTCCAATATCTATAGATAACATTCATTTCCAAAATGAATAACCCAAAGAGTAGGGTTTCTGTCGATATCTTTTGTTGTTGTTGTTGTTGATGTTGTTGTTGATTTGCTGATATATCGGCTGTTAAGTAGTAGTAGAAGTGAAAATGTATAATACCTTTGGACATTTCTCAGAGAGTAATCTAAAGAGTGGTCTTAAGTTGTTAGAGTCATTGAAATTCAATGACTTTGTGGTGGAGAGGTATGAAAGGTCGATGAGTGGCGCATCGTTGGTGTACTTTGACTCGAGGTGCTTCTCGATTATGCTATTGGTTTGCTTTGCTTGTGTATTACCACGTTTATTCTGTTGTGTCAACGTCAGAGTAGTGGTTGGTTGCTTAACGAATTTTGCAGATGAAGATCTATCTTCTCTTTGGATGAATATCTTTAATATTAAGTTAAGTAAGTAAATTAAGTAAGTTAGTAAATGTTGTTTGTTTGAATGGTTGTTGTTGTTGTTGTTGTTGTTCAATAATTATAACTTACTTTATCACCTCCATATCTTGTACCTGATAAATTAACAAGTGGTTGAACATCTTCATTTCTAAGTAATGTTAAGAATAACTTTTGATTTCTAAATTCACTCTGTTTTTGTTTTAAAATAAAAAAAAAGATGTTAATATATATATGTTTGTTTTTGTTGTTATGTTTGTTGTTATGTTGTATTTGTTTGATAACTCACTCCTTTGAATACCATGTTTGGTCTGAATGATTTGTTTTTAAGATAGTCCATGACATCGTTGGCATCTGTTGTGTTTGGGAGGTTAGAGATTACAACACGTGGAAGATCATCGTTTCTGTTTGTAACTTCGAATCTTCTTCCTCCGCCTCTCGATTGTTTACCACCTCTCTTTACCAACACGCTTCTAGTATTATTATTGTTGTTATTATGATTGTGATTGTTACCACCACCACCACCGCCGAATCCACCTCTTTTTCCACCACGACCTCTGAATGACATTATTTGATCTAATAAATATCTAATTAACTAAACTAACTAACTAATTAAATAAAAAAATAATCTAACTTTGAAAATATAAAGAAATACTACTATATCTATATAAATAATAATATTTCTATAAAATATATAATTAAATAACTAAATAACTATTATATGTATATCGTTAAAGCTTGTATTAGATTGATTTATTTTTTTTGTTTTTGTTTACTAAATATTATTTTTTTGTGTTTGTTGTGTTTTGTTTTGGTTGTTTGTTTGTTTATTTGTTTGATTGTTGTTTTAAAAATAGTGGTTATTGTTATTGTTTGTAAATAAATATATTATTGTTTTTGCTTTATTGTAAAAATAGTTTAGTCGATATGATTTGTTATTTTTTTTTTTTTTTTTGAAGAGAATTCACTTAGTCTCAACTCAAACAAGAAATTAAAAATACGAACTTGGTGAAATTATTACGAACTCCAAACAAATCAATGTAAAGAAAAAAAATAATCAAAAAACTAAATTTTTTTAGTAATTTTTTTGAATTTTTATTTTATTTTTAATTTTTTTTTTGTTTGAAAAAACAACAAATGACAACGACCGTCAGACGTAAGCATCTTCCATTTCATTCGATTGTATGATTCGAATTCTATCTACAAAATAATTTCCTTACTTATGTCTATTTAAAAAAAAAAAACCAACTATGAGTATCTATCAATTTTGATTGTTATATACTTTTATAAATCAAATTTAAAAATGTAAGTAAAAATAATCTATAAACCTTTATATTTTTGTATTCTATTTTTATGATGAGAAACAGGCATTTGTCCAAGTAGTAATACGTTGCCGACAAAACACTAGCTACCTTAATAAACTTTTCTGATGATTATCTATTTATTATTATTTTATTTATTTATTTTTAAATTCTTAAAGTTATTATATACTAATGTTTATTTTATTAATTTTTATAGTTTAAAATGTTTTAACTAAATTGTTAAATGTGATTTATGACCTAGTGTACAACCAATTTCGATAAATATTCATATTTATAAGAATGTTTTTTATAAATAATTAAAAAAGGTAAATATCAAAAAAAAAAAAAAAAAAAAAAAAAAAGATAGTCTTTGTTATAAAAGAAAAAGAAGTCTAGATGATGACCGTAATTTGCGTATGATACACTCTCCGCTTTTGTACTTAGGAATGGATTGTGTTTTGATCCCATTTTTTGTCACTGATTAAACTTCTTTTTCTTTTTTAATAACAACTTCTATTTTTATCATCTATCATTACTTAAGTAATTTCAATACTAACTATTTACTCTTTTATTACAATCAATAGATATCTCTAAATATGAAACTTTATCATTCTATTTAACAAATTTATTAATGAATATCTGTGTAATGATATAAATATTCTTAGTTGTCGCACAGACATTCATTAATAAACTAAATTAAATTTAAATAAATAAATATTTTTTAAAAAACAAACAAATAGTTAAATTCTTATTTGCATTTATCGTTTTTTCTTAACTTTTCGTATTTCTTAATTCGTTTTGTTTCAAAAATTTAATTTGAAAAGTCAAACTAAAAGTCAAGATAACAAAAGTATAAATGATTTTGTTAATTGAATAAATAATTCAAAAGATAAGTAGATGTCAAATTCTTCGGTTTAATATCGCAACGAGAAGATATAGAGTTTTAACCCATCATCACTCACTTTCTTATCTGTTAAAAAAACATCACAATCAAGCAAGACTCAAATTTGTGTTGAGAAGTTTTTTTTTTTGGTTTTTTTGCACGAACTGGACGGATTCCAACAACAAAAAACTCTTGCGAAAGATCAAATTTCCAAAACCGTAAAGCTAACAGGGCATTTTTGTTTGTCAACACCCAACAATGAAAATTCATCTACATAGAAATAAATTTCTTTTTTTGCTTAATATGATGATGTTTTTTCTGCTCTGATCTAACCATGAGTCTCACTGAGGTGCAAAAGAAATCATCATAATAACTGTTTTTTGTTGTAATTTTTAATGATGAGTGTTAGAGAAAAGAAAAAAGTTTTAAGATATTCATTGTTGATCTACTTTTCCAAATTGAAAACAAAACAACAATATTAAATGTAAAAAATAAAATAAAAAAAAAGGATTGGACGGTAATGATTATTTCATTTTATTTTATTCTATTCTACGTCATTTTTTTTATTTTATAGAAATCAATTTAATATACAATATGTTTTAAATCAATTCCTTTTTTTTATTTTTTGGATATCATAGTTAATATAAATTATTAAAATACAAAATAAAATTAAATAGTAATAATTAAATTGTATTATTTTAAATAAAACAAAAAAGTAAGACTTATTTCATTGGAGTTGTTTATTATCCTCGACCATTGTTGGGTTCAAAAACAAAAAAAATATCTTGGCTAAACAAACAAAAATCAAACAATCAAAAAAACACACAAATCCCTCCAAATTTTTTATATTTCTCTCATTTTTTAGAAGAAGGGAAGAATAAAAAAAAAAAGAATACTTTTGTATTTTATATTTTTTTGTATTTGTATTTTGGATATTTTATTATTTGTTTAGTTCTGTTTATTCAATCATCATTATTTTTTACTATATATAATATTTTCAAGTTTAAAAGGGTTTCACTTTTAAAGTCTATTTGTATTGAAAAATTTAGTGGTGTTGAAATTTGTGAAAAGTAAAAAGAAAAATCTCACTATTTAAATTAAAATTATTTTTTTTTTAAAAAACTTTTGTTTTTTCAAACTAGTTTGAAAAAAAGGTAGTTCTTTTTCTTAAATAGTCTTTTTGCTTGTTTTTGTATTGGTGTTGTTGATATTTCAAATTATATATATATTATTTAAAATTATAAAAGAAAGTTAAGCAAAATTCAACCTTTACAAACAACAACAACCAAAACAACCAAAACAACAAGCAAGCAAATTACTTAATATAATTATTAGAATAGAAAGATCATTTTCTAATTCAAGTTTGTTCGTTTATTTGTTTACATAACACACAACAACAAACAACAAACATCCCTATATTTATTTATTTATTTATATTTATTTATATTTTACTTTTATTATATTCCATATAACTAATAATTATAACAAAATAATAATAAGGAATTAGGAACAACACAGACAAACAGTAGTAATAGTAGTAGTAGTAATTTTAGCATCAACAAATAATCGCTCATGAATAGCAATAATAATTGAAATTAAGATTTTTTTTTATTTTGTATTTATATATATTTAATAGCAAAAAAAAAAAAAAAAAAAGTTAGAATAAATAATCATAATTATAATAATAGTCAAAATCAATTAATCAATTGATCACAATTAAAATCAAATTTATCACTCCAGTTAACAATCATTCGAATAGAAAGTGTTCAAAAGTGAAAGAAAGTAATTTGATTTATAGTTTTTTTGACAGTGTGAGTTTGCTCTGCGTCACAGACCGACCGACCGATCGACAGTTAGGACATATTAGCAGATAGCATCAACAAAAACAACAACCAACAACAACAATGAGTGAATCCTCATTCAGTCAATTAAAATCACATTCCTCTGGAAAGAGAAAGTTCCTTCAAGATATACGTAAGTAGAATATTCTACACACCGCACTGCACCGAATCAACCAATCAACCACCATCATAATTAGTTTTTTTTTTTTTTGATTTCGAAATCAAATTTGGAAAATTCCAAGTCAATTTTGATTTTTTTTTTTTTTGACACTTTACACTATTTGCGCGTGTGTGTGAACGTGTGATTGACCAATCATAAATATGTGACTGACATATATATTTATTTTTTTACACTTTTTATTTTTAGCTACAACGATCGACGATGAAAATTACAGTATTAAAAATCAGATATATAAAGAGTTGGAGGATATGGAAAAGGAAGGAGAATTGAATCAGGATCATATTCTTCATCCTCACCATCATCATGGAGGTGGTGGATTCTCATTCTCTTCTCCTTCGCTACCGAGATGGACTGGTGATATCTCTGCCAATGTTGGTCTCGCACATAACAGTAGCAGTGGCAGCATGGGTGGTATTGTGACGATTCTGGCGAGTGGCGACGATGACAACATCCCCAACTCGCACAAGTCCACTCGTTATCCAACCAAAGGTTCGCTAACAGGCAGTTCTGTAAAGAGCAGTGGAAACAACAACAACAGCAGTGCCAATTCCAGCAATCAGAATAGCTCTTCCAGCTTCTCAAACTACAACAATCACAGCAACCACAGTTCTGCATCGAATTATAAGAACTTTGGTGGCGGTGGTGGTGGAAGTAACAATGGTAGCGCATCAAACTACCTCAATTTTTCACAGCAACAACAACAGCAGCAACAGGGTGGAAGTAACAACGGTAGTGCTTCAAGCTATTCCATCTACAACAGCAATGGTGGTAGTAACAATGGAAGTGCATCGAGTTTCAGTGTGTTTGGTAACAATGGTGGTGCTGGTGGTGGACATAGTAACAACGGAAGTGCATCTAGTTATAGTGTGTTTGCTACGCAACAGCAGCATCTCCAACAGCCAAATATCAGAATCACCACACCCGCTGGCAGTAGCAACAGCAGCGCGTCCAACTACAACGCGTTCGCCACAACCACAGCCAACGGTAGTAATCAATCAAGTTTCAGCGTGTTTGGCAGCGGCAACAATGTCAACAGTAATCCAGGCAGTAACAACTCGAGTTTCAACAGTATAGCACCACCCTCCACACCACAGATTCCATCATCACAACAACCACAACAACCTCAAAATAATAGTAATAACAACAATAGACATTTCAATCCAACTTCATTATTTGAAATTCTACAAAAGACTGTTGAGGAGCAATCAGCTCAACAACTGCTCGTCCAACAACAAGTCGCACAACAACAGACACACCAACAAGCACAACAATATTTATTACAACAACAACAGCTACTCCAACAACAAGAGGAGAATCATAATAGTAGTGGTAGTCTAGTCAGCGATGGCAGCAGAAGCAGTATGAGTATCAACAACTTGATTAATCCCGATTCCGTTTTGATGCCACCTCGCTCCGATTTCACACTGTCGCCTCAGTCCTCACAGTCGCTGCGCAGTAACAACAGTAGTATGCCACTCACAAACGATACAACCACCTACAGCAACACTAGCAGTGTTATTAGCAGCATCAACAGCAGTAACAACAGCAGCATAAACATGGCAATCGACAACATGCATATCTCCAGTGGCTATCACAGCGGTGGTCAATACAGTGGCCAGTACAGCGGAAACGTCAGTCGTGTCGGCAGTGGAAATGTCGCGCGTCGTCCACAAACATCGACTTCCAACTTTATGAATTCCGCCAGTCTGACTGGTTGGGTGTGTGTGAAGAGTCGTCAATCCATTCTTATCATTGGTCCAAACGGCATTGGAAAGAGCTTCCTGCTGAACACCATCTTGAGATCCACATTCATCCCCACCATCTCCCAGTCACGTCCAATCCTCGGAAGTCACCGTGGATTCAGCATCGATGACTCCGACAAAGATACTTCCATGAGCATTGGCGAATCGCCAATCAATGTCGATGCTCCGGAGCAATCAAACTACAACCTTCTCAGGGGTATAAGACACATGAATCAAATGAATCAGTCGTCCAACCAAACGAAAATCGATCATCAATACTCGCTCGACGATTCCTTTAGACAGTCGGTCGACTGGACAAAGGAGCGTGAGTTGGAGATGGAGTCGATCTACAAGACCAGTCAGTATATCCACACCAAAGTGTTCCCTGTGCTCAATGATAATCACACCTTCCTCTTGCCACAGGGCAGACTGGGACCTTCACAGTTGTTCCGTTTCGCCTATGGATCGATCTGCGAGTTGGTCGTTGAGTTTATTTCAGAGTCTGATCTTAGACAGTGTCTCTGGGAGTTGCATACCTACGAAGCCGACAAATCGGTACCGATGAACCCGAAGCGTTTGGAGTTCCTCACATGGACATACGCTTCGGTGGTGGAGGGAGCTACCGCTTCTACAAGTGGCCGTACCATCAATTTGATTTCCGACGCCAAGAACAGCTGGGACCTTCCACTGTCCGATAATGTCAGACAACTCCTCGGAAAGACCGTACAATTCAAGGGTACCGGTAAGGACCACAACGTCGACCGTATCTACATCCGTGAGAAGCTGAAGGAGACACTGGCGTGCTACGGCTACATCACTGGCAGCTTCTGTTTCCTCTTGCCATGCAGCATCTTGCTGGGACGTCGTGAAATCTCTATACTCTCGGACGACACCCGTCGTGGAAACGTTTCGAAATTCACAGCCACTCGTTTGTTGAACGATGCCGAGCAGATCCTCCTAGCTTTCGACTATCGCGGTTTGTCAGCGGATGTCGCCGACCTCCTCATTGGTTCAAACTTTATGCAGAAACTCTCAAACGAAGGATCCGTCCAATTCATCGAACTAGGTGAAAAGTTTCAAAACAAAACACCCTATCCCAAGGGTATCTACAACTCCAAAGGTCTGCTCATCACCCAACTCAAGAAACTCTATAGAAATGCAAGAAATCCAACGACCAACTTTGATCAAATTTTAAATAACTTTAAATTATTACAATTAATGGTAAGTTTATTATATTAACACATAGTTATAAAAAACAAATAACTAATAATTATTCTATTATTTCTATATTGTTAGCCAATATTATTTTTATCAGCAGAATTGAATAAAGCATTGCCTTTAGAATATGCAAGTTCAATTGGATCACTTAAACAATTGAAGGATATTACAAATATTCCATTGTTGATCAAGATCATTCATCAAGCCACTCATACCAGTTGGACAACTCAGCACAATCTACTTGATAAGTTCAAGGAGAATGCTTTCAAAAAGAATACTTTGTTACATCAATACTTTAAGACAACCACTCAACCACAACAACAACAACCACAACAAACACTTCAATTGGCACAACAAAAACCATCTACACTCAATGCACCAAAGAAGGCACAACAAGCAGCACTTCCTCAAATCATCGCACCGGCATCGACTTCGCCGTGCAAATCGCAACAACAACCACCAACACAACAAACCAATCAACCAATTGTTATTAATCTAACTGGAAGTGGTAGTAATGGTTCTATCGAAGCACCTCCTCACACCTTTAGCCAGCCAGCTAGCCAACCTGCAACTTCGCAAGTGGTTATTGCAGCACCGAAATCACCGACACAAATGATTATCGATGACAACTTGTCGAGTTCGTTCAAGGAGCAACTACAGTTGTCTTCCACACCGACCAGTGGAATCCGTAGTAACAACTGGCGTAGTCAGTATCTCCAGTACAAACAGGTTGGATCGGTACCCGGAAACAACACCAGTGGCATGGATCGCATCAGTTCGTCGTTCCGTACACGTTTCGCTGGATGGAAGCGCAAGCTCCTCGCGTACATCAGCTCCGAAGCATCGGAGTCGGTATTCCTCAACAAGGTGTCAGAGTGCGAGCAATTCGCTCGCTCCGAATGGGAGAGATTCCGACACATCTCGCCCGACCATACCGCAACCATCTCTGACATCTGCTCGAATCTCTACGGACTCTCATCGAGTTCGCGTCTTATTAGCGGTGGTGCAGCCGAATTCTACAACAACACTGGCAATCCTGTGATTCTCCTTTGTCGTACACTCATCCACTGGACGCCCACCTTTTGGCGCGACAATGTCGTCGAGCGCATGCCAATGTTGGAAGATGAAATCGTGCAGTTCTCACGTAATCTTCTCGGTGAAATTAGCAAGCTCCTGATGAACAAGGTGAATATGCCAGCCGAGGAGAAAGCACAGCACAACAAGCTGCTTCAATATTGCCAGTCTGCAACCGATCGAAATGTCCACAATAAGATTCAGTATATTCAAAGTTTCTTTATCGGTCAAAATATGACACAGTTGTTCTATGCCATCTCGCTAGATACACTGTGCTCAGAGTTGACATCAAAGGCATCGGCAGATCCCAAACAACTCGTTCGCTACCACGAGTTGATCGAAATGTGTTTCCACAGTGCTCCACTCATGGCTGCATCCAAGATCCAACAGAAACTCTTAGAGATGCTCAGAACTGCACTTACCTATCTCGACTCTATCGAAAAGCATCTCGAACACACCATTCAATATCTACTAAACTCGCCATTCCGTATCAAGAGACAAATCCAAATGAAGCCAAAGATTGACTTTACGCTGAATGTCATCGATAATTATATTAATCTAGTGGATCCAATCGAGGATCCAAATCACCCCAGACCTGAAGTAGTTTCTCCACAATCTACATCTTCATCATCCAGCTCGAATAATAGCAGCAGCAGTGCTGGTGGTTGTGGTAGTAGTAATCAATCAAATAGTAGATCACCATCACCTCAATCCTCACCGAATATGATATCGTCACCAGCCGTTCCATCGTCTCCACAACAACAAGACAGAATGGAAGTGGACGTCGATGGAATCGGATCGGCCAATCCACCATTCAACAAACGTATCAAGAAGCCAACCACCGAAACCACCTATGCATCCGAATCACAAGGATCTATTGTATATACACCCAAAACCATTTCACATCCACCACAAACACCGGCACCACTTCTTCAGTTGTGCATCGCCAAGATCTGTCAGCAGATTCATGCACTACGCAATGTCTCGCTACCCGAAGAGCTACTGCAAAAGGTGATCAGCCAATTCATCAGCCAAGAGTCAACCAAGGGTTCCGGTACCTCTCAGATATCTGCACAGTTGGACGATGCTCTCTTGGTTCGTTTGTTGGTGCCCGCCCTCCAATCACTCGACCTCGAAGGTGCAAAGTACCTATCGGCCCTGAGTATCCGTGCCATCGGTGCCACCTGTCCAAATCTAAAGAAACTCTCTCTCGCTTACTGTACCAATATACCATCGGAATCACTTGCCGCACTTGGAATCGCATGCAAACAACTGGAATCCATTAATCTCAAGGGTTGTCATCAATTGACCAACGTCGGATTGCTCTATGTTGTTCGTGGATGTCCAAATCTCACTAGCATCGACCTCTCTGGCTGTATGAAGATAACCGACTCTGCCATTCATGAACTATTCCAAAACTCAAGACGACTCCAAACACTCGATCTCCGTCGTTGTCCTCAGTTGACAGACGCAGCTTTCCAATCGTTCAATCTGACAACTCTTCTCAATATTGATCTTCTCGAGTGCAATCAGATCACCGATATTGCCGTCATCCAAATATGTAATACTAGTAGATCGCTTAGTAGCATCAAGCTAAGCAGTAAGAATATAACCGACCAATCGTTGAAGCGTATCGCTGCCAAGTGTCGTCAGCTGACAGTACTCGACCTGATTGCCTGTGAGAATATCACTGATTCCGGTGTTCAGTCGATTGTCCGTGGATGTCCAGAACTCAGTTCGCTCAATCTCTGCTCCTCCAAGAACATTACAACTGCTGCCTTCCAAATCGATGAGGATCTTCTCACCGATTCCAGTGTTGGAAGCAGTAGTATGATGGGAGTTGGCGACCACAGCAGTGACTCTAGCATGGACTCCCTCATGGCGGCAGCTGCATCGACCGCCAATGAATTGTGTTTGAAGAGTTTGAAACATCTCGATCTCAATCGTTGCATTGCCATCAACGATAGTTCAGTGCTAACACTGACAATGCAAGCTACCATGATTGAAACAATAAGTCTTGCCTACTGTGAGGACATTACCGACGAAGCTGTTATGAGTATCGCACAACGTCTTCATCATCTCAAGAATATCGATCTCTCCAAATGCAAACACATCACCGATCAATCGATCATTGAAATCGTCAAGAATCGTGGACCAGTTCTCAATCGTTTGGTTCTCTTTAGCTGCACACAAGTCACTGATCTCTCGATTGTCCAGGTCGCCACTGTTTGTCGTTCACTCATTCATCTCGATGTCTCACAGTGTGAGAAGATCACCGATGCTTCACTTGTCAAAATCTCACAGGGTTTGCCACTGCTCAAGGTTCTCTGTATGGAGGAGTGTGTAATCACCGATGTTGGTGCAAGCTCACTTGGATCGATCAACGAAGGAATCGGATGTCAACACCTTGAAGTTCTCAAATTTGGATACTGTCGTTTCATCTCTGATGCCTCACTTGCCAAGCTTAGCTTTGGATGTCCCATGATTGCTTCGATCGATCTCTCCTACTGTAGCAATCTCATCACTCCAAGAGGTATCCGCTCGGCCATCAAGATGTGGCCACGTCTTCATACCCTCCGTCTCAGAGGTTACAATTCACTTACCAACGAAGGATTGATTGAAGGCACACCAATGAAGTTGAAATCCGTCAATCTATCTTGGTGTATCAACTTGGATGACAGTGCACTCATCAAATTTGCAAAGGGTTGTCCAGCTCTTGAGAACCTCGACATTTCACGTTGTCCAAAGATCTCTGATAACGCACTGGAAACTGTCTTGGATGCATGTCCATCGATTCGTGTTGTTAATGTTGCCGGTTGCAAAGAAATCACCTCCTTTACAGTACAAAAATTAGCATCACTTGGAAAATCAATATACAGATAGTAAATCGATAGATTAGGTAATGATAACACATAATAAAACTTATGTTTTTAGAATTCAAAAAAATAACAATCAAATATATAACCAATCTAATCAATTTCCATTCAAACATCAAACAACTTTGGTAACATTTAAAAATGAAAAAAAAAAAAAAACTTTTTGTATATAAATAAAATAACTATAACATATCAATAATTATTACTGTACTAAATTTATTATACACATTTTTGAATTATTCTTATTATCATTATCATTATCATTATTTGATTCATTATTATTGTTATTAAGATGGTGATCTTCTTTTCTTTCAAAGATTGGATTTTGTTCATTGATTCTTTGTTGTTGTTGTTCATGAATATTTAAATTATTTAATAAATCCCTCATAGATGGGAGTTTGTTTTCTAAGGTCACCACAGTTTGCTGAGATTGATGGTGTTGTGGAGGATTTTGTTGAGATTGTTGAAGTTGTGGTTGATGTGATTTTTGGTGTCCAGCATGTTCATATTTTGTTGGTTCAATAGATTGTTGTTGTTTTTGTTGTTGGAATGGATGTTGTGGAATAAAACTAGGTGGTAGTGGTTGTGCTTGCCTATATACAGTTGTTGTGGTTGTTGGTTGCTCTTCATAAGCCGACAATAAAGGAGCGGACATTCTTCTGGAGGATACGATGGATGATTGCGTTGGTGATTGAATGGTTGGTATTTTAACGTTAGGTGCAAAAACAGGAGAATATGGTGGTGATGGGGTGTTTGATAATATATATGGTGAGGTAATTGGTGATCCAGTTACAGATGAGTATTCACTACCAACAATATATTGTTGGTGAGTTGGAACCTCGGGTATGGTGTCTAGATATATATTTCTAGGTGTCGATGAAGATGACAGAGGTGATGAAGGTGGAATATATGTAAATGGAGGGTTTTGTGGTTGTTGTGGTTGTTGTTGCTGCTGTTGTTGTTGATAGTAAAATTTAGGTGATACAGGTGGCTGTCCATATGGGACATTAGGTAAAGACATTCTTCTTTCGGTTCTCATCTCTGGAGGAGGTGGCGATGTAGAGTATACCTCATATCTTGGAGAAGATGGAAGTGTGCCAATCGAAGGAGCTCTTGGGCGTCCTGAATAAGGATGAAAATAGGTAGTAGGAATTGTTCTCGGAGGAGTTTGATGTTGAACTTGTTGTTGTTGTGAATTATAATATTCCAATTGTTGTTGTTGTTGTTGTTGTGGTGAATTATTTGAAATATCAATTTCTGGTGAAGATGGTATGTTTAAATTCAAATTACTCATTCTCTTCATATACATTTGTTGTTGGTGATGTCCAATCAATTGCTGTTGTCTTTGTTGTTTTTGTTGAGCACGTGGATCAAATTTCCAGTGTGTTATAAAATTATTCATGTTGGGAGTTGAATTCCGACGACCTTTTTTAAACTCTGGTGAGTTTGGAACTTCGGGTGGTGAATCTACCGATTGGCTGTTCGTCAGCTTTGGTGAAAGTGCCATTGGTACTGAGGTGGTGGAAGGAGGTGAATTATTGGTTTGTGAAATTGGTGTTTGGGGATTTGATGATGAATTGTTGTTTGTTGAATTTACATTTGGAGGTGGTACATTATTTCCAAGTGTCATATTATTATATATATATAAAGAGGCCACAGATGCATTCGGACCAGGTTTGTATTTCCAATGTGCCATGAACGATTGCTTCTTCTTTTCATTCTCATCATCTCGCTTTTTGTCGTCTTTTTTTAGAGCTGATGGAGACTTGGGAGAGTCTTTGGCAGTGGACTTTGATGGTTCAAGAGATTGATTTTCAGGATCATTGATCGGCTCCATTTTAATAGAGGATTATTATTATTTCCAGGTTAAATATCATAAATAAATTGAAATAACTAATAAGGATTTGTAATGAAACAATAAACTCCACTAAAATTTAATTTCTCTATAATTTATGTTTGGAATGATAATTTTGCAAAAAGGAAAGGATAACAAATTGTTAATATTATAATCAAACATTCAATTCCAAATTATTATTATTTTAATTACAATAACAATTTTAAAAAGGAAAAACTGAGGGTGATTAGTTAATTTGGTAGAAGATTTATATTTTAAACAAATATAACAAATTTAGTGGGTTTGTGAAAGCAAAGATTTTGATCATAACAATTGAATTTACATGTATATTAAAGAAGGAGTCATATTATTTTAATCGAAAATTTTATGTACTACCCATTGTTTGATTTTTTAAATAATAAAGTTTAAGTTGTAAATTTAATCTGTGGTGGGTATTATTTGTTTTTCATTTGTGGTTTGATTGTTAGTAGTAGCAAAAAAGGGGTTAAGGTTGTAGCGAGATCACTAAACCAAAAGGGGTAAAAAACACAGGTGAGTAGTGATGGTGTGGGTAACATATATATTATATATCTTTATCAACTTAAGTATGGAAGTGAGTGGTATTGTAGGTGTTGGTATTGTAGGTGATTTTTATGAAATTATTAAAATTGAGGCAGTCATTCATTCATTCACAAGTCAATAGGTGATTGGTGGTAATAACAACAATTGATGGTGTGGAAAGCAGTGGAATCTTAGTATCGATTGTGATGAGTAGCGGTGGTTGAACATTAAAGATATCTCTAAGATGAAATGTATAATGATCAATTTTTTTTGTTTTTTTTTTATTTTTGGTATTGTATACTCTCGTATATGATGAAGATGATGGATATAAAATAAAAACAAACATATTCTAACAACAAAATATATAAAAAAATTTCATCATCAAAAGTTTTATGATGTTGAAGATGTTAATTGCATTCGAGTTTGTGTTTATCTTTAAACAATACCAGATTAAGGATGTATAATGATGTTAAATTGGCTTTCTTAACCAACCTTGTTATATTTTCAGTATCTCTGATGCTACTGTCTTCAAACTTTTTTGAATTGTCAAGTGTACCGTAATAGATACCCACGTGATTATTTACAAAAAAATATATGGTACGGAATTATTAAATGCATTGTATCTTTACAAAATTATGTAATGATCATTATTATTTATAACTTTCAAAAACTAAAGTGAACAATATGATATGTATTTTGATTATTATAAACACTCTAACAGATTAGGTTTAAATTCTTTAGATAACAAATTTTTTTAAACAACATTGAAATTTATAAATAAAAAAAATTAGAAAATAATATAAAATAATATTATTTTTTATTGATGATGAACATTCTTAAGTTGGATAAATATAATCTTGAGTTTCTAATGTAGAATAAATAGTTTGATAGACAGTATTTTAATATTCCAGGAAATAATTTGAATAATACTTTTATAGTTGTTTTTTTGAAGAGTTAACTTGAAATGTTTGTTCAGTTGTAGTCGTTAATATCTGTCTGTATTTCTTATTCGAAATTCAAAATTCATTGTGCAAATGTGGAATTATTCCAATTATGGTAGATTCATTGATTGATAGGTATTAATTGACCTATTCAAGTTCAAGACAATGTTATTTCCTAATTGGGAATCTGAAGATAATACTATTATTTTAAAAAAAAGTAATAAAAAATAACTTATTATAAGAATAAAAAAATATTGCAAATTCTCTTTGTATTTTTTTTGTATTTTTTTTTTTTTTTTGGCTTTGTGATGGTGGGGGTGTTGATTGTTGGTTATTCTTTTAATTTTAAAAAACATACACTACCATGATCATAAACTATCCAATAGGCTTTTTGTGGTGTTGGTTCTTTGATTGTAAATATAAGGTTTTTTCTTGAATATTTTATTACTTTATTTGTATATTTTCTTGAATAAATTATCTAAAGTAGTTATAAATGTCAAAATAAAAAACAAAAACAAAAAAAAAAAAAAAAAAGACAAGACAAAACAAGAAACCAAAATTACAAAAAAAAATATATATATACTATTTTTGATGTTGTCTTTGATTTGCCTTGGTAAACACTAACTAAAAAAAAAAAATGTTTAAATTTTAAAAATATTACAAAAAGTAAAAAAATACTGTACAACTGCTATTTATAAACTGTAACTTTAATTCTCTTTTGAAGATAGAAGAATATTTAATAGATTCGAGTTGAGTGTACGTTTGCTGTGGTGTCTGAATGGACGGTTATAAAGACTAAATTTAAATTGACCAATGTTAAGAGTAAAAAGATGTAGGAAGAACTTATTGTAAAATACTAACACAATAAGTCAAGAGATGAGGAGGTGAATAAATGAGCTTTTGCAAAAAAAAATAACCTAACTACCAAACTAAATAAGGTTTGTTTGTTTTGTTGTATGATGGATTTTAAATTCAATTACAAATTTGTTTGGTTATCAGTCGACCTTCAAATTGCTCAACGTCAACACATTCATTCATTTCAACTCTGCAAGGTTTGCTGAATAGGATGTCACAAACTGTGGTTAACTAATTAGTTTGTTTTAAGTTTCATCTATGCTGATGTGTTTTTAAATATTTATTTTTATTTTTTATTTTTTTAAATATGATTGTATCAGATAGGGGCACCATCTCCTCAGAGGAAATGTTTCATCTTCTTGGTTCTCTTATTTCTTACAATAAACAAAACACCCAGAAACAGTTCATTTCGAGGAGTGTTTTGGTTTGCAACGCAGCCGGTCAAAGTGCAACCCCACATTAATGGAAAAATTAATTAGATAGATACTATGAGCGAATCGAGGAGACAAAACAAAACAAAAATACAAAAAGTCAACAAAACAACAAGTATATACCTTTCCTTTAAATCCAAACAATTTAACCATGTGCTTTGCAAGATAACCCACCCCTTTGTGAGGATTGCTTAGCCTCAAAGTCCTCATAACCACAAAATGAAAATTTATTAAAACTTAATAAAAAATTTATTTTCTTTTTTTTTTATAAATTATGAGTTGATTTGGTTAAATTGAATGTTGTTGATCCAGACAATCAACCTTTTTATCAGACACAAAATAAATTAAACCACGATCGTTTACTACATACAAAGAAAAAGGATAATAATTTGACAACAACAATGATCGATAAAACCGTAAAAGACCAAACTCAATGCGTTGTGGGGGTACCTGATGTTTGTAATTTGAGGTTTTGCAAATACTTTGTGCTATTTTGAGATTATGTTCTTTTTTTAACCCTTGCATCTAAAATTGGAGATGGTTTTCCTTTTTATCAGAATATAAAAGGAGCCTTTTTCATGAAAAAGATATTTGAAAAAAAATTTTTAACACTCACACCAAGTGATCAATAAATGTCTCACCACCTCCACACGTTTATCAAATAAAACAATCAAAATTCAACAAAAACATCTTACCCAAACCACACAAAAATGAAAAAAAGAAAACTAATTATTTTTTTGAATAAAATCAAAAATTCGACTGAAATCACTAAAAAAACCGCATTATAATTGTACTCTTTATTAATCTCCTTGTGTATGATATGTGATGACACAACTGTATCAGCAAAATTAAACCAAATTTGATCAAAAAAAAAGATTATTTTGGTGATGTTCAAACTAACGAAAGTAGAAGTGAAATCACAATCCAAAAAATAAATGATCATTATTTTTTTTTTTTACTTTTTTTGTCAAGTTAATCAGTTTTTTGGAAAGTTATAATTATTTGATTTTATACAATAAAGGAAAAAATCATAATAGTAATTTATTAAGTTAGACTATGGTATTGGTGATAGTGGAAGGTGATGTGAATCTTGGTGATTGGTGGTTGTTGTTGTTGTTTACTTTTGTATCGTTTTGATTGCCATTGGTGTGGTGGTGGTGGTGGTGTTGTTGATCTGAGCTTGATGCGGCAGAAGGATCATTCAAATGGTGTTGTTGCTTCAAGGTTGACCAGATATGTTGATAGTGATTGTTAGATTTGTTATTATTATTATTGTTGTTGCTATGATTGATATTGTTATTACTAATACTACTTCGGTAAAGATGATAAGAGCGGTTCTCTTGGTAATCCTCATCGCTCTGATAGTCATCTTCATCACTATTGAAATAATGTGGTGCCAAGAATTCATCACTGCTGCTGCTATTGTCGTCATCGAGATAGGTGCTCAAAGAGTCTGACATATTATTATTACTATTACTACGATTCAGTTTGGAGGCAAGAGTAGTCGATTTATGATGGTGATGATTGTATTGTTGTTTCGATGATGATGATGATGATAAATGACCTCTACTAAAAGTAAATTGACTATTATTGTTGTTGCTATTATTACTATTATTGTCTACAAGAAAAGAGAGATCACTACTACTATTATTATTATTACTTTCTTTTAATTTCTTTCTAATCGGATGATTCTCCAAACTATCAGCTTCGTTTAGTCTCTTCTGAGTAGTAGATAAAGTTGGTAGTGGAGGTAAAGGTTTATTTTTATATATACTATTTATGTTTGTATTTGCGGTTGTGGTGGTGGTGGTGGTTGTAGTTGTTGTCGTTGTGAAATTATCTATATTATTATCTATATTATTTTTGTTGTTGTTGCTGTTGTTGCTATTCTCTTTTTGATTACTATTATTATTATTATTATTATTACTATTCTTTATTCTTCTTGCTAGTTCATTGATTGTAGAGGTTTGATCTAATCCTCTATTACGAAGATTGGCAATCTCTTTCTTTAGAATCAAAATCTTTTGAGCTTCTTCTTCATTGAAACCACCAAGATCCATGATAAATTGAATATCGTTTGCAATTGGTTGTGCTGTTGTCAAAGTGGTTGATGTTGTCGATGTTGTTGTTGTTGTCGTTGTCGTTGTAGTTGGGTGTGTAAGAGCCGACTCTTGGATCTTTGAAACCAAGCGATCAATGGCAGACTTTACATCTAATCCATCTTCACGACACAACTTATCGATTTCCAACTCTGTCGTCTCTTTAAATTCATTGATAGCTTGATTTAAAAGTCTATTTTCGATTTGTACAGTAAATTTAATCTTTTTAAATGGTTGTTTATTGTTATTGTTACTATTATTACTATTATTTGATGATGATGATGTTGAAATTGATTTGAAATCATCAAATAAACTATTTATATTTCTATTTTTATTACTATTGTTATTGTTATTATAATTGTTACTATTATTACTATTGTTATTATTCTTATTATTATTATTATTATTATTATTATCATCATTATAAGAAGTAAATTCATTTCTTATTCGTTTTCCCAAACTACTACTACTACTACTACCACCACCACTACTACTAACACTGTAGTCAAGTTCTCGCCTACCACTTCCACTCTTGAGTTCATTATTATATGTATCAAAAGGGTATAGACGATCATTAGCATCGTCAGAGTCAAAGTGTCGTCTGACGTGGTTGTGGTCAACATGCTCATCTTCATTGACAATATCAGAGTTGTCATCATAATCATGGTTATAGGTCATTAGATCTCTAAGTGACGATGACAAGGACGATGAACGATGGTCATCTAACGGAAGAGGTGTATCAATTAACGATTTACTCCCCATTTTGTATTTTGTTTTTGTTTTTGATATTTTACTCTCTCTTTATTATTTTTATTTTACTTTATATATGTTTGTTTATTTACTACTAATATAATAGTGAAAAGAGATATGATATGTATATGAGTCAGTCAGAGTCAATCATATAGATATATATAGACCAAAAGTTAACTCTAAAGTCAACCAATAATGCTCGCACAAAATAACAACTGCAATAACAAACTTCTTTGTAAATTATGTACAAATATGATAGATAGATAGATAGAAAAGATTCTAGAGTATAAACAACCAGATGGTATATTACTGGTAGTGAAATGAGAATACTAAACTAAATAGAAATAAATATATGTTTTTGTTTTTTCTAAGAATTTCTTTTACTAATTTTTTTTATTTTTATTTTATATTATATTATTGAATAGACAGAAGATAGAAGAATAAGAATAAATAAAGATATAATTTGTTATAAAGTTATAATATTATTAAAAGATAATATAAACAGACATGTGTTTTTTGTTTTGTTTTGTTTTGTTTTTTTTTTTTGATTAAAATAAAAATATTAATTAAGTTTTTTTATTCTTTTTTTTTTTTTTTTTTTTTGAAAACTAATTCAAATTAAATTAATTTAAAAAAAATAAATTAAAAAAAAAAAAAATAGTTATAGAGTTGATTAAAATTGGATTAATATATATATATCTCTCTTTTAGTTCGTTAAAGTCTATTATATATTAGATTTATATAGATAATGATGATATTATTAATTTCAAAATAAAAAAAAAGAGAAAAAGAAAGAGAGATTGGATTATAAAGTAGAGAAAGAAAGAAATGTATAATTATCTTTAGTGGTCAATTTACTTTTGGGGTTGTATGTTTGATATTAATATTACTATTTTTAATCAAATTATGTGGTTTTAATATTATTAAAAAAAAACAATCATTGATGAAAAAAAATCAATATTTTAAAATTACTACACCCTCCACCATCAATGAAACTATAAATTATGTGGTTGTTTTTCGAAACACAATCAAATTTGAGTAACTTTGAAACATTAAAATTAAAAAGATTAACCTGATCTAAAATAACTACTAGTAGTTCAAAACATTCAACTTGATGATACCAAAAGATCAAGAGAATAATATATTTGAACCTAGTAAATAATAGATACTAAATATTATTTTTTATTTTATTAATAATATTTGTTTTTATTTGAAAGAAACATAATAAATGATGGCTTGGCGACTGATGGTAGCAGCACAACAAAAGAAGCAACACTTTATATTTTGGTGATGATATATATTTTAACATTCCATTTTTTGAATAAGGTATTAGAAGAAAAATATTCCGGTGAATGAACAAAATTTTCTATCAACTTGACCACAAGTTTTTCTGGTCCAATCCATCTATTGTAGAGTTCTCAGCTAGGATGTTTCACGATAATGATTTTACATACAAGGAAGCTGTGATATTAATTGGAGCTGTATTTAAAGAACTACTTTATTTCTTTCTCTTATGGAGAATTGTTAAAAACTTGAATTCTTTGGCTTGACTAGACTTCTTTTTACTTTCCAAAAATAAATAGAATATACAAAAAATACTAAAATCAAATATTGTATTTAGAAAAAAAAAGAAATCTATATATATATAGTTTTTATTTAATCCATAATTTTGATCTTAATGATAGAAAGGAATTTTTGAAATGGAACCAAGACCAAAAAAAAATAAGTTTAAAATTTCCAATTATTTAAAAGTTATAAATTCTATTGAAGAGTACTTGTTTTTGAGTTATTTGAAGTGACAATGTGAATAGCTAAATCAAATCAGTAAAAATGAAAAAAAGGGTTGTTTTGAAAAATTCACCCCCAATTTTTGAATTGGAAAAACAGAGAAATAAATATTTTTTATCTGATTCTTTTTGATAGAAATAATACTATTAATGTTTTAATATTTAGAGATAATCATGATTGTTTTTATTTTATAATTAAATATCAATTCCCATTCAACTAGAAGTGAATTGCTTTACCATATGCTGACATAGCAGCTTCTTTTACTGCTTCCGACAAGGTTGGGTGTGCATGGCAGGTACGAGCAACATCTTCACTACTTGCACCATATTCCATAGCGAGAACAGATTCAGCAATCATTTCACCTGCGCAATCACCCATGATGTGAACACCCAAGATACGATCTGTGCTAGAGTCAGAGAGGAACTTGACGAAACCTTCGGATTCATCGTTGGTACGTGCACGAGAGTTGGCAGCGTATGGGAATTTACCAACGTTGAACTTGATACCTTCCTTGGTGAGTTCTTCTTCGGTCTTTCCAACCCAGGCAACCTCTGGGTGAGTGTAGATAACTGATGGAATGGCGGCGTAGTTGACGTGACCCGATCCGTTGTGGAGATACTCCATGACGGCAATACCTTCCTCCTCGGCCTTGTGTGCCAACATTGGACCCTTGATAGCATCACCGATGGCATAGATAGACTTTACATTGGTCTTGAAGTGATCTCCGACTTCGACACGACCGGCCTTGTCCATTGGAACTCCGACCTTGTCGAGTCCGAGATTGGTAGTGTTTGGACGACGACCAACTGAAACCAAGACAACGTCGGCTTCGATTTGACCAGAGAATCCACCGGCTCCGACAGACTCTACGGTGACAGTTACGGTACCGTTGGCATTCTTAACGACCGAGGTAACCTTTGTCTCCAAATGGAACTTCATGTGTTGCTTCTCCAAGACCTTTTGGAATTTCTTGGCGACTTCACCGTCGGCACCGGCGGCAATACGGTTGGTGAACTCGACGACGGTGGTCTCAGCACCGAGACGCGACCAAACGGAACCGAGTTCCAAACCAATGACACCACCACCAATGACAACCATACGCTTTGGAACGGCTTTCAATGCCAAAGCACCGGTCGAAGAGACAATGGTTTGCTCATCGATATTTACATTTGGAAGGGAGGCAACTTCCGATCCGGTGGCAATCACGATATTCTTGGTGGTGATGGTTTGGACCTTACCGTCTTCACCGGTGACCTCGACAGTGTTTGGACCGGTGATCTTACCGTGTCCCTTGGCATAGGTGACCTTGTTCTTCTTGAACAAACCCTCGATACCACTGGTCAATCCATTGACCGACTTTTCCTTATATTTCATCATGGCGGCGAGATCGAGCTCGACCGATCCAACCTTGACACCATAGTTGGCAAACTTGGTCTTGGCATCTTCATACTTGTGTGAGGCATTCAACAATGCTTTCGATGGAATACAACCGACATTGAGACAGGTACCTCCCAACTTTCCTCTCTTCTCAACGACAGTAACTTTCATACCGAGTTGACCTGCTTTAATACCTGCAACATAACCACCTGGTCCACCACCAATTACAACAACATCTTGTTCTAAAAATAAAATAAAAAATAGATTATAATTATAATATTAATATATTAAAATATTTTTAAAATGTAATTGAATGAATGAGAATGTTTGTTTTGTCACTTTTAATCATCCATCAGTCAGTTTTTTTCTTTGTCATTATTATTGTTATTATTATTGTTATCATATACTATTAGTCCACCTATATAATTATTTCCTTAATATTTTTCTATGAATAAACTGACTATGCCCAATAGAAATTTCAAGAGTTTCTTTCGAATCTCAAAAAAAAAAAAAAAAAAAAAATATTGTCAGATCATTTGCTAACACATATTCTTTTCTCTTTTTTTTTTTGAGGATGTTAACTAAACAATGTTCATTGATCGATCTATTCTTGTTACAAATCCTCTAGTTTGTATAAATTTATCTATCCAGTCTCTATATATTTATCTTGATAACTGATGTGATAAAGTTGACTGTATTGTGTATGATTGCAATGATCATTAACTCCATACCTGTGCTGTAGTAACGAACACCTGTTTTAATGTTATTAAATCTGGATAATTGTTTCAACATCTATATTATAAACATTGAGACATTGAAATTCGAATGCGAAATTGATCAATTTGAATATCATATGAATAGTTTGTTGAATTAGTAATCTATGCTTTTTGTTTAACTACTACTAATATTTCTTTCTATCTATCTATCTATATACTAACATTTTTATAATTATATTGATTTAAATTATATCCTAATATATATTATAATGTTATAAATATAAATGTTAAAATAAATAAATAAATTGAATATGAATTTGAATTACGATATATGAGAGTAGTCAACAACTTCAAAAAAAAAAAAAAAAAAAATTTACATAAAAAAATATTTTTGATAATTAGTCACAAATTAGGTCTGTTGATTTATAAAAAAAAAAAAACTTAAAAAAAATTCAAATCAAAAATCCCAAATTAATTAAAATTAAATAAAATTTTCAGAACCATGAACACCATGATAGTGTAATTTCGAATCGAACCGAGTCGTTTCTCAAGCCTTTGACAACATTATAACTTAATAATTCAGTACTGTTGTTTTACTTAATTTATCTAAATATATAACACACACTAATTATTTAATATCTTGATAAAATCTACGTCATTATACCAACATCTCAACATCTTAAGAGAAAATTAAAAATAAAATATTAAAAATAAATAAAATAAAAATATACATAATTTTAAAAAATAAATTCAAGTAAAAGTTATGAATATAGATAGTAGTAACAACAACAACAATAGTAATAATAATGTTAGTGGTAATGTTAATAATAAAGATGATATGAACTTCTTATCAGATATAAATATAAATATATTTTCACCAAATAAGAAAATGAGATTGATGCATATCAATAGCAATGAAAGTAGCAATAATAAAGGTGAAAAATCATTATCACAAAGACAATTTGATAGAAATCTGATGACACCTGGTCAGACTATATCGCGTGAGGGTGAGTTCCTTAGGGGTCACGGAACGTTCCACTCGAACAACGCGCTGCTCGCAAGTGTTTGTGGTCTGGTGGAGCGTGTCGATAAGTTGGTGTCGGTGCGTCCATTCAAAGCACGTTATCACGGTGAAATCGGTGATATCGTTGTCGGGCGAATCACTCAGGTCGGCAGCAAACGCTGGAAGGTCGATGTTGCCGCGCGTCAAGACTACATCTTGATGTTGACGGCGATCAACTTGCCCGGTGGTATTCAACGTCGTCGTACGTCGTCCGACGAGCTACAGATGCGTAACTTTTTCGTGGAGAACGACTTGGTCTATGCCGAGGTGCAGGCGATCAACCAGGACGGCTCGGTCGCGCTGCACACACGTAATCAGCGATACGGTAAGCTACAGAATGGAACGTTCATGTCGGTGCCACCCAGCTTGATCAAGCGTGGCAAGATTCATTATCATTCGCTCGAGTCGATCGGTGTCGATATCATCTTGGGCGTCAACGGTTATATTTGGCTGGCGGATAGCGCGCAGCAGCGTCAGCAGGCGTCGCTCATACAGCAACACGAGAAGGAGAACTACGATCAGCCACTACTCATTCCACAAGCGATAAGAGAGGTATCGCGTGAATCTCGCATCAAGATTGCACGTGTTAAGAACTCGATTGAAGTATTGAACCGTAGTTTCATGCTGATACACCCACGTGCCATCATGGAGATCTACCAACTCGCCGAGAAGATGTCACTGCCTCTCAAAGACATGTTACATCCCGATAAAATCAAACAAATGATAACAGCTGTACATACCAACTTAACATCCAACAAATTAAACAACAAAAACAAAACCAACAACAACAACAACAACCAAGATTCAGAAGGTGAAGATGATGAAGATGATTTAAATGAATACAACGCATATTATAATGATCAAATGAATACAGAATAAAATAATAATAATATAAATATTACAAATATATAAAGATAAACATGTTATTTATAACTTTTAGTTATTTATTTGGAAATAATAATAAAGCAAATTCGTATATTCCAAAATTTAAACTAACGGTTGGGATTACCTTTGCATAGGCAGGCTTAATTCCACGATAGAGTGCAGAGACACCTTCGTCTTTAATGATTACATAGGCACAGTGAATAAAGTTCTTATATCGTGGTGCACCGACTCGTATTCGTTGTAACATGATTCTTCTTTTGATAACATCTAATGGATAAAGTATTGTCATTGAAAATGCACCTGATATTGCACCATATATTGTTGAAAAATAAACAGGTGGTGTTGTTGTTGTTGTTGTTGTTATTGTTTGTTTATATATATTATTACTATTACTATTACTATTATTATTATTATTATTATTATTATTATTATTTAATGATTTATTATATAAAATTGTACCATATTTCTTACAAGCTTCGTATGCAGTGAAATTGATTGCAGAGAATGGTGCTATGTTGACGATAGCAGCTGATAGACCTCTAAACAGTCCAATGATACCATCGTGACGTTGAATAACAGCAAGATAATGCAACGTCGATTTGACCTCTGGATACTTTCCGATCGGTAATGAGAGGTGTGTTTTCACCACTTCCAACGGGTAGGTGGCTGTCACCGATGTCACACCTGCACATGCACCAGCCCACATCTGTTGTGTAGTAGTTAATTTCTTATCTTCTGAGATTATCTATATAATATATAGAACATATTGATTTGATCGATCGATTGTTTGATTGATTAATATTTTGATTGATGGAAACTATAAATCATATATTGTAGCAAGCATCATCATTCATACATTTTTAAAAGCTTCATACGAAAAGAATCTAATTGCAGATTGTGGTCCTGCTTTGAGTACATTGACACCATTTCCTCTAAATAGTCCTATGAATCCTTCTTCTTGCCAAATCGTTTTGATTCCACTGCCTATACTATTATATTTCGTACCGTTTTCTAATAGTGGTTGAACCTAGCAATTTCACATAAAATAATGATCATAGATTGATTATAAATATTAAATATGTATATTTGTTAGTTTTTGTTTTTGTTAGTTAAAAAGTAAAAGTAATGTATATTTAAACAAATACAAACTGTTACCAATAAATGTAATTACTAATACTTCTGTATGTTTCTCTGATTGTCAGATATGTACTTACTTGATTTAGAATTTTTAATCTTTCAAGTGGTGCTGTGAGAGTTCTCGAGACGACACCAGCAACACCACCGGCATAAAGATATTTTAATTCAAAAGTTGACTTTTCACTCATCTAGCTTAGTTTCGATCGAATAATATATTTATTTATTAACTAATTAATTAGTTAGTCTTTTTCTATTAAAATGAACTACACAATTTCCTTTTTAAAAACAGAAAAACAAAAAAATCTGTTTTTTTTTGTAAGTAATTTTTGTGTCACGCTAAACAACTAAACAATTAATTAAAAATTAAATTATTTAAAAAGAATAAAAATAATATAATATTTATTTGATGATGTTCAAAAACAAATATTTATTAAATTAAAACTGATTTAAGCTCATAAAACATCTTAATGATCTGAGAGTAAGACAGACCATTTTATTTATTTATTATTATGTCTGTTCACCATATTACAATAAATTATTAAAATTATTTTTTTATAAAAATGAATTTACTTTATTTAAATAAATATTAAAGTTCAATCGATTTTTTTTAAGATTTCTTAAAAAAAAACAAAAAAATATATATATAATTTTTAAAAAAATCCTGGTTTTGGAAATTTCTGTTTCTTTTTTTTAAAAATCAATTTTTTCACAAATCTGTGGACAAACTCCATCGTATTGGGTGATTTTTCAAAGTCTGGTTTTTGCAACAGACGAAACTATTTCTGGTATCCTGGTTTTGGTTTTTTTGTGTTTATTTTCGAAAAATTAAACATGTTTGAAAATTTTAATTTAAAATAAAACAAATTTTTGATTGTAGTATGATTATAAAAGGGAGAACTGGTTCATTAGTTCTGGTCATTCTAAATAATCATCTAAACTATTCAACAACACCAGTCATTTCTAGACTATTGTATTTGTAACCCAACTATTCTATTATATTATTTTTTGTAAAATTCAAATTCTTATTTTCATTACAGAGTAACAACAAACCACCAAACAACTCTGTTTTTTTTTTCTATACTCTAAATATTCTTCCAAATTATTTTTATTAAATATTCACACATATAAATCATAACATGTTTAAATCATCAATTATTTTATCATTTTTAATTTTGACAGTTTTGTCTTCATCTGCCGTCTCTGGTATCCAAATCAATGTTCAAAATACAAATCAAGTAGAGTCCAACCCAGAAAAAGTTGGTGATGTACAGTGCGTATTATGCACTTATGTTGTTGTGTACGCCGAGAAGTTGATCATGGGTAACAATACTGCCGCCGATGTCATCAATGGTTTGGACCAATATTGTGCCATGCTCCCAGGAACCTACAGCCAAACCTGTCACTCTTTTGTCCGTACCTACGGTGCTTTGATCATCCAAAACATCATTAATTTCGAAACACCATCGATGATCTGCAAGCAAATGATGTTCTGTGCTGCAGCCACCACCGAAGTTTCTGAACCACAAGAGCCAGCCGTTGTCCAAGAGATGCTCCAACATCATCATCACCACAAGATCGAAAAGAAGCTCGAGTGCAAAGCATGTCATTACATTGCCTCACACGCCATCAAATATGTTGAATCAGGAAAGACTGACGACCAAATTGAAAGCGCTCTCGATTCAGAATGCAATAACTTTGAAATTCACGCAGCCGTCAAGGTTTGCAAGTCTGTTGTTCATGTTGCCATCAAGGATTTAATCAGAGATCTCAAGAACCATGTTTCTGCTGAAGATGCATGCAAACATGTTCATATGTGCTAAATAATTAAATCTTTTAAAATATATTATAATAAATTAGTAGTTTTTCCATCACTACTATCGAATTAAAAAAATTTATAAATTTATTTCTTTTACTTTTCTTTCAAATTAAATTTAAACACTTCTTATTATAAAAAGGGAACAGTCAGTAGTTTCAACATTATTTGGGGAGGTTTGTTTCTCTACCCATCTGACAATTCATAGATACACTCTTAATACATGAGATACTTTAACTTGGAATGTTGTTCAAAGATATTGTTATGATGGATTGCAAGGTGGATATGGTGCAAGCCCATGTTGCTATTACAACTCAGAAATTCACTTCAACCAACTATGAAGAAGATATTTACTTTTACGTACCAAGATCAATCAACATCAACTCTGTAGAATTCAAATTTTATTAAATAAAAAAATTGAAAATCTGATTTGTTTTCCAGATATTAGTAATAAAATTTGTTCTCTCTTTATTAATTTTTTTTTTATTGTCCTTTACAAATATTTTCAAAATAGAATAATTTAGATTCAGAATGGAATTTTATTAAAAAATATTGGTATCACCGTATAATTTTGATTTATTTTCTCAAATTATAGCACAATTTAAAGAATATTATGTTTTTGTTTTTTAACTAACAGTTCTTGGAGATTTTTAAGTTTTGTTTAACATAACTTAGACAAAGGAAGAATTATTTTCTTTTTCTTTTTTGATTAAAGTTGAAAAAATCTCTGGTATTCATCAAAACAACAAAAATCAAGTTTTTTGAAGATATTTAAATTCTTTCTCCTTTTTAAGCTTTGGTTGTTTAAAAAAATTTTCAACACAACAAAATCTGCTCTGGTAAATTAAAAACCATTTTTTTAATCAAAATTGATTCGTGCACGGTGTTTTAAGATTGTTGATTTTACAAAAACGAAAATTGGAAATTTAAAACCAGGATTTGAAAAAATAATTAATTAAAAATGTTTGAAATTCCAGGGTTGTCTTAACTGTGAATATAAATACCTTGACCTGTGTCAAATTCAAACATATCATTCTAATCAATCAAATTACCAGATAAAAATATTATCTGAACCTATTATATTATAAAACAATGAAATTATTGTTAACCTTTGTAGTTATTTTCGCTATTTTCGCTACTGCTCAAGCCAACGCTGAATTAAAGGTAAATACTAAACTTTTTAATTCTTTTTTTTTATCGGCACTAATTCTTTAAATATTTTATAATTATCTCTAAAAGTGTGACTTATGTCAATTCGTTGTCAACCACGCTGAGCAATTGGTTTTGAAGAACCATACTCAAACCCAAATCATTCACCAAATGGAAAAGTCATGCCACAAATTACCACATAAGTGGTCTGGTCAATGTGTTTCTCTCATTGATGGATACGGTCCATTGATTATCCAAAAGCTCGTCGAACGTGAAGATCCAAAGACTGTCTGCAACCAAATCCACCTCTGCAAGAAGCACCACGTCAGCATTGAAGAAGAAGTTGAGGAAACCGTCGACGATGAAGTCCCATTCGGTAAGGTCGAGAAGCACCATTTCCCAATCGGTCACCACCACTTTGGTAAGAAGCTAGAGTGCAAAGCTTGTGATTTCTTAGTTAAGGCATGTTTATCCATTATAAATCTATCAAATATATTTAGTATTTATTTCTAACATAAATATTAAAAATAATATAGAAAGCCGAACACTACTACCACTTGAACCAAAGAGTCGATGAAATCGAGTCTGCTTTGGATCACGAGTGCAACTACTTTGAAATCAAGCCAGCCGTTCACATTTGCAAGAAGGTCGTCCACAAGGCTACCGCTCACATCATCGCTGAGTTCAAGAAGTCAACTTCCCCAGGTCACATTTGCAAGGCTATCCATATGTGTTAAAAACATTATATTATAAAATAATAGAAAGAAAATCGATATTTTTTAATAAAATTAATTCTCTCAACCTAAATTGGTTGTTAATAGAGAAAAATATATGTATTTTAAAATTTTATAACATAAGAGATTTACAAATAGACAATTTTTCATTTTTTTTTTTTCTACACAAATCAGCCAGTAAATTTTACAATCTTTTTATATGGGATTATCAAATTAATGAGATAAAAGAGTTCTGAATCACTTCTTATGAATAGATTCTTTTCAACAATAGTTCTTAATTAAAGTGTTATCAATTGTATTCTTTTATTATTGATAAAATTGAGAAAAAAAAGATAATAAAATTTTCGATCATGTGATTTTCGCAATAATTCGAATCGATTATTCGTTTCAAAGATTCAATTCAAAACCACATTTTTTTAATCATTTTAAATTAAATTTTCTTTCTGTGTGCGACTATAGTTATAATTAAATAATAATATATTATATATGCCTAGAAAATTAGGGGAATTTGTTGAATAGTAGTAGAACCAGATGAAAATAGATAGGTTTTACAAACCAAGCAGGGAGATATATGAACAATACATTTTAAATAGCAAGCCTTTTATCATAACAGGCGTTGTAGGGACATGGCCTTGTTTCAATCTATGGAAATCACCTAGTTATTTAATTGGAAAGGTAACTCTTCTATTTTTGTATAGTCTTAATATCTATCTATATTAACAATGCTTTTTTTTGATTTGTTTAGATTGGTGATACCGAGATACCAATCAGAGAAATAGGTTATGATGTAGGAGAATGGCTAGGAAAAACAACGAATTTAAAGTTTTCAACATTCTTTGAAAATTGGCTAAACAATTGTAATAGTGAACAACAACAACAACAACAGCAACAACAATTAGATGAAAAACAACAGCAACAACAACAACAACAACCTAAATATTATTTAGCAAGTTTACCTGTACATAAATATTTTAAAGAGTTAATGAATGACTATGAAGTACCGGATATTCCAAAGGAACAGGGCAAGTCAGCGAATCTGTGGATCGGATCGAAGGGTCAGGTGACACCGCTTCACCACGACTGGTCGACAGGCGATCCCGGCATGGATGGACTGCATGCAATCGTCAGTGGTCGCAAGCTGTTCCGTCTGTTTGATCCGGCCGCAAACATCAAGTTTATCAAGCGAAAAAACGAGTGGGGCTTGTTCCATCATGCCACCATCGATCTCGACCATCCCGACTACCTGGCGAATCCAGAGTTCCAACACGCGGAATCACTCGACGTCGTGCTCGAACAAGGTGAGATGCTGTTCATTCCGAAACTCTGGTGGCACTACGTTCGCACACTCGACCACTCGATCAGCATCAACTTTTGGTTCCAACACCTCGGCAGTGAGAAACTAAAGTGCAACCGACACTGGTGCGTCATGCAAGACTACTTGGAGTCACTGATGAGCATACGCATTGCCGAGGAGAAGATGTCGGCATTGCTGATGTACTACGGCGATGGATATACCCCCAAGTCAAAGCCACCTGCCGATCTCGTTCGTCGGTGTATCGACAACCCACTCTATCTCATACAACTCCCGAAATTCATCAAATCATTTGCAAACGCCGCTCACAATCCACTCTTCAAAGGTGTCGAAGCCGATCTCTTTGCCAACGAAATAACATCAAAAGTAAAAGAATGGATCGATTTAAAATTTAAACAACAACAACAACAACAACAACATCAACAACAATAATAATAATAATAACAATAATAACAAAAAAGATAATCAAAATAATAAACTAACAATAATAAATAATCATTGAAAACTTTTAAAAATCTTATAAAGCTCCTTCCCAAGATTATCAATCAAAAAATAAAACAATTCAACACCACAAGATAATAAAATGTGTTGTTGTTAACAATAATTTATTATTAATTAATTAAAAAAACTAGTTGGAAAAAAAAAAAAAAAAGTCAACCCCATAAGGGTTCTACCAAAAAAAAATTTAAAAAAAAAACAACAATTTTTATCAATGATAATAATAGTGGGTTACCAACACAATAAAACAAAAAAAAAAAAAAAAAAAAAAGATAAATCTTTATGCAAAAAATAGCTAAAAATAAAATTAATTAATTAATTTGATTTTGATTAATAAAAAAACAAACCACCACACAAAAATTCAGCCTTCTATATGTTTTTGTTGTGTTTTCATTTTTTATTCTATCATTTATGTTTCTCTGTAAAAAACAACTTCAATCGACGTCGCAATTACATATACATATAAACTATAATAATAATAAAAATAATAAGTAATAAGTTTAAAACAAACATAAAGGTAACACAATATTAAGAGAATAATCACTTTTAATTATTTTTTTTTTTATTATTTGTTATTATTTATCTTTAAGTTACTTATAAAAAAGTGTATATACACCTTAATAACTCATTCAAACCAACTTTAAAATATTCACAAAATATTCTTTTGTTTATCTTTTGCAAATTATCAACAAACTCGAACCACTAACCCTCATTTGGTAAAGATAAGATGGATGACATAAAAAAAAAAAAAAAAATTTTTTTTTAAAAAAAACTATAAATATTAATGATGAAGATCATTCATTCTGTTATATATATATTATATTATATGATATGAATTTATAAAGTCACACTAAATATGAATCTTGACATACGATCACCTCTTTATCTAACCGTAAGAAAAACAAAGGTGCACAACCAATCAAGCAAAGAAGAGAAGAGCTTCTCTTAGATAAACAAACAAACAAACAAACAAACAAACAAACAAACAATCAATCAATCAACCAATAGTTATAATTACTTCATATATCTACACTTTACATTATTTATTTATTTAAACATCATTTTGTAAAGTTAACTTATCTTCATTAACTTCAATTTTGTTTGAAAATAGCGTCCATGTTACTTTTTAAATATAGCAATAAACACGACACATAACACACTCTCTCACATACACACTACGCACCACCACACAAATAAAAAATGAATTCAAGTCAGTATTCTTTCAAGTATCGCATCAACATCCAGAATTACCTATAAATGAATAACAACAACATTTTTTATTTAAATCGATGTGTTTGTTTGGTTACCAAATTTGAATTCAATTAATTAAACGAAAATCTCAATAAAACTAACTGGACAAACAACATTTAATTATATTAAATGAATGAATGAATTAAATTGAATTAATATATGTTTGTTTGGATAGTGGTTATACATTTTTCTGGTATGCTGTGTGTGGGGTGTGTACTTAGTAACGTAAAATCAAAAACAGAACCAAACAAACATTAAAACATTAAAACACTAATTACAGGTGTTACACATATAACAATATAACATCATCATCTTATCTTCTCATTGTGTAGACATCAACAATTTTTCGATTCGAATTTAGACAATCAGCTTAACCTAAACTTAAAGCTGGCTACATTTCTCTTCTATACCTAAACAGCTCAGCAATCACACACACCAGCACCAAATATCAACTTTTATATTCCTTTTTACCATGTGCCATTACTATTCTTTCTACCATTACTATCAACTCAATATTAGGTAATAGGTCAAAAAATTAAAATTAACATAAAACTAATTTGGAAATATGGAGTGATCTACTTGGATTACAAGTGAGTTAATAATCTTAATTTAATATACATATATATATAGGTTATTTAATCTAGATTACTTTTTTTTTTCCTTCTTCTTTTCTTTTTTGTTAAAATTTATATTTTAATTGTTATTATTTATTATTGTTTGGTGGTATAGGTAGCAACACATACAACTATATAAATAGATTGTAAGATTGATGTTTTCTACATTTACCATATCTTGAATATCATTTTTCTATTATTGTTATTAATTAATTTCACAGTCAAATTTACTGTTTTATGTAATTTTAAAATTTAATATAATAATTAATCACCTTACAACAAACACTCAAATGATCAAGGTAATTCTAATAAAATAAATTATAATAATAATAATATAATAAAAACATAATCATTAGAATAACTAATATTCGAAAAATGTATAATCATTCATATTCATGAATTATAATATAACTAATGTTACTAATATTGATTGATTGTTGTTTATTTTGTTGTTACTGTTGAATTGCAATTCAATTAAATATCGTGTTTTGAATCTTTGTATCTCAGTGTGAATCGAAAAACATCAATCAAATCATTCATTAACCAGCAACAAGCAAATCAATAAAAAGTAACTCCTACAACACTGTTATTCTGGTGGTTTTTTATTTTTTGTTTTTTTATTTTTTTGAATTTTGTTGTTTTTTAAAAAATTCACTTAAAAATACGAACAACAACAATGTTAACTGTTAATAAATTATAAAGTGTAACGATTCAAATCTAATTTCTCTTTTTTTTTTCAAAATAGTTGTTGGAATTCAAGTAATATCATTTTTCAAATAAAGGCAAACAAATACAGATACAATACATAGATAAAAACGAGAGATAAAGATAGATATAAATAGTCTCAGTCATAGATTGATAGATAATTAGAGAGAGACAAAAGTAATAACAAGTTTTTTAGATAGATTCTATAGGGAGAAGAAAAAAAAAGAAACAAAGTTTTTGGAGAAAATCACCCAAAATTTGATTTGTTTTTAAAAACCCAATATCAAAGAAAGATAGACCTTAAGAGGTTGAGGTGAGGTTGTATCATAGCATACAGATCGATCCTATTGGAAGTTTCATAGTTCTCACAGGATTGTTGTTTGTTTGTAATATCGACAACAATCTAATCATCACATCATCAGTCAGTTTTAAGTTAAAGTTCAAGTAATCTATATTTTTCAAGGAGAGAAACAATAACATCAACAACAACAACAAAAAAAGATGATATCCGACAGAATTTTGAAAATTTCATCCTCAAAGGTTAAAGATGAGGATAAAACTCGTGAGGAGCTCATCGAAGAGCTCAAACACATGAAAAAGTTAGCATTGGCCAATGGTAACTCTAGAATTATGTTGGATGAAATGTATCAGGTAACTATACATATTGCTCTTTGTTTGTTTGATTTGTCCATTATTGTTAATCGTTGTATGTTTTTAGTTTGTAGCATTATTGGATCATCATGGTAATCTATTGGATGTAAATGAACCCGCTCTACATGGAGGTGGTATGATTCGTTCGAATATCGTTGGTATGCCATTCTGGGATTGTAGGTGGTGGGCTGTCTCTGAGAAGACAAAGATCGATTGTCGTGAAGCAGTGTACAGTGCAGCACAAGGCAATTTCGTGCGTTACGAAGTCGATATCTTTGGAAAATCAGCTGGTACAGAGACGATCACTATCGATTTCTCACTGATGCCACTCTTTGACGACAATGGAAAGGTGTGGCTCATCCTACCAGAGGGTAGAAACATCACTGAAAAGAAACAGGCAGAGGATGAAATCGCAAGAAAAAACGACGAACTAAGAAAACTCTATGAGAAAATTAAGGAATTAGATGAATTGAAAACACAATTCTTGTAAGTAGAAGTTTAAAAGGAATGACCTATAAAATCAATATTAATATTATTTTTGGGACATACTAGTGCAAATGTATCACATGAATTAAGAACACCTTTAACATTAATTACTCATCCAACAGAAAAGTTATTAAAAGATCCAACGATTTCAGCTTCTTCAAAGAAATATTTGGAAGTTATTGCAAGAAATACACGTGGTTTGTTGAAACATGTAAACAATCTATTGGATATCAGCAAGTTGGAAGCTGGTAAGATGGAAGTACAATATGCAATGGTCGATGTAGGTCGTACAGTCAGTCTGATTGCATCGTGTTTTGAACTGTTGGCACGTGACAACAATCTTGATTATAGTACGGTGATTCCGGATGGCGCTGCACTGATGGCAGCTATCGATTCCGATAAAATCAATCGTGTCATCACCAATCTCATTTCGAATGCATTCAAATTCACTCCACGCGGTGGAAAGATTCGTGTACAGGTAGATCGTACCACCATGCCCAGTGGCGAATTGGCCTTTGAGGTTGTAGTGTCTGACAGTGGTCCAGGTGTGCCCGAACATCTTCACGCAATTATATTCGATCGTTTCAGACAGGTCGATGGTGGATCCACCAGAAAGCACGGTGGAACTGGTCTGGGATTGTCGATTGTCAAAGAGTTTGTCGAGCTACACAAGGGAACCGTCAGCATCTCCTCGTCAAAGCAGGGAACCGGTGCGGTATTTACCATCAAGATTCCAGTATCTCCCAATATCGACTCGCTTGCCCACAAGACTACAATCTCTGACTCTAATGTTTCATCGTTGGTCTCATCGTCGTCGTTGATTTCCGAAGACTCTGAGAATCATGTTCGCCAATCGATGGGTAGTGTGTTCAGTGCAGAGATGATCGCCAAGCAGGCATCTGAGGAGTTGGAAGTTCGTGAGGGTTACAATGCTAATGGCGAGTTTGACATGGAGGAGCCAGAGACAATGGCCAAACCATCGATTCTCGTCGTCGAAGATAATGTAGAGATGAATCGTTTCATTGCAGAGTTGTTGGCATCGCGATATCGTATCTACACGGCATACGACGGTGTCGAAGGTCTGGAGAAACTAAAGGGATTCACACCAGATTTGATAGTGACAGATTGTATGATGCCAAACATGAGTGGTGACGAAATGGTCGAGCGAATTCGTCAGATGCCAGAGTATGACAACATTCCCATTGTTCTCCTCACTGCCAAAGCCGACGAAAACATGCGTGTCAAACTCTTGAACAACGGTTGTTCCGACTATATTAACAAACCTTTCAGTGCTGAGGAACTAACTGCACGTATCACTAATTTGATGTCGATGAAGAAAGCCAAGCAGTTCCTTCAGGAGGAGTTGAAATCTGCCAACAATGATCTCGGTGAGCTAGTCAACGAGCTGGCATCAAAGAAGCGTGACCTACAGTTATTGGTGAAACAATTGGACCAAGAGCGATCGTTATTGAATCAGGCAAACACACACAAAGATGAATTCCTTATGAACTTGTCACACGAGTTGAGAACTCCACTCAATGGAATACTCGGTTGGAGTCAGGTACTCCGCTACGAGCCAGACGCCGACGAACTAAAGCATGGAATAGAAACGATAGAGCGATGCGCGCGTGCCCAGAATCAATTGGTTAACGACCTACTAGATATGTCATTGATTATCAGTGGTAAATTCCAGATCACTAGTGAACCTATCAATATATCAGAGATCATAGAGAATGCTTTGGAATCACTAACATTCATCGCAAAGACCAAGAATGTAAAATTGGATGTCGATGTGAAACAACAACATTTTTGTGCGCGTGGAGATTCCACTCGTCTTCAACAGGTCATATGGAATCTGGTGTCGAACGCCATCAAATTCTCGAAGGATTCGCAAGGCGCTGTAAGTGTACGGCTAAGCCGCTCCGACGGCAGCGACGTCTATGGCGTCACCGGTGCACCAGCAGATCACGTCAAGCAGATGATGGCAACCAACAAATCGTGGGCATTGATCAGAGTAACCGATAATGGCAAAGGTATATCGGGCGAGTTTCTTCCACATGTGTTTGATCGATTCCGTCAAGCCGACTGCAGTTCCACTCGACACTATGGCGGTCTTGGTCTTGGATTATCTATTGTAAATAATATTGTTGAGTTACACGGTGGTATTTCATTTGCCTACTCTGATGGAGTTGGCAAAGGTGCATCATTCTCTATACTGCTGCCAATCGAGCAAGAGAACCTCAAGCGAAGTCGAACCGAGCTGGATACGCCACTGCAAATGTACAACGGACAGGCATTGGCCGGCCTGAAAGTAATGGTAGTTGACGACTTTGAGGAGACGCTCCACCTCTTGTCGGTGATGCTCACCAAGCAAGGCGCCAAAGCAGAGACATATCTCAGTGCAGCCGACGCAATCAACGCATTCCAACAAAACATCAAATCAACAGATTCAACAGAGTCAACAACAGCATCTGCACCTGTTGATATTATCCTCACTGATATCACAATGCCGCATGTCGATGGCTACAAATTCATAGAGATGATTCGTGAGCGAGAGAATAGTCTCGGTCTTCCGGCAACGCCAGTCATCGCCTTGACGGCAGCTGCTTCCATCGCCGACAAAACCAAGGTCCAATCATTTGGATTCAACATGCACATTGCCAAACCTGTAAATTTATATGAACTCACCAATTCAATCTTAAAACTCACTTCAAAAACATCAACATCAACGTCTTCCTCACAACAACAATTGGCGCTCACTCATTCCTCATCATCTTTAACCACCAGCGCGCCAGCTTCGATAACAACACCGTCACCTTTGTTAACATCAACAACTACGACCACCACCACAACCACAACCACTACAACCACATCATTTTGTCCAAAAAAACAGTTGGAACAACAACTTCATCAACAACAACCAAACCATTTGAATGGTAATGGTAATGGCAATGGTGTACATCCTACGACTATTACTGAACCAAACAATGACATGATTATTGATGAAGAGAATCAAAGAGTGAAAAAGAAAACTAAAGAGTAAAATAGAAACAAAATAGATAGATTTAAATGGTTGTCTTGGAGAAGTCAACCAACAAAACAAAATTAATATGATGTGAAGTCGACGATAGTGTATCAGTTTATCTTCAAATTTATAAACTAAAAAACAAAAAAAAAACAGGATATTAATAAAATCTGATTAAATTATTTATCAAAAATCTTAAAATAATCTTGATTCATTTAAAAGAAATATCTAAATATCTATTTATTGTGATTAATAAACTGAAAAATAAATTGATTTGTTAAATCAAAGTAAAATGGTTAGTAATAATAATAATAACGATTCAAATATAATAGTTAATTTATCACATGTATTGTTATCAAAGATTATTAATTATTTAGAAGATAACAATGATAGAATAGTGTTTACATTTGTTTGTAAAAGATGGTTCAATGAAAGACAAGGATATCTATCTTTTAATATAGATACTTATTCTCTTATTGATGACGATCAAAACTTTATGTATTTGAATTCTTATAAATCGATCATTTCAAATAAAATCAAAAGAAAATCAGCATGTAAAGCTGTTTTTGGTGATCTTGAATCAAAACAATATTATGATTATTTTTTAACTGAAGGTAACTATATATTCTATAAATCTAATGTAACCTAATCTAATAGTATAATTATACATTTTTTTTAAAGATCAATTGGATGATATCGATAGATTCAAATCATTAAACATTTATAAAATAGATATTGCTGGTAAAGGATTTGTTATAGAGCCAACACAATTTGAAAGTTTATGTCGATTGGTTTCAAATTTAAATGTTACAGTTTTTAATGGTATTCCATCGTTGAAGTGTAAATTACCAGAGAGTCTTACATCAATATCATTTTCACGGGAGTTTAATGATGAACTTTTGCCAGGATTCCTACCACCAAATTTGAAAGAACTCACTCTCGATCAATATTTTAATAGGACAATATTAGCAGGAGTTCTCCCAAACACATTGGTCAAATTGAAGTTCAATGTATCGTTCAACCAGGATCTCGAACCAGGAGTATTACCTGCATCGCTGAAAGTTCTTAAGTTCAGATGTCAAGGTTTTAAAAGAGATTTTAAAGTTGGATCATTACCACCAAATCTCGAAGTACTAGAGTATTCTGGAAATAATTCACCGATTGGCGATGGAATACTGCCCTTGTCATTACACACTCTTACTTATGCTCCGATAACATGGAGTAAACAATTCAAATCACTTATCAACCTCAAGACACTTTTGTTTTACACTATGGGTGAAGAGTCTTTCGATTTAAGTAGTTTGCCAGAATCACTCACAAGTTTAACATTATCAGTTCCGGAAACACCAGTACAATTGAGTGGAACAATGCCACTCGCTATCAGACATCTCGATTTGGATTCTAGTGAATTCGATGCTGACTCAGTGTTCAAAGATCGCTCGAAATACCAATTCGATTATCTAAAGGTGAATCCATTCAACGCTAGATTATCTCTCGATGGTTTGAAGATAAAAGAATTGGAATTGGATTTGACAACCGACCAGAATGAAGAATGTAAGGTCAATGTTCCGTTTGGTGTCGAGTCACTCATTGTTCTTTTGAACGCATCGGAATTCCAAAAGATACCGACATCAGTGAAGAAGTTGAAGATTACCAATGTTTGGAATAGTATCAATACCATCCAGAAGAACAATGACCTCTCTGGTGCCGGTTCTATACAGGAATTGGAGATCAACTATAATGATCCATTCTTTACCGAAAATGACCAAGAAAGGTATATCATTCCACCAATGAACTATCCACCAAACACTCTCTATGTACTTAGTTGCATGGAAAAAGAGAAAATGTGGATTCGAAAGTTCGATGATCAACATTACCTTGTATTCAGAGAGTCACCTATCATGAATGGAATTGTTCATCGATCGAAATTACATACATTCCTCACACATATGATAAAACATTCAAAATATTTAAATAAATCTTAAGATTTGACTATTTAGTAAAACCAAATAAATAAATAAAAAAAACTTTTCCGACACAACCAAACAAAACAAAACTAGCTCACTTTCACCTGCACAATTAATCCCAAAAAATATGTAAAAATCAAAAACTGGGGTAAATATGATAGGTATTTTTTTTTTCAGCTTACAGGGTGATTGTATTTTTATAACTTTTTTAATCATTTATCATTCAATGATTGTTAGTCTATCACATTTATTGTTATCAAAGATAGTTAACTATCTTGATAATATAGATAGAATAGTATTTACATTAGTTTGTAAAAGATGGTTCGATGACAGAGATAAATATCTATCTTTTAATACTGATGATATAAACATCATTAATGATAATAATGTAGGAGTATTTACATTAAAATCATATCGATCATTAATACTCAGATCATTCAATCAAAAGAGTAATTGTGTTCTGTCCATTGGTGGTACCAAAAAAGACTATTCTCTCGACCCTCGTAAATAATATTTAAAATATTTAAAATTATAGATTTATCAAATTCTCTAATTCATTTATTAATCATAAACAACATAGTTACTCATGGTGAAGATACAATAAATAGAATATCACCAAACATCACTACAGTGTATTTAACTGAAAAACTTGGTACCAAGTTTACAGAGAATCTCTTTGGAATGATATCGAATTCGAATGTATCCACTCTAAAAGATATATCAAGTTTATCGAATGTATTATTACCTGTGAATTTGACATCGATAACTTTTGCCTATGTATTCGATTCACCTTTGTTGGCAGGTTATCTTCCACCGAAACTAAAGAAACTGAAATTCGAAAGTCATTCAGATTTCAATCAACCAATCTCAGCAGGTGTTCTTCCAAATACATTGACAAAACTGATATTTGGTGCACGCTTCAACCAACGACTCGAACCGAATGTATTGCCAGAATCTTTAACATTTTTAGAATTGGGAGGTGATTACTCTCACACACTTCAAGTTGGATCGATTCCTCCAAATCTTAAAGTTTTCAATCATTTTGGTGAAAGAATTTGTGATATATCAGATGGAGTATTACCACAATCACTTTGTACTTTGAAAGGATCACCTTTATCATGGATTCCATTCATCAAATCACTGAACAATCTCACAACATTATCGCTCTATCAAAATGATATTGATGATTCGTATTACACTGTAGATTTTGCAGATCTACCAGCTTCTCTAACTGATTTAGATATTCAAGCTTCTTGTCTTCTCATTTCTTCTATATCTCCGTCAATTAGAAATCTAGATATAGCCTCAACACAATATGATATCGATGAGATATTCAAAAATCGATCACAATTTAATTTGGAAAGACTATGTGTAGATGGATCGAAACTAGAATCTCTTGACAAACTGAAGATCAAGGAGTTGCAGCTAGATTTTGATAGTAGCGAATCGATTATCAGAGATATTCCATTTGGAGTGGAAACTGTAAATTTTGGATACGATACATATAAAGTAGATAAAACAATACCAAATGGGTTTCCATCGTCAGTGAAGAAGTTTATATTTAACTCGGATAAGTCAATTAGTGCACTGGGTTTCAAAATTCCAAACACTGTCGAAGAAGTCGTGATAAAACTATATTGTCGAGATCAATTCTCAACTAAATGGATTCCGGACTCTGTAAAATCACTGACTGTTTCCTCTACAGTGCTTCGAGATGTTTTTAACTTACCAAAATCAATAACCAACTTGTGTTTAACAAGAAATGAAAATATAGTTGAACTCCAAGTTCGAAAGATTTATGATAATCATTATCTCATTTTCGGTCAATCAAGAATCAATTTCAATGCTGCAATTGTATCTCGTATTCGATCAGTATTTATTTACGATTAATACTATTTTTAAATAAATAAAAAATACATTAAACATTCGTTCAAAATTAAAATATTCTTTAGATTATAGTACCTGCCTGTTGATAGTTTAACGTAGATAAACCACTCAATGCAATTAATAAAGAAATCTTTTTCTATTAATTACTATAATTGTTAATTATTTATCATTACATTTTAAATAAATGTCTTCTTATTATGTTATTATCTAATTCATTTAAAAACACACATAATAATGATAGAATCAGTTCAACAATAACCAATTACAGGAACTACAACTTCATTTTCTTAACCATCAAATGATGATAGGTAGTTAAAAGTAATACATTTTAAGAATAAATCATTTATTATGATCCAGTCAAAGCTATGAGTTTAGTATAACCATTATAAACAAGTGAAGATGACACCTAGTACTAGAATAATTGTCGATCCTCATCATAGTTTCAAAGAAAGATTTGTTAAAAGTCATTAATGATTAAAACAAAATGATATACCTTGCCCATTAGAGTAAGAGTAAATGTACCTCGCTCAAAAAATTTGATTATAGAAACAAGAACTTTTTTTTTATTTATTCATACTCTTTTTATAGCAACTGAAGGTGTGGTGTTAAAATGATTTTTAACATTTAATTAAAATAGTTTCAGAAAGATTAAACTTGAATCTTTAGGTTAGAATTGGTCTATCAAAAAAAAAAAAAAAAAACTTCTAATATTAATGTTTTTATTTATATAACTATAATTTATATATCTGATAATCCTATAACAAACAGATTGCTATTTATGGAGTGTTCAAAGCATAATTGTTATTATCATACAGTATGTTATCAATGCACAACATTATTGTGCACATCCTGTTTGACAATACATAATAGTCTATATAAAGAACATCTTGATCATTGTGATCATATAAGCAAAATAAAATCAAATCTTAATAATCATCTGTGTCTTGATAATAGTAATATTAGTAATGAAATAAATGATATATTTATCAATAAAAGAATAAAATCTATTTGGTCAGTGTTAAAAGATTCATCACTACACATTCAATCATTAACATCAAAAGAATCAGAGATATCACAACACATTTCAGAATTACATGAATATTTAAGAGTTATAGAACATAAATTAAAGAAATCGATCAATGATGATATTGACACACACAATCAACAAGTTAATCAATTACTAAATGAATTAAAATATTTAGTCGATATAAATAATAGTAATAATATCATCATTAACAACAAAGAATATAATGTTAATAATAATAATAATAGTAGTAGTAGTAATAATGAATTTGAAGAAATCAAACCAGATATTACAGATGAATATTTATTATCTACAATAATCAAATCAATCAATGAGAATTCAACTTTGATATCATTCATTGAAAATAATAAAGTGGTATTTGATCAACAAAAACAACAACAAGATCATACCTCTATAATAGTTAATCAACATTATAATAATAATTCAGATTCATGGTTATTGGATAGCATCTATAAATACTCAAAACAATTCAACCCACAACGTCAATTACAAATAGTTCAACCATTGAATATCTATACGATAAGGTTTAATATTCAACCATTCAAATCGGTGATCCACAAGTCGATCAGTGTAACAACACCCAAACGAACTAAAAATACAATCTTCTCTCTACATAGAAACGGTGCAACTCTGATTCATTTCATAAGTGATGATTACTTTCATACGGAAGAGGTAGAGTTTCCCGAAGGACATATACTTGACTTTCGAAATACAACCATGTCTACCGCATTGGTAGGCAAGAACATCTATATATTTAGTGGTTTCAATGCCGGCAGTAGCAAGCTTATCAAATACAATATCAAAGCGAAATCGTTTAGCGTTGTGGAAAACGTCAAGAATTTAACTCGTTACTATGGTGTCTCGCTGTGTTATGACGGTTACGATCATATATATCTGGTTGGCGGCTACAGAGGTTCCTGTTACGACCCAACAATAGAATCGTTCAACGTGCACACTAAGCGACTGAAAATCAAAGAGCCTTCTTTCAAAAACTTTTCAAAAAAGGTGATCTCAGTGTATCATCGTCGCAACGGATGGATCTACACGGTGCCATCCGACGCTCCTCTGGTGATAGCATTCAATCCCGTCTCAATGGTATCTGTAGAGTATCGATTCAACGATCTGGAGTGTGCATACAGTGGTTGTACTGACGATGACGGTAACATCTATGTTCTCAACCACCGAAAGTACTTTATCCGATTCAACATGGACACCAAACAATTCCAACGACTTGAAAGTATTGAATTCCATAATGAATTCTTATCGATGGTCTATCGTAAGGTTTCACCCTCCTCTACTTGCTCTCTGGCAGTCGTAAGAATCTTCGATACTCTGTCGAACAAAACAAATGGGAACCATTCTTTGAGAACGATGAAATCGATCGTAAAGAATTTGGAAGTATCATCATTTAATAATAAAAAAATAATATTTTAAATAAATCCTACTAAAACAAACGAGTGTTACAACATGCTGTATTGATTGATGATTGGATTTCATTTTAATATTATTATTTAAATGATCAGTATTTAAAGATATCTATTTCTTTCTGTCACTGAACAAATATAAATACTATTCTATCTACATTATAAATAAAATTAATAATCATTGATAACAACTGGTTTTTTAAAATTTGAGTGAGTTCAAGTTAGTTAGTGGCACGTTTACTAACTTACCTTCAGTGAGTTCGTTACTTTTCAGTGAGCAAAAAAATGAAAATAATTGCAAAGAGATTTTAGAAAAAAATTGAGTTAATTAATAAAATTATTTAATAAAACACTTTATAGTGATTTTAAACAGTTTTACAAAAAAGAGCGAAAAAAACAAAAATATTTGTTTCTTTTGTAAAAAAGAGTGCACAGCAGATACAGCCCAGCATTGCAGAGAGCACTTGAATACAAAAAGCTGCAAATTGGCACAACAATCACTATTACCAAATAAACTCACAACAAACTCAGACTATTTATGTTGTAGATATATAGTAATGTCAAATATTCCATTTTCAACTTTGGAGAACACAGAGTTCAAAGAGTTTCTTCAGTCGTTAAACTATTCACCTCCCTCAAGGTATAAGTTTAAGGAAACGTATCTTCCTGGCCTCATGAAAGATCTTACGAATGTGATGAAGTATCAAATAGATCGTGCAGATTGGGTGGCAATAACAACAGATGGTTGGACTAACAATCAGAATGACAAGTTCACCACATTCACAGCGCACTTCTTGGATAAAGATTTTCAATATGTGTCCAACAACACCTACTACAACAACATCACCCGCTAAAGTCACACCTCAAATAGATTTATCACCAGTGTCATTTAATCCATTTTATAGATATAGTAAAGATCCACAACCAATAGAGCTTAATGTAGATATACTCAAGAAGCAATTAATGGATTTCCACAATTATCAGTATGTAACTGAAGAAGAAGAGAGACTAGGCAAATATTCTAATCCTGCAATTTTCTGGTCGCAAAATAATCACCTATTTCCATATGTTGCTCAACTTGCTCGCAAATATATGTGTGTTCCTGCTTCTTCTGTGCCTTCTGAATCTGTATTCTCTAAAGCTAATTATATATTTTCCGAAAGAAGACAATCAATGCTAAGTAGTACATTAAGAGATTGTGTCTTATTGTATTGCAACAAATCTTTATTTACAAATGCCAACAACAATAATAACAACAAATAAATTATTTACAAAAGATATTAACAAATAAACTAGTCATTGTGCTTCAAATATAATTTTTTTAATTTAAATTTTAATATGAACTAACTGAAAAAGTAACCAAAACTAACTAACGTGCAGTTTGGCTGAGAATTCGTGGGAACGAAAAATTAACTCACCAGTGAGTATTTTAACTTATTTTTCAAAAAACCAAACAAACAGCGATATGACTAGACACATAACTAACATAGCAGCAACGCGTCCAATTACATCATATAAATAATAGAATTAGCAGCTACACAATAGAGGAGTACCAATCAAATGTCATATAAGCTACAGACACCAACAATAGAACAAGTAATGGTATCAGATCATCATAACGGTGCAACGGATCAGGGCAATCATTTATAAACAAACCAATATCAGTTAGATAGAAAATACTATCGCGATGTCAAACAGTGAAAAGGGTAAGTCAATATTAGATTACTAAGTTATCATTATCATCATTCATATTAATTAATAATCTAATCAAGCTGATATTGGAGGTTAGCTTTTCAATTTGTTCTTTTAGATGAAAATAAATAAGAATTTGTTAAATAGAACAATCACAACAATAGATCAACTACAACAACACAACAACAAATATATAACAACATCTGTTCAGTAACAAACAACAAATAGTTTAAATGTTTGCACTACCGGTATATTATTATTTTTATTTATTGTATTCTTACTATTTTTTAATAAATTTGATATTAATATCTCGACTCGTCTAATGATTATCTTTGTTTTAATAGATGAGGTGCAGATTTCAAAAAGATATTACAAAACAAAACTGGCACTTGCTTGTTGAAGGGCGCCATTTAAACCTTTTATAACACACTCAAATCATTGTTTATAATTTTTTACAATAAATTAAATAGTAAACAAAAGCTTGCAATGAACAACAACAATAATATATCATATAATAATTTTATTGGACCTTAAATTCCTCTAAGGAAAAAATTAATAAATAATTATTGAAATTGAAATAAATTCAATATAGAAGATGATTAGAATTTATTTAAGATCTTGAGTTTCAATTAAAAAGTACTGTATCCGAGTGACCATAAGTATAATCCAGATGCATCAGATACAACTAATTCTGGCATTGATGGATGAAGTATTATCGATCTACCGGTTTGAGTTGAACGATCATTTGGAGGTCCACTTGAATCAATCATTGTCTTGGCATTGGACGAGCAAGTGGTTGTTGTATCATAGATCAATTGATAAATTCCAGTGGATGACCAAGCATGTTTACATATTTGAAGATTTGCGGGTGATTCTTGAAGTATCTGGTTTGTGAACAGATTCTTAATATAATATTTGTTTTGATTGATTTCGAAACTTAGGAATCTATTTTGATATAAAGTGTTTGTATTTGGTTGAAGTGCAAAGTTTCCCAAAGCTTTGGAGTTTCCAAAATATCCATATGTCAAAGATCCAGTTGCTGAACGCAATGCAATTGCCCAATCTGTTGGTTGGTCACTTCCTGGTGCTGGAAGTTGGAGATATCGAGATGATTGAATGCTTGGTGTGTTCCAATTTCCAAATAATTGACAATAATATGTTCCTGTTATAGAGTTGACCATACAAAAAGTATTGGTATCACCATTGTAATGAACGTACATTCTGAGATCTTCTTTTAATAAAGTCGAATATTCATATTTCCAGAGAGGAGTTGATACAGCATTTGGATTTTGTCCATATAAATATGCACCATAGGAATCACCAGAAGGTGTTTTCTTGATAATCAAATAATCTCTGCCATTGGTGATGAATTGATTGACTCCAAGATAATTATTTGTAGTGTCAAGATTGTCAATGAATGAACCTGGAATCAATCCAATCTTCATTGATGTTGGATATCCCTAAATTTCGACCAAACCATTCTTGTTTTTAGCGTTTTGGACAACCAATCCGTAAGGTAAACCATAAATGCTATCAAGAAGATTGAGATATTGACCTCCAAGACTATTACACATAATTGCTGTGAATGTTCCAGATTTACCAACCAAAACAACATTTCCATCAAATGATTGGATTGTGATTGAATATGGTCCTGATGTTGAAGTTGTTACTCCCAATGAATATACTTCAGAACCTCCGGATTTAAGTGATAAATATCCATTTCCTTGAGAGTTGATTGTGAGTGATGTAGTTGATGTCTTGAGTGTTTTACCTTCAGGAAGTGTTGTTGGGCATTTCAATCCAAGTGAATCTAAACATGCACCTGGGAATACTGGAATTGATTTCGAACTTTCAACTAAAACTGAACTTGGCTATATTGAGAAAATAATTAATAAAAATGATTTAAAATAGAAATTATATGAATTTTAAAAATATTAGAAACAACTTACATAATTCCAAATTTGATTTTGATTTGATGAATCACATGTTTTGAATTCAACAATATTTGAGACAGTATTGAGTTGAAGACATAATGAAGTAATATATTCTTGAATTGTATATTGTCCATTTGTTAATTGATTGAGAATATTAAAATTGTTTTGTGGAATCGATGTTGTTCCAATCAATGTTGTTGTTTGACTGTTCATATACATCATTGTTTTTGGATTGTAAAGATGTGGTCCAAATGAATCATATTTCAAATACCAGAATTGTTGAAGATTCGATTGATCACATGTTGAAAGTGTTACTGATGATCCAGATGTTGTTGGTGCTGTCAAACAACTTTGTGATCCAACATTTTGAATCATCTTATATTCAAGATCTTGATATGAAAGGAATGTTGGTGTTGAATCACTTGTTGTATACCAAGCAATACCTTCTTTTGTCCAGCCTAACATATTTGGAACGGTTGAATATCCATAAACTAAACCTGATCCAAATGCTTGAATTTGAGTTCTAGAATATCTGTAAACTGGTTTGGCAGAAGGTGTGGCATCAATTGCATCATATACTTGGAATGCAATACCATCATACACCCAACCACTTGAAGTGAATGAACTATCGGTTGTATAATAGAATCTATTACCATTTGATTGTGTGAATTTGAATCGATAAACAATTTCTCTCTCGGTATCAGCAGCTGTAGTAGGATCTATAATTACAGACCATGGAACTTGGAATGCTTTGAATGAATATCCTCCAAATGACCATCCAATGTTTGATGATAAAGTACTTGGAACAAAATTAATTGTTCCAGTCGAAGCACCATTATTTCCGGTTGAACTCTTATCATTGAAATTATTATCAAATGGCCAATATCCAACCAAATTTGGTTCATTTCCAAAAATATTTTTGTTCATTGTGTTTGATATTTGTATTTGAGAGATTGCAACATTCCAAATTGTGATATCTTCGATTGATCCAACAAAATGTGGCTCATTGGGTTGATTGGTGTAATAATTGGCACCAATCAATAATGTATTTGTTGATTTGGCACTCAAATTTGAACCAGTTGTTGTTGTTGTGAGTTTAACAGCATCCAACCAAATTTCCAATGAACCAGATCTTCGAATAGCAGCAACATGATGCCAATTTCCATCAAGTATTTGTGTTGTTGATGATATTGTTTTATACGATCCGAAACCATTGTCAATTGTGAAAATAATTACACCATTTTCATTGATGACAATTCTCAATCCACCACTAAAGGTAGCTCCTCCAGACTCAGGTTTATTTGACATGATTGTTCCTGGTACTGTTGTTTGGACAAGAGATGTTGCTGAGAAATCACTGGTTCCAAAATCATATACTCCTTTATTTGGAATATTGATTTGACTTGTTGGTCCAATAAATGCTGCTAAATCGGTGGATACTTTTCCTGGAGAACTATTCAATTAAATTAAAATTGTTAATTAAATATACTATAAATTTTGGTCTTTAATCATAAATAAAATATATATTTTTTACATACTTGTAAAGATATCTGGATTCACCATTTGATTCTTGATAATAATATTGAGAAACTGCTACTGGTCCCGATGATGACACTGGGAAACGGAAATCAACATCATCATAAGCAATTGCTAGACCACTTAAATATGAAAATGCTGCCAAATCATATCCTGGTTCAACAATATCGACAACACATTGTCCTGGGAAAGATGAATCAAATGTTTGAGCGTTAGAGTTGGTAGTTACTTTTCCTAGAGTGGCTTTGGTCGAATCGAAATAAGTGAATGTGATGGCATGAGTATGAATTGGATCAGTTGAGATAGAGACTGAAATAATTGGAACTTGTTTTAAAACTAATGTTGGGTCTGGTGAAATATCTGATCCTGATGAACGTCCAATCAACTTTGTTGATCCATCATTGTATTCAATGTTGAGTCCAACAAGACTGACACCAATGTGGAAGTATGGAGTTATTTTTGACATCATTCTTGTGGTCGATACTTGAGATGCAACTGTTTCTGGTCGATTTAATTTCTTACAAACATTGTATGAGCAATCTGGAATATTGAAAACACCAGCAAGATTTGATAAAAGAATATGTGAAACTGGACCAATAGAACCACCAGTTGGATATAACTTGACGTCAAAGTATTTCCAATTGTATGAAAACAATGTTACTGACATATAGAAATGATTGAGTTCATCTGAAATCTTATTCCATTGATCTACTGGCTGAAGTGTTGAAACAGTGTATGGTAATGATTGAATACGAGTATTGATAACTGAATTTGCATAACTAGCATAACTAGTAATCTTTGATTTCATCAAACTATCATATTTAGCTTTAACAGATTGACTCCATCCCAATTGATTTCCATAATTTACACCATCACGAATGAATGTTAAATAGAGATTGGCAAATTGAGCAAACAATGGCAAGAGTGTGGCTTGGAATTGTTCTGTTTTGAAAAGTTGCTCTTGACGAATCACTTGAGTTACACATGAAATGTAAACAGAACTTAGGTACTCTGGTGTGGAATCTGGATCGGACATTGCAGCAAAGTAGTATTCATCCATCAATTGAGAGAATCCGAGTAATTCTGATTGAACCAAAGAATATGTTGCAGTATCAATACTCTTATCGATGGCAGCTTGAGCATAGACCAGGATACTGTTCCAAACGGCCTGTGGATCCGATGCTTGATTTGGGAACAAAGAATTGACGATGGCACCTGCCAAAGGTGGTGGAAAACCTGGAAGTAATTCTGGCGCTGCAATAGTAACCGCGGCTACAATCGCATTCCTAATAGTAGTAAAGGTACCAGGCATCTTCACAGGAGCCGCTGCTCCTGAGCGGTGATTAAGAACTATCAGTGTCAAAACAAATAAAATTAATAATAAATTTGAATGTTTCATTTCTATTAATAAGAATTTTTAACTATGATATCTGAATAGACAAATTTGACCATTATTTATAGAAACATATTGATAATGAGGGATTAGCCTCGAATGCATATGTATGTTGTGAATCAATAAAATATCTTCAAAAGTTTCTATTCATTGAATTTGAAATAACAAAAATCCTCGTATCCTAAAATTTAAATAAAAAACACCAATTTAACCCTCAATCTTTGAAATTAGTGTATTTTTAGAATATTTTGTTCATATTTTTTTCACACAGACCCTAAGAGGATGCCACATATTTCAAAGTTTACCTTTTCAAAAACAAAAGTCCATTCATGCAAATCATAATTATTCAACTTTTTTTTTTTTTTTTGCACCTGTGAGATTTGATCATTTGATTGAAAAACTAACCATTTGTATGTATGTTTGACAATGATGATCCAATCAAATCGTTTATTCGAAATCTTGTTGATATGAAAATGAAAAAAAAAAACAAATACTAATTGATCATTTTATTATTATTTTTACCAAGTGGGCCATTGATGCTCCTTTTATGCCCATTAATCAATTGAAAAACTTCTAAAAAAGTTTTTTTATACTTTTTGTGTTTCCTGTGACGATCTTTGTTGATATCAGATTGGTCGATAATACAAGCATTGAAATATGTTAATCTTCTCTCTCTCCCCACCAACGAGCTTCCAATAGGCTGGATAGAAAATAATGTTAACATACATAAAAGATATACTAATAAAAAACAAGACATACCACTTTAATTGTTTCCCATTTTCATCACCCTATTCCTCTATTCGTTACATTCTTTTAATTTAGCCTCATTCTTGTCATCAACAACATGAAGTAAATCGGGGTTGTATTTACTGTTATTTGATCAGTGTGTTATTTCTTCTCTGAACTCTAATCAAGGGTTCACATTGTTGTATCTATATTGCAATAGTATAAAATATAAAAAGTTTTTACAATTATTATTGATCCAATGTGACGATAGGTAAGTGATGACGATGAAGCACTAAATTTTAAGATAGAAAGGAAATAATCAATATCATATCTTAAGATGACGACTAAGTAATTATAATTTAATTTATAGCTGGTGGACATTATATTGTATTTTTGGTTGATAAAAAAAATTTATAATTAATAAATGATTGGTTTATAAATATTAGATAGTTATAACACAAACCTTTTCTTTACACGATGAAATTTATACAAAAAATGTAACTGGAACTACTCATTGAGTGTAACCATTAGGAGTAAATATTGAACTTTGTCTCGATATTCAACATCCATACCTTTTTTTACTGTTTTTATTTTTTTGTTTGTTCAACAAAACATTTTTTTAATTTATTATTTTTATTATAAAAACTTTACAACAAATAAATATTACTAATCACAGAATGTGTCTCATCTCATGACTCTGAAAAAAAAAAAAAACTATCAAATAAAAAAAATAAAATAAACTAAGCTCAACAGATTCATATTCAAACCTTTTGCATCAACATCTACAAATATAGTGGTATAATTAAATGTCAATTAGAACAAATATAAAAAATAAATAAATTCTTTTTTTTAAAAAAAAAAAAAAAAGAAATAAATTGTAATTTTTGTTTTGTTTTTTTTTTTTTTTTTTTTTAAACGATTATGTATTACTTATTAATAATAGAGATATTATATTATAAAAAGTAAATATATAGATAGATTATATTATCAAAATTGATTTATATAATGGAAGATACATATCATCAACAGTATCAATACCAACAACAACACCATAGTAATCATCATCACCAAAACAATAACAATAGTGGTAATAGCAATCATAGTAGTGGAAATAACAGTAACAGCGGTACCGCTAATAACTATAGAACTATAACATGTTGTGGTAATAGTAATTCAAATACTGGTTGGGGTGCAAGAAGTGTAGATCTCTATGAGAGAATCGAACAGATCGGTGAAGGTACTTTTGGGTATGTACATACTGAATGCAATATTACTATAAATATACGATCAAGTAATTAACTAAAAACAATAACATTAAATAGTCAAGTGTATAAAGCAAAGAATAAGTTAACAGATGAAGTAGTTGCATTAAAGAAGGTTTTAATGGAAAATGAAAGTGAAGGTGTATGTAATTTATCAATATATATATATATATATAAATAACACTATAGTTATTGTTATTATTTGTTATTAATAAGATATTTGATTATTGTTTTTATTTTTTGTCTTTATATATATATATAGTTCCCAATTACAGCAATAAGAGAGATAAAGATATTAAAAGAATTAGATCATAAGAATGTTGTTAAATTAAAAGAGATTGTAACTTCAAAGGCATCGCCTGCCAACAATGGAAAGGGTAGTGTTTATATGGTGTTTGAATTCATGGATCATGATTTGAACGGTTTGATGGACAGTCCTGTTTTCAAGTTCTTCCAACCAGATCAAGTTAAATGCTACCTAAAGCAACTATTAGAGGGTTTAGATTATTGTCATAGAAACAATGTATTACATAGAGATAATAAAGGTAACTAATCTATCAAACTATTATTTAATAGTGCATATCTTATGTTGAACTTATAAACAATAACTAATAATCAACATTCCAACAATCAAACACAATATGATATCGATGAGATATTCAAAAATCGATCACAATTTAATTTGGAAAGACTATGTGTAGATGGATCGAAACTAGAATCTCTTGACAAACTGAAGATCAAGGAGTTGCAGCTAGATTTTGATAATAGAGAATCGATTATCAGAGATATTCCATTTGGTGTGGAAACTGTAAATTTTGGATACGATACATATAAAGTAGATAAAACAATTCCAAATGGGTTTCCATCGTCAGTGAAGAAGTTTATATTTAACTCGGATAAGTCAATTAGTGCACTGGGTTTCAAAATTCCAAACACTGTCGAAGAAGTCGTGATAAAACTATATTGTCGAGATCAATTCTCAACTAGATGGATTCCAGACTCTGTAAAATCACTGACTGTTTCCTCTGGAGTGCTTCGAGATGTTTTTAACTTACCAAAATCAATAACCAACTTGTGTTTAACAAGAAATGAAAATATAGTTGAACTCCAAGTTCGAAAGATTTATGATAATCATTATCTCATTTTCGGTCAATCAAGAATCAATTTCAATGCTGCAATTGTATCTCGTATTCGATCAGTATTTATTTACGATTAATACTATTTTTAAATAAATAAAAAATACATTAAAACATTCATTCAAAAATTAAAATATTCTTTAGATTATAGTACCTGCCTGTTGTTGATAGTTTAACGTAGATAAACCATTCAATGCAATTAATAAAGAAATTTTTTTCTATTACTATAATTGTTAATTATTTATCATTACATTTTAAATAAATGTCTTCTTATTATGTTATTATCTAATTCATTTAAAAACACACATAATAATGATAGAATCAGTTCAACAATATGAACAATAACTTCATTTTCTTAACCATTAAATGATGATAGGTAGTTAAAAGTAATACATTTTAAGATTAAATAATTTATTATGATCCAGTCAAAGCTATGAGTTTAGTATAACCATTATAAACAAGTGAAGATTATAATATAATATACTTAGTACTAGAATAATTGTCGATCCTCATCATAGTTGAAACTATGATGAAGAAAGATTTAATTAAAAAGACAAAATCTAACCTAAAGATTCAAGTTTAGAATTAATTTTTAATACAATATTTCTTCATCATAGTTTCAGAAAGATTTAATTAAAAAATTTGTCGATAAAAAAAAAAAAAAAACTTCTAATATTAATGTTTTTATTTATATAACTATAATTTATATATCTGATAATCCTATAACAAACAGATTGCTATTTATGGAGTGTTCAAAGCATAATTGTTATTATCATACAGTATGTTATCAATGCACAACATTATTGTGCACATCCTGTTTGACAATACATAATAGTCTATATAAAGAACATCTTGATCATTGTGATCATATAAGCAAAATAAAATCAAATCTTAATAATCATCTGTGTCTTGATAATAGTAATATTAGTAATGAAATAAATGATATATTTATCAATAAAAGAATAAAATCTATTTGGTCAGTGTTAAAAGATTCATCACTACACATTCAATCATTAACATCAAAAGAATCAGAGATATCACAACACATTTCAGAATTACATGAATATTTAAGAGTTATAGAACATAAATTAAAGAAATCGATCAATGATGATATTGACACACACAATCAACAAGTTAATCAATTACTAAATGAATTAAAATATTTAGTCGATATAAATAATAGTAATAATATCATCATTAACAACAAAGAATATAATGTTAATAATAATAATAATAGTAGTAGTAGTAATAATGAATTTGAAGAAATCAAACCAGATATTACAGATGACTATTCATTATCTACAATAATCAAATCAATCAATGAGAATTCAACTTTGATATCATTCATTGAAAATAATAGAGTTGTATTTGATCAACAAAAACAACAACAAGATCATATCTCTATAATAGTTAATCAATATTATAATAATAATTCAGATTCATGGTTATTGGATAGCATCTATAAATACTCAAAACAATTCAACCCACAACGTCAATTACAAATCGTTCAACCATTCAATATCTATACGATAAAGTTTGATATTCAACCATTCAGATCGATGATCCACAAGTCGATCAGTGTAACAAAACCCAACCAAACTAAAAATACAATCTTCTCTCTACATAGAAACGGTGCAACTCTGATTCATTTCGTAGATGATGATTACTTTCATACGGAAGAGGTAGAGTTTCCCGAAGGTCATATACTCGACCTTCGAAATACAACCATGTCTACGGCATTGGTAGGCGAGGACATCTATATATTTAGTGGTTTCAATGCCGGCAGTAGCAAGCTTATCAAATACAATATCAAAGCGAAATCGTTTAGCGTTGTGGAAGACGTCAAGAATTTAACTCGTTACTATGGTGTCTCGCTGTGTTATGACGGTGACGATCATATATATCTGGTTGGCGGAAACAGAGATTCCAGACCCGACCCAACAATAGAATCGTTCAACGTGCACACTAAGCGACTGAAAATCAAAGAGCCTTCTTTCAAAAACTATTCAAACAAGGTGATCTCAGTGTATCATCGTCGCGACGGATGGATCTACACGGTGCCATCCGACGTTCCTCTGGTGATAGCATTCAATCCCATCTCAATGGAATCTGTAGAGTATCGTTTCAACGATCTGGAGTGTGCATACAGTGGTTGTACTGACGATGACGGTAACATCTATGTTCTCAACCACCGAAAGTACTTTATCCGATTCAACATGGACACCAAACAATTCCAACGACTTGAAAGTATTGAATTCTATATTAACTACTTATCGATGGTCTATCGTAAGGTTTCACCCTCCAAGAATTTCATCTACTTGCTCACTGGCAGTCGTGAGAATCTTCGATACTCTGTCGAACAAAACAAATGGGAACCATTCTTTGAGAACGATGAAATCGATCGTAAAAGATTTGGAAGTATCATCATTTAATAATAAAAAAATAATATTTTAAATAAATCCTACTAAAACAAACGAGTGTTACAACATGCTGTATTGATTGATGATTGGATTTCTTTTTAATATTATTATTTAAAGATAGATATTTCTTTCTGTCATTGAACTAATGTAAACACTATTCTATCTATATTATAAATAAAATTAATAATCATTGATAACAATAAATGTGATGATCAAAGAAGTTAAAAAGAGCGTAAATTTAGAAAAAAAAAACAAACAGCGATATCACTAGACTCATAACTAATAACATATCAGCAACGCGTCCAATTACATCATATAAAAGTAGAATTAGCAGCTATATAATAGAGGAGTACCAATCAACTGTCATCTAAGCTACAGACACCAACAATACAATAGAACAAGCAATGGTATCAAGATTATCATAACAGTGCAACGGAGCAGGCAAACCATTTAATAAACAACCAATATCAAGTAGATATATGTACAATTAGAAAATAATGATACTAATATATTGTTAATCATATTCTTATAGAACAACTAATAGAAGAGATTCCTCTTAGTATCGGTTCGATTGAAATTGGCACAAATGGTTCCGATTCAGAAGAAATGTATCGAATGATAACTCGATCCAATGTAACTGAACTAGTGAAATTCTTTGTCATTCTCACCATTTTCGATTAACCATTACTGTCTAGCAATCTTCCGCCACATTTGGAATGTCTACATTTACAATACTCCAAATTTAGTCAACCATTTAAAAGAGATGATCTTCCAAGTACCCTGGAGATATTGATATTGGGTGAGAGTTTCAAATTTCCTATTGAACCGTGTGTATTACCATCGTCTCTTAAGGTTCTTGAATACTATGGTGGTAAACATACTCTAAAAGCTGGATCATTACCTCTAAATCTTGAAGAATTCCAATATCATGGTGATAGTTTACTACCTTTCGAAGATGATGGAGTATTACCTTTGACACTTGCCATATTGAAAGCACCATTATCATGTCTTCCATCAATCAAATCACTTCCAAATCTTAAATCTTTGATACTAAGTTATCATTCACAGGATCCAATAATCGATCTAAGCTATCTGCCGTGTTCACCAGTTTTTCGATTTTCCTTACGTGCCAGGACGATTAATATCATCTATGCCACCATCAATCAAACATCTCGATCTTACACAATTTTCATATGATATCGATGAGATATTCAAAGATCGATCACAATACCAAATAGAGTATCTAATGGTAGATGAATTAAAAATGGAATTCCATTTACATCGACGGACTTAAAACACTGATATTCAAATTCGATATATGTATGGATATAGTGGATATTATGTTTGCAAGATTATCCAGAGAGCATAGAAACGCTTAGAATTTACACTGGAAGAGATATGGAACATCTCACTAATAATAATATTTATTTATTATATAATTGTTTTAAATATCCAGAATTCATACTTTTTATTTTATAGATGTAGATGAAATGCTTAAATACCTCTAAGGAAAAAATAAATAATTATTGAAATTGAAATAAATTCAATATAGAAGATGATTAGAATTTATTTAAGATCTTGAGTTTCAATTAAAAAGTACTGTATCCGAGTGACCATATGTATTTTCCAGTTACATCAGATACAACTAATTCTGGCATTGATGGAAGAAGTATTATCGATCTACCGGTTTGAGTTGATCGATCATTTGGAACTCCACTTGAATCAATCATTGTCTTGGCATTGGACGAGCAAGTGGTTGTTGTATCATAGATCAATTGATAAATTCCAGTGGATGACCAAGCATGGTTACATATTTGAAGATTTGCGGGTGATTCTTGAAGTATCTGGTTTGTGAACAGATTCTTAATATAATATTTGTTTTGATTGATTTGGAAACTTAGGAATCTATTTTGATATAAAGTGTTTGTATTTGGTTGAAGTGCAAAGTTTCCAAAAGCTTTGGAGTTTCCAAAATATCCATATGTCAGAGATCCTGTTGCTGAACGCAATGCAATTGCCCAATCTGTTGCTTGGTCACTTCCTGGTGCTGGAATTTGGAGATATCGAGATGATTGAATGCTTGGTGTGTTCCAATCTCCAAACATATGACAAGAATATGATCCTGTTATAGAGTTGACGAAACAAAAAGTATTGGTATCACCATTGTAATGAACGTACATTCTGAGATCTTCTTTTAATAAAGTCGAATATTCATATTTCCAGAGAGGAGTTGATACAGCATTTGGATTTTGTCCATATAAATATGCACCAAAGGAATCACCAGAAGGTGTTTTCTTGACAATCAAATAATCTCTTCCATTGGTGATAAATTGATTGACTCCAAGATAATTATTTGTGTCAAGATTGTCAATGAACGAACCTGGAATCAATCCAATCTTCATTGATGTTGGATATCCTAATTTCGACCAAACCATCTTGTTTTTAGCGTTTTGGACAACCAATCCGTATGGTAAACCATAAATGCTATCAAGAAGATTGAGATATTGACCTTCAAGACCATTACACATAATTGCTGTGAATGTTCCAGATTTACCAACCAAAACAACATTTCCATCAAATGATTGGATTGTGATTGAATATGGTCCTGATGTTGAAGTTGTTACTCCCAACGAAAATACTTCAGAACCTCCAGATTTAAGTGATAAATATCCATTTCCTTGAGAGTTGATTGTGAGTGATGTAGTTGATGTCTTGAGTGTTTTACCTTCAGGAAGTGTTGTTGGACATTTCAATCCAAGTGAATCTAAACATGCACCTGGGAACAATGGAATTGATTTCGAACTTTCAACTAAAACTGAACTTGGCTATATTGAGAAAATAATTAATAATACTGCTTTAAAATAGAAATTATATGAATTTTAAAATTTTAGAAACAACTTACATATTTCCAAATTTGATTTTGATTTGATGAATCACAAGTTTTGAATTCAACAATATTTGAGACAGTATTGAGTTGAAGACATAATGAAGAAATATATTCTTGAATTATGTATTGTCCATTTGTTAATTGATTGAGAATATTAAAATTGTTTTGTGGAATCGATGTTGTTCCAATCAATGTTGTTGTTTGACTGTTCATATACATCATTGTTTTTGGATTGTAAAGATGTGGTCCAAATGAATCATATTTCAAATACCAAAATTGTTGAAGATTCGATTGATCACATGTTGAAAGTGTTACTGATGATCCAGATGTTGTTGGTGCTGTTAAACAACTTTGTGATCCAACATTTTGAATCATCTTATATTCAAGATCTTGATATGAAAGGAATGATGGTGTTGAATCACTTGTTGTATACCAAGCAATACCTTCTTTTGTCCAGCCTAACATATTTGGAACGGTTGAATATCCATAAACTAAACCTGATCCAAATGCTTGAATTTGAGTTCTAGAATATCTGTAAACTGGCTTGGCAGAAGGTGTGGCATCAATTGCATCATATACTTGGAATGCAATACCATCTTTCACCCAACCACTTGAAGTGAATGAACTATCGGTTGTATAATAGAATCTATTACCATTTGATTGTGTGAATTTGAATCGATAAACAATTTCTCTCTCGGTATCAGAAGCTGTAGTAGGATCTATAATTACAGACCATGGAACTTGGAATGCTTTGAATGAATATCCTCCAAATGACCATCCAATGTTTGATGATAAAGTACTTGGAACAAAATTAATTGTTCCAGTCGAAGCACCATTATTTCCGGTTGAACTCTTATCATTGAAATTATTATCAAATGGCCAATATCCAACCAAATTTGGTTCATTTCCAACAATATTTTTGTACATTGTGTTTGATATTTGTGTTTGAGAGATTGCAACATTCCAAATAGTGATATCTTCGATTGATCCAACAAAATGTGGCTCATTGGGTTGATTGGTGTAATAATTGGCACCAATCAATAATGTATTTGTTGATTTGGCACTCAAATTTGAACCAGATGTTGTTGTTGTGAGTTTAACAGCATCCAACCAAATTTCCAATGAACCAGATCTTCGAATAGCAGCAACATGATGCCAATTTCCATCAAGTATTTGTGTTGTTGATGATATTGTTTTATACGATCCGAAACCATTGTCAATTATGAAAATAATTAAACCATTTTCATTGATGACAATTCTCCATCCACCATTATCAAAGCTGCTTCCAGGCTCAGGTTTATTTGACATGATTGTTCCTGGTACTGTTGTTTGGACAAGAGATGTTGCTGAGAAATCATTTGTTCCAAAATCATATACTCCTTTATTTGGAATATTGATTTGACTTGTTGGTCCAATAAATGCTGCTAAATCGGTGGATACTTTTCCTGGAGAACTATTCAATTAAATTAAAATTGTTAATTAAATATACTATAAATTTTGGTCTTTAATCATAAATAAAATATATATTTTTTACATACTTGTAAAGATATCTGGATTCACCATTTGATTCTTGATAATAATATTGAGAAACTGCTACTGGTCCCGATGATGACACTGGGAAACGGAAATCAACATCATCATAAGCAATTGCTAGACCACTTAAATATGAAAATGCTTCCAAATCATATCCTGGTTCAACAATATCAACAACACATTGTCCTGGGAATGATGAATCAAATGTTTGAGCTTTAGAGTTGGTAGTTACTTTTCCTAGAGTGTCTTTGGTCGAATCGAAATAAGTGAATGTGATGGCATGAGTATGAATTGGATCAGTTGAGATAGAGACTGAAACAATTGGAACTTTTCTTAAAACTAATGTTGGGTCTGGTGAAATATTTGATCCTGATGAACGTCCAATCAACTTTGTTGATCCATCATTGTATTCAATGTTGAGTCCAACAAGACTGAGACCAGTGTGGAAGTATGGAGTTATTTTTGACATCATTCTTGTGGTCGATACTTGAGATGCAACTGTTTCTGGTCGATTTAATTTCTTACAAACATTGTATGTGCAATCTGGAATATTGAAAACACCAGCAAGATTTGATAAAAGAATATGTGAAACTGGACCAATAGAACCACCAGTTGGATATAACTTGACGTCAAAGTATTTCCAATTGTATGAAAACAATGTTACTGACATATAGAAATGATTGAGTTCATCTGAAATCTTATTCCATTGATCTACTGGCTGAAGTGTTGAAACAGTGTATGGTAATGATTGAATACGAGTATTGATAACTGAATTTGCATAACTAGCATAACTAGTAATCTTTGATTTCATCAAAGTATCATATTTAGCTTTAACAGATTGACTCCATCCCAATTGATTTCCATAATTTACACCATCACGAATGAATGTTAAATAGAGATTGGCAAATTGAGCAAACAATGGCAAGAGTGTGGCTTGGAATTGTTCTGTTTTGAAAAGTTGCTCTTGACGAATCACTTGAGTAACACACGAAATGTAAACAGAACTTAGGTACTCTGGTGTGGAATCTGGATCGGACATTGCAGCAAAGTAATATTCATCCATCAATTGAGAGAATCCGAGTAATTCTGATTGAACCAAAGAATATGTTGCAGTATCAATACTCTTATCGATGGCAGCTTGAGCATAGACCAAGATACTGTTCCATACGGCCTGTGGATCCGATGCTTGATTTGGGAACAAAGAATTGACGATGGCACCTGCCAAAGGTGGTGGAAAACCTGGAAGTAATTCAGGCGCTGCAATAGTAACCGCGGCTACAATCGCATTCCTAATAGTAGTAAAGGTACCAGGCATCTTAACAGGAGCCGCTGCTCCTGAGCGGTGATTAAGAACTATCAGTGTCAAAACAAATAAAATTAATAATAAATTTGAATGTTTCATTATTTATAAGAATTTTTAACTATGATATCTGAATAGAGACCATTATTTATAGAAACATATTGATAATGAGGGATTAGCCTCATTCAAATGAGGGAACTTATAATTAATAGAAAGATATTAACTCTTTGCAGTTTAATCTTTGGTATTTTTAAAAAATAAAAAATAATCAGAATTAGTTGGGAATAACAAAGAGAATCAATTGTTATGCGGTCGACTGATGATTTGTGAATGCATATGTTGTGAATCAAAAAAATATCTTCAAAGTTTGTTGTTTCTATTCAATCAATTTGAAATAACTAAAATATTGGAGGATTATAGTTATTTCAAATTGATTGAAATTTTTATTTTTTTCCAAAAAGTGGGTTATAAAATTGGAAAAAAAAATAAAAATTTTGTGTTTGGAAAAAAAATTGGGGTTAATATTGTCGGAGTATGTTTGATTTTTTAAAAAAGTTTTAGGTTACATGAAAAATGATTCCAAACTAATATAAATCATTTAAATATTTTGTGGGTCAATATTGATGGACACACCCTCAGACCCGATTAGTCTTGATTTTAAGTAAGTAATTTTCAATCGGTTTTTTTTTTATAAATGACTCTATTTAAATTCCATAACTTTTTGTCACTAAACATACTCCTTTTATGCCCATTAATCAATTGAAAAACTTCTAGCGCATCAGACGATCTTTGTTGATATCAGATTGGTCGATAATACAAGCTTTGAAATATGTTAATCTTCTCTCTCTCCCCACCAACGAGCTTCCAATATGCTGGATAGAATATAATGTTAACATACATAAAATGATATACTAATAAAAAACAAGACATACCACTTTAATTGTTTCCCATTTTCATCACCCTATTCCTCTATTCGTTACATTCTTTTAATTTAGCCTCATTCTTGTCATCAACAGCATGAAGTGAATCGGGGTTGTATTTACTGTTATTTGATCAGTGTGTTATTTCTTCTCTGAACTCTAATCATGGTTCACATTGTTATAAGCCAAGAGTGTATCTATATTGCAATAGTATAAAATGAAATATAAAAAGTTTTTACAATTATTATTGATCCATTGTGACGATAGGTAAGTGATGACGATGAAGCACTAAATTTTAAGATAGAAAGGAATAATCAATATCTTAAGATGACGACTAAGTAATTATAATTTAATTTATAGCTGGTGGATTGTAATGTAACTGGAACTACTCATTGAGTGTAACCATTAGGAGTAAAGATTGAACTTTGTCTCGATATTCAACATCCATACCTTTTCTACTGTTTTTATTTTTTTGTTTGTTCAACAAAACATTTTTTTATTTTATTATTTTTTTTAATATTATAAAAACTTTACAACAAATAAATATTACTAATCACAGAATGTGTCTCATCTCATGACTCTGAAAAAAAAAAAAAAAAAAAATCCAATAAAAAAAATAAAATAAACTAAGCTCAACAGATTCTTATATTCAAACCTTTTGCATCAACATCTACAAATATAGTAGTTGTATTAAAAATTTCAATTAGAACAAATATAAAAAATAAATAAATTCTTTTTTTTAAAAAAAAAAAAATAAATAAATAAATTGTAATTTTTGTTTTTTTTTTTTTTTTTTTTAAACGATAATATATTACTTATTAATAATAGAGATATTATATTATAAAAAGTAAATATATAGTTATCAAAATTGATTTATATAATGGAAGATACATATCATCAACAGTATCAATACCAACAACAACAACACCATAGTAATCATCATCATCAAAACAATAACAATAACAATAGTGGTAATAGCAATCATAGTAGTGGAAATAACAGTAACAGCGGTACCGCTAATAACTATCGAACTATAACATGTTGTGGTAATAGTAATTCAAATACTGGTTGGGGTGCAAGAAGTGTAGATCTCTATGAGAGAATCGAACAGATCGGTGAAGGTACTTTTGGGTATGTACATACTGACTGCAATATTACTATAATAAATACTTGATCAAGTAATTAACTAAAAACAATAACATTAAATAGTCAAGTATATAAAGCAAAGAATAAGTTAACAGATGAAGTAGTTGCATTAAAGAAGGTTTTAATGGAAAATGAAAGTGAAGGTGTATGTAATTTATCAATATATATATATATAATAAATAACACTATAGTTATTGTTATTATTTGTTATTAATAAGATATTTGATTATTGTTTTTATTTTCTGTCTTTATATATATATATAGTTCCCAATTACAGCAATAAGAGAGATAAAGATATTAAAAGAATTAGATCATAAGAATGTTGTTAAATTAAAAGAGATTGTAACTTCAAAGGCATCGCCTGCCAACAATGGAAAGGGTAGTGTTTATATGGTGTTTGAATTCATGGATCATGATTTGAACGGTTTGATGGACAGTCCTGTTTTCAAGTTCTTCCAACCAGATCAAGTTAAATGCTACCTAAAGCAACTATTAGAGGGTTTAGATTATTGTCATAGAAACAATGTATTACATAGAGATATTAAAGGTAACTAATCTATCAAACTATTATTTAATAGTGCATATCTTATGTTGAACTTATAAACAATATATAACTAATAATCAACATATTATTATAATTTATACATATAATAATACAGGATCAAATTTATTGTTAAACAATAATGGTATATTAAAGTTAGCAGATTTCGGTCTAGCAAGACCCAATAACAACTCTGATCCAAACAAACAATTGACAACGCGTGTTATCACTCTTTGGTATAGACCACCAGAGTTACTACTCGGTGCTTTTCACTATGGTCCTGAGATTGATTTGTGGTCTGTTGGGTATGTAGTTGATATAGATTATCGAAAAAATAACAACAATCTAACATTATACTTATATATATATATTATATATCTATTTAGTTGTATAATGGCAGAATTATTAGCAAGAAAAACATTATTCCCAGGAAGAAGTCCAATCGATCAGTTGGATAAGATCTTCCAATTGTGTGGTACTCCCACCGACGAAAACTGGCCTGGTGTCAAAGATTTGGAATGGTGGAAAGTATTGAAACCAAAGAAGGATCAAAAAAGAATATTAAGAGAAGAATTAACAAAGAATTAGTATGTTGAATCGAATGCATTGTACACTACATATCGGTTTTATCTAATGTTTATACTAACTTGATCAATTTAAATCACTATAGTGATAGTACTGTGTTTACACCGGATGCTTTAGATTTATTGGATCGATTGCTATGTTTGGATCCAAAGAAGAGAATATCGGCATCGGATGCATTGGATAGTCCATATTTCTGGACGGCACCATTGCCTTGCGATCCTGTGTCTCTACCAAAGTATCCATCTTGTCATGAATTTAAAACTAAAAAGAAGAGACAACAACAGCAACAGCAACAGCAGCAGCAGCAACAACAACAACAGCAACAACAACAAAACGATCCAAACAAGAAACCGAGAAACGAAAACTATCATCCACCTCAAAACAACTATTCACAGCAGCAAGGAGCCAACCCACAGAACAGACAACCCAACTCGAATATACCATATAATGCAGGTGGTGCACCACCTGGTAGTGGTCAAAGAGGAGGAGGTAATCAACCACGGCAGTCATATCCACCACCTCAGCAACAACCAGGAGCTAACCCACCACCATATAAATCACATGTACAACCACCACCTCCATATCACAGCAGCAACTCAAAGAACCAACCTGATCAAAGAAGATAAAAAAAAAATAATAAATATAGAAAATATGATAAAATGATAAATTCACTTGAAAAACAGGAAAGAATCTATGAATATGATATGCACAGGTATTTTTTTTAACTTTAGTATTATCATTTTTAATTATTAATATCTATAAGCTTTGGCAAAGATAGGAATTTTATAGATAAATAAAGTAAAATTGTACAAAGTTGTATTTATTTAAAAAATTAAAAAATTTTCATAAATTTGATTTAGATCACTTTTATTCTAGTTAATAAGTTAACAACAGCGTCATACTCAATGAACAATAACGATAATAGATTAGTTAATTTATCGCATTTGATATTATCAAAGATTATTAATTATATAGATGATAATGTAGATAGGATAGTGTTTACATTAGTTTGTAAAAGATGGTTCAATGAAAGACATAAATATCTATCTTTTAAAACTGATCATATTATTAATATCAATAAATGCAATGTTAATCAAGATAGTATGTGCTTGAAGTCTTATAAATCAATATACATCGATTCATTCAAACATAAAAACAATTATTATCTTCACGTTATCAGAGGAGATACAATAGATTATAAAATGACACCAGGTAAGTAATAAATATGTTAATCAAAGAATAAATTAGGTTAACACTATTTAAATATTATACTATTAATATTATATTAGAACAACTCATAGAAATAAATGAGATTCCTCCAAAGTTCAGTGCAATTGCGATTGATATTGATTCTTCTGATGCTACTTGCTATGAAATGTATCGATTAATTTCTCGATCCCAAGTCACCACTTTAGAGAGATGTCGCACATTAAGATATAGATTACCAGAGAATCTTACAAATATATCATTCATATCCTTTAATGAACCGTTGTTACCTGGTTATCTTCCACAGCATTTGAAATCTCTAGAGTTTGCTCATGGATTCAATCAACCAATCAAAAAAGGTGATCTTCCCAATACACTGGAGATATTGAATCTCGGTGATGATTTCAAACAAGCAATCGAACCAGGTGTATTACCATCATCATTGAAAGTTCTCAAATACTATGGTGGTCATATTCTAAAAGTTGGATCATTACCTCCAAATCTTGAAGAATTCTATTTTCTTGGAAATACAGTACCAATTGATGATGGAGTATTACCTTTGACACTTTGTGAAGTAAAAGCACCATTATCATGGCTTCCATCAATCAAATCACTTTCAAATATTAAATCATTAATACTATATCAGTGTGATATAGATTCAACAATCGATCTAAGTTACCTTCCATGTTCATTAACAAAACTGGCAATTAGTCAAAGAAGAAGAAAACGATTAATATCAACGATGCCACCTTCAATCAAACATCTCGATCTTACACATTTATCATATAATATCGATGAGATATTCAAAGATCGATCACAATATCATTTCGAATATCTTAAGTTAGATGGATACAAACCAGATTCACTCGATAATTTGAAAATCGATGATTTGGAACTTGATTTAAGTAATCCTTTCAAATATAAAGTTGAATCTATTATAGATATTCCAGAAGGTATTGAAATACTTCAAATTCGCAATGGTGGCGATCTCTATTTAGATTTTGAAGTAATTCCATCGACAGTCAAAAGATTAATTCTCGACTACAGTTCAACTTTTAAATTCAACTCTAATGAGACACTTCCAAGTGGATTACAAGAATTGGCGGTTGATTTAGATGATTGGAATGAAGATTTAACACTATTTCCAAGTGATGTTCTACCACCATCACTTCAATCGCTGACAATTCCAGCAATGTTACTTCCACAACCTCGAATACCCAACAACCTTATTCTCATTCCAGAGCTGTCTAATGGTGGTGATGAACATGTCTGGTTACGAAGGCTGGACGATCATCATTATCTCTTCTTCAGCGAAGAACCATTCTATACATCTGCGATTGTTCATGAATCAAATATTCCAAATATATTTGCATATTATGAATCAACTCTCTATCGATATTTCCCTAGGTGGATAAAAGTTGAAATAGATGAATAAAATCGAGAGATATTTATTTAAAATAGGCAAATAGGTTTGATGAAATATTATATTTTCTTTCTTAGGAATTTCTGTGTAAATTTGATTAAAAAAAAAATAAAACCATCAGACAGATTGGGAAGAAGACGATGAATATAAATAAAATTAAGCTAGAATTAAATAAAAATATATTTATTTCATTAAATAGGATTTAAACCATATATCTTATAACAGTCAAGAATATTAGTATCATTAAGATTACTTTATGAATTATTATTTGTCTATTCAAGAGTAATTGATTAATCAGTACCAATTATTTCATGATCGTTTATTTCTTGTCGTTTTTCAATTGCTTTGTGTAGTGATTGCATAATTGAGTTTATAAGTGATGCCTGATTGATCTTTCCATCTTTTGTCAGTGTATTCTTCCAATTCTCAAGTTCTGAATACATATTGTCAATGTGAGTGCCCATTTCACGATTCTTTTTCTTCTGGAAGGCGGTTGGTGGTCTTCCAATACCAGGAGTATAAGATGATGCCCAGAAATGTCTAAGTAATTCATTGGTCTTTCTAAATGAAGACAACAGATCCTGTTTAAACTGATTCTGATTCAATTGATATTCACCTTGAGTCTTATCATTTCTACTCGATGAAATCGAAGCAATCTCATCTAAAACTCCATTATTTGTTTTGGTTGTCTAAATTTAACATATATTAAAAATAAATAAAGTAGTTATAATTAGAACTTTATTATCTTGATAATCTTAATTCTCTTTTTAAACTTACATTTTTAAAATCACATTTCCAATTTGTGAATTCATCTTGAAAGAAACCAATGAATATCTGTTTATCTTCTTCTCTTTGAATGTTTTGTGAATGACCTTCAAAGTATCTCTTTTGATCTTGAATCTTTAGTTTTGGAAAGTCAAGTGGTACTTGATCTTCGAGATCGGTCATCACAGCATGTTCTTGTAACACTCTTTTGTTTGATTTCAATATCTTTTCAATTTGTTCAGTACTATATCTATCTTTATCTTTTGCACTAACTGTATCTGTTGCACTATTATTTAAGAAAATAAAATACATTTTTGATTAGATAAATAAACAAACTCTAATCTGTCCTACAGCATACTTTATAAAATCTTTTGAACCTAAAACCAATGAACTGTGTCGATTAAACTTTCTGAGTAATGGTAATGCATTCTTTAGTTTCTCTGGGTTCAAATTCGCATCTAAAAGTACACCATATCCACTCGATAGGTTATCTTCATCACCTTCTGATGATAGATCAACCAATGGATTGATATCCATCAATTTCTTCTTTAATAACTTTATCTCTTTATATTTTAATGTGTTAATGTTAGTTTAAAATAATGATTAAAATGATAAAACAATATAGTTTAAAACAACTGATACTTACCACTATCATCATTCGTATCATATCTTGAGAATAGATCATCTGTAGGTGGTGGATTATGTATGTTTCTATCACGATAAAAGTATTTAGAATGTACATATTTCTTCCAAAACTCTTGTTCTGATAGTTTGCCTGGTACGTTATCTTTGTAGGCACGTTCGACCGATGGGTGTTGAATGAATATCTGATTGATGATCGATGGTGTCAATCTATAACGAACTGCATTGATTGATTCAGAGGTTGGTCTGACGTCACTCAAGATGATACTAGGCATACCGACGTGTTGTCGATCGGGTCGCATTCCATCGTTTTTCAACATCATCTTTCGTGACTCCCAAAAGTCGTTCTCGCTGATGATACCTGCACCCACCAGTGAATCGAATAATTGCTTCAACTCCATATTCGACGAAAGTAGCTGAACACGTTGTTTAACTTCCTCTTCGGTGACCGTACCATTGCGGAATGTCTTGGGTGTCGCTGGCTTCGGTGGTGCTACCGGTACTTGTGGCTTGGCGACAGGCTTGGCAACGGCAGATGCTGATTTGGCAACCGGTGAATTCGGTGATACTGGAGGTGGTTTTACTACTTGACCGATACGCTCTTTGAACTTGTTTAGATCTTGACGTGCATTCGACATATGACTGAATTCAAAGAGAAAGTCTTGTGTTGCATTCGAATCCTTTTCATCTTTTACACTTAGACGTAGCAATGCTTTTGCACTTGTAGAAGTAGATACAAATTGAGCTAAAATAATAATAATAATGAATAATAAGAATCAGAAACAAGTTTGTATAGAATATAAATAGATAGTAGATATAAAACCAATCAAGTTAAATAAATAGCAAACAAACAACAAACAAACAAACAAACAAATAATATAACAGATTTATTTACATTACTTTTTATTTCTGAAAAATGAAAATGTAATGAAGGTTCAATCTTTCCTGATTGTACCCAAACCAATCTCATGTTGGTGCAATAGAGAGTGCCTGCTTCCTTTGCAAACTTTGTTTCCGCTCTCAATTGAACTATTTCACCAGGTTCTTTTTTAAATTTATCCATTTTTTATTTAATTTATTTATATATATACATATATTATTTGATTATATAATAGATCAAACAATTCTTATTTAAATAAAATCTACAAACAAATAAATTTATATTAATTTAAATATTTAAAATTTCATATAAAATTTTGTTCAAAAATGAATTTTTTTTTGCAAGAAACGAGCAGGCAAATTTCCAACGATCGTGACTGGGTGTTACTTTTTTTTTTCTTTTTTTACTTGGTGATGGATGTCCTTTTCAAAAGTGTAAGTGTATCTCGACTTCTTCAACTGTATTTGGTATTGCGAAACGAAGACGATCGATTGTTTCATTAAATTGGAATATGAACTTCTTCAATGATGATGGAAATTCCGAAATATTGCCTTTTTCTTATGCTTTTCCTACCAAAATTTAAAGGCTCCACACAAAATGGAATATCTCGCATAAAAAATTAATATGTTTGAAATTCCAATCAGTTCTTTGATCTTTAGATTGTCGAAGTCGGTACCCTTCTTGTTTGTTTGCATTTACACTTAGTGTCTCTAAATGATATTGTGATCGATCTTTGAATATCTCATCGATATCATATTCAGCAAGGTGAATTGAAAATCGTATTTCTTTCAAAGTGACACATATTCTATCTATGTTATCCTCAAGATAATTAACTATCTTTAATAACAATAAATGTGATAGATTAACAATCATTGAATGATAAGAAAAAGTCTATAAATAAATATAAATAAAAGTTTACTTATTTGTATAAGTTAAAAAACTAAACTGAACAAATTTTACGAAGTTCAGTTATTAAAATTTTTGGAAACAATAGAGAAGAGATCTCTTTATTCTCTTGAAAAAAAGTTTCATTGTTCTAAAAAAAGAGATTGTTTAAAGATGGAGAATAACAATAAGAATAATGACAACAAATTAAATAATAATCTAGTTAGCAATTACGATAATAGATTTTTTAATCTATCACACCTATTGTTATCAAAGATTATTAGTTTTATAGATGATAACATAGATAGAATAGTGTTTACATTAGTTTGTAAAAGATGGTTCAATGAAAGAGATAAATATCTATCTTTTAATACTGATCATATTAAAAAAATAATAAACGATAAACATAAAAATAATATGTTTTTAAAGTCATATAAATCAATGTACATAGATTCAATCAATAGAAAGAATAATTATCATCTTTCAATTGTAAAAGATGATCTTGGGATTACAGAATACTATGTTATCAAATATAGTATGTATAATATGTTTTTTTTATTATTATTAAATAACTTACATTATCTATTATAAACAATCGACTATATTACAGAAAAAATTCTTCAAAAAAATGAGATTCCTCCTAATATCAACTCGATTTCAATTGACTTTAATGTCAAAAATTTGGAAGAAATCTACCAATTGATATCTAGATCCAAAGTTACCACGATGCAGTATTGCAAAACATTGAGATATAGATTACCAGAGAATATTACATCTCTATCATTCTCATCAAGTTTTAATGAACCATTAGAAGCTAGCCAGCTTCCACCGCACTTGAAATGTCTTAAATTACATTTAACCTATTTGGAACATGGAATTAGACCAGGTGTTCTCCCAATCACACTTGAGAGTTTGTATCTCTCTGGATCATTAGTACATCCACTTGAACCCGGTGTATTACCATCATCTTTGAAATATCTCTCATTCGAAAGCGATCATATTCTAAAAGTTGGATCATTACCTCCGAACCTGGAAGAATTCACATTTGGTCGAATAGATAGCAGTAGAAAACCATCAAGAGTTGACGATGGGGTATTACCTTTGACACTTAGGAAACTGACAGCACCTGTATCATGGCTTCCATCAATCAAATCACTTTCAAATCTTAAATCATTAACACTACAAGATGCTGACAAAGATAAAATCGATTTAAGTTATCTGCCATGCTCACTCACAGAACTGAACATTCTTTCAGGAGGACAATTAATATCAACTATGCCACCAACAATCAGATATTTGGATTTAATCGATACACCATTTGATACCGATGAGATATTCATAGATCGATCACAATATCATTTCGAGTATTTATCAGTAAACGAAAGCAAAGTTGAATCACTACAAGGTCTGAATATCAAGCATTTAAATATTTCTTTGGGTACACAGCGAAATCTATCTCAAATTCCAACATCTGTTCAGAAATTAACAATTAATTCATTAAGTAAGAATTCTTTCTTGATACTCAAACCCTACCAATAACACTTCAAGAGTTAGAGATAGATGATTATTACAAGAATGATAGAGATATTATACTTAACAGTAATGATTTTCCATCATCACTTCAATCATTGAAAATACCGTCATTGGTACTTCCCCAACCTCGAATACCTAACAATCTTCTTTTAACTCCGTTACAATCATATTTTAAAAAAATATGGTTACGTAGACTTGGCAATCATCATTATCTCTTCTTCAATGAAGAACAAAATTTTTTATCTGCCATTGTTCATGAATCAGATATTTCTAATATATTTCATTTTTGTAAATCAACTCATTCTCTACCATCATACAATAAAACAGAATAAAAAACCTTTAAGTGAAATTAATATAGGAATAGCTATTGATGATTAATAGTTTATTGTTCATCTTCAATCATGTTGTCAATGAATTCTGACAAAAGACTTGATACAATTGCAGCAATGAATTTGTCATTATATTGCCCAAAAATGAGATAATGGTAGCCATAAATCTTTCGAACTTGTAGATCCACTCTATTTTTGATTCTAGCAAAACAAATATTGGTCACTGATGGAAGTCTATCAAAAAGAAAAGCATACTCTATCATTGAAGAAGGAACAGTCATTGATTTCACAGAGTTTGGAATCAATTCACTCGTGAATGGATATCCATTATCAACGTATAATATCTCTTGTATCACTACTTCTTCGATAGTGTTTGGAATTTGGAAATCAAGTGAACTGATTGTAGAACAGTTTTGAAAAATAATCTTCCTCAATGATGATGGAAATTCATTTTGCTTTGTTCTGATTTTAATTTGTTGATTTGTTCCAAAATTTAAAGTCTCCACACCACATGGAATATCTCTTAAAGTCCCCTGTCTAACATTGACTGGAAATCGCAATATCAATTCTTTGATCTTTAGATTGTCGAGTGATTCTTGTTTGAATGCATCGACACTTAATTCCTCGAAATGATATTGCGATCGATCTTTGAATATCTCATCGATATCATATGATAAGCCTGTAAGATTGAGATGTTTGATTGAAGGTGATACAGTTGACGTGAGACGACATGTAGCATTGATATCTAAACTGGTGAGAGAAGCTGGCAGATTTGACAAGTCTAATGTGATATTTGTAGTAACATGAAAGAATGATAATGCTGTGAGATTGGGAAGTGGTTTGATGAATGGAATCCATGATAAAGCTGCGCCTTTCAAAGTGCAAAGTGATTTTGGTAATACTCCATTTGATATCTCGCTAAAACCGTGGTGAATTAGAACTCTAAGATTTGGAGGGAGTGATCCAACTTGAAGTGTATGAGAATAATCATATCCCAATTCTAAATATGTTAAAGATGATGGTAATACATTCGGTTCGAGTGCTTGATTGAAGTACTCGCTAAATGATAGTTTCTCCAATGTATTTGGAAGAACACCTGATCTGATAGGTTGATTAAAAATGCAATCCCATGAGAATTTTAATTTCTTTAGATTCGGTGGAAGATAACCTGCCAACAATGCATCATCGAACTCTGCTCCAAATGTTATTGATGTTAAATTCACTGGCAATGCACTTGGTAAACTTGATATTCCCTTTAGTTTAACTACATTTGAATTCAATATCATTCGATAGATATTCTTTAAATAATTTATATCTTTTTTACCTAAACAAACTTTTGTGATATTTGGTGTAATTATATCATCTATTTTAACTTTAATAAAAGATTAGGATTGTATAATCAATATAAAATGCTATTAACAATAGCTTACGTGAGCTTTTTGAATAGTCTGTTTTGTAAGTAGGTGCACCAAATGTAAGAGTACAATTATTCTTTTGTTTGAGTGATCTGAGTATTAAAGATTGATATGATTTCAATGTTAATAAACTATTAAAATCGTTAAATGCTTCTTCTTTATCTTCTTTCTCAATTTGATTAATGATATTTATATGATCTGTATTAAAATATAGATATCTATGTCTGTCATCGAACCATTTTTTACAAACTAATGTAAACACTATTCTGTCGATATTATCAAGAAAGTTAACTATCTTTGATAACAATAAATGTGATAGAGTAACAATCATTGAATGATAAACAATAGTCTATATTAAATAAAAAAATAAAAATTGATTCATATGTTTTGTTGCAATAAAAATATCTTTAAGGATATTTTTTAAAAAAAATCTAAAACAAACTTTTTTTTTTTTTAAAAAAAAATATCGTGTCACTTGTTTATCATGAATAAAGACAATAAGAAGGATCAAAGATGTTAAAGATAAACTATAAAGATAATCAAAAATGTTATGAAAGTGCTGAGAGTGAAATTAAAGCAATGATACAACTAAAAGGAAATCTAAGATTTGTTCAACTTGTTGACTATCAGGATAAGACAATCAAATCTTTCATATCATCACTGAATATTGTGATGATGCTGGTGATCTTGATCAAAAGTACAATCTTTTAACTGATCAAAATGTTTATGTATAAAATATATATTGTTACTTGACTCGTATCAACTACTTCATGGCGTGAAATCACTCAAAGGAAGATGACTATAAACAAAAAACAATCTCAATCTTCAATAGTTAACTAATAAATATAAGTATTTAGCTAAATAATAAAACTTAATCACTATTTTTGTTTATTTATTTGATGTGTTATAATTTAAGTAAACAACAGGTAAGCTTAAGTGCTCTCTAGTTCTTTGGATATATACACAAGATATTGTTATTGATGGTGATGATTTTATTGCAGCCATTAATATTCCATCGATTTGACCAAAAATTAGAATACTTTTTTCATCATAAAGCTTTCGAACAATGAGATCCACACCATTTTTTGTTGTAAAACAAATATTGGTCACTGATCTAGGTATGTTAAACATTAATAAACCTTCAAATACTGAAAAAGGCACAGTTAGTGTTTTCACAGAGTTTGGAATCTTGTCACCTGAAGTAAACGAATCCCCTATTAAAAAGTGTAATATCTCCACTTCTTCAACAGTGTTGGGTATTTCGAAATCAAGTACATTCATTGTTGCACTGAATTGAAATAAGAACTTCTTCAATGATGATGGAAATTCAGCATTTTCCTTTTTTCTTATTCTAGCTCCCTTAAAGTGTGGTCCAAAATTTAAAGTCTCCACACCTAAAGGAATATCTCTTAAGAAACCTTTTCTCTGTCTAAACTCCAATATCAACTCCTTGATCTTCAGATTGTCGAGTGATTCTTGTTTGAGTGCATCTACACTTAGTTCTTCTAATTGATATTGTGATCGATCTTTGAATATCTCATCGATATCATATTGAGCTCGGTGAATCTTGAGGTGTTTGATTGAAGGAGGTAGAGTTGACCTGAGGTGACATCGAGCGCCTACATCTAAATTGGTGAGAGAAACTGGTAGATCTGACAAATCTATTGTCAGATTCCCAATATCGGTTTGATTGAATGATAGTGTTGTGAGATTGTTCAGTGTTTTGATGAATGGAATCCAAGAAAAAGGTGCGTCAACCAAAGTACAAAGTGATTTTGGCAATACCCCATCCGATATCTGACTACTACCAAAGTGATAAAGAACTCTAAGATTTGGAGGGAGTGATCCGACTTGAAGTGTTTGAGTAAACTCGCTTCCCAATTCTAAAAATGTTAAAGACTCTGGCAATACATTCGGTTCGAGTCGTTGGTTGAAGTAATCATTCATTGCCAGTTTCTCCAACGTATTTGGAAGAATACCTGCTGAGATTGGATAATCAAACGAGGAGTTCAAATCGAATTTTAATTTCTTTAGATTTGGTGGAAGATAACCTGCCAAAAATGGCTCATCGAACTCTGGACCAAATTTTATCGATGTCAGATTCATTGGCAATGCACTTGGTAAACTTGATATTCCTTTGAGGCTGAACACATTTGAATTCGTTATCATTCGATAGAGATTCTTTAAATGATTCAAATTGAAAATATCTTCTTTTTTTTCTTCTAAACAAACTTTAGTGATATTTGGTGTAATTATATCATCTTTGCCAACTAGGATATACCAATTAAAAAAAAAGATTAGAATTTATATAAAATTTTAAATATTATTTAACAATAACTTACATATAACTATTGAATAGTCTGTTTTGTATGCTAATGTACCATATGTCAGAGTACAATTACTCTTTTGATTTAATGATCTTTGTATTAATGATTGATATGATTTCAATTTGAATATTCCATTATAATATCTATTTGTTACTACTTCTTCATCTTCTTTCTCGATTTGATGAAGGATATTTATATGATCGGTATTAAAATATAGATATTTATCTCGTTCTTCAAACAAACTTTTACTAACTAAACTGAAACATATTTTATCTATATTATCAAGATAATTAACTATCTTTAATAACAATAAATGTGATAGATTAACAATCATTGAATAATAATAGATAAATATTAATAAATAAAATAGTGAACTAATTTTGTTTAATTTTTAAAAAATACCCATAAAGATTCACAAGTGTGTGTTGGAGCAAAGTTGAAAAAAATCCAATATTTTGATTTTTTATATTCACCTTTACTTTTCCTGTCAGATAATTATAGAGTATTTATTTATTTATTTACAAAAATATATAAATAAATAAAGAGTATTTTAACAGTATTCAATATTTAAAAAGAATTATTAATAATAAATAAAATTTCATATATTATAATATCAAAATTAATAAAATCAAAAAAAAAACCTTCACTTTTGGCTTCGGCTTGGATTAGTTTTTTACAAAAAATCAACAAAAAGATTTTTGATTTTAGGAGAATTTTTTTAATTTTATTTAATTTTCTTAGTAAAGATTTATATTAGCTCTTGATCAATTTATCTGTTAAAAAAGTAAATAGCTATTAGATCTGAACATTAATTAAAGATATTTTTATTTTATTTAAAAATGAAAAGAAAACATCAGAATAATAACAGTTCAAATGAAAGTGAACTCCTGCAGCTTGCAATTACACTTGAGCATGATTATAATAATGCTCAACAAACAATTGAACTCCCTTCGGGTGAATCAATTACGAAAGAACAGCTTCTATTGAAAGTAATCGATCTTCATCCAAACTATGGTAATGCCTATTGTAAGTTGGCATTAATTCTAAAGAGTGAAAATCGATCATCTGTTATTCTGCAATCAGGCCTATCAATGACTGTGCAACAACTATATTTGAAAGCAATAGAGTATGATTCAACCAATTCCAATTCATATAATAATGCAGGAAATCTTTCAATTGGTGAATCAATCATACAGCCAGATGGTCAATCAATGATACAACAACTATATTTGAAATCAATAGAAAGTTATCCAACCAGTTCACGTTTTTATAATAATCTTGCAATTGTACTTTCAAGTGATGAGTCAATCACACTTCTTAATGGCCAAACAATGACAAAACGACAACTATGCATGAAAGCAATAGAATGTGATCCAACAAATTCCAATACTTATTTTAACCTGGCAACGATGCTATCAAATGGTGAAACAATCACACTTCCAAATGAACAATCAATGACAGGACAGCAACTATACTTGAAATCGATAGAATGCGATCCAAAAAAATCCGATGCTTATTTTAACCTTGCATGTTTGCTTTCAACTAGTGAATCAATAGCACTAAATGATGGGCAATCAATGACAAAACAAAAATTATACTTGAAATCAATAGAGTTGGATCCATTCGACTCTAGTTCATATTATATGCTTTCAACGACGCTTTCTAATGGTGAATCGATAGCACTTAATAATGGACACCTAATGACAAAACAACAACTATTGTTGAAAGCAATTGAATACAATCCAACCAATTCAAATGCTTTTAATAGACTTGCAACAACACTTTCAAATGGTGAATCAATCACACTTCTCAATGGACAATTAATGTCAAAACAGCAACTATACTTAAAATCTATAGAGTTAGATCCAACCAATTCACGTGCATATTATAATCTTGCAAATACACTTTCAAATGGTGAATCAATAACACTTAATAATGGTCAATCAATAACAAAACAACTAATATTATTGGTGGCAGTAGATTTAGATTCAACCATTTCCAATTACTATAATAACTTGGCAACCACACTCGAACTTAGCAAGTCAATCACACTTAATAATGGTCGAACAATGACAGAGCAACAACTATACTTGAAAGCAATAGAGTGTGATCCAACCAATACATATTCATATAGTAATCTTGCAACAACACTTTCATATAGTGAATCAATCACACTAAATAGTGGTCAATCAATGACTGTACGACAATTATACTTGAAAGTAATAGAAATTGATCCGACCGATTCATATTCATATAAAAACCTTGCAAATATCCTATCTCGACATGAAATAATCACACTCCACGGTGATGTTCCTATGACAAAACAACAACTTTTATTAGAATCTCTAAGATATGATCAAACACAGACATCATCTTACAGATCGATTGGACTATTACTTTTGAACAACAAACAAACCATTACACTTCCAAATGGTAAAAGAATGTCAAGAAGACAACTCCTCCAAAGGGCAAGAGAATAAATAAAAAATTATTCTTTTTATAACTATTTATTATCCAATTATGTCTTGTTTGTAATTATCAATATTTTTCATTATTATAATATCAAAAAAAAAAAAGTAAAACAAATTTGTTTTTATATTTATTAATTAATAATATTACTAGCAATATTACATATGTATTTAGATCTATTGGTATCAAAATATTCTTCCTCTTTTATTTAAAAATGAAAAGAAATCATCAGAATAGTAAAAGTTCAAAAGAAAGTGAAACACTATTATTAATCAAAAATGTATTTTATTTTCTTTTATAATAGTGCAGCAGATACAGTCAGTGCAAAAGATAAAGATAGATATAGTACTGAACAAATTGAAAAGTGTTATTTTACAATGGTAATAATATCATATTATAATATACATATAAACATATAAATATAATACTTACAACTTTGATATAAGATTAGGAATTACTTTAGGAATAGTTTTGGTACGAGGAATATAGATTTAATGAATGTAATAAAGTTTAGAGATATAATTTACAGTATAATATTTAAAGATAATAATTTATTTATTTTACAATTTGAAGATAAGAATAATATTTGGTAATGTTGAATAATTAGTTAATTAGTTAATTTCTATAATGGATTTCCATGGTATTTATACTGTTGGATTTCTTCGACCAGTGCAGTTGCCCAATCTCAGAAATCTGTTCTTGATTAACTAGTTTGGTATTCATTGTAGATTAACTTGTTGGTTATTTCTTTATGTTAACTTTGGTAGATTGATATTTTGTTGATTCACTGAATGTTGATATTATTCGAATATATTTGATTATTGTTGAACAGTTGAATTATTAATTTAAGTTATTTGAAATCGTGTCCATAAACTGTTTGAATTGTGATAGTTGAATTCTTAATAAATTATTGAAGTGTCAGTTGATTTGATTATTATAATTCTAAAATGTTAATTTTAGAACAAAAAGATATTGAAATCAAACAAACTAGTATTACTAGAACAAGCTGTGATGACCGATCTCGAAGATCAAGTACCTCTTCACTTTCCAAAACTAAAGATTCAAGATCAAAAGAGATACTTTGAAGGTCATTCACAAAACATTCAAAGAGAAGAAGATAAACAGATATTCATTGGTTTCTTTCAAGATGAATTCACAAATTGGAAATGTGATTTTAAAAATGTAAGTTTTAAAAAGAGAATTAAGATTATTAACTAGCTTCAAAAAATACATATATATTCTAATAATAAAATATTTTATTTGATTAACTAATTATTTCGGTGATAATGATCTAAAAATTGTCTATTCAAATAGTTGATTTATTACTTTAAGTTGATTATTATTATTATAAACATTGATTTCATCTTTTGAAAATTGTAAGTTAAAATTCATTTGAAATCCAAGACAATATAGCTGTGCTAGTGATGATAGGAAATAAAGATATTCATCTTTTCTCTTGAACACTGGTGAAACTACTGTTGTATTTGGTAAAGTATCTTTGATCATATCATATAGAATAGCACTCGGTGATATTTCTATGAAAATATAATTATCGATACTCTCACCACTATCTTTGATATCTCTAACTATCGAATCGATTGCTCCAACAAAATTAACAGGTTCTCTAATGTTTTCATAAATATAACTTGAGTTGATTCCATCCGATTTCAATTGACCAGTTACGGTTGAATACCATTTAATTGATTCACTACAAGGTGCCTGACCTTGAATATCTGAGAAAGTCGACAATACCTCTGATCTAATTGAATCTTGTGCAGAACAATGGAATGTACCTGGAAGTGGTAGAATATAACTGGAAATACCTTGATCCTCCAACAATGATTTCAACAATATGATATCGTCTTCTTTTCCACAGAGTATAGATGAACTCCTTGAAACTCTAGATACCTCTTCCATTCTCTCGGATAATAGCGTTGAAATTTTAGATTCGCGAAACCTGTTCAACATATCCTCTAGATTCGATCTGATGATTATCGTTTTACCAAGTCCCATTGTACGATGCGAGAAATTCGATCGATAGTAAATGATTCTGACTGCCTCCTCCTGTGTGATAGATCTGGCTACATAGGCAGCTGCAATCTCACCGAAACTGACACCGACAACAACCGATGGTTCTATTCCATAATATCGATAGAGCTCAATGATTCCAATTTGAAACATTAGCAATGAAGGTTGTGCCATTGTCTGAATGAATATCTCTTGTGAATCGAGTGGCATCGATTTGATCTTCGCCAACAAACTATATCCTGTATATTGTTGAAATATCGAATCGACACGATCTACCGTTGCCCTATAGATTGGTGATTTCTCATAGAGTGTCATACCCATTTCAACGGTTTGTGCACCCTGACCGAAACAAACATATATTTGACTTGAGTAAATATTAGATTATTTATGTTAATATTTGTTATTAAATATATACTTCAAGTGCAAGAAATAAAAAGATATAAAAAAAATTAAATTAATTTTGTTGTTTAATACTCTAGATTTTTTTTTTTTTTTTTTTGTTGTATAAATTTAAAAATTAAGTTGTATAAAATTAAAACCTAATACGTATTTAATTAGGTTAGTTTAAATTAA